TTCCCTACACGACGCTCTTCCGATCTAAGGAATGAAAAATGTTTGTGAAGTTTGCTAAAAATTGCCGAAACAAACATCACAACATGCATCATGTGTCCGAAGCTATTCCGGTGTCCTTTAACATTAAATCTTAATATGCTTTAGTAACAAAAGTAAAAACAAGTTGCGGCCTGCTTTAGAGCATTGAAAAGTCATGCTGAAAATTCTCGTTATGCTTTAAGTGAAGATGTTGATTGTGACACGAGTTCTTTTAAAGACTTTCATTATAAAAGAAAGAAGTGCAAGTGTACAAACCTTGATTGTAGATTCGGGTAAGTTGAGTTGAGCTGCAAGCTCACAGCGACGAGGCCTTGAAACATAATTTTCTTTATAGAATTCTTTTTCTAAGCGTGCCAATTGATCTCTAGTGAAGGCTGTTCGATACCTTCTCACTGATGGATCAAGGGGTGGCTGTCCATTATTCGAACCGCTTTCCATTGTTGGACTCGTACAATCTATGACAAAAGATAAATAAAATAATTTAAATAAACTTCCATTAATATTTATGACAAACTTTATGTTAAAGCTTTGTTCTTATTTCATTATGCTTTATAATAAAAGTTAAGCTAATTTGTCATTTAAAGACAATCCCTTTACGAAAAGCCGACTTGTGTTTGAAAATCATAAAAATCCTTTTTATTAAAACAAATTTAATTAAATCTAAACTTCTAATTATCCTCAATACTGTCGTTAAGTCATAATGTACTTAAAGTTATAAACGATGTGATTATCCTACACCCACATAAAATAATTTTAAATCTTTTTTCTGATCAGGTACAAAGTCCAAAGAAGAAGTACAGTGATTCATGATCAATTGAATTACAATTCATTTTAACAGCGTTTTGAAATCATTTTTGTCAAAAGCAAATTAATTATGATGTATTAATAGCGCTTTGATCTTCTTAATTTGACGAAAAAATTAAATAACCAGATGCGAGTATGCATCGTTTCAAGTCTTCTTATTTAATTCAACTTTCCAACTTCAATAATCTTAAGTGGCTACTTGAGACAGTTTCTTCTCATCTAGAATTTATTGCTAATTAACAACGTTAAGTTAGTTATGAGAAAAGATGAACGAAAACATTGGCAGACGACACATTTCCGGGGAAACGCTTTAAAAGCTTCTCATTACTTCCACCCGGATCGTTTGATGGAGACACTTAAGTAGTCTCTGCTTTTAATTTTCCATAAATCATAATCCAGTTAATACCATTTAAATGACATGGAAACACTTATAGTTTGTTACATAACACTGACACATGTTTTCGGACAAATTATCCTTGTCGTCTCGTAAAGAAACAATTCCGGGTTCATGTTACATAGAAATATTTGCCGTCGGACGAGACAGAGAATAAAATATCGAAATTTAATGCTTACCACTGTTAGGCGACATTGGAGGTGTTGTTTTTCCATACTGAGGCGGCAGTAAATCCACCACATGAAGTTGTTCTCTCTGCATTGCATCGAGGTTATAATTTCGAAATCCTTGCATTTTGATTATATTTTATCTTTCTTGTTCTTTTAATTAAATAATCTAATATTTATCTTAGTATAAAAATGTTCTTATTAATACTTTCAAAGCACAAAACACATTAAATGAATCTTTCTTTCTTTTTTTTCCACCTTTTTTTTACTTTTGGTTGGAAGACACGACAAACTTACAAACGTAAACAGTAAATTGAAATAACCAGTTTGTCAGCTTTAACACTCAGTTTTATATGGATTTGAAGCAAGGGGCGTAGCTTAAAAGATAAGAGAGAGAACTCAATGTTCATGAGTTAAACAAACATACAACAAGCCAATAAGAACGACGCATTTGGAATAATCATGCTTTCAACCATTTCCATTTAGTCGTTTATAGGGAGATAATCGATTTTCTGGTATTTCCACAATGAGATTTTCCCTGAAATCCACACAAACATCTTCTTTTGTTTATGTGTATGTATAAAGCTTAAATTTTCTCGTTAAATATTTATAGCGATGTGTTCGCGTTATATTATTATGAGAATCTTCTGTTTCACAAGAGACGTTTTCCCAAATTGAGATTTTTCGTGAGCGGAAAAGTGATGAAAACACTTTAATAATTGGGGTTTTATCATCGTTATTAGAGCAAACTTTTATTATTACTGTTGTTTTATACATAATTCAACATTATCAAGCATTTTATATTCTTCACATTGAATTGCGAATAAAAGTTCTTCTTGTGTCTCTAGATGGATGAATATATAGAGAATGAAGACTCTTAAAAGCACTTTTCTTAGTCATTTCTTTCGTTCTTTCTTCTTCTTCATAGACATCCATCCTTTCATGATATTCTCGTTCAGGTCACGAGTATATGAAGGAATTATAATCCAATTAAAATTTCAGACTGTAACGCCTCGCTCGCTGATCTTTACGATGCAAAAAATTTATTTGTTCTGCAAATTGGATTAAACTGTTCGTGCTGTAAAATAAATAAAAGATTATAATGTGCAATAACGACCTTGTAGGGAATGGAAAAGCGTTTATTTCATTCCTTAAATGGCTTTATTGTTATACGACTTGATGACGGGAACTTTTATTGCATATCTTTTCGAGTCAGAAACTTTTCAGTTTTCTTTTCCTTTTCTCAGCAATTTACAATTTTGAGTTCCTTTGAAAGGTTCTCTTCTTCTCAGCTGAAAAACTTCACAGACAGTAATACAAAAGCAAGTTTATTGTGCTACCGAAATTGTTGGTTAAACACGAGAAAAGAAAACCTCACAAAGTGAAGTTAGAAAACCATTTCGGTTCGTAAAACATGATGGAATCGATCAGTCATGGCATTGAAATTTTTCCTTACAACTTCATTTGCAACCTCAGAGAAAACCAAATAGAAGCAGAATGAAATATATGACTTCGAGCAACGATTGATGTTCCAAGAAAAATGAATCTATCGGCTGTTTTAAAGGAATTGAGGTTTAAGCTTCATTATACTTATTTGCTTCTTAAATATCTTTCTTCTTGTTTCACATTTTTCTTTTTAACATCAGTGTCACTCTCGATGTTATTAAGAAATATTGTGAATGCTTATTTTCAATTCTACAATCTAAATGAATAAAAATGTCTCGCGTTAAAATGATTAAACATCAAGACAAAACAACTAACAAGTCTAATGATTGAAATTTGAACATTTTATCTTTACTCTATTTAAATTCGTGTTATAAATATTTGTTGAAATATTTTGTCACGAGATTCATCAAGCAACTTCATTTCTTGTTGTTTTTCAGAACGTTTCAACATACCTAGGATCATCAAAAATTTTAAACCCTCTCAACTAAGTAGATAGACGATTATTCATGTAAAAGGACAAATCTACCAAACAGTTTTACGATGTTCCATCATAATTCAGAGTAAAAATAATTTGAGCAATTTCTACTTATGATAGAATAATATTTAGGGCTTCCTCATAAACAGTATTGTAAACTTTAACTCTAACTTATTCCTTTTTCTTTCTTTTACAAAGGATTTATTTTATTTGGTCAAATATTCTTTTTTTCCTTCAATCTTACCCTAAGGTAAATTTTTGACGTTTTAGAAAACTGTTTATTGACTTATATTCCATCATAATGAGTACAAAAGCAAGTTGTTGACCATTAAGCGAAACAGAAGTAGTTGTGGAGATTTCTCCTTAATGTTTGTTACAAATTTGTAATGAAACTTTTGATGAGAAATGTTTCAATAGGAATATCTCAAAGTTATGCTTTAGAAGTATATAAAAAGAAACTTTACACATAAAATAAGAATATAATTAATGTAAAATTATCTATCCAGCTATAAAACTAAATGATTTCATGAAAATGTATTAAAAACTTTTGCAATCTTTCAAACATATTTTTCGAAAACATTTGATAATCAATTTTATGTTCAATTATGCTGAAGAAATGAATATTTTGTTAAAGGCAAAAATTCCAAGCACTCAATAAAAGTTTATGATGGTGTCAAAGTTTTCCTTTAACCAACTCTTAACGCTTTTATGCTTTCAATAAATATTTTTCTACTATCTTTTGCAAAACATTTGTCTTTCTCGACTTTTTTTTTCTAAGAACGTTCAATAGAAAATTTTCACTGCTTTGAATGAGAAAGGCTCAGAGAAAGGAGTCAATATAATAATCATAAACGTTTCCTTACCTAAAAGTCCTTGGAAAATTTATTATTTACAGTTAAGAATATTTCTTAATATGGTTATCAGATCTTGAAGATTAACTGCGACAAATATTTTCCAATACTTCTTAACACTCATCATACAAATTATCTTTAATTTCGCACAAATCGCATTTTGTTGAAGTGTCACTAATTGTTTCTAAAGCGTTAAAGAAAATATTTTAGTCAAAAGTCACATCTTTTGCCTACTTAAGGTCATAATTTACAAATTTGTATCGATGTGCTTCCAAAAGTCACCGATATGGTCTATGTGTTAAGCCACAGGAAATTTAGTAGCTGCTAGCAATCTATAAATCACCATCAAGCATTCACTGTTTGGACGTTCTCGAAGAAGGCGCAAAAAATTTGAATCCTGCTGTGCAAATTCTATGTTTATGACAACATATTTAAGCGTAAATTAAAATATGTTCGGTGCTACCTGCTTTTCAACTGAATAGGACAAGTTAAAAAAATTACTTTTGAAAAATAAATTCAGAAGATACATGTATGAGCTGTCAAAATGATAAATATCACGATACAAATATTTAATTATAAGCTGATTTTAAAAATTGTCATTAATTAAACTTTCAAGAACGATTACAAAAGTTTCTTAACACACCATTCGCTAGGACTGCTAACGCCATCTATTTTCTTAGTCAAGACACATCTTACAATTTAAACTTCAAAAAGTCGATATTTTTCAGTCTAATTTCCTTCAACGATAAAAATGACAACAAAGTGGGGAAATGGAGTAAATTCCAAACCACTTTAAATAAAAATTGGATTTTATTAAGAAAACGATTAAGATGCAAAGAAAATCAGACAAATGAATTGATTTGAAATCTTTGTCTCTTTTATTTGCCTCAGGCTTGTTTCCATCAATAGACACTTGTTATGTTTATCTGATAAATATTGAGGCTTATGAAGGAGATTGAAGTTGAATTGGATTAGATTAGACATGACAATCTCTCTCACTGAAGATAAATACTGAAAGCTTTTTGTAAATCACATTAGAAAAATATTTTTTATGAAATTTTCAGCTCTCCCGTCATCTTGGTGATCAACAATTACAGCGAAACTACATAAATCACGAGAATAAATGTTTGAATCATTGATTCATTTAATTGAAGGGAATAAGATTGGAAATGGATTAATTTCATTGTCAACGTGATTTCTAATTGGCGTGGGAGGTCTACAAAGAAAAGACACGTTTATTAGAAGCCTTAAAAGTTTCTTAAGAACTTGCCTTGGATCCTTTTCAGTACATCCTAAAAGCCAATATGTTGTCACAGTCCCCTTTCCTTTCAATTCAATATCTCCACGCAGTTCTATTCTGAATGTTCCAAATTTCTCAAATATTTCTTTGCTAGCTTTGGAAACTTGAATTTTCAAAGGTTCTCCCGTTGATTCCAAGCGACTCGCAGTGTTGACTGTATCACCAAAGAGACAATATCGAGGCATCTTCTGACCAACAACAGCAGCACAAACTGACCCAGAGTTTATTCCAATTCGAATCATCAATTTATATTCTGGGTTGTGTTTGATTACGAAGCTTTTGACAGCATCCAGAATAGCTAAAGACATCAAACCAATCTCTCGAACGTGATCATCACCATTTCTTTCGGGCAGACCTGAAACACACATGTAAGCATCTCCAATGGTCTCCACTTTATAAACATCATAAAATCCAATAATTCTATCAAAACAGCTGTAAAGATCATTGAGAAAGTCAACAACTTGAAGTGGGGTTGACTGCGAACAAAGTTTTGTGAAGCCAACAATGTCAGAAAAATAAATTGTGACACTTTCGAATTGTTCTGGTTGAACCATTTCACCACTTAACAATGTTGTGGCAACGGGACGAGGAAGAACTTGATACAAAAGTTCTTCCGTTCTTCGTTTTTCCATACTCAACTGTTCAGTCTTTTCCTCGACTAAACTTTCCAAATTGTTTGCATATTGTTCCATTCGACGAAGTAAATCATCCATGAGATTCTCACAAAATCCCCTTGGAATTAAATGAAAGAAAAATAAAAGGAAGTGAATTTAATTAAAAACAAATCTCACTTCATTATGCATCCAACAGTTGTTCGAATGTTTGCAAAACTCGGCCTTTCATCTGGATTGTCATGCCAACATTTTTCCATTAAATCTAAGAGCTCCGGTGGACAATCACGTTCTCCAACATTCGGACGAAAAGGTGGATTCTCATGTGAAGCAACGCGATCTAAAATGACTGTGACATTCATATATTGTCTTGCCGATTGGTATGGACCACCTCGAACGACAATCTCTTCTAGAATTATCGCAAAAGCATAAACATCGCCTTTTTGTGTTGCTGGGATTCCTGGAATGATGACAACCGGAAGAAGTTCTGGCGCAATCCAAAGTAATTCTGTAAATTTAAAATTTAGAAAATTTTAAAAAAAATAAAAAAATTCCAACTCAACTGTTGTAATAATTTTGGTCTTTAACAAATTCTGATGGCGTTCCCAAAGTCTTAAGCCCAAAGTCAGAGATTTTCAACACAAATCTACCATCAATCAGACAATTTCCTGACCTAAGCTTTCCATGAATGTTAACGTCGCTGTTATGTAAATAAGCCATTCCCTTAACCAAGTCATGGATTAATGACATACGAAAATTCCAATCAAGTTGAATGGCTTCATTTTCGAGAACATCTTTGAGAGTTTTAGGACAATATTCAGTCAAAATAAGAACATAAGGGCGAGGTAAATCAATACAAGCGCCTATAAATTTCACAGTATTCTCGTGACTGACATCTCGTGTTTTCTTTATTTCCCATAAAAGTGTAGAATTGACTTCCACCTTCAACAAAAAAAAAAAAGTAATTTAAATATTTGCAAAATAAATATTTATTGTTCACCTCAGCTGTCAATTAGAATTTAACGACTTGACTCACCTTTTTCTTTAAAATTTTCTTAATCGCGACTCTCTCGCCTTTGTAAACGCCAACAGTTGTAACCATTTGTGATGGTGCTGTACTTCCGCCACTTATAATCGAACCTCGACGGGAGCTTACAACGAATTGTGTCAGGGAAAAGTTCTCGTAATTTAACTTATGAAGTCCAATTTTTGATCCGAAAAGCTTTCCCACTTCGATTAAAACTTCTTCTGGTTTTATTCTCCATGCCATGTTATGGATACTGTTCAGTTGCATTCGTTTACTGTTATAACTCGAATGATTTTTAATGAATGACTGATAAAATTGATAGAGAGAAAACTTACTTGTAAAGTAAATAACATAAAGACGAGATGAATGCAAAAGCTAGAAAACCATATAAGATGATTGTTTCTGTTGAAGAAAGAAGTTTAATTAAATTCGATTTTAAAACTTAGAATTTTTGCTACCATTCGTATGACAATTTGGATCGTTTCCAAGGAATCCACATTTTGGTACATCAGGTGGTGGTCCATCATGAGATCCAGGCCAATGAATATCTAAATATTTAAATTTTACAATAATTTTTGAGTAAGAACAACAACAGATGCTTACGTTTGTTGGGAACAGCTACTAAGCTTCTGAAATATTAAAATCCGAATGAGAAATTGTGGGAGAATAAACAAAAATATCGATTGACAACCTGTTGGATCCGTAGTAATGTGAAACAACTTCAAAACGACCTGTCACTGGATCCAAGTCCAAAAGTGAATAATCAGCATCTCGATCGCCATTGTCATCGATTCGAACCATTCCGGTTATCCCTTAAGGAATCGTAAATTGAAAACAAAATAAATCACGTCAGAGCAGAGTAAGGAAAGTTGGTGACAAAATGTCTGTTTGATTATGTGATTTTCTTCAATTTCACTGGATTAGCTACTTGAATCTATTCAACAAGTGGTTCTATTAAATTACTTTAACTGTTCTTTATAAATTTCTTTACTTTCTTAAATCATTTGAAAGCTTTTGTAAGTTCTAAGAATCCATTTGATGATTTGATCTGAATCAAAACAAAGATATTTTTAGCTTCAAATCGCTAATCAGTTCATCATTCGAAACATGATTTCAAATGGATTTATAAATTGAGGAAAGAGTAAACAAAACAAGAAATCTCTATCGAAGGAAAACAAGTGAATTGTGTTTGTTTTTCTCTTCCAAGTAAGTGTTCTTTACTCATCCCTTACTTTAAAGGAAGTAAGCGTGGAATATTAAATTAAATTGAGCTCTTGCTTAGAATAATAAAGCAGAAAAAATTCATAAAACTTATAAAAATCTAAACAAGATTTTGCAACCTTCCAAATGCAATCATTCTTGTTTTGAATATTTAAAGAAAATATTTAAGCTCACCTTGAAATTTTCGATTCCACCTTTGAACAACATGAAAGAAGAAGAATTGAAGAAGAAGATTCATGATTAAAAAATTTTCAATTTGATATGAAAAATTATAACTCACATTTTCTTTGTGATTGCTTCTCCATCACGCAAATCGCCACCTTCGCTAAGCGTTTCATTTAAAGCCATTCCAAGTAGTAAAACGCCATCATAGAAAGCACCAATGAAAAAATTTACCTTGACAATAAAAGAAGGAAAGAAATATTCTCAAGTTGAGACGATAAATGAATTCGAACTTTAACTCACTTCTTCGCCTTCAAAAAAGTGATAATCATATTTTTCCGCTGCAATTTTCCTCACAATTTCGGAGAAATTATTAAATTTGGGACTCGTTGGTTGAAGTAGAGAAACTCTTAAGAGAGCTTCAAAAGCTTTTCGTGCTGTTAAATCATTATCATCATCTATCAAACGACAATTAAATTAATTAGTTTGTGCTTAGATCTGTAATGATTTACCTTCTTCCCAACTGTGATCACCCCAATAAGAGCTCTGAAGATGGAAAACATAAAATTGATTAAAAAAAGGATGCGAAAAGATTCAATCATGCGACATTCATCGACTAACTTCTTTTCATTTGTCTCTCACCTGAAATATTTCAACATCGAGGAAAACCCATTCTCCATTCGTCATGCCAAGTTGATGTGCAGCTAACATAAATTTCCTGACCTGATACAAATAGTCTTAATTAAAATGATTAATTACAATGGTGTAGAGTTACGATTGTTGCTTACAAGTCTCCCTCGTACAGATAAAATCACAACTCGAGCATGTATTGAAGCATCTTGCAGATATGATTTCATTTCTTTTATTTGTCTATCATTCTCTGATGAGTTTACTTTATCATCATATAAAAGTTCATTACCATCAAGTTCGCTTACGAACTTCAATAAACCATTTTCCTTCAGTCCATATTCTAAATTCTTTCCTACCGTAAGCGAGAATAAATCAGATCTATCGAGTAACAGTGCAACGTGTTTGAAACCAAACTCCTTGAAGATGCTGGCAAAAACGAGCTTCAAACGACATTGACAAAAACTTGATCGTGTCAAAGTTGAATATCTTGATTTGTCCTTGAAAAACTGAAATGAAGAATTTTGCACTCGTATCATTCGAGAAATTTTAATCAAATTGTGTCTATTGTCGTCACAATCATTTTCCACTTCATTAACTTTTACGACAGCATTTTTATTCAAATAAATGCTTTTCTCTTTTTGTGATTTCCTGAATGTGAAACATATTTAGACATTATGCTAAACGTTATCTTACCGAACTTTCATTTTTCCACTTGTGTGTTATTCGACCAAGAATTCCGCTTGTGACTGAAAGTTCTCCTTCTGCTGGTGGCTGAATATTGAAAATGAAAAGAAGAAAAATATCTTCTAATTAATGATATCATTAAAGTTTTGTGTTTTCGAGTCATTTAAAAACTCTTTATCTGAGATTAGAAATTTTATTTAAAAATTTTATATTGAACGAGAAGTTGACGGGAAATTTTCTTTGTCTTTAACATCAACTAGCACGAAGATATTTAAATGTAGAATGGAATAAGATAAACTGAATAATTATTATTCTTCAACATAACAATAAGTAGAAGGAAGTAAGTGCAAGTCATTATTGTGATTAATTATGCTGAAGCATTTCAGTGATGTTTGTTTTAAGTTGTGATTAGACTGAATCGTTCCATGGAGAATTCATCATCAAAATAAAAATCAGCAGTTGGCATGAACATTTTATGACAACATTTTTAATACCCAGCAGAGCTTTGTTTGTTTGGAAATCATCATAGCAAGTTACTATCAGAGTTGGGATTTGACTGACTGACTGACAGACATTGACTTGTCAGTCAGTCATTCAAACGACTTGAGCGGAACATTTATATGAACGTGTCCCAACAAGCGAATATTTTTGTTCGCGATTTTGACTGACTGACTGACTGACTGAAAGACATTGACATGTCAGTCAGTCAGTCAATCGAGTTGAACGGAACATTTGCCCATCTCTGGTTACTATGTTGCATTCTTAGTTATTGTGACCATTTACATGACACGAACTGCATGAAAGAAATTCAAGATGAAAATTATGCAACTGTCATAAACCTTGACATGAAAGTTGGATCAAATGACTTGAGTAAACAATTTTATCTTTTAATTAGCATTTTTCCTATGAAATTATCATTTTAATCTGAGCTCTTTCGTAGTTCAATTCAATGGGGGATGAAATTCATTTGAAAAGGAAGAACTTTCAATGAAAATTCATTTTGTTAATGCAGAACGAGACAAGATAGAAAGATTTCCTTACCTGATCACCCATTCCAGTGATAATTGGCGTGTTCCAATAAGCTGCGAGTCTAGCAACTGGTTCCAAAGCAAAAGCGCATGCTGGTCCGATAAATGCTATAACGTCATCATTGAAATGCATGTCTGCAGCTAATCCCGGAGAATGACTTCCAGAACAAATTGGATAGCTGTTTGATAGCGAAAAAATAGAAATTTGTTTGCAGATTATTAAGTTTCTTAGTGAACTTTCATCATTTCCCCCAGATATGATTTTATGCTAATAAATATAATAAATTGAATAATTCTTAAAGAAAGAAATGTTTCCGAGAATATTCTAGGAAAGTTTCCATATCAAAACGACAAGCACAACAATTTGAATTGCTGATTTTTCATAGAGTGGGGACTTATGTAAAGAGGATATTCTCGAGAGAAATTCGTTACACACAAAGACAAAAAAAGCTTATGAATATTATTTTCATTGCGCACAGAAGTCTTGTTGTGTATTGTTTCATTTTATATCCAAAGGACGCGAAAGCACAAGGGTGACAAAAATGAAATTATGCAATTTGAATGATTCTTTATTAGATGTTTAGATAGTCTTTAACTGTTGATCTATTGAAATTAAGATTCAGAATTGGATTTGGAAAAGAGGTTTTGGATTAAGTCAGTGCTATTTGTTAAAATTTTCATGAAATTTTCATTGTTTCCAAACTCAATCATGAAAAGAACTTTCAAAGTTAAAGTATACTCAAAAATAAATCCAATAACAATGTTAACACATTTCTATTTAAATAAATATTACGATGTCGTCGAAACAATATAATTGATTACACTTCCATTCGTTGTTAAAGCACAATTAATTATGTTGATGTTCACATTGTACCATTAGGTTTTTATTTGTTAATAATATGTTTGCAGATTATGAACATTTCTCTCACACTTTCGAACATTTTCTCAATTTTTTCCATATTGACAAACAGAATCCATGTTAAATGAATATTCATTGATCAATAATATGGCAGGAAATTTGTTTTCGATAAACAGCAGGAGACTGACGACGTTTTATTTCTTCCTGCAGCCGAAACATAAAAGTTGAAGTGAAATTTTCAATTTCCTTATTCAAACAACAATCAATCTTTAAACTTCAAACTCATTGAGGATTACACTGAAAATTACCTTGCTTGAACTTTAACTAAATAAATCTTGTGACGGTCAAGAAATTCCCTATTGACACGTTCAAGACCTAAATCGATTGCTGGTCCGCATCTTTCAAGGTCAAAGGGCGAATCTATTCGGGAAAAAAGAAAAACATGAAATTATTATCAATATTTAGTCTAATCAGGGAGAATTTTAGCTTCCAAAGTAAACTTAAATTGTTATTTGAGTAAAACTGTATCCGTTGAATTAACACAGTGCAAAATAAACTTGGCATGCTTTCATTGTTTATCTATGTAAATAGAAAAAACTGTTCTTGACAGTTGCCATCGATCCCAGCACGTAATAAAAGAAGAAAAAAGTTAAAACTTTTACCAAGGAACGCTATCAATCTTTTCCAGATTCTTATTCATAAAAAACTTATTTATTTTTCTTATATGTCTTATATAAAAGTCGAAACGTTGCTAATTGTTACTTACTTAAATGCGATGCCATTAACACTCCGATATTGTAGATTTTGTACTATTGTAAAGGTGAATTCAGAAAAAGTTGAGTAAAGTTAAAATTTTAGAAAGATAATTTGAAACATTTAAAATCATAAGTCAAAGGTTGAAATCAAAATTTGAATGTTTCTTACTCCTTCTCGTTCCTTTTGCTGAACTATTAAATTTGGATAATCTAGAGAGTCTTCTAAATCACTTTCGTTTAATTTCTTTTTTGATCCAATTTCAAATCCGCTACCATTCCACATTTGAAGTATTGTTAATCTTACAAAAAACGTAATTAACAGTACAATTTTCAATAATTTGGAATCCATATTGTGTTCTTAGCTAAATATGTTTCAATGTTGATTTATTTAATATGTCCAAGTGAAAACTTCTTCTAAAAGAGTTCTTCTAATATTTACGATAGCTTTTATTTCAATGATATGTTCACAAAATTTATTTTTCACCTTTGCTTAAATATTTTTATTTACTTTTCCAATCAATTTTTAATACGAGATATTTTTTAATGTTTGCTTTTGGTCTTCTTTTTTTCTTTCTATTTTTAGCTTTGTCTAATTTAAGAATCAACATTCAACAGGTTTTGTTTTTACATTTTTCGCCCTCGTGTTTTATTCAAGTAAATAAATGGTTAGAAATGAATGAGCTTTAACAAAGCTTTAAGCTGCCACAAGGAAAATCGGAAAATTGTATAAAAAATTCAGCACGTTAACTTTTTAATTTATCATGAGATTCTGTAATTTTTCAACTGATTATGTTTGTTTCTGGAACAAACCTTCTGAATTATAAATAATTTTTATATTTCTATATCAAATTTAATCAACTTTCGATGCCGATATGAAGAGTTCGCGTTTTTCTTGTTAAGACGTTCAATCACTGACTGAAAGTTTTTCTCGAATCAACAGCTTATTTTATAGTATCTTGGAAAGCTTTCTCTGAGAGATTCTCAAGAGTTTTCTTCACATTTTCTCAGATCAAATGATAACGTTGAATGAAAGCACGTGGAAGCATTGAGAAGTCGGAGAGTTTTAATTTTCTTATTCTCTGTTTTGCCAATTGTGTAAACGTTATCTTCTTGCTAAATAAAGTATCTCTTAACATGTGGCATCTGAGAATTTAATATCAGTTTCCAACTACCTACCTATATGGAGAAATTAATTTTTAAATAGAACTCTTTTCGAAGCTGTTTCCAATATAAAATCATTTTTATTTTATTTCATTGATTTTTCTATAAATAAACATTAATTCTTAAACATCTTCTACTAAAATGAGAAGTTAAGAATCATAAAAATAAACTATAAAAACCCATCAGTTCGTCCATCTGTCTATCTACCAAACACCAAAATAAAATCTATAATGTTTTTGTCAACAAGAATTCCAGTCAGGCGTATTTAAAAGATAATCAAACAGTTATAAGGTGTAAACTTGGTCTTTATTGTTTTAATATAATTCATGTTTAACAAATTAAATTCGATATTGCTGACGATTTGAAAAATCTTAACATAATTTACTTGTGTGAGAAATAAATTAATGAAAATGTGACTGGGATCTAAAAATTTAGCTATGCTAAAGTGAAAATTATCTGCCATGAAATTGTGGTGCCCTTTCTTCATCAGTAAATTTAATTTATTTTCATATTTTCTACTGCATAAATTTCCCCTTTAAAAATGTTTGAAAGTCTTAGAGAAATAATCAGAAACGTTTGAGAATCTCAATGAATCAAACTTTTAAGTATAAGTGGATGTGCTTATGAATTTCGCGATTCGATTTGAAATGTGAATGCTCAGATAGAAAGATCAATTGAAAAAATTACTTAAAAATTTTGAAACGGAAAATCAAAAATTAACATTAATTTTAAACAAAAAGTAGATAATCAGATTTAATTTAAATTTATTTTTTCAATTATCCAAATGAATTTTATTTGTAATTCAACCCAATTCAGAAAAGATAAGAAATTCAATATTTCCACTTAAATTAAAAAAGCTTTTAAGCATGAGAATTTGGAGATTATTTCAAACCTTCATGAGTAAGAACAAGACAGGGTGAATTAATTTAAATTATAAATTAGAACAAAGTTAATTAGACAGATGACTTAAATGAATTGACTGATTTATTGTTGAGTTATTAAGAACAAGGAAGTGTCTGCCTAAGTTGTTAAATGTTTAATTAAGTCAAAACAGTAACACTTTTATTCATAAATTTCATTAAGCGACTGACGTGATGCTTCAAAAAAATTCTATGTTGAGTCGAGAATAAATTCTTTTTGTTGTTTAGAAGAAGACTTACAGGAAAATATATGAACTTTTAATATTTCATCACATTACCGGAGTTTTTTTTTAATATTCTTAATCTTCTTCTAAATCATAAATAAATATTTTATTACGCTCTAAATTAAAACTTACATTTCTAATTCTTTTTTTACTATTTTTCAATAACTCATATAACTTACTTCCATAAGCTATACCAATTATTGTATATAAACTTAAATTTAAATAATTCTTCATTCTCATTCTCCCAATTTTTTTATTTTTTTAACGCACTCTCACCTTTTTCTAACCCAAAAGATCTCGAACTCTTGAGTTAAAAATGTTACACTTCAAAAGGGAACTGAGATTATTCTTTGATTACCTATATTAAATTTCGTACAAATTGCTAAATCTTTGATTTCTGCGATTTTAATCGATGCATTTGATCAATTTTTAAATTACCTAAATATGACTTTGTTGGCCTTTTCGAACCTGAGTAAGGTAAGTATGAAAGTTAACAGTCGATTAATTTTTATAATTACTAAAATTATTAAATATTTTGTAGAAAATGTTGACAATTTTAATTTCATCGATTCATCGATATTGAAACAATTTCAACGAGAAAACATTTCCATAAAAAAAATTCAAAAAGAAATTCTTGACTTCGATGACGAAGGTGAAACTGAATAAATTTAATCGTCTCATACAAGTGAATGCTGTTCTACAATGAATGAATGAGTCTTGCTAGTCATGTCGATTGTTGTAAGTCTCATGTAAATAACAGCAATTAGCAATCATTCGATGATCACTGAAGCGCGCACCGAGATTTCTCATACATTACGAGTAGTTCTAACTAGAACATGACCGATTTCATATTATGTAATATGTAAACGAATGTTTAAATTAAACATTATTAAATAATTTAATATCTATTGTTTTCATGAGTCACTGTCAGGTTCTCAAGCAACAGAGATGGATTCAAGTAGACGTTGCATTTGAAAGAACATTAGCGATACAAGACACAAATTTACATACTTTAATGTTCACGAAAAACTTCTTTGGATCTTGCGACTCTCCAAAAAAGAATCAACTAGACAACAAATATTCATTTTAATTTATATTTCCCATCGTATATAGTATCGTGAGATTTTTTGCTAGCGATAAACGAATAGAATTCAATTAACAAAATAATCTCTTTATGTGGTTGATGTTTGCAAGTATAAAAAAGACGCGGCTTGGTGGTTTCTTGATCAGTTCACGTGTATATCTTGATTGAAAAAGATAAGAAAAGTCAAAAGTTCATCATGAAAATCGTAAGTGAAAGGAAAAGTTGTGATTGTCGTGATTAAACATGAATATTTAATTATTTTTCATGCAGACAATATTCTTTGTAATGTTCAGCATTATTGCCATTGTCTCGGCATTACCTGCCCCAGCACCGCTTCCAAAAGAAGAAAGAGTCGATGCTAATGACGACGTTGAATTATTGAAAGACAGCGATGGAAGTGACAAAGATTTGAAAGGATCTGAATCAGCTTATTACGGATATTACAGCGGTTACCCCTACGGCGGTTATTCCAGTTACTATTATCCAAGCTATTATTCAAGTGTCTACCATACTTCTCCTTATTATTCCGTCTCTTATCGTCCCTACAGCTACTGGTGGTAAACCAAAAATCACTGAATTAGACGAACGTTTCTAATTTTTATTGTGATTAAATTGTTATTTTTTGCAAAAATAAAAAATATTTTATAATGAAATGAGAACTGTTGCACATCTGTGAAGCCATCTGTGGAAAAACATCTGAAATCAAAGTGTCGGATAACTAAGAACCTTGACTTCAAGTGTCTGCACGCGGTCAAAGACACGCGTCATGCAAAATGTTTGACGCGTGTCGACAATTTAAAGATATTAAAGAGACAAAGTAACTCTTAGTTGAAGTAAATGATCCTAATTAAATAATCATCTCAATTGCACAATTACGTTCTTAAGCAAATGTTTAATATTAGCTCAGGTGGTCAATGAAACTAGTTTTGGTTTTCCCAACGGATTGTTTTAACGAGTATCGCATTGTTAATTACACACACAAAATAACTTCATTAAAATTGTTTTTAGTAAAGAAAATCATGCATGAAAATCGTTTTCCTTTTCCTTTTACCTTCATTGCGTTATTTAAAAGAATCATAAAGTCGAACACGATCAAGAGGGTGAAGGGGGAGAGAAAAGATTGTTAACAACACCTGTTTGCTTTGGGACAAGCCACAACGAATCGACCAACTACTAAGAACACAAAACAGAAAACATGAAGCCAGGAAGTGTAGTTGAAGTGATTCGAAATCAATTAGGAAACATTCCCTACCTCGAGGGTAAATTTATGTTTATTCTCTCAATCTCGATTCATCTCGATTATTCATGACCAGCAAAGCAGACACGGTGAATGAAAATCGAATCTCATTTCATGGGATAATCTGTAAGAGAATAGTTTTTAAAACCAGCGTGAAAATTGTAAAAATATTTCAAAGAGAAACGAGAAAAAATTAATTCTAGCGTGTCGTCATTTGTTCAATGATCCCAAAGTTATAATCTAAATAAACAAAATGCCTCATCAAACGAGAAGTGAATTAGAAATTCAATGCTTGCAATTATCATTTTTTTAACATGTTATCTTTGTCAAGTACCCGAAGCTAAACTTGTTTGATGTGTTACAAAGAGGGATGAAAGAATTCTTGCCTATCAAACCCTCACAAGGCGAAAATAGATTTCTTTTTCCATTTATTTCACTATAATTCATATTCATGACATAGTTTTTAAAAACGGATAAATTTGCGATAGTAAAAGGGATGAAGAAACAATCATGAAATCAAATTAAAAGACCCGGAATCAGTTGTTAGTTGAATATCAACGATTCTCCTAAGTTCGCTACCGCTTTTATCGCGTCTTTGTTCTCTCTTTTGATTCATCAGAATTGAATTGGAAAGGAAAAAAACTGAAATAAAATAAAAATCCATCAAGTTGCTGCAGATGCAGTCGAGAAAAGTTTTCATTCAGATCCCTTCTCGGGTGTTGCGACAGCACTTTCATCTTGTTAGCGATTGGTCTCGTAATGCCTGCTTACAACCCCTGAGGGCAAAATTATTTATGGGGTGCCTCAAACAACAGCGCATAAATATCAACGAGGGTTGACTTGATTTCACCGTGCTCGTGATATATTTGCTGGTTGTTAGTTGGCCCTTCGCAAAAGTAAACATGTTCAGTTGGTCGGCAGTTGGTGCGCGGAAAGGATCGCATCACACAATTCTCGTAAATATTATTTTTACACCGGTTTAAAGTTCATTGCAGTTGATTTTAAAATAATTTGTCAAAGGATTACGCGCGAGTTAGATCATAATAATAAAGGATTATTTAAAGTTAAATCATTTAAATGATGTTAGGAAAGTGCAACAATAGTTTTTATGATGATTCGTCATATGAATTTGACGACACCTCATCTTTAGACAGTGGAATTGAAAGAAGTTACGAGTCAAATGATTTATCATTTTCGTCTCTTAAGCCTCGAAAATTGAACTTCGATGAAGGATACACAGAAACAAGGACAAGAAAAAGACATTATAAGAATTCGAGAGTGACAATTGAAGAATTTAAAGAATTAGAAAAAGAATTTCAACCGAACACCGAAGCACAAACATCGACACCATTGAAAGCAAAGCGCAAATATGCTCAAGGAAAATCGCGAATTTCGCGATCGCAAAGTCCAACACAGATTATGAAGATAAGAAAATATCGACGAATTAAAGCAAATGATCGGGAAAGAAATCGAATGCATAGTCTCAATGAAGCTTTAGGTGAGTTTTAAATAAGATTTTGAATGAATGAATGAAATTATTTTGAATATTCTCATTAGAACGTCTCCGACTAACTCTACCAACATTTCCTGAAGACACAAAGCTAACAAAAATTGAGACATTAAGATTCGCTCATAATTATATCTTTGCTTTGAGTCAAATTGTTGAATGTGGTTATAGCATGAAAACATTTGACCTCGAAAAGCTTCAAAGTTTAACATTGAGTGGCGAGAAGATAACGAAGGAAATATTCGAAGCACTTTTCCTTAATCAATCGCCCTTTTATTTCTCGAATCAACCTGGAATGATTTATCCATTCGATTACAACACACCCACGCCATATGTAGAGGAACAGGGAATCGTTCCATATCAGCAACGAAGTGGAGATAACGTCAACATGAGAAACTACGAAATATTTCGAGGAGCCTTCGAGTCAGCAGCAAACTGCAGTAAAAGTGCAACAACGGAGATGCAAAATGATTATCAATATTGTGAGAATCGATATTACCAAGGACAAAGTTACTTTCAAGGTTTTTAATTAAATTCATTTATTTGAAATGTAAACTGAACATGAGGAAGGAAAATCGTGAGATGACTTTATTGATAAGAAAATTGAAACAAACGGTTTTGCATTAATGTTGCATAATTAAAATATTTCTACTGTTGACTTAAAACGACGCTTTTTAAGCATATAAAATGATTGAAGGCCTTGACTTAACTCAATGGTAATGTTTTGTTTGTTTCTCATTTACATCAAAATTGTCATCTCATGCTAAAATTATAAATATTCATGAAACAAATCATCAATGTTTGCGATTAAAAAATTCTCGAGAAAATGATTTTCTAACCGCAAGCTCCCTGACTAAGAAGATTTGTTTCTTGAAGCACTTTGTAATTCATCAATCTAATGCAATTGAGCGTAATTTAGGGAAGCAACCCGTAATTTACAAAAAACAATCACCGTCTAGTCTGAGATCTTATAAAGTTAACGCAATCTCTCAATCAATGTTTTCTTTTTTCTTCTTCTCATTTATACAATTAAATTTATTGTAATTCAAACAAATGAAAACGAAAGTCTAATAAAGATTTTATTTACATTAACTTTAAGCTTTTTTCCTATTCATTTGTTTGCGTTTTTTTGTTTGATATAAAGAAGGGATTTTGGCTAACAATACAAATTTATGATGATTTTAATGTGCTCGCACTAGCACCAGCAGCAACAACATTGCATTCTTCGGGGTCTTTAAATCGCTTTCCCTTTTTCATACAACAATGCACATTTTATTCAATAATTTTAGATTTTCTCTCTTTTATGTAACGTTTTAGGGCTGACAGGAAACAAAAGAGTTTGCTTTATTCAACACCTGTCCCTTAAAGATCGTTACAAACGTCACAATCAATGGCGAAAATATCTTTAAAACGTTTTTTATTGCAATTTTTTTGGTTCATTCAACTATTTCCTTATTTATTGTGCTGAAAGTTACGGGAAGAAATTTTATTTGTGCATTTCAAATCAATCGTTTCCAGTTATTACTCAATTCACACATGTGTCAATTGCCTTTGCACTTTATCATGTTTTCGTGATAAGTGCAACGAATTTATAAAATTGATTTGACTTTCATGGCAAATTTCTCGTACATTTGTTCATGTGTTTAATCCTTTCAAACTTTTTTATGGTGATTGATTTTCTAAAAGGCAGTATCTACATTTAATATTTATTGTGTTATGCTCGACTTTTTAGTTTAATAGCTAGGAACAAAATATTTGAATTAATCTTGATCATATTTTTAACAACGAAACTTTAAAATAATGAATTTCTGAGATCGTTATCATTATTCAATTGAGATTTAAAATTCATTTGTTGAATTGTATAAAAATATGATTGATAAAAATGATTTATTAGAATTTTAAATCAATGCTTTAAATAATTTACCTAAACATTAATGTTCAACAACAATAATCTTTCAATGATATTCTAGTTTCACATTCTCATCGTTGAACATTTGCTTGTATGTTGCATTTCTCGCTCATAAATTGTTAAGAGGCTGTTAATCGTATTCCTATTGTCGGTTGCCTCTAAATCAGAACCAAAATTTTCACTTGGACATCGAAAAACTCAAAGTTTCGGATCCCAAAGTAACTTTTCACACAACAAAAACATTTTCATTGCACTTTTTCAACATAAGTTGAACACCAAAATCGATTTAAATTTCATCATGTGTGAAATTTTATTAAAAATGTGCACAAATTGACGGAATTGCTTTCCATTTATTAAGTTTGAAAGCAAACTGATATTAAAAATGAAACAAGAATCTCCGCATGTGCTGGTCGGGTAAGTTTTGTTTTTATAGAGTAAAAGTTGTCGTTTGATTTGAAGGCTAATTAAACACCAAAATATTTGTTCTTCAGTTATATTGTTTTAATTGTTTGAATACCAATTAAGGTAGATAATAGAGAATAATTATTGTAAAACATTGCATATCACCATCAACAAAGTCAAATGTAATTAAACTTAATTGTTTTCACTTGAAATGTCGACATTGCAGTGGTTTGCACTTTTATATTCACAAATCATTTGCCAAAAGATTCTTTTAAGGGTGACTCAACAGTGAGATAGTCCGTTGTATGTTGAAGCCAAATATCATTTTCGAGATACCAGGAAAAAGTCATTTTGTAGTCGCCAGATGGAATCATTGAAGGGATTATAGCAGCCACGATTGGTTGATCCTTTATGTCAAGATTCTATAAATATAAAAAAATTAATAATATTTAAGATGCAAAATTTTCTCACATAATAAGGACACCGATGAAGCAATCCGGGAGAAGTTATGTTGATACTACGAAATACAACTTCTATTAACTTATTTGATGTTCCCAAGTCCATCAATTTACAAAATTCAAATCTAGGAAATTTCATCACTTCGCGATAAATTGTTCCGTATTTGTAATGAAGTTTCATAGAAAACTGAAAATGAAAATGATTGAATGATTAAAGAATGCTTTCAAAAGATGTTTAGTTACTCACATATGCTTGAGTGAGCGGTTTCTTCAAATAAGCTCTTACATTTATACTTGAAAATGAACGATTGTATGACTTTGCGTAGCACGTGTAATTGGGATAAAAAAATATTTCAGAAAAATTACAATGAACACCTCGAATGTATATTTTTTGATCAACCAGAGGGTTAAAGCCTTTTTCTGCTTTTATAATTACTCGAAAGAAGATAATTGAAGTCAACAAACAAAAATACAAATAATGATGTTTCATCTTTCACGATTAACTTGACAATATGTTTGCAACTAAATGTTGGACAGCTTTTATAAAAAAAATTAAAAAATTTAAATTGTTTAATGTGTTTAATGTTGATTTTATCTTTTCTACTTGCTGCATTTATTTCCAGAGATTGGTAGATATAAGCAGGGAAAATTTATCTACGAATTTCGAACATCTCTTTCATTCATTTGCCAAAAGATTCTTTTAATGGTGACTCAACAGTGAGATAGTCCGTTGTATGCTGAAACCAAATTCCATTCTCGAAAGACCAAGAAAAAGTCATTTTGTAGTCGCCCGATGGAATCATTGAAGGGATTGAACTAGCCAAGATTGGTTGATCCTTTATGTCAATATTCTAAATAAAAAAATTAATATTATTAAAGACATGTTGCAAAATTTTTTTACTTTATAAGGACATCGATGAAGCAATCCGGGAGTAGTTATGTTGATATTGCGAAGTATTACTTCTATTAACTTATTTGATGTTCCTAAGTCCATCAATTTACAAAATTCAAATCTAGGAAATTGCATCACTTCACGATAAATTGTTCCATATCTGTAATGAATTTTCATTGAAACCTAAAGAAAGGAAAATGAAAACTAAAATTTTTAAAAAATACTTTCAATGTTTTTACTCACAAATATCTTGTTAAGAGGTTGCTTAAAAGTGGCTTTAACGTTAATAGTAGAAAATGAACGATTGTATGACTTTGCGTAGCATGTGTAATTGGGATAGACAAACGTCTCAGAAAAATTGCATTGAACACCTCTAATATATATTCTTTGATCAACTAGACGGTTGAAGTCTTTTTCTGCTTTTAAAACTACTCGAAAGAAGATAATTGAAGTCAGCAAACAAAAATAAAAATTTTGATGTTTCATCTTGGCTATTTTTGTGACACTACCTAGTGGGAAATATCAAATTTGGATATATCAGATGGTCAAAAAATTGTATAAAATTATTTTAAGTACTGCAATTTCAACCTTTAATCATTTGGTTCACGTATGGTTTGTTTATTTTGTTTCTTCTTTTGACATAAATTGAGAGATTTGAAGAGTCTTAGGATAGAAATTAAATACTTTTGATGAATAACCCCTTGTTAATTTGTCAAGCATTTTTCTCTCATTAATTTCCATGGGGTGAGTCATGATAGAAATATCATGAAATAGGCAATAAAAAATTAAAAATTTTCACATCATTTCGAACTAAATTTTAAAAGGAATTTTAATTTCTTCATATACCAAAATTACAAAGATTATTACACATGAACAACCCCTTGGAATTCTAGAGAAATGAGAGAAAATCCGAGTTTATGAATTTGTTTACCGTAAATATTTTTAGTGAAAGAAATATTTTCGTTTCAGCCGGCATTTCACAACAATCATTCTTTCATAACACTCAAAAAGTGCACAATCATCGTTATCGAAATATATTCTTTGAAAAAATTTAATAATTTAGTGATAAAATGTCATCGGAAATGTTCAAAGCTCGTTACGACAACTATCGGCTTGTTAGAGTTCATTTAGAATCAGCTGAACACGTCACTTTGTTCACTGAATTGGAAGCTGAAAGTGATAGTTTCACTTATTACGGTCATGCCTTAAGATTCCCTCAAAGTTTGACAATTCTTGTTGCTGCTCACAAGTAAGTTTTCTAAAGATAAAAACTGAAATGTTGTTGACATGTTTATATTTCAGAATTTATGAATTTCAAGACATTGTTGATCGTTATCATGTGAAATGGGATGTATTGGTAAGTAAATAGATAAAAGCAGGGCTGGGGGTTTGCTCCAAATCTGAGCTCTGAATAAACATTTCATATGCTTTTAATGTAGCAACAAAACATTCAAAATCTTATCGATGCTGAAAAATCTACAATCAAACCTAAAGGAACTCCAGCAGAAGATTTTGATTGGAATCACTACCATCACTTGGAAACAATCTTTCGTTGGATGGATAAGCAAATCTCTGAAAATGATTTTGTAACTGGATTTGAGATTGGCAAGACTTATGAAGGAAAACCAATTCGTGGATTGAAAATATCAAAACAAGAAGGCAACACGGGAGTTTTCATTGATTCTGGAATTCATGCACGAGAATGGATTGCACCAGCTGTTGCCACATACACAATCAATCAGCTGATACACTCAAAAGGTTTGCGAATGACATTTTTTGTTTTTAAATTTAAGTTTTAATTATTGTCTTGGTTAGATCCAGCGATTGTTGATCTCGCACTTAACTTTGATTGGTATTTTGTGCCTGTTTTGAATGCTGATGGATATGTCAATACATTTGAGAAAGATCGTCTGTGGAGGAAAAACACAAAGCCTTATGGACGATGTCGTGGCGTTGATTTGAATCGTAACTTTGATATCAACTGGGGTGGAACTGGAGCATCTCATAATAAAACGACTTATGATTTCTGTGGATCAGAAGCTTTCTCCGAACCTGAAGCTAAAGCAATCAAAGACTTCCTTGACAAACATACTAAAGACTATCGTATTCAAACTTATTTCTCACTTCATAGCTTCAGTCAACTTTACATGTTTCCTTACGGCTACAACACTGAGAAAGTTAAAAACTACGAAGATTTAAAGAAAATTGGAGCGAAGGCCGTTGAAGCGATCAAAGACACTCATGGGAAAGTTTATGTTGCTGGAAGTTCCATTGAGACAATTTATCCAAACTCTGGAACAAGCATGGATTATGTTTATGAACATTATGATATTCCAATAACTTTTACAATTGAACTTCGTGGAGATAAAAGTACTCCAACATTGTTCATATTACCAGCAAATGAAATTACGCCAACAGCCGAAGAGATTCTCAATTCATTCATTGCTGTTTTCAAGGAAGCACGAGCTTTGGGCTACTATAAGCGAGACTAAATTAAATGTCAATTTATTAAAAATGTTTTTTGATTTTTTTGAGAAATAAAAGAGAGTGAAAATAAAAAATGAGAGAGTGATCTTCACGTGCTATGCACTTACATATATCAAGACTTATATCTATCTCTTTCTGTTCCATTAATCGCCCATGCAACATCAATCTGTTCATACAATACATAAGTGTAGTAGTGTTAGTGTCTGCTGTTTACTTTTAAAGAAATTAAAATAATATTTTTTAACTTGATAAATTAAGTAAAAATAGTTGGAATCTCAAATAAAAAGGCATGATGTGGTGGAAATCAAGTAAAAAATGTTTGATATTTTTACTTGGTTTGTCATTTAGTTTCACGATGGCTAGTGATACGGATGAAAATAAAGCGAGGTACGATTTTTATCGATTAATTCGGCTGAGTCTTGAGAATGAAGAACAAGTCTCAGTCCTTCAAGAAGTGGAAGTCAGTAGTGATAGTTACACATTTTATGGTCAAGCAACAAAAGCACCTCAGGATCTCATGATTTTGGTACCAGCACATAAGTAAGTTAACTTAAAATTGAAAACTTTAAAGATTTTCAATTCTTGATTCAAAGATCACTTAAAAAGAGATTTTTTCAGGATCTATGAAATTCAAGACATTATTGAGCGCTTTAAAATTAAGTTTAAAATTTTGGTAAGTTCCAAGGCTTAAGGGTGACGAGAAAAAAACAATGAACACGCAAAATGTGTAAAAACCGCGATAACGATAAATGTTGATAAGTAAAAAATGTTCATTCATTGTAGGAAAGAAACGTACAAAAATTAATTGACGATGAGAAGGCGACAATCAAACCCAAAAATACATCTGCTGATGACTTCGGATGGGATCATTATTATCATTTAGATACAATTTATCGCTGGATGGATAAGTTAATTAATGACAATGAGTTTGTGACAGCATTTGACTTAGGAAAGACACACGAGGGGATTCTTATACGAGGATTGAAAATCTCTAAACAGAAAGGTAACACTGGAGTCTTTGTTGAAGCTGGAATTCATGCCAGAGAATGGATTGCACCAGCTGTTGCCACCTACACAATCAATGAATTAATTCATTCAAAAGGTTTGAACATTTCTTTTTTAATCATAGAAAAATTCAAAATTTCTTTCATTCTTAGATCCAGCAATTGTTGATCTCGCACTTAACTTTGACTGGTATTTTGTTCCTGTTTTGAATGCTGATGGATATGTCATTACATTCGAGAAAGATCGCTTCTGGAGAAGAAACACGCAACCTTATGGACGATGTCGTGGCGTTGATTTGAATCGAAACTTTGATGTGAATTGGGGTGGAACTGGATCGTCAAACAAATGTTGTCAATATGACTTTTGTGGTGCAAATGCTTTTAGTGAACCTGAAGCTAAAGCAATCAAAGACTTTCTTGATAATCACGCTAATGATTGTCGGATAAAAACTTATTTCTCACTGCATAGTTTCAGTCAAATTTACATGTTTCCTTATGGGCACATTCCTGATCGTGTGAGAAATTATGACGACTTAAAGAAGATTGGTGAGAGAGCAGTTGAAGGAATCAGGAAAGTTCATGGAAGAATTTACGATACTGGAAGCACATTCGAAACGATTTATCAAAATTCAGGTAGCAGTGTTGATTATGCTTATGAGAACTACGACATTCCAATTGCTTTCACAATTGAATTACGTGGCCCAAGAGACACACCAAATCTCTTCCTACTTCCTGCTGATGAGATCAAACCAACATCTGAAGAGATTCTTAGTTCATTTGTTGCTGTTCTAAATGAGGCTCGAACTTTAGGTTACTATGAACGTGATGAACTTTAAAAGTTTAAATGTTAATTTGAGTAGAAAATACGACAATTAAAATAAAAGAAATATTTTTGTGATTTACAGTGTCGTAGATTTAATTGTGAAGAAGAAATAATTAAGTTGAAGGATAAATTGACTGCCACCATTGGTATTTGTTATCTTTTCATTCTGTTTTGATCAGGGATTGCAATTTAGTTCACGTTTTGTTTGTGCGATATCTTAACAGTTTCATATTTTGTTTTGTAACCTGCTTTGAGTGTTTTAACTCAATTTATCAACGTTATGCTATTTATACTCTTTAATTGTTTCAATTGTTGTTTTTATAAAATAAAGTTTTAGAAGCGATCAGATATTCGAGTAAGAAGTTTAATTAATTCAACATAAATGAAGGAAAAACTGGGAAAATCTTTTCATGATATTAAATTCTTCAACTTTTCTTCTCTCGGGACTTTTTCATAAGTCAAAAAGAAAAGTTTTAAAAGAAAATCTGGAGAGTTTAAATGTTTTTGATGAATTTTAAGATCTTTTTTCCAACATCGACATGTTCTCATTTTTTCCCGTCATTTCAAGTTATTCTCTCTTTTAAAAATAATTGATCGCATTTTTTTTCTTTTCGTCGCTTGTCAGACGTTACATAAAATTATTAAATGGAAAAGTGTTCAGTATGTGATGTTGAAGGGACACATAAATGTTCTGGGTGCAATGGAAAGTATTATTGTTCGAGAGATCATCAGAAAATTGATTGGAAAAATCACAAGAATGAGTGCAAGTGCTATGAGGTGAAAAAAATAATTTCTGCAACCTTCTCGATGATTCATTTTAAAAAAAATTCTTTTAAGATTGCAAGCAACAATGTCTTGGGTCGTTATATGAACGCTAAACGTGATATCAGAGCTGGCGAAATAATTTTCCGAGAGCAGCCATGTGTTTTAGGTCCCAAAATAGCTTCGCATGTTATATGCCTGGGTTGTCATAAAACAATTAATCCACCAATGTGTGGAGATTATTACAAGTGTTCTAAATGCAATTGGCCAATGTGTGGGAAAAATTGTGAAACACTTCCATGGCATGTTGATGAATGTCGCGTGATGCATGAAAAAATGTTTAAAAGTCCAATAAGAAACACGGGAGAAGTGAAGATTGAATCGAGTTATTGCGTGATTGTTCCCTTGCGAATCATGTTGTTGCAGCATAAAAATCCAAAGAAGTAAGATTTGAGCATAGCTTGAAGATATGAATAACAAATAAGTTTTTCATTAAAGTTATAAAGCTATCATGGAACTTGTGTCACATTTAGATCAACGACTTCAGACAAAACTTTATGGAGCTTTACGAGTAAATCTCGTGCCATTTTTCAAAGATTTCTTAAAATTTCAATCTTGTACCGAGAATGACATTCTTAACATCGCAGGGATTTTGGATACAAACTGCTTTGATATCATTTTACCTTCAAAACAGATCAGAGCACGCGGAATTTATCCGTTGACAGCGATGATGGCACATGAATGTGTTCCCAATACAAAACATTTTGTTGATGGAAATTTAGAAATGAAAGTCATCGCTTGCACATCAATCAAGAAAGGTGAAATGATTTTAACAAGCTACACACATCCATTGAAAACAACAATCGAAAGAAGACATCAATTAAAGGAAGCGAAATGTTTTGATTGTCTTTGCCCACGTTGCAGTGATTCATCAGAAATGGGAACATTTGCATCTGGAGTGAAGTGTTTGAAATGTTCAATTGGAATCGTAATCTCAATTGCTCCACTTGACAATTTATCAGATTGGCAATGTAACATTTGTCTACATAAATTTGCAGCTCTTGACGTTCTAAATATTTTGAATCGTGCTAGGAGATCTTTAGAATCGTTGAATAAAAAATCAATAAATGAATGTGAAAAGTTTTTGTTAAATTTTGAAACTTTTCTTCCTTCATCAAATGTTATTGTAATTGATGTTAAGTATGCTTTATGTTTGCTTTATGGAAATGCCACAGGATATGAAACAAAAGGTAAATTCTCACACATTACAAACGATGTTTACATTTTTCAATACTCTTTTTCCTATTAACAGACTTAACGGAACGACAACTCATCAGAAAAGCAGAACTATGTGAACAAACAATTGACGCTTTAAATAAACTTGAACCGGGAATTTCAAATTCCATTACAAATGTAAAATTTGAAATGTCGACAGTAAAAATTGCACAAATTAAACGCAAGACGGCGTCAAATGTTCTCTCCAAAGTTGATGCTGACAAGCTTATTGAATGTGAGATGAAGAATTGTCGTGATCAATACGAATTTCTCATGGCAGGAAGTGAAGGTAGAAGCCAATTGGAAAGTCGTCTAAAACGTTTAAATGAATTATAAAATGAACACTTAATGGAATTGATATCATATTTTTATGTGAGACTTTTTTGAAAATTGAGGACTCCATTTTCTTTAATATAAACGGATATCAATCTTATCATTTCACAAGGGAAAACAGAGGTGGTGGAGGTCTTGTATTCTTTGTGAGAAATAATATAAAAGTCTCAAACGAAATTCAAAAAATTAAATGTCGGGAAGTACAATTCATGATTATTCACCTACCAGATTATAATATAAAAATATGCGGAATCTACCGACCCCCGACAAGTTCATTTTCAAATTTAAAAGAATTTTATGAGCTTTTAGATGCCTCGTTAGAGCGTAATAAAAATATGATTTGCATTGGAGATATAAATATCGATCTTTTAAACAATAAATCAAATGAACTACGAGAAGTTATAGAAAGCAACAATTATCAAATTCTTAATAAAGTTGACCATGACAATTACACACGTTGTGACAGTAATTCCTTTTCAATTATCGATCATGTCTATACGGATGTTCAGAAACAAATAATTTTGCAAATAATTGATACAGCTCTTTCCGATCATAGGCTTATTTTAATTGCAATAAAAGAAATGAAAGCTAAAGATGAAGAATTTGTTAAAACTAAAGAATTTACAAATTTCAAAATCATAAGAGAGAAACTACTTGAAAAAAATATTGCGGATTCATTTGAAAATTTTGATGATTTCTATGGATTCTTAAAAGCGCTTATTAGTCAACATACATCTATTAAAACAATTAAACCGGAATATTCTGCTTATAAGAAACCATGGGGAAACAAATATTTGAAAGACGTCTGTAAAATGAAAACAAAATTTTTCATGTTGTCAAAACATTTTCCGAATAATAAATTTTTTAAAATTAAATATATCGAGCTAAAGAAACTCTGTCAGAAATTAGTTGAAACACTTAAGAAACAATACTATTCGGAACTCTTCGAAGCTAACGTTCATGATCACAAACAGACCTGGAAAATTATTAAGGAGATTATGATAAACAAGAAATCGACTAATGAGAGTACAGATATTAAATTGCAAATCGATAATGTAATTATTGACGACCCCAGTGTTGTCTCAAACGCAATCAATAATTTTTTTATTGAAGTAGGATCTTCTCTAAATGAAAATAAAGATTTGGAACCTCTTCCAATTTCCTTAGAATTTAATGAGTTTTCAATTCCAACTAATATTTTCAATCAATTTAAACATACTCACAAGGAAGAAATTGTCAATATTATAAAAAATCTGGAAACGAATAAATCATGCGGAGAAGATAAAATAACATCGAAATTTATTAAAGAAAATATTGATATATTCTCAGAGATTCTTCCTGATTTCATAAACAACTCTTTTGATAAAGGAATATTTCCAAATCCTCTCAAAATAGCACGAGTGAAAGCACTATTTAAAAGCGGAAATCCAAACAAAGTTGAAAATTATAGACCGATTTCTATTCTTCCCATTTTCTCAAAAATCTTTGAGAAAGTTATAAAATTACAACTTGTTACACATCTCGAGAATAATCATTTGATTCATAAAAATCAGTACGGTTTTTTAAAAAATAAAAATACAACAGCTGCTGCCGCTTGTATGATGAATGAAATATTTGAAGGTTTAAATAATAAAAATAAAGTAGCATGCATTTTCCTAGACGTACAAAAAGCTTTCGACTGCTTAAATTTTGATACACTGAAGACAAAGCTACATAAATTTGGAATTGAAGGGAAAGCTCATGCGATCATTTCAAATTACTTATCCCAGCGATCTCAATTCGTTAAGATAAATGATGTGAAAAGTAATGTTAGGGAAATAAATTCGGGAGCAGCACAGGGAAGCATTCTCGGCCCACTTCTTTTCCTAATATATATAAATGATCTTCTTAATTTGAGACTTCATTGTACAGCACGACTTTTTGCGGATGATGCAGCTTTTGTCTTTCAATCAAAAAACTATGAAGATCTTAAAGAAAATATGCAAAATGACATGATTATAATCGAAAATTTCTTAACGTCAATTAGTCTCAAAATGTCCATACCAAAAACCAAGTTTATGATTTTCAGAAATTTAAATAGCTCAATACAAGATTTATTTAATGAAATTCATTTTGAGGGAAAATCAATTGGAATCGTAAATGAATTTAAATACCTAGGATTGATTCTTGACTCGACATTAAACTGGAAATCACATGTGGACTATATTGCAAAAAACATAACACCTTACGTCGGTATGCTTAAAAGAATAAGATACTTTGTTGAGAAAAATACTCTTATGAAATTATATTTCGCTTACATACACTCAAGATTGATTTATTGCATTCCAATCTGGTGTTCTTGTTCTATGGAACAAAGAAATCGTCTCCAACGGTTGCAAAATAAAGCAATCAAATTCATAAACTTTAAACATTATATGACACCAACAAATTCTTTATATGATGACAAGTTCCTTTCATTTCACGCGCTCTGTTCATATGAATCGATTCTCTTTATCCAAAAAATCATCCTTGGATTAATAAGAGTAGACTTGGAGCTTCAAAAAAATGAAAATGTCTCAGAGAGATTAACGAGACAATCAAGCATGCTAAGGCCACAACATTTCTTAACATCGAAATCACAGAATAGTATTTTCTATCGCGGAATTAGCTTGTATAATGAATTCAAAAAATATGAAAAAAACAACACCTCTAATAATCTCTCAGAACTAAAATATAATATTAAGAAATTCGTATGTTCTATGATCTGAAATGTTTTTTAAAAAAACTCATGAGTGAGTTTTCTAATCGTCAAACATCCTTCTCGAACTCCATAGATGGAGAATCTAATGCTTACCTGTCCTTCGTTAAGTCTTATTCTACCCAACTAAATTTAATCTAAGAATGCTAAAAAATGAATTACATAAAACATTATTATAATAACTTCTCTCTAGTCAAGTATTAAGTTTAGGGGCTATCCCATAAATTTATTGTAAATTTCCTGATAGCAATAAAGAACTATGAGAAAAAAAAAAAGCAGGNGAAATGTTTTGATTGTCTTTGCCCACGTTGCAGTGATTCATCAGAAATGGGAACATTTGCATCTGGAGTGAAGTGTTTGAAATGTTCAATTGGAATCGTAATCTCAATTGCTCCACTTGACAATTTATCAGATTGGCAATGTAACATTTGTCTACATAAATTTGCAGCTCTTGACGTTCTAAATATTTTGAATCGTGCTAGGAGATCTTTAGAATCGTTGAATAAAAAATCAATAAATGAATGTGAAAAGTTTTTGTTAAATTTTGAAACTTTTCTTCCTTCATCAAATGTTATTGTAATTGATGTTAAGTATGCTTTATGTTTGCTTTATGGAAATGCCACAGGATATGAAACAAAAGGTAAATTCTCACACATTACAAACGATGTTTACATTTTTCAATACTCTTTTTCCTATTAACAGACTTAACGGAACGACAACTCATCAGAAAAGCAGAACTATGTGAACAAACAATTGACGCTTTAAATAAACTTGAACCGGGAATTTCAAATTCCATTACAAATGTAAAATTTGAAATGTCGACAGTAAAAATTGCACAAATTAAACGCAAGACGGCGTCAAATGTTCTCTCCAAAGTTGATGCTGACAAGCTTATTGAATGTGAGATGAAGAATTGTCGTGATCAATACGAATTTCTCATGGCAGGAAGTGAAGGTAGAAGCCAATTGGAAAGTCGTCTAAAACGTTTAAATGAATTATAAAAATGAATAAATAAATTTTGAACTGCATCTGAAAAGCTTCTTTTTCATCTGCCATCATAAAATACACAAAATAGTTGTTCATCTTTCGTTTATTAAATTGATTCTCACATATCTACAACACACGCTCAAGTGGACAAATGAATCATTTCTTGAAGTCCCTCAAATCCACCATTGCATGAAAAATTACATTTTTTAGCTTTTTTTCTGATGTTTTAATTAATTTTTTTTTCTTTTCTGTCATATCAGATGTAGATTGATTTGTTTACATGTACAATAAAGTTCATAATGCATTAATAAAAATGTATTTAATTTACACGATAATATTTTATTTATTTTTTTTTCCTTTCTGATGTTTTTTTGTTTCTTTTGTTAAATTTGTCAATTGTCAGCGAAAAAGCTTCGAACGAGAAAAATGCAACGTTGTAAGCAGCAGAAATTCTCGCAATCTCACAAAGACGCGATTTAAGAAGAAAAAAAAACGTTGAAAAAGAACGTAAATCATAAGAAAATAAATTTTCCTTTTTTTTAAAGTTCAATAATTATTCATTTATAAATAGAGACACGTATAATTGATGTTGTTGCGTGCGCGAGGCGCATCGGATGTTCATGAAGCAGCAAGAGAAAGAGAGAGAGAGTTTGGACGATGGTGTTGTTTTTAGTAAACAATTTTTTTTCTTTTAATAATTTCGGCGACGACACTTTGCGACACTAAATTTCAATCGAATGAAACTTAAACTCGCTTGGTGTCAGGCTCATATTCCTCATTGATGACAATTGGGGCGTGTTTGTCTCTGAGATATAAGCCGTAACGTGATGGGTATCGGCGTTCCAACTCCTTCATGCGGTCTACGTGGTCATCCCAGGCTTGTTGAGCATTAAGTGGAGCACGAGCCATGCTCACTATAAATGAAAGGAACAAAAGAAGAAGAAGAAGAGAAGTGAGATGAAAAATATTTAAAGATTGCAAGTTGAAATGATTACCTGGTCGTTGTGATGGATGTGAATAGATGGCGCGTGGTGAATATCCATAAGTTTCTCTATGTACTGGTAAATAACGGTATCCTGGAACGGTGATTCTACCAGCAGCAGTCGATGGTTCATCGTAAATTGTGAATGGCGTACGATAATCTTCACGTCCCTCATTGGCGCGAATATCCTCAGATCCTAACATTGATTATTAAAATGTTTTTATTTTTATTTTGATTAAGAATTTTTTTAAGAATTTCTACCTTTCAAGGATCTAATGTATGATTGCCAGAATTTGGCTTTTTTGTTTGGGGTTTCGTTGAAACCGATCATTGCAAGATGATTCTTAAACATTTTGGCTGCTTCTTTGGTTCTGTTTCTTTAATCAGAAAATTATGTCGTTCGCTACAAGAAGAAAAAGAATTTCTCGGTTAGTAGATTTCGCCTTCAAACTTCATCTTCTTCATCGTCTTAGTCGACGACTCGTCGGGCATTTATTTCAACTTGATTTTCTTTTTAACATTCTTTTTGGCTCAAATAAAAAATTTTCACGGGATTTTCTGCTGTTTCGCAATATTTATCTCTCCTTCTCACTCTATATCTCCATCTTTCTCTCTGTTGAAAAGCTAAAAATAAACATTTTCATACGTTGTGGACGTTTGAGTTATAAATGAAACATGATCTGAACAATCTTCCTTCAAACTTCTTCGGCGCGAACACATCTCGTGCGAATTATGTGGGTGGAAAAAGATTTCGTAATGTTTGAAAGTTTTCACGGGCTTCTTGGCTTGGAGTAGCGAGCGAACGAATTTTTATTTGAAGATATTTTGCGGACTTTTTTTTCTCTTTTTTATTAAACATTAAAAAGTTTTCGAATGGTTATTTTCGATCTTCACTTTAGGAATAAGAAGAGATGTGATGAAGTGCACTTGAAGATTTAATAACATAAATATCAATTCAATGATTCATGATTTCTATTTGTTGATAAGAAAATATTTTCAAGTCACTTTCAAGAATTTCAATTTTTTCTCGTAGAGTTTTTTTCACTCATTCAACATATTAAATAAAAAGTTTCCTTCGATGATTTTCACTCGGTTGTATTTAAATGAATTTATAAAAATAGAAACTTCCACACACTAAAAAAATTATTATCTAACATTTGCAGGTAAATTTTTCTCGGAAAATTTGATTCGAAGAAAATGAACTTATCGTGATCATTTTGCAGCATTTATTGATTATTTTTGTCACGCTCTTGATTAAACGATTTGCAAGAATATTTGCTGAGCTCAAACGTTGACCCACTATCGTGTCCATTTAAGGAGAGCTTCATGAATCACGATCTCATTTTCTTTTTTCATTTCTTCAAGCTTCACAGATTAAAGTCCTTGAAATTCCAACAAACTATTATTATAATTTTTTAAAGTAAATTCTTTTTCGAGAAGCTTTCAAATTTAAATCTTGGAATGAATCACCACGATTCAAAATTTAATTTAAATTTCCATTCAAACAATTTGGAATTATTTATGCAATTTTAAAAAAAATTCTTCATAATCCAAACAATCAGCATTTGTAGGATTCATGAATCACTTGAATCGATTTATTTGCGATTATTCATTTGCAGAAAATCCTCAAGAAGTTGCAGAGATAAAAAAATATTCAACTTACTAATAAAATATTAAACGTTAAACTAAAAATTTATGCTGAACTTAACTAAACGAAAGATATTAAACAACTGATCCTGATCCAGTAAAGTCTCGAAAACGATAATTTTAAAACTCAAAACGATTTTTCTTCGTTTCGTGGGTAAATTGGTGAAATCTCGCTATTTTTGCTCGCCCTACGACGTTGAGATTTGTTTGACTGTGGAACCAACACCAGCTTGTCGGGGACGATTCCAATCTACATAATGATTCTTAGAAATTCTTTCATTTATCTTCTAAAAATTTTCAGTCACGTCATCTTCAAATGTTCCCGTCAATATGCGAAATCATAAAAATACACATGAAGGAAAAAAAATTCAAACACGAGAAAATTTTTCTATTTTTACCACACAAATTTTTTTTCCTACAAAAAAAAATAGAAAATATTATTGTTAATAATACTAGAACAACTTTCATTTATGATCTTTAAAAATAAAAAAAATAGAATCAACGGAAATATTTGAGAAATTATCAAGTTTAAGGGAATAATTTTCATCATAATTTTTGAAGGGCTTTTCATTTTCAATGTTCATTGAACTGAAATCATTCGATACTTTAGACATTTCATGTAATCCAATCCACTCCTGGTGGTCCGCAAAATGTGTTGAACACAGATGTAGTTAGTAAAAAATAGTCTCAACACTTTTCATAAACATTCCCACATCTTATTTGCATAACACATCTAAGCAAAATTAATGTTCATCAGCGTCCACCACATCAACAAATTCTTTATTTTCAGCGAGAAAATCTTCTTAAAAAAACAGACGAAGAAGAAAAACCTTTTTCTTTCTTAGTTGTGATGACCATTGGTGACGTAAATGAAAAATTTGAAGGTCATGAAGCTGTGCGATTTGGATTTTGCTTAAGCTTCATCCACGAGATGATCTCAGGGAAAACTTTCAATTTTTAAATGCACGGAACATAAGCGGGAGAAGTGATTTGTAATGATGCCCTTGGAAAATTCACAAAGAAGCGAGGTTCTTGTCATTATTTTCACGCATTGGCGCCTTTGCCATTTCTCTTATTTTGTTGATCACATTTAAGTTATAAATAAAATTTCCCATCATAATCCCTCCAGATGACTCAAAATTCGGCAACGCAAATTCAATTTTAATGGCGCGATGATAAACACAACGAAAATGCCAAAGCAAACAAGCATAAAATTTTAGTTCATGATGGAAAATTTATTTTTTGCTTTTAAAAATCTGATTCTTAAAATCTGTTCTGAAGTTTCGAATTTCCACTAAGTCACATTCACTTAGGTCATGGGAAACTCAAATTGTATCTCGTAAAAGTGATTTCATCCAGACGCCCACACAAATCTCATTGACTTTGCACGTCCGTGCGCCCCCTACGATCATTCAGTACATTCAACTTCCGTATTTATTGTTTCAACTTCCCTTCGACGTAGATCATTGCGGTCAATACGCAAACAAATCCATTTTCAGATCAGTCATCGTCATTCATACCAATTCTGCTTCTTGACGTCACTAATTTTAGACAGACGAAGCTTCTTCCACCAACAGTTTATTAATGACTTATAAATAAACTTTTGTTTATCTTACAAGGCTTTTCGAATCATCAAAACAATTCCTGGGAAAATACATGAATGGAACAGAAATTTAATTCAAAATAAGTTTCACCTTTTCAATATATTCCTTCCTCGAACTTCACAGTTGTTCTGAACGTTCCACCCACGTAAAGTCAATGACAACTGCGAATTTGTCTCTGTATTGAGGTTGAGAGTGATTTGACGAATGAATTGTCCGTGAAAAGCTTTTGATACGAAACAGGCAGGTGGATCTCGATTATTACTTTCTGACATTTTTGAGACTTGCTTCAATAAACTGCACGTGGTTGTGACTTGTGAAAGATTCAAAGCTTCACTCCAATGAAGGATAAGACCATGAATGAACGTTTATGACTCTATAAATTATTTATAAACGATGGTTAAATTTATTCGTAGACATTACAACATTTAATGAGTTGTAAGCGTCATCATTGAGTGACAATTCCCAGATATCACTTCGAGTACGGCTGAAAACAACATGACTTATGACTTCCCCTTTAAATGTATAAACGCCCCCAAGATTAACACAAAACTCAATGAAACAAAGAAATCAACAACATCTTGTCTCTCTCATCCCACCAAGAAAAACTTTTTAAACTTTTTTTTTTCGTAAAAATATTTATTTTCTCTCTTTTCGAACATTTTTATCATTGATATTTTTGTTAATAAATATTTCGCTTCAAAAAATAGTATTAATTTCTGTCTCGTAAAAAATCTACAAATACAAAGTTTTCTTTTCACTACTTTTCCAATCGTTGTTGCTTTATTTGATTTTTGGATATTTTATGCGACCACAAAAAAAAGGAAAACTTTGAGATTGTCACGAGATTGTTTCGAAGACAAATCGATTAATACTGGATTAAAGTATAAAAGAAATAAAATAATTATGAGCGATTTTTGTGATGAAAATTGAAGTTGAAACATTCATTTTTGTTGGTCCCATTTTGGAAAGTGGAAATGAGAGGCAACATTTGATGTCAGATATTCTTTAGAGACCAGCTCAATGTTCTTTGAGGAGCGAAAATATTTAAACAAAAATATTATTTTTATCATTATTAACTATCGATCTTCATTTATCTAAGCTAATCGCGACGATTTTGCCACAGCAGCAGTCAAAAGGAAAAAATCAATTTCATCGATGCCTCTAACAAGTCGAAATTTCTTTTTTTCGTGTAATTTAAAGGAATGTCAGAGAAAAATAATTACTAAAATTTTGCTTCTTACTTCTTTTTTTTTTGTTTTTTGGCACCTTTACAAGAAGCCGAGTCGAGTCGCAAAGAAATCATCTCAAAGACAATCAAAAATTTATTATTCGTGAGCTCATTTCCCAATGTGCCAAGATTTCTGAACGTTAACTTCTCATCAAATTTAATTTGAAATCATCTTGGGAAATGAGGCTTGTAGCAAGCTTACAGGTGGCGAATAAACATTATCGGAATTAATTCTAAGTTATCTTGTTAAACATTTTTTGTAAGTACATTTCATTGAAACTTTCTTCTTCCTCCTTCTTAAGCTAATCATTTCAACTCTTTTATTTACTTAAACTTTATTTACTCAAATTGTTTTTTTCCTTCTTTAATTCTTGATCAAATAAATTCTCGATGATTGTGAAAAATACTGAACAAAAACAAAATATTTCGCTAATTCGAAAAGTTGAAAAAATAAAATGCTGAACTTATGCAAAACCTCAATAAATGGCAGGTGAATTGAGGGAAAATTAAGATGAGAGAACTCAGAAGTTATGTCACTCTTTTACTTTTAATAAATTGCAAGTTTCCGAATAAATATATTTCATATGACATAACTTATGAACTCGCCCAACTATAAGAACTTAAAATTTACCCAAAACCAAAAGTTAATCAAAAAAATAAATTAAAATTAAATGTTTTTTTCTTTCTTTTGTTGATTTATCTCTTTCTCTCTCACTTGGATTTGTGAAAATGTATGTACAAGAACTATTTTCCTTTCTTAATGCCTGTTTTTATTTTATTTTTTGCATGTCTGAATTATCGTCTTTAAAAGTTCAAGCTAACGAAAATCATTTGCAGTTTGCACGGCAATAAATCATAAGATCGACCAAGAAAAACAAATTGTCTTAATTCTATAATCTAATTCAAGAAATTAACTGATTTCTCATCACTTAAATAATTATAACAAGAAGGCACGTTTTAGTTTTCTTATAATCTGTAAATTTTTTAAGTTTCCTCTCATGACTTTAGGGTCAAACGATATTTCAACAAAGTGTTCGATAAAAGATTTCACGGCTAAGTTAATGTTAATTAAGGAAACTTTATTTATTTTAGACTGGGATTTTTTGTGTCACTGCTTGACCCTTAATTTCATTTCACAAGGAAAACTTTTCATATCTTCAACTTGTTTTTATTCCAATTTAAGGCTTTATTTTGTATCTTTCAAGGTTTGTCTGCCAATTTGTGAACATCGGTAAGAATGAAGAAGAATTAAATAAATAAAAATTTGATGATGGAAGCTTTCAAAATGATTTTCAACTTAGAAAGAGATCGAGAAGAGAAAAAATAAAGGAAAATGATTGCACAATAGAAGGAAGGATAATTGAAGGAAATTAAAGCCTTTAAAATTGTTGTTTAATTAATGTCGACAACAATGATCGATGATTGATGAAAACTGATAACATTAACAATTAAAAATATACATGAAATATCTAATTAAAAGTAGAGATACGATAAAGAAATTAAACTAAGAAGCCTTAAGGACAATTTAATTCATTTTCAGTGAACTATGTTCACCTTTCTTTCTCTATTCATTTGAAAACAAGAAAAAACTTTCCTGTTTCTCTTTTATAAATCTATAAAATTGATTTTTCTCTGCTAAACATCAAATTGATGATCCAAACTTGACTTTTCTCTTTCAAAGTTTCACTGTTAAAGTCAAATGTATTAGAAAATCACAATGATTCAAGTGAACTTGAATTTGTTAAAATGATTGCCGTTGATTAGTGTTCACCTCGAAGAAGTTCCATAAGTAAGTTAAATGAAGGTTCATCTTCACCGTCTTTAGGCTTGATTGTTAACATTTCTTTCCCCACCTACAATAAGAATGCAATAAGAATTGAAAATATTCGACATTTGAGTTGATTACATACCTGACACGTTCTTTGAAGCTCAGGAATCCTCAACAAAAGTTCTCCAAACTTTGCTGGTGAATCAGGATAATGACCTGAAAAACAAAAGCATTTTAAATTTCGTTAAACATTGAAAAATAACATCACAAACCTAAAGTGTAAGCTTGCAACGCTTGAAGTGCCTTCTCTTGACTTGCCCTCACTTTTTCTGGTTCTTTAAGTTCAGCTGTGTCTGCAATAAAGAAGAAAAACAAGAAAAAAATCTAAATAATTGCCTTGAAACATTTGTGAAGTCGAACGTTACCTGATGACAATAAAACTATCACTTTCATGGCTACATATTCATATTTATCGACTTTCAATCGACGTAAATGATCCGTTAGATTGAGCATTCGTTCAATGCAAACCTGTTAAAGACAAAAAAGATTGATCAGAAAAGAACTTCATGGTACATAAAGATTGATTTAATAACTTACATGAAGTCCACTTAGTTTTGCCTGTGCAAGAGTTATCGATTTTCCAAGTGAAATTTTAATCTCACCCGGTGTTGTGATGGATCGAAAGCAACATGAAAACAACAAAAGTTCACACCAAGAGTTTATAAGCAGGCAGATTTGATCGTCAATCTAATTAAGAAGAGAATGATTAATTTATGAAATATTGAAGATATTTATGAGGGGATTGAAACTTCTTGTATGACAACAAAAATGTATGAAAATTTAAGCCGCATTCACAATTCAGAATTTTTCTTCAACATTCTTATACTCACCGAAATATTTTTAAATAACGGTAGCGATTTGCACCATTTCACAATCTTATAAAGCCGATGATCAGCAATTTTACAAAGTGTTGCAATCATATCGGGATTTGAATTATCGTTCGTGACACCGGCACTTGCAAGGAACGGATTATTTTTAATCGCATCTGATGATGATTGATGTTGATCACTGGAGCAACTTGTTGTCGGTTGATTGAGTCTCGTCAATTCACTTTCATTATATTGCCATAAATATTCAACATCCATAATTTCCTGAAGTAATGCTGGCACGCCTGGTTTCATGACATGTTCACTTGTGCCATTTATTGCTCTGTTTTCACCGCCTTCACTTTTCACATTATTTCCATTCATTTTAAATTGTCCATCCATTCCCATAGTTTGTTGATGTGGAAGTGATGTCACTGGAAGTGTATAAGAACATTGATACGTTGATCGCCCACCTCTCGTACGATCTTCACGAATTGCTTCAAGTTTCATTCCTTTTTGAAGACATTTTTCAAAACGACAGGCTGGACATTTCTTTCTTGTTGCTATCGTTACTGGACATGCTGCACCACGTAAACAAACATAATTCTTTCGATTCTGCACTGTACGTTTGAAAAATCCTTTACACGACTCACAGGAAAAGATTCCATAATGGAAACCAGAAATTTTATCAGAACAAATTGGACATGGACTGTTGATGAGTTGTTGTCGTGAAATTCCAGCTGTTGTTGGTATTCCAGGATCTTGTTGATCATTATTATTTTCTTCAGTCGTACCCAGACGAAAGTTTTGTTGTTCGCCATCAATTAGAGGTCGATAAAGCATTGAGTGATGCAATGTTCCATTGAATTGTTGTGATGACGATGGTGGTGGCACTTGAGCATAGATCAAATGTCGACCTTGTATAGGTGAGTGCGTTGGACTATTAAATTCAGAACTGTACGAGTAACATGAGCTATGTGAAGCGTCACTATTATTGCGACTTAATGAAGGCGTGTATGGAGCATGTCGTGATGTCAATGGCGATTGGCTCGGTGAGCTTTGAGTGTAAATCGAATGAATAGCAGAATCAGGACTTGGATTTGCAGGCAAAAGTGATTGTTGTTTTGATCGTACAAGCAATGGACTGTTCTGAATGAGAGCCTCTTGATACGCACTACTTCCAGCTACTCCAGGCTCGAATTTCAAATTGACAATGTCAGGAAACTTTTTTGTCGTCACCGAACTAAAAGCTGGCACTTTAAGTTGCTGAACTATATTTAAATTATTATTTGTGATGTTCTCAGTTGGTGTAATCACTTCCGGCTTTATCTCAGCCATCTCAACCGGACTTGATTTCTCAACTTCCATCATTTCTTCATTCTCCGATAATTCTCCTTCCCATGACATTGGCCTTTGTCCATTGCTACTCTTTACATTGCAGGTTGCAGTCTTTTCAATATTCGACAACTCCAATTCACTATCTGAATTGTCCGAATTATCTTCAATTTTCGGTATTGTGATGCGTACATTGCCATCTATCGACGCCTGTTCACCCACAATATTTTCCGATGATTCACTAGGGCAATTGATGTTTGTTACTGATATATTCGTGTTCGACATATTTAATTATGTATATTTTTATAATGTTTTCCTCTTATCCTATCTTGTCTTCTTAAACCTTGTCTTCAATTAAAAGAACATAACAAGAAACTGTCCTTCATAAATTATGCGCTGAACATTAAGATTTCGTCGCTTCGAATCTAAAAATAGAAGAGAGATAAAAACAGTGTGTAATGATGTGACATGCGATTGAATCATAAATTAAACACTCAATTTGCAACGCAAAATTAATTTCATGTTTCTTTTCGTTTTTTATGTAGTCTGAATAACGGTAAACTCAAATCACTATAAATCCAACTATTAATCATAAATTATGTTTTCCTTCTTAATGTTAAATTACTTTTTTAATTTTAACTCTGAATTAATTTCAAATTTTATGTCCTTTTTTAGGACTCAATTTTATGAAATATTTTTTAATTGTACTGACGTAGTAAAACTTCAAAACATTATCCAAAAACTTCCACAAAATATATTCTAAATTACCGAAGTATAAAAAAAAATTTGCAAGAAGTCTACCTAGAAGTGTTATTTCAGTTACTTCCGCTTACATCGTAATGCAAAGAATAAAAAAAACAAACGAGACTTCTTTCCGTGGCACCTCTGCATGAAAACAATTTGATTTGTAGTAGTATGCGTCAGTAGAGCGTTTTGATTGTGTGAGTGAAGGTCAGCTTGCAAGGTCGTAGGCTTTTATATTTTTCGGGTGATTTTCTAATTCTTCATTCGTTTATTGCTTTTTAAACGTGTTTGTAAATAATGGAAAAATATTAAAAAATATCTTTAAAAGGATAAATAATTATTAGCACAAATTATCTTTGCGAGCATCATAAAATTCACCAATACACCGTTCACCGACACTTTTTTCTTATACTGTTTTTCTTATGAAGCTTCACTCGGCGATCACCAATCGAAGTGAATGAGAAGAAAAAAATAAAGAGACCTTTATGCTTGTGTTATGTGTAATAAAAATTTGTTTCTTTTTCCGAATCAAACTGTTCTTTCAAGTTTTCTTACACACTCTCTTTTTTTTGCTTTAAGACCAATTTCTTGGTACGATTGGAAAAGAAAAATTGCTGTTGCGTTCCCAAGACCTTGTGATAAATAAAGCATTTTCATCATCATATTTAATATTCACAAATGTGTACCGGAAGGTGAATTGCATTCTTTATTGGTCCTCTCAATTTTCATTCTCCTAACGGTGAATAATGCTCCAACAATTCATTGCATATAACACTCTACATATACACAGTTGGCCACTAAGTTTCTTATGATTTCATGTTTCGCGTATTTTTTTACTTCTTGAAGGCCACGAAATGAAACACATTTCACTGAATCAGAAAACTAACCGAGCAAGTTATTTTGCAAAGTTATTTGCTTTTATGAGTCAGGGATAATGTTGCAAATCGAAGACTTTATGGTTTCATCGTCGATCTCATGATCTTCATTAACTTACTCTAAACTTGGACACTTTTTTTATGAAAAAAGAAGTCAATGAACTCAAATGTCTCTCCAGGTAAGAAAAAAACTTTTTATCGCTTCAATTTAGCGTTTCATTTCACTATCACTGGTCTTAATACCTCTCCTTGTCTCCTTTATGCCATTTTTACACCGTAAATAAACAAAGGATAATTGAGAAAATTAATATTCTTTGAGAGCTCGAGCTCTTTACATCTTTTTACTGTTCGAACACATGTGGACTCATCAGGGTGCGCTGGCATCGGTCTGATAGTTTTTAAATAGAATTTGAAACCGTTAAAATATTAAATGAAATGTTTTTGATGTTGATATGGCCCATTGTTCAATGTTTTATGATGCTTTACAGAAAATGTTTCATGTTTTTTTACAATATATTTATTTAATATCTTTTAAGACGCTTCAATTTAAGTTTTGAACTTCATGATATGATGTTCTGATGGTTTTTGAAGTTTCATTATAGCTTTATTTTTGATAAATCAGTCGAATAATTTTCAATTGAAAACAGTTGGGTCATATTCAAAAACTGGGCATTTTGCGGAAAGAAGCGAAAGGTTTGAATTTTTTGTCGCGGAATCTAAGGCCTTAGAACCTTGGTGATAAGGTTAAGATTCGAAAACTTTAACATGCGAGAAGGAAAGAAAAGTTTTTGTAAACAAACAAATAAAAATCATATTTTCAAATAAAATACTATAAATTTGTTAATTGGCAATGGAAGTCATAATAAATACTGAAGATTCATGTCGGACGTGTTTGCAAGGTGAATGCACGTTAGTTAATATATTCGAAGATTATGAAGGACGGCCCATAAGCCAAATACTGAGTGAATTATGTGGACTCAACATTGAAGCCGATGATCAGCTCAGCAAGAAGATTTGTAAAAATTGTGTCTCGAAGACTCTCATGTTTCTGTCATTTCGTCAAGTATGTATTGATTCTGACGAAACAGTTCGTTACAATTTATTGATAGCAGAAGCAGATGGATCTGAAATGATGTCTGTAGTTAATTTAAAAGTCGGAGACGATATTTCTGGAAATATTGATGAATATTTAATTGCTGATGAAGCGTCCGCATCTCAAACAAACTACGAATTACAAAGAAGCGACGAAACAGAGTATGAAGAAATATTTCTCGATGATGATAGCGAAGAGATTGCCGAAGATGCTCATCAAACAATTCCTGAAGCTGAATCATTAGACGAATGTTTGGATGTAAAAGACGAAAAACCGGAACCAAAGATGATCGAAGCAGTTGTTACAAAAATCAACTCACAAGAGCCCATTGTTATTACTCGATCATGTGATGAACTCACACAGAAAATGCGTGAAGTTCATTTTGCAAAAGAGCAACAAAAGAAGCACAAATGTCCGCATTGTGACAAATATTTCATGTTTCCATCGAAAGGTAAGAAAATTTATTCATTGTTAACTTTTTTTTTATTAATCTACTCTCTTTTTTGGTAAAGTGAACCGTCATGTTCAAGCAGTTCACAAGACACTGGAAGATAAACCAAGAAAAGATATTAGAAAGAACCACTTCTGCAATATTTGCGGAAAGGCTTTTGTAAGTGCGTTCAAAGTCCGTCGTCATATGGTCGTGCATGATACTGAACTTAAAATAGGATTGCAAAAGAATTGGTCAAGAAATTATTTTCTATGTGAAGCTTGCAATAAAAAGTTTCACACTCAAACGACTTTTGATCGACACAAGTTGATATGCAAGTTGCTTCAGGAGTCCTTCATTGAACGTAATGAAGGTCACGAATATCTGTGTTGCATTTGTAGTCAAAATTTTCCTACACATGATGAAATGGTTGATCACATGAGGACACATTCATCACTTGAACCAGTTTCTTGCATTCTTTGCAGTAATTTTGGTTCTTATTTGAATGATATGATAAGACATGGAAAGTATCACGATGAAAATGTGACTTATCGGTGTTGTGTCTGCAACAAAAATTATCCAAATGGAGAAGAAATTGTCTCACATCTACTACGACACAAAGATTACAAACCTTTCACTTGTTCCGAATGCAGCCGATCATTTTTTGACAAATATAAACTTCGACAACATATGAACACTCACATTGCTGATGCACCGAAGAATTTCATTTGTAGACATTGCAATCGAGGATTTACAGCTCAAGATTATCTCAATTGTCATATAAGACGAAAACATTCCGATGTTAAGCCGTATCGATGTGATTTCTGTCCAAAGACTTTTGCCTTTGCTCATGATCGTAATTTGCATGTCACCAATCATAGTGGTAAGTTTAATAAAATAAGAATTAATTTTATAAATCGAAATAATTTTAATTTTTCTTCCATTAACAGAGAAAAAATATTTATGCTCAATTTGCGATGCTTCATTTACAAGATCGTGGTCGCTGAAGCAACACATGACAATTCATGACCCAAGCACTGAAGGTTTAAAATGTGAATTCTGTGATTTTATGTCAACAACAAAATATCGATTGCAACTTCATTTAATGACACATGAGGAACAAAATCAATTACAAGACAACACTATCGAAGAGGAAAATTACACATTTTTAGAAGATGTTAATGAAGATTCAAACGAAACGTACAATCTTGTTGAAATCCAAACTTCATATTAATATTTACCATAAATTTTTAACATTAATAAACTCAAATAATTACAAAATTTCATTTTTAATTGGCAAGTACCAGTAACTTAATGGCTTGATTAAATTGTTTTTAAACAAAAATTCATGAGAATAAAGCTTGTGCTTTTCATCGGGAATGATGAGAATTAAAAAGTTGTGTGAGCGAGTTAAGTCAACATTTGTGATGAGTGCTGATGTTCTTTCAGATGAATATATCTTTGATTTTAATCTTCCATCGAGATAAACCTGAGAAATGAAGATTTTAAGCTCAGTTTTTTGATAGGTAGATTTAAAAGATTTACCTTGTAACCTTTTATGCCCACAATAGACTTGACATTCCATCGGATGATTACAGAACTATGATGCAATGGAATCAGATTGGTAAGAGACAAAAATTCAGATCGTTCGTGTTCAGTTGAACTGATGACTGACATCGACGAAGCTTTGCGGAGAAGAGATTGAGAACTTGTGTCAAATCTTGTATGATCTGCTAAAAATATTTCTGAGCTGCTTGGACACTTAAATGGGCAACTTTCATCGCAATTATCAGGACAGCATCGTGCATCATTCCAAATATTTTCTTCTTCGATTTGATTGTCATTAAGTGCTGATAAATTTACTTGTGATGCTCGGCGACGAAATTTTAAATGAAATTCAATTTCAGTCGTTTCTTTAGCTTGATTTGATTTTCTATCTAAAATTTTCATAACTTCTTCTTCATTTGTGTCTTGAGATATTAACGAATCCTTTAAAGCTTTTGGGATATCTTCATCCTTCAGAAACTGAAACGTTTGATTATTAAATTCCAAATTGCAAATATTTTCTTTCATTTTGAACATTTTTTGATCGAAACTTTTCATCGCAAGTGAATGAAATTAAAATTTAATTTAAATGACATTTCAATGATTTCTTTGATGATTTTCAATTTGGATTTAAATATTGACAGCGTGCCATGCAGCAAACATGCTTTGATAAATTTCCCCTTTTTCAACCCTTAATCAACTTTCCAGTCAGTACTGGAATACTGGAACGAAGTTTTTCCATGAGAAAATTTATTTTCTAGAGAAAAAAGCAAACTTGATGGATAAAAGTGAAAAAAATAATTTTTAACTTTTAAAATATTTAAAGTTTTAATATGTTGCAAGCAATGGATCCGGATTATTACCTTGAAGAAGATACAATGTAAGAAAGTTCAAGATTATCATAAAAGTCATAAAATCATTTGAAAATTATAAATTTTCCTTTTGCATGGGTAACTTTTCTCTCATTGTCTGTCATTTTCTTCACTTTTACAAACGATAATAAAAATCGATTAATTTGTGCTGGTGACAGTTTCTATTTTTCATTTTCTAATTTTTATCTAAAATATTGTGAAAAATTATGTGGATGAATTATCCATTCAAACAAATTGCTTTTGTCAATGAAATTCGATATTACGACGAAGAAAATAAAATGTAAATTATTTGCAAAAGTATGTTGGCATTCAGATGTGCTCCACTTTCTAAATTTTCCATTGGAAAAGTCAAGATGGAAAATGCTTAAGCACATCTGAACTACCTGTTGATGGTTTTTCTTTGCTTTTGTAAATATCTCTCGCATCATGAAACATTTTGAACTTTTAAGTTTCTCAATTTTTCTTTGGAATTTCTCCGGATAATCTTTGTAATAAACTTAAGGAGACTGTTGGACTTTGGCGATGAGAAAAAGGAACAAAAAAAGCCGATTCCTGGTAAAGCGATACTAATTGACAATAAGGTTGTTGAGGAAAAGCCTTTTATGACCAATGACGAATTACCAGAAGCTGACCTTTATTTCGGTGGAGAAAAAGAAACAGAAAGTGAACACGATTTACGAATGATCCGAGTGAGTCAACGAGAAGAAATGTCAAGATTGTAAGTCAAGAACGTCAAGTTAAAATCAATCACAAACTCGAAACTTTCATCATTGTTTTTGCTGTTGTTGTGTTACAAAATTTCATTTTCTATTCATATAACTTTTCGATGTTTTTTTGTTCTATTTTGAATTTATCGCTTGATGCATGTTGAAGTTGTCTCGCTTCTCAATATAATTTATTTATTTATAATTGAAAGAATTTTTGACATTCTAAGACGTTTCTTTCTCTTTGTAGGGGTATGACGGTATCTTCAGGTCATGTCATCATTAAAAAAGATAATTCCAATATGATTGGTGAGAAATGTTAAGACACTAATTTGAAAGTAATTTAAAATATTCATTAAACTCTTTAGGAATATCAATTGGGGGTGGTGGACCTTACTGTCCATGTCTTTACATTGTTCAAGTATTCGACAACACACCGGTATCGCGTGAAGGAACTTTACAATCTGGTGATGAACTTCTTGGTGTCAATGGATCGAGTGTTAAAGGAAAAACTAAAGTTGAAGTCGCAAAGATGATTCAGTCAGCTGAAAATGAAGTTACAATTCATTACAACAAACTCCATGCTGATAACGTTCAAGGTGAATCTTTGGATATTGCATTGAAGAAGATTAAACACCGATTAGTCGAGAATATGAGTTCAAAAACTGCTGATGCATTAGGATTGAGTCGCGCAATTCTTTGCAATGATTCATTGGTGAAACGATTGAAAGAACTTGAAGGAACTGAAATCATGTATCGCGGTCTTGTTGATCATTGCAAACGAGTTTTGAAAGCTTATTTTAATGTCTTTCAAATCATGCACGTATTTGGAACTGAATTTTGTACAATGTCGATCCGTGAGCCTCAACCAACTGCAAGTGAAGCTTACAGAGCTTTTGGTGAAATGCACAGAGGCCTGGAAAAGGAAGGAATTCTGATGATAAAAGCATTGAAACCAGTGATTGCTAACTTTGGCACGTACCTCAACAAAGCCATTCCAGATACAAAGTTGACAGTCAGAAAATCCGCCGACAGTAAATTTGCTTATCTTTCTTATTGCCTAAAAGTGAAAGAAATGGACGATGAAGAGCAAAGTTACTCATCAATTCAAGAACCTCTTTACAGAGTTGAAACAGGAAATTACGAATATCGATTAATTCTTCGATGTCGACAAGAAGCACGAGCAAAGTTTGCAAAATTGCGTAATGATGTTCTTGAGAAAATTGAACTTCTTGAAGCAAAACACGCTCAAAGTCTTGCTGATAATCTGAAAAAGCTCTTAGAAGGTTTGGCAAAATTCACACAAGATGCAGTTACAAAGTTTGAAACAACGAAAGGCCTTTTCCCGATTGAAGTTGATTTAAAGTCAGATGCATTTACATACAAGTCACAAAATACTTTCAGCAGTGATGGAACGGAAGAAGTTGAAGAAGTTGTGCAAGCAGAAGAAGCCAAGGAAACAAAACCTGCGCAACCATCTGAAGATTTACTTTCCAATGGATCATTTCTCGATCAAGATTTACTAAATTTATTGTCATCAACTGATCTGCAACCAAAAGACCCAACAAAAACTAATCAAACTTCTGTTCAATTGTTAACGAATGAACTTGCTTCAATATCAGCTCCGCTTCTCCCTGACATCAACAACACCAAAGCCAATCAATCTGACACGACAAAAGATTTACTCTCTGAACTTGGTTTGGATGAAATTGATTTAAATGTAACTGCAGTCAAAGATCAACCGAAAATTTTATGCTCGATTGATGATTTATTGAATTAATAAAAAGATTTGAATAAAATTTATAAGTGAATGATAATAAAAAGAAATTTTAAATTTATTTATAAAGCCAGATCATCGAGTTGAACATCTTTCAACTTTGGATCTGCGTTTTCTTCCAAATCAATGTTTTCCTCAACGAGATTTTCCTTTGGCATTCCATTCTCATCTAAATCGTCATCATCATCAGCATTACCTTCCTTTAATTCTTCCTTCTTATCCAAATCATCTTCTTCATCAACTTGGACAATTTCCTTGTCATCAGAAGGAAGAATTTCCTTTGGCTTTCCATTCTTATCTAAATCGTCATCATCGTCAGCATTACCTTCCTTTAATTCTTCCTTCTTATCCAAATCAACTTCGTCATCAACTTGGACAATTTCCTTGTCATCAGAAGGGAGAATTTCCTTTAGTTTTCCACCTTCATCTAAATTATCATCGCCGGCATCAATAACTTGAGCAATCTTTTCATTAGCATTTGGATTAGGAAGATTTTCCTTTTCGTCGCTGTCATTTTCTTGCACTGGAAATTTACCTTGGATGTTTTGAGGTGTCTTAAAACTTCTAATACCTTAAAAATTGATTCATTGTCAGTGACTAATTGAGAAAAGAAAAAAGTGAAAAACCTACCACCAGGTTTCATATTATTTAGCATTAAATCTTCAATTTCTTTATAAGTTCTTCCGGGAAAATCATGAACGATGACACCTTTTCTTCTGTACAAATTCAATGTCGGGAATACAGTGATGGCGTGTTCGGTACAGAAATCTTCATTACTTTCGCAGTCAATTTCTGCTACTCTTATATGCATGTCTTTATTCTTAGTCGCCAGATCTTTCAGAACCTCACGCAACGTATCAGATTTTTCCGAATTTGGTTTGTACATCATGACAAGTGTCAGACCAAATGGATTCAAAGATGTTGTGAAATTTTCTGATGACAATTCCATGAAACCGAATTGATTGATTTTTTTCTTTTCTGAAAGTTTAACTTTTAAATTAAGTTTTTCTTCAAGTTCCTCTGAATGCTTAGTTTTCTTTGGCTTTTCAGCCATCATTGCTCCAATGTCGACAATGTTAGGTTCTCTAGGCTTCAAAAGTTCTGAAGAATCAAAATCTTCTTCAACTTGATCATCACCACCAATGACGATAGTTTTTTCGGTTTTCTCTCTTCTTGGTGGATTGAATTCTGTGCTTGCATCATCTTCATCAGCAACTTTCACATCTTGATCTTCATCCACGTGTGGCAATATGAAATTGTCTTTATTTTTTTCCTTGAAGAATGTCGTTCGACTTCCTTTAACAACTTTCATAACTCTTCCGTCCCTTGTCTTAAACATTTCGTCTGGTAAAGGCACTCGATTTGGTTGCCTCCTTTGGTAAGTTCTTCTTGGTTTTGCTTCGTCTACTTTTTCCTTTTCCTCTTCCACTTTTTCTTCTTCTACTTTTACCTTTTCCACTTCAACTTTTTCTTCTTCGACTTTTTCCTTTTCCACTTCAACTTTTTCTTCTTCTTTTACTAATTGTGGCTTTTCTTCTTCATCATCTGCCTCTTTGGGGTTTTGTTGGTCTTCTTCTGAACTTGACTTTGTTGTTTTGTTATCAATTTCTTCTTTAGCGTTATTATCTGATTTCTTTTCTCCAGTTTGACTTGATGATGTCTTAGTTGATTTGTCTTTACTGCTGGCTTTATCAATCACAACTTGTTGATTATTTTCTTTTGATTCATTTTCACTTTCACCAGATGATTTGCTTGAATCGTTCTTTCCTTCGTCAATGATAACTGGCTGATCAATTGGAACAGCAAAGCCAGGTGGATTCAAATCGACATCCATTTCATCTTTCTTTTCAACTGGTTCTTCTATTGCACCTCCCTCGTCATCTATTTCATCACTAATTTTGACATCACCTTCATAATTCTTGCCATCACTTTCATTGGAATTCTTCGCATCCGCGTCAAGTGATCGTGACATGTCAAAGACGAATGTTTTCAAGCTTTCAAGTTCAAGGTAGCCTTCGTAACGGCTGACAATCTTTCCATGTTGCATCCATACAATTGATGGAAAATTAGGCCCAGCGCCAATGCCTTCACATATGGGACGATAAACTGAACAATCAAATTTTGCCACGTGAATGCCTTTGTAATCGACCTTAACTGTATTGGCGAGCTTTTTCCATGTGTTGAGAAGATCGGGCTGATCACCATCACTGGAAATGAATAGAAATCACTTGATGGTTAAATCAATAATGAATTTATTCACCTTCGAAGATAAAACAACAAAAATGAGTTGTCAGTGTTGATTAGTTCACGAAAGTTGTCTTCACTTGATATGATTTGATGATCTCTTGCATCCATATCGGAAGTAAGAGAATAAATCAGAAGAAATATCGACAAACATGTCACAACAATTAAACATAAACTGGCCAATTTCTTCGTTCTCATATTTCTTGCAACGTAATCGATCAGCATTATTAAACTAAGAAAACTTTTTATTCAGTTCAAAAACAGAATTCGATCATTGAAAGTTTGGTGTTATTTATAAAAGATGTCACATTTATAACAAAACTTTAATATCTTTATTCAAAATACAATTCACATGACATTATACACAAAAAAGTTAATTGTTGACACAAGTGTTATTAATTATGAGAACTCACAATGAATAAGTTTCGCCATTTTGAAATTCGTCAATGTTTAAACAGTGATGATTAAGTTCAAGTCAAACTGTTTATGCATTTAGAATCTTAATTAATTGTTTTTCTTCTTCTCTTCTTCCTGTTTCTTCTCTTCTTCCTTTTTCTTCTTAAGTTCTTTATTTTTTTTGTCTTTGAGATAAAGTTCATGATCATGTTCCTTCCATTTCTTTAAAACTGAAAGAAATATTTGTTAGAAAATAAGTTTTAAGTGATAAAAATGTTTGAAATTACGTTCACCACCCGTTGTGTGAGCATCAAGAAGATCAATCAAACCTTTCAAAGAATTATCTCGATAATAATCTTTCATTATTCTTTCTCCATTGTGATATAAGCTGAGTGTTGGACATCCTTTTGAATTTTCGATGCATGTTCTTGTCTGTCGATCGCAATTAACAGTGGCAATCTTAATCTTATCGTTTCCAGCATAATGTTCAGCAAGGCTTTGCCAAAGTTCGGGATATCCTTTACAATACTTGCATTTCCTCAAAAAGTAAAGCACATAAGTGTAGTCTGTGCTTAAAACATCGTGAAAGGTTTCAGCTGTAAGTTCAATTGGCTTAACTTTATCTGCTGGTTTAGCTGTAGTTGTTGGAGCTTTTGTAGTTGTCGTTTCTGGTTTTGGAAGATTATCTGAGAAGAACTTTTCTAAATTTTCTAAAGTTTTCGATCCCTTAAATTGTTGCATTTTGTTTCCATCTTTTATGTATTGAACGATCGGATATTTTTTCACACCAAAGCGATCACAAATTGCTGGGTACGTTTTGCAACACACACTGAGAAGTGAGAATCGATCATCATTCTTATGTGCTTTCTCTAGTTCACCCCAGACAATCGTAGCGTCTTTGCAGTATGGGCAATTAGGGAAGGTAAATTTAACAAAAGCATTTCCTTTATTTATTTTTTCATCCAAAGCTTTCCTTTCTTGAATTTTCTTTAAAGTTTTATCAATAGTTTCAGTAAGGAAATCAAAGATTGGCTTCGAGTCAAAATTATCATTGGGACGAGGGAAATATCTCAATTCAAGAATATTTTTTACGTTATTGTCTTGACAAAGCTTTTCATTTTCACTGCAAAGAACTTTCCCTAATCGGATCGTCTCATCGGGATTTGTATAAAGATTTGATATCTTGTTCCAAAATGATAAAAAGTCTTCCAATTCTCTTTGTCATGCAATGAAAAAAATTTATATTTGTGCGTCATTAGTTAAGATCGACTGTTTAATCAACTGTTTAATTATCGTTTAATTATTTCTCTACTCACCCCTCTTTTCCGTTCACAAAAATCACGTAAGAATTTTTCGTGTCATCTGCAAAATTTCCTGCATTCAAATCCACAGGAATCAAACAATTTATAAATCCAATAAGGCAAGAAATTATTAAAAAATTCGCTATCATTGTTTGGTGTCAGCTTGCTTTCTGTTCCAAAGAATGATGATAAATGAGCGAGCGATATGAGACGAACAACTTTTATAAATTATGAAGAATGTTCCCGAAGGAAAATTTCAATTTTTCTTGTGGATTTGGAGATAAAAAATTGAGAGTAAAATTAATATGAAGTGAGTAGTTAGTAAATATTAAATGAGATCTAATCATTGAAATGAATCATTTCATAGTCAAGAAGAATGTTGTGAAGGAAGTAAATTTATATGATGACTCAAAGCGTTGTTTAACAATTAATCATTTGATAATTTATTAAAAAATTCTTTGTTTCTACTCCTAGAAAATATTAATTAAAGTGGAATTTAATGCGCATCATTTATTAATCACTTCTTAGAACAAATTTACAAAACTTTCTTTAAGACATTTTCAATATAATTACTAAAATCTTCAAAGGATCGAGAACCTGCGTACTTGTTAAGTTTGTTGCCATCCATCAACGAGAGTATTGTTGGATATCTTGTGATGTCATAATTGTCGCAAACCCAAGAATTTTTGTTGCAATCAATACTCATGACGGAAATGAATTTATCGTCTTTATATGCATTTTCCAGACGTTTCCAATCTTCAGCCATAGCTTTAGAATGTTTGCAAGTTGGAACAAAGAAATTCACAAGCATCGTTCCTTTGTCTAATTTTGTAAGAATTTCTTTCTGTTTTCTTGCATTCAAGACGTTTTTATCTACTCTTTCAACCAGGAAATCGTAGATAGGCTTCCACTCAAAGTCATCGCCTTCCTTACCAAAGAACTTCAATATTAAAATGTCATCAATATTCTGATCCTCGCAAAGTTTTCTGCTGGTTTCACAGTCAACCTTTCCAATTCTTAAGGTGCTGTTGTTGTCCGAGTTGTAAAGATTTGCAATCTTACTCCAGAATGATAGAAAATAATGCAAAGATCTAAAATGTGTTCGATAGTTTCATACATCAACGTCATTTAAATTTAATTTTATCAACTTACTTTCCATTTTCTTTAACAAATATCACGTAGTAATTAAAATCTTTCAATTCCTTTTCGAAATTATCATCGTTTAATTGAATTGAGTGATCGGAAGTTGCATTCGATTTGTGCAGCAGAATAAGAAAAATTATTAGCTGATAAACTAGTCTTGATGACATTTTACTCTTTTTACTGAAAACAAAACACTTGTTGAATATTTGATGAGATAATGACGAATGATCGTATTGAAATGAAGCTTCATCTACGTGAGAGTAACGAGCATGGCAATAACAGAATTGTTTGAATGTTTTTCCAAACACTTCAGTTCGGTAGAAAATTATTAAGAAACAATAAATGGCACATGACAATGTCGTCACAGATACTAAACATAATTCACAACTGTGAAGAATAACAGAAGTTCTTTTGAACGTCACAAACGAGCAAATAAAGTGTGACAATATTTTTTATTTAAAATTAATATCTCAATTTCATTATCAGATTTTTGTACTCTTTAACAGTGGACCCACTAAAATCTTTTAAAATTCTCTTTCCATTTTTAAAGACGGCAATAGTCGGAACACCATTGTCAAGTTCTGCATAGCACGTGTCTAAGTTTTCTTCCTTGTGACAATCCAATTTACGAATTTTGACCTTCTTATCTTTAGCAAATATTTTGCTAACTTCCTCTATCGCTTCGAGTTCTTTTTTGCAATGTTGACACCAAGGAACACAAAAGATTACCAGAGTTAAATTTTTGGAAATTATTGTCTTGAAGTTACTGCCAAAGATTTCGATAATATTGTCAGTAAATATCTCTTTAACAGCCTCCTCAACAACTTCCCGCTTTTTTCGATTCGAAAACATTCTTTTTCCAAATGCAATCATTCGGTCTGGCTTTGCCTTCTTGAAGCGAAGCATTTCAACTCCAGATTCCATGTACATGTATGTCGGATAGTTTTTGATTTCAAACAAATCACAAATATCACTATATAGAGCGCAATCAAAATCTGCTATCACACAATTATAGTCATAAAGGGCAGAACCAACTTCCTCCCATTTGTGTGTAAACGAACTACAGTCACGGCACCTGAAAGATTCAAAGCAATTGTATAAACTTACGTCATTAAAATAGTTTCTTCTTTTTCTACTCACCAAGTCGCATAAAATCTTACAAATAAACATCCCGATTCATCAGAAACATAATTCAGATAGTTTTCTGAATTTAATTCTACAACTGATTTTTGTGCCTGACACGACACAAACAAGACGAAAGCAGCTAAAACATTTGTGTTTCTCATGACAACTAAATATATTTTAATTTTTCTCTTTCTGTTTCAACTCAACCAGTAGACTCAACCAAAATTAAGTTTTACAACACTTTTTATTCTCTTTTTCATTCAATGAAGCTTTCTAAGAAGCTTTTTAATGATAGAAAAGCTTTAAGCTTTTATTCCTTTCGAAGCTTTTTAAATAATTTGTAACATGTGAGATTCTCTAAGTTGTATATTTATTTATTTCAAAGACATCTTTACGAAAATAATTTATGTTTCATCTTTTGCTAACTTATTCTCTTTCAAATAATTCTCAATATATTCAATGAAATCTTCCTTGCTTCTCAAGCCTTCAAATCTTTCATACTTCACTCCATTCTTGAACATTAAAAATGAGGGATAATTTCGGACTTTGTATAATTTGCAGAGTGGTTTCTGGTTTTCACAATCGATCTCTGCTATTTTAACATCTTTGCTGTTTGTGTAATGTTCACCAAGATCCTCCCATGTATCGAAAACCTGCTTACTGTAGTAGCACCTGAAGTGAAAACGAAATTTTATTTAATTATAATCTTACATGTTGAATTGAACATTTTAATTTAAATTTCATCATACTTACCAATAAGTGAAAAACTTAACGAAAACATTTTCATTTTCCTGTAACACTTTTTCATAGTTAGATTTGGTTAAAGGTTGTGACACGTAATCGCTTCCATCATCTGCTGAATTAGGACGTCCGTTTACTGATTTGACGAGAGTTATTAAAAATGCCAACAGTAACAAAGTTTTCAAAAACATCTTTAGACGGGATCTTGAAATTTTATACTTCATTTGATCATTTTATTTGTCTCTTCAGACTTTGAATGTCGTTGTGTTCACGAGAAAAATGTTTATTCAAATGTTCTTACGTATAATTTATAGGAGTAAAAACCAAGCGACATAAGTATTTATTAAAATGTTGACGTCAAACATGTGGTTTGAAAACGAGCTTCAAATAATAATTTCTTCAAAAACTTAAAATTGTTTTTCTTAATATTTATGATGGGTTAGTGATGTCATGAATAATATTGATAATCACTGTTTTGATGGAAAGAATGCTTTATAAAGGCATAAAGAAAATTTTCTATGAAATAATCTGTAAAGGACCGACCTTGTTATTGTATAAAGACTTTGCAATATGTTTCTGAAAAAGCTCTTATAGTGATAAAAGTCTTTGTAGTTGTTCAAATATTCGCACAAAGGAATGATGACTGAAATTCACTGAATTGTTTACTCATATTTTCCAATTTTTAATTTTCCTGAAATCTTAAATTGTCAAAGCATTGCATCAAAATATTGATTAATTAATTGTATTTTAATTACTGCGATTTAAAACGAAGATCCTTGAAATTGCACAAGTACCCGTGTATTAATTTGAAGTTTACTCAAGTGTTTCTACCTTTTTGAGTTCACTATTCAATAGTCATCATATGAGACGATTTCTTTTTCTGATGTTTTATGAAATTAATTTAGTAAAACTCAAATGATCATCTTTAAATGAAAAAAAAAAATATTTATTAAGGATTTGAGAAAATTCAATTCATTCCAAAAAAAATTTTGTGATATACGATTGAGAAATTTAGATACGTCTCAAAGTGGCTCTGGCCCTGGAAGCACCAGGATTTCTTCTTATGGTAGGTCGACGAATTCGGCGAGGTGGAGCTCTAACTGGAGCGACAGGTTCAGGCTCAGGTTGAGGTTGAGCAACAGGTGTAGAAGGACCGAATTCATCAACAACCTTTTTAACCCATGTTTTTAGTGCAGCAGCGCGTGCACGTTTACCACCAAGCTCACTTAACAAAGCAGCACCTCTAATAGCTATAGTTCTTGGATATTTTCTTGGTTGTGGCATCCAACGATGGCAGAAATCTTTATTTTCAAATTCATCACAAATAACAAAATAAAAAGTTGCAGGGAATGATCTGCATTGATACTCCCCAGTTGAGAGTTCTGCCAGGTATTTCTTGCTCATTGTACATCTTTTTCAGTGGAGTATTTAAAAATATTAATTCTTAATTATTTTAAAAATTTATTTATTTTTCTTACTCTTTCAATCCAAAATATACAATGGCGAGTTCGTCTTCAGGAATCGAATCTCCACGATTCGTTCTGATTTCCTGTAAAATTGCAGACACTGTCAAAATTAGTGCGGCGAAAACAAATAAAACTTTCATAACCATTATGAACGTTGTATTAACACTGACACGTCCTTTAATAGTTTTTCCATATTTATAGAACTTTTTAAGATAAGCTAAGAAAATTGCTCTCAATATTCAGCAGCGACATCTTTCATAATTGAGAATTTAAAACTTTTAATGACAGAAAAAAGTTTGAAAAGCTCCAAATAAGAGTTTCAATGAGGTTTTGATAAATTTGAATTTGGTTATGAACATTTTCGTATTTTCTAACAGAATTTTCAATTTTCCAGTCTATAAAGTTCCAAATTCTGTTCCTTGTTATTCATGACGAAATATTAAGCTTTTGAGGGAAAATTTTCAGTGGAAAGTAAATAAAATTTCAACTATGATCAAATTTGATTAGTTTTCCAATTGAGTGTTTTAACTAACGTTCATAATTTAATTGTTCAATAAATAATACTTGACGGGCTTTGATTAAGCCTCTATTTACAGAATTCGTAAAATAATTTCATCGTCATTTGATCTCGATTCTGAACCCTTCTGTTGCAAAAAAGATTTTTAAGTTTTATGAGAAAAAGAAATTCGTTTATCAAGGTTATTAATTTACTGAGGCAACTGTTTATCAAAGTTCCACTGAATATTTATTTTAAGAATTCGTGAAAATTTTATTCATTCCAAAAAAATTCTGTGATATAAGATTGAGATATTTAGAAACGTCTCCTTATGGCTCTGAAGGCACTAGGAATTCTTTTAAAGGATGGTCGAAGGCTTTGTCGGGGAGGTCGAATTCTAACTGGAACGACAGGTTTAGGTTTAAGTTTTGGCTTAAGTTTATGTTTAGGTATTGGTCCACGTTTATTTTCTGGTTTAGGTTCTGGTTCAGGTTCAGGTTCAGGTTCAGGTTCTGGCTCAGGCTCAGGTTCAGGTTCAGGCTCAGGCTCAGGCTCAGATATAGGAGGACCGTATTCATCGACAACCTCTTCAACCCAATCTTCTAGCTCAGCAGCGCGTGCACGTTTACCAGGAAGCTCACTTAACAAAGCAGCACCTTTAATGGCAATAGTTCTTGGATAACTTCTTGGTTTTTTTATCCAACGATGGCAGAAAGCTCTATTTTCAAATTTGTCGCAAATGACAAAATAAAAACGTGCATCGTATTTTCTGCAATTATAATCCGCTGCTGTGAATTCTGACAGATATTTCACGCTAGTTGTACAACTTTTTTAGTGGAATATTTAAAAATATTAATTATGAATCGTTTGTAGAAATTTATTTATTTTTCTTACGCATCCAATCCCAGATATACAATGGCGAGTTCGTCATCAGGAATCGTATCTCCACGAACCGTTCTGATTTCCTGTAAAACTTCAGACACTGTCAAAATTAGTGCGGCGAAAACAAATAAAACTTTCATAATCATTATGAACGTTGCATTAACACTGACACGTCCTTTAATAGTTTTTCCATATTTTTAAAATTCTCTTTAAGATATCCTAAGAAAATTGCTCTCAATATTCAGCAGCGACATCTTTCATAATGGAAAAATTAAAACTTTTAAAATTTTTTAATGACAGAAAAAAGTTTAAAAAGCTTCAAATAAGAATTTTTATGAAAGACTGACTTTGGATTTTGATAAATTTAAATTTGGCTATGAAAATTTTCGTCTTTTTTGATAACAGAATTTTCAATTTTCCAGTCTATAAAGTTCCAAATTCTGTTCCTTGTTGTTCATGACGAAATATTAAGCTTTTGAGGGAAAATTTTCAGTGGAAAATAAATAAAACTTTCAACTATGATCAAATTTGATTAGTTTTCCAATTGAGTGTTTGAACTAACGTTCATAATTTAATTGTTCAATAAAAAATATTTGATGGGTTTTGATTAAATCTCTACTTACGGAATTCTTAAAATAATTTCATACCTCTATCGTCATTTGATTTCGATTTTGAACCCCTCTGTGGTAAGAAAGTAGGTCGTCTTGAGCTTTTTCTTTTTGAAGATGAAAACATTTTCTTGACTCCGTTAGAACTGTATTTATCGGTAACTTCTTTAACCCATTTAATCAATTTGGCAACCCTTTCACGACGACCAGGAAGCAACTCTAAAATTGCATTATCTCTCACAGCAACAGTTCTTGGATAACTTCGTGGTGGTTGGATCCATTTATGACAGAACTTTTTATTACCATGATGATCGCAATCAACTTTATAAAAAGAAGCACCAAGCTTCTTGCATCGGTATGCTGCTATTTTAAACTCCGAAATATATTTATCGCTTGCCGTACAACTTATAAAATTAGATGAATATTTTAAAAAATAAATTACGACATTCCTTAACAAGTTTTTTCATTTTTCTTACTCTGACGATCCCAGATATAAAATAATGATTTGTCCTTCAGGAAGTACATCCCCACGATCTGATTTAAATTCATTTAAAGCTGCAAAGGCTCTAAATACTAGAGCAGCAGTAATAATTAGAATCTTGATCAACATTTTGATGTTATTTCGACTGAAAGTTGTAATAACACTGCCACGTCCTGATATTCACAATAAAATTACATTAAAAAATGTTTTCAAGAAAAATTACAAAAGCAAGTATTGCTTTTTATAATGTATAGCGACTTCTTGTCTTATAATAAAATTTTATGAGATAGATATCGGCGTTAGATTCCAAAACAGAATTTTTTCGTACTCTTCTTTTTTCTCTCTGAATAAGGTAAAAACATTTTATAATATTTCAATGTCATCCTACAGATGGTGAACATAAAACGAGACGTTGCAACGCGTTGTGATCAATTACAATCAAATAGAGCTTTTTAAATAATGAAAACTTATCCTTGATCATTGATGATGATGATGATCATTCCGAATGATGGTGATGATGATGATCATTCCGAATGATGGTGATGATGATGATCATTCGTTTTCTTTTCCAAAAGCTTTTCAACTGATTTTAATTTTTAACAAGGTTTGAGTTAACTTAAAGGAAATTTATGGCTTTCCAGTGTGATGCAATGTCATGAGTCAAACACGATATTTAATTTGAAAATCGTGGAAAAGTTTTAAAGTATTTAACAATAAGTATCTACCTATTTGTATTTTTTTCTTTTATTTTTATTTTCCATTTTCTTTTTCTATGATGAAGGGAAGAAATTTTAATTTATGTTTCTCAATATTAAAAAAATTCAAAAGTGTCAAGTCGATGCATTTTACAATTCATCGCGAGCCTTTTCACTAATGTGAGATTTGACGAAGTTATGAAGATCGTCTAATGATCGACTTCCATTATATTCAGTGACTTTATCGCCATTCTTGTAGATGTAAAGTGTTGGAAAACCATTGACATCTTGCTCACTACATAATTCACGATTATCTTGTAATGTACAATCGACTTTGGCAATCTTTACGTCAGCATCTCCAACAAATTTCTCAGCCAGTTGTTGCCACGTTGGCGCTAAACGTTTGCAATGACCGCACCAAGGTGCAAAGAACTTAACAAATGTTACGCCACTTTCAATACTTTGTTTGAAACTGTCAAGAGTTAATTGAAGAACTGCAGCACCTTCACCATCTTCTTTCACTTCAACCTTTTCTGCTTCCTTCTCACCACCTTCTCCTGATGAACGCTGTTCGACATAAGCTTTCAAATCTTGAAGAGATCGTGGACCAGTGTACTTGTCAACTTTCTTTCCATTCTCAAACCAGAGAAGTGTTGGGTAGCCTTTAACATCGTAATCCTTACAAATTGGTCGATATTCAGTACAATCGATCTTCGCAATTGTCACAGTCGTGTCATGTTCAACTGAACGAGCAAGTTCTTCAAATGTTGGAGCTAATTTCTGGCAATGACCACACCACGGAGCATAAAATTTAATGAACCAGTTTCCATTTGCAGTCTGAGCAGCGAAATTCTTATCAGTGAGTACGACAAGACCCTTCAATGGTCCAGGAACTTCAATTGCTTCTTCGGAATCATCTTCCTCATCTGATGACAAGGTGTCCAATTGTTGATTAATAAATTCAGTGAGTGATGGCAAATCTCTGGTTGAACGATACTTTACAGGCTCTTCACCAGTTTTAAAGAATTTCAATGTTGGATATGAGGTAACATCGTTGTCTGAACAAGTCTTTTGGTGCTCTGTACAATCAACTCTAGCAATTCGTACGCGACTTTCTTCTTGGGTGTTTAACATCTCAGCTAATTGGCTCCATGTTGGCTTAAGTCGCGTGCAGTGTCCACACCTAATTACCGGAAATAAAGCAAACAAATTAGATTACTGTAATTTCGTAGGCGTAAATATAATGACACGATACATTCAAATAATCTTAACATAAATCTTTGTGACAATTAGAGCGTTAATAAATGCTTTAACAAAATATCATTTGTACAAATATTAAGATAAGAGATAGCAGACACGTTGCATCTTCTTAAAAAAATTGTCTGCGGTTATAAATATTAAGCGATGACACAACATTTTTAAGAAACATGAAAGTTCACTCATAAATTCGCCGGTTTGTAAGAAATTTAACTCTATAAAATCTAATCTTCTGAAAATAGATTTTACGGACACCTATTTATACATACCATGGAGCGAAGAACATCACAAAAAAGTTATTTGTCTTAAGAACATCTTCGAAATTACTGTCGGTAAGCACTATTGTCGTGTCTACTTCGTTCTGTGCATCTTCATCACTTTTCACTCCTGATACGACCAGAAAAATAAAAGCAAACAGCTTTAAATCCATTGTAGACTAAAATTGATGACACTCTTAACTTTAAATTTTACTAAATGTCTTCTCTACTTATTAAGTTTCTTTTTATTTGATATTTCACAGATGTGTGGTGATAAAGAGACTCGATCGCTGAAAATGTCACAATAAAAAATCTTTTATTTATATTGTTGGTTATCGAGACTTTCTTGTTAAGCTAATCCGTGCTACCGAAGGTTTGAAGTTTATTTTGAAAAATAGCCGTTAAAATATTGTTTTCCACAATCTGATTATTCGAAAGTTTCTTTATCTAATAAAATCTTAGAGGTGAATAACTTTAGAGGCAACATTTTTACGTCAAATTAATATTTATATTCTTATCATAAAATAAATCTCAACTTTCATCAATCTTAGTGAAGTCAATAATAATTTTTTTATGTTTTGGTAAGAATTGATGGTAAATAATCCCAGCAGCATCCAACATCTTTTTGGAAGCGATTGTATGAGGTTTATCTGAATGCTTATCAGATACATAAACAATTTCTTTAATCCTTGATTGAATGATTATTTTGGCACATTCGTTACATGGAAAAAGAGCAACATATAATGTACATCCCTTCACGTCAATGCTGTTTTTATTGAGAATTGCGTTAACCTCAGCATGGCACACGTACATGTATTTATTTTCAAGTGGATCAGATGAATGTTTTGTCCAGGGAAAAATATCATCAGCACAATTCATAGGAAACCCGTTGTAACCAATTGCAACAATTTTCTTTTCCTCGTTGACAATGCAGGCTCCAACTTGAGTTACCGGATCTTTACTTCTTTGTGCAGCAAGAAAAGCTATTCCCATAAAATACTCTTCCCAATCTGAGGAGGAAAAACCTCATTAAATCATTAAAAAACTAATTTTTCATCAATTTTAGTTTACCTAAATAATCTTCTCGTTTTCCACTACATTTTTCAGGATTTTCCTCTGAAATTTTCACTTCAGATATTTTCATTACTTCATTTATATCTTCGATCTTATTTTCATTCATTATAATCTGGAAAATACAGGAAAAAACTGAGACACAAAACACTTGAATATTATCAACGCTTGGATATGACGAAAAACATTTTGTTTGTTTACATTTAAACAGATGATCGTGAATGATACGTAATGATGTCACATGATCGTCTGTTTCGAGTGAATATATTAAATATAGAAATTTGTATGAAGAAAATTATCCACGAATTGTTCAAACAACTGTTTGTATTTAAGACATGAATGAATTCTTTCAATAATTATTATCATTTTATCCAAGCATTTTTATGAGAATTCTTTGATTATTTAAACATCATTTATGGTTGGAAAAGTCGTTGAGTTTAGAATAAAGGAGAAGGTAGAAGATATTCTGCAAAATTGGACTGTTACCTGCTTGATATTTGATATTAATGTATACTATAATTAATCTTTTTCTTTTGAAGACATACGCAAATTTCAAATCTGAAAAAATAAACATTTAAACAATAAAAAATTCAAACAAATTCTCCAGGATATTAAATTTCTTTTCTAAAACATCATTGCGTCATCTTTTATTTATTTTCTTTGAAAACAAAAAGTAAAAACAGGCGACATGGCGCAATTTGCTAGTTAATTAAAAAAAGTCATCGCTTTCTTCTTTTTTTTTGTACAAAACTTTTAAGAAAATTTTTCGTTTTTATCCAAAAATCAATTTTGGTTGGTGGTCAGATGAATGGAATTTTGGGAAGAAAGTTTTGGTTTGCTGAAGCTTCTTAGAGTCTATGCAGAAATGAATTATGTTGTAATAAAAAAAGAGAGGAAGTAGCAGAATTGTTCACTTAAAATCATCAAATGTGAAGTGTACGAATGCAAGTAGAAGTTGAGTCAATAAGACCACATGAACACTTCTTGTCAGGAACTGGAGCTAAAATTTAAAATGCAACAAGTTTAATTCCCAACATCTTGCAATTCTCTTCATCTTTTATGATCACAACTGAATATGTATTATAATGACTTTCATTAAATATAATTTAAAGCAAAACCTTTAATTTTCATTGCTGTCATCAGCACCCAAATATCCTCCCACATAATAATTTAGAAAAAAATTTCATTTATTTTTCAAGCGCTCAAAAGCAAAACATTTTCATTCACATCATTCGAATTCCAGCTTATGTTTTTTTCTTCGAGTTTATCATCGGAATAATTTCTCTTTTTCTTTTCATAAAAGTCCCTACAAAAAAAGTCTGACATTATAAATAATTTATAAAAACAAAAAGATGATTTTTTTTCTTTCGCTCTCTTGAGGCTCAATTTGTGACTAAACTTGAAAAACTAGAAAGAAAATTCTTTCTTTTGCAAAAAACAGTAGCAAAGTTTACATCACAAAAACATTTCAATCAAAATAGAAAAAAAAATCACTAATTCCGGTATCAAATATCTAAATACATTTAGTTAGCTGCTGATGGAGCTGATGTAAGCGATATGACATGATCAATTGGATCGTTACATCGTATTGTAAGCGGCTGAAGGTGTTGCATTTAATCTTTGTTTATTAATCACCAACTTTGTCAACGGATGAGTTTTTCCATGTTGTTGAATATTTTTTCGGCAATTTCCAACATTCTTCATATTCTGATTACTCGTCATTAATGCATTCTTCACAGTCGGCTGTTGTTGTGATGGAATCGGCGGGAGTCGCTTATAATCATCGCTTTTCTGTAAAATCGTCTGATGTGTTATAAGTGATGGCTTTGATTGATAACTCTTCACATTAAACTTTGTTTCGAAGAGTGATTTGGGACGCTGACGAATATTTGGTGATAAAATATTTCGCATTTTTGCGACACCATCGTAGCGATCGATAAGTGTTTTAATATCTTCGGTATTTGCACTGGGAAAGCCATCACTGCTGGCAGAAGACACGTCAATATGAATGGCGATTGGTGATGATGGCAATGAATGGCAATTCTTTTTATTCCCACCACTAGTGGCAGCACCAGTCGTAGCTGCAATTAATTTTGTATTGTTCGCTTTGGCCTCAAAATTCATCTTCAAATTTTTAACTTTTCCAATTCCCTGCTGATTGTCACCACGTTTTAATTTCTTGTCACATGAATCATCCGTCGTATATGTTCCCGGCTTTTTAAATTGCTGTCGTCGTTGTTGAAGCTTTAACGTTGATGTTTTTGTCGTGGGAACATCATCGTGATCACTCATAAAGCTTAAACAAAATGTTTCCGGCGCTGATGCTGATAATTGTTGAGCATTGTTATTATTGTTATCATTACCACCAACTGATGAAGCCATTCGAATTGCACGCTGTGCCGATAAATATTCTTCACTTCGACATCTCATATTTCCACTTTTATTGTTGCCTTTTATAGCAGCTGATGACACCGATGATGATTGCTGAAGTTTAGCAAACTTTTGTGGTTGCTTTGGTGATGATGATCCTTTTCCAGTGCGATTTGTTAAGTTGTCTATTAGTAATGATTTCTTAATATCACATAAAATTTTATTATTGTTATTATTGTTTTTGGCATCGATTGTTGATAATGATGTTGTTGATGTTGCTTGATAAGATGGACCCGATGCAGATCGCATGATGGGTACTTGCTTCTCTTCAATCTTCTGTTTTGTACGCTTCACTGTGCCAGGATGCCAAGGAATTTCGTCTTTCTCATAAGGAAAGATTCCACTTTGTCCCATCACAACATCTTCAGCGAGAACAGTTTGTTGCATCTTTGTATCGTATGATCCCCATGATGAATTACGTGATGGCAGTGTGCGATTATTGTCACCGGAACCCCATGATGAGTTACGTGAAGGAAGATCACCAATGATGCAAGCTGAATCGACGCTGCTCCATGAACTTTGTCTTGACACAAATTGTGGATCTAAACGGTGTTTCTCTTCACGATCAAAAACACGATCAACTTGCTTACTAAACGTGTCGTTTTTTCCACTCGGCGACTTTGTTATCTGTATTGGAGTGTTAAAGGAATCTTGTCGAATTATTTCAGCTGAACATGTGTAAACTTGTTGCTTCTGTTCTTGCTTTCCTTCACCTGGATCCCACGATTCTTTATTCTCTTTATTTTCACTCTTTAATTTCTCTTCTCTTAACTTCTCTTGATGTTGTTCAAGTTCTGTTATAATGCTTCGTACCAGCGGTGCTACAATTGACGCATCAATTGTTGTTTCTATTTCTTGTGGATTGCTATGTTCATTTTCAAGATAAATGATTTGATTTTGTGAGATGGAATAATGTCCATGATGGCATGGCCAACGAAGATTTGTCGTTTCTGATGCGCTCGTGTGTTGTTCTTGTGTTGCATCAACAGTGACAAGTGTCTCGAGTGACAACGAGATTGGCTTTGCAATGGATGTTGCTTCACTCGATGACTTTGAAATGTCAGGTGAGCTGCTTGGTCGTTGACTAATTCGCTTTAAATATGAAGCTTCTTTCTTACTCGATGGATATGTCGAGTTTTTATTCCGTTCGAGAGCTTGTATAAGCGGCGTTGGCTCACTGCCTGGTAGAAGTTTTCCCTCTTTGGCATTTTCACTTTTTAAATTCGTCTCACTTTTACTTCTCTGTAACTTCTCTTTGTTCTTCATGGCGTCGAGGATGCCTTGATATGTCTCAAGTTGCGACACAAAATTCTTATTCGGCTTTATACAATTTCTCTTCTCTTTCACATGTTTAATTGCTTGATCAAAGTCCCAGTCATAAGCTTTCATTGCATATGCAATGACAACTGAAGCAGAACGACTTATGCCCATTTTACAATGTACAAGCACCTTTGATCCTTCCATTTTGGCACGAGAAATATATTTAAATGTATTGTCCCAGTGTTTGAGCAAATCGGTTTTCTCATCATCATAAACACGAACGTTAAAATAATCAAACATTCCGGGAAAGAAATTATCAATTTCACGTGTCACATTGAGAATATGACGAACACTGGAAGTGAATTAAAAAGTATTAATTTCAAAACAATAAAAATGAAAATTTATGCTAAAATTCAAATCCATTAAAAACCGTTAAATTGTAACGACTTTTATCAAGATTTAAATGTTCTCATAATTTAGCATTAAACTTACCCGTTTCTTTGTAATTCTTCTAAATTGCTTGCATTCCATTCGGAACCAAGATAAACATGCTCGAAGATCTCAGTTGGTGCATCCATTTGACCGAGAATCACGAGCATCTCTTCGTCGATGAACGATTTGAATTCACCGAGATCCATATCCAGGTGCTCTTCCAAGCGACCGCGAATATATTTTGATGTGACTTCATCGAGATCGACAGACATCATGATTTCCTTTAGAGCTGTTCGAATGACTCGTTCAGTTTCGTCACGCTCAGTTGGTCTATAAAAGTGGGCAGAATTTAATTAATTTTATTTTAGCTTTTTTTCTTCTTCTCTTTCGTTCAACCTTCAGCTTAAATTATTCAAAAAAATAAAGTAAACTCACTTGTTTCTTATAGTGTCTGGTGACGGAGGTCGACGACTCTCAAGTGAATCCATCGCATGCCACTCATTAAGACAGGAACGATCTGATTCGATACGATTCTCATAATACTGAACCCATTCGTGTGATGGACCGGCTGCAAAAAAGTTCTGTTCTTGAGCTTTTGATGAGATCTTGTATAATGTTTGAAGTGCAGACCTGGAATGAGTGTTTAAACGATAAAAGAAAATCAAACTTTTGTAATATCAAAACTTTTAACTTATAATGTTGTAATTTATTGATGGAAAAGCTTTTAAATTAAAATCTTTGAGAAAGTTTAACTAATATGTCGCCATTGTGTCGTCTGACAAACAGCAAACATTATCGACGTTTCATGTTCAACGTTATTAAAGTTATTTTTGACTTGGCGAATTCAGATTACAATATAAACATGCAAAATGTTAACAAACATTGAATAAATTTGATATCGACCGACGCGTGAAGTTTTTAATGTTTATTAGAAAATTGAAGCGCATTTTCATTTAAAATTCTTTTTCCCTAAATTATCACGCTGATGCATGTGAATAAAAGATTTTCGATTTCACTTTTTCCGCATTTCAAGCTGTTTATTCTCTTACATTGTTTTCTTCTTCCCTTAATGCGCATCGATAAATCGACGATGATTCTTTTTATCTCTCATTTTGAATCAGGAACTCGTGTTAAAAGGTTCTTTACGACTCGTTTCATATTATCTACCATATGATACACAATTCATTCCATCTTCTTCTTACAACAATGATATTTATGTACGAGTATTGTCTGAGATTTATGCAAATTATATTTTTTTATATCATACCATATTTGTTCAACATGAATCGCACCGATTTCGGGGTTCTCTGATCACTGATCACAGAGACAAAAAAAAAGTTTAATAAAACATGGAAACGTGAGATAAATGAGAAGACAAATGAAAACCACACGTAGGTATCTATTTAATGACGTCATTGTCACGTTTAAAATGTCTTTCAATGAATGTGAATACACGAATACACTCGTTGACTCCCCAAGCTACATTTGGTGGTTATCCTTCAAAACAGATCTCGAAAGGTAATAAAGTTATGGGCAAACTGCACGGTTAAGTATAAGCAGTAACAAGCTTTAACACTTTTGGGGATTGCCAATCAAAAGTTTTGCAATGTTTATTTATTTAAGCAAACTGAGAATAAATTTTATGAATAAACATCGAAGGGAATTGAATCTTATTGTTTCATTACAAACGACCAATAGTCATTAATCATTCCTTTTACGTTCATTTCCTGCGCTACTCGATGTGAAAATCTTTTCTGCATTAGCATAATGAAAAATCATCGTTTCAAAGCTTCCAGATGCACAAAGTTTTTGCTAAAATTTATGACTTACTCAATTAACATTCCCATAGTAGTTTTTTTTTTGCTTTGATAGCAAACGGTCAATGATGCAGATTTTTAACAAGTTCGTTTGTTGATCAGATTTTGTTTGTTTTTACATTCCTGAGAACTCCCTCGCACTTTTCAGAAATATTTAAATATTCACACAAATTGTTTTTAATTAAATTCTCGTCTTCTCGTTTCTTCAACTTAAGTAAACTTAGTTACTCTTAATAGTTCTTATTTAATATTCGTTTTCAAATCGACTAGTCAAATATAATTCAACAGAAAAATAAATAAATCGCTCAAGTATTCGCTTTTTAAAAGTTGTCTATCGTTTCTAATTTTTTTTTTCTCGTTTGGCTTTAACACCCACACACGGCAATTGAATCAAGTTTCTACCGTTTTTGTGCTTTAATTATTATAAAGTCGATAATCTTTTCTTTTTATTCACACTTTTCTCTCCTTTTCACAAAATAGTGATTGCAATTTCTTTTCACAATCGCTAATTGTTGTTTTTCAATGATATTAGATTTTTATTTTCACACTTCACGTCTATGATCACAATAAAGCGCGAGAAATTATCATTTGTGACTTTTCCATTTACAAATCTTTAATTAACGTTTTGCAAAATGTCCCGAATGTTAAACATTTCAAATTTAAGAAAGGGATTTTGCTGATGATTTCATTTGATAGAAATAATTTCTTCAACAATTTCGCGTCGAAAGTTTTCGAGCTTTTCCAACTCTTTTTCCACCCCCGTTATTACGGGTTTAAAATGATGTAAAAGATTAATTAAAAAACTGAAATTTCTGATGCGACTTGTTCGATAGAAGAACAGACATTCACTAACTAACATTTAAGTCTAGGTATGAACAGAATGAATAAAGTTTTGCTCACAAATGGATGTGTGCAGCAAGTTTCTGTCGACAACAGTTGTTTTTCCTTTTAAGTCAGCAACAAGCACCATAGGTAGGTATCGTATCGCTTTAGGTTTTTTAAATTTTAATTTTAGTGTGCAGTGAATGAAACAGTCATGGAGTGTCAAACAAGGATGTTTAAGAAACTTAAAACTTCAAAAGCAATTTAAAACTTTTAATCCAGGAAGAAATTCTTCTTTTCGTTAATAACGTTTAATGGCAGTTAATCGTAGCAAAAGAAATAACTGTATCATCATTTCATTCTGTTTTCACCCAGGTGTACTTTAATATTTTCATAAATGGACATTACAACGAGATATTTCTACTCGAAGATATTTATTGAGACATCCTGGTACTTAAATTATCTCTTATGACATCTCCTGAAACGTGTACTTGGGCTTTGTCATTGAGTTGTAATCCCAGCTGTTCCAATCGTTATTGAAGAACTTTTTTAAGTAATAAATAAATAGAAATGAGAGAGACAGAGAAAAAATGTATAAAATTGTCGTATCCATAATAAGCAATTGGAAACTCACACAAAACTCTTGAAATGGATTTTCAACTTGACGATGAGATTTTTTTTTCTTAAAAGCATGTCTTCGTTGATTTCGAATCAAAATCAAAAGCCATGAAATTCTCTCCTTCTGACCAGGCAATCAAAACCGTAAAGAAACGAGTGAGTAACGTACGATTTTTAATTGAAAAGAATTCTCAAGATTTTTTTCTTCTTTTTCTCTTTTTTCTGTCCCACTTTTTGTTGTTCATCATCAACCTCCGGCTTTTTCTAAGTTTTCTAAATAAGCCGATGCCGTCCCCATAAAAAGTTCATTGATTTTTAATATTATTTTCTGAGTCATCTTCTCAGCGTCTGTCTCGTATTTCGGTGCCATTACGAGCTCATCATAAAATTTCCATCAAGGTTTTGGCTCGCGTAAAAATGAAAATAGATTTGAGAGGTTTCATCAAACGAATGTCAAAAAGAAAAATTATTGAAGACAGAGTTAGGAACGCGTGTAACCACAGTCGATGATTCTCAATTAAATTTCTAGTTCACATTATAAAACTTCTTTTGAAGATGCTTGAAACAAAGTCACATTTGATAAAAAAAAAGAAAAAGAGAAAAAAGCTGAGTAAACAGTTAAAAGCTTTCACAAGTTGTTCTTGTTTAAACAATACAAGTTTAACGCAAAAATTACATCATTCTCTGAGAAGAAATTTGATGAACTTAACCGTATAATGCGCCCTACGTCGAAAAAAAGCACTCATCGATACACTTTAGACAAAAACAAAAATAATAGGAAATGAAATTATCAAACGAAATGAAACAAAAAGAAAACTTCAATCAAACAGCCCGAAAACTTTCTATTTAAATTAACATGACAATCGAAATTGACAATTTGTTGCGAGATATCGGCGCCTTAGCGTAGAAAAAGAAACATACACACACACGAGACTTAAACATTAAGTGAAAAGTATCAAAATTATGCAATTGTCGAGCGATCGATCGATAAAATAAAATAAAACATTATTCCATCTCGCCAGAGGTGTTACATGAACCAATTTCAAAGCGAAAGCAATTAACATTTTGTGTTGTTTTTCACTGACTGCGTCGTTCTTGTTGGTTTTTGTTTCGCGCGCAAGCTTTGCTCTCAATTTTCACTTTTTTCTTATTTTTATTGTATTTTGCAGTTTAAATAAGATTTTTATGGTTTCATGAGTCGTCATTGAGATAAAAAGTGAAATAATAAAATAAAAAGAAAATAAATTTTTTTGTTGAATCTCCAACGCGTGCTCTGCGACTATTTCTTTTCAATTTGAATGGTTTACACGTAGTTTGCGTCTGGCATAAGCTTACTTGGTGAGTTGCTTCATCAATGCATTCAATCAATTCTTAATGTTTTCTTTTGTAATTGATTGATTGAAAAAAGCTTCCCAAGAAGTCAATTAAAAGTCCATCAAGTGATTTCACGGTAATTTGTAAATCATAAATACAAAACAAAAAGCATGCATCATAAGTCATTCAAACTTACCACATGGCCTGTACGGAAACTGGCTTGAATATGTGCTGGCGGCCACAAACGCTTACACTGAAGCCGCTGTTGAATGAGAGAGAAAATATTAATTGTATTAGGTCAATTCCGTGTTTACTTTTTCTATCGTTTGTTTGTTGTTGTTGATTCTAAATTGATTATTTCAACTTACCCATCACCATCAAGTCTTATAGCTGTGTCAGCAAGGACTTTAAGTACCAATCCAACGGTCGTCTTCTCATTACAATCAATACCAAGCAAACATGACTCTTCAATTTCATTTGATGAGCTTCGACTGCAACTGCTGCCAACATTTGATTCCGTCTCGCATTGATTATCATCTGTTACGGGACATATCGTGTTGTTGTCGTCATCGTTCGAGTCATTATCACATATGGTCATATTAGCACTAGAACGTGAAGCGTCGCTAGTCGATGCTTCGTTAAAGTAACTTGTTGGATTCAATGAAATACTGCTGTTATTATTACTACTAGTCTGATGACTCTCGGCGTTTAAATGTGATGATGTAACTGTATCGGTGGTTGTTGTTGCTGTGGTTGTCGACTGTTGAAGTTTAGTGGGACTGTTGGTTATATGGCATGGCGCTGTGAAATGTTGTGGTTGCTTTACTGCTGGCCGCGACACTACGACGAGATATCTTGTGCGGCCTGCGCGTAACGATTCCAATTTGACAGCCTACAATTGAACGAGATAAGGTCATGTTGTGGTCATCATCATCATGTCGTTGTCAATCTTCAAGCACACGTTGTTGCTCGAGGTCACGAAATTTAATTGAATTTTATTTTCAGTTTTCCTTAATTTTCATCTTTCTTTTACTTTTTGTTTATTTCATTTGCGATCTACGATGATGATCGACGGTGCGCGTGTTTTTCTTATGTTTCATTTCTTTGTAAGAGATTTTCTCTCTTAACTTTGTATTTTTTTTGGCGCAACGCCAGATTGAGAGGCAAGCTAAACTTGTGCATTTCATACACATATACACAAATAATTATTATAAGAGAGACACCGCGACTCGCCGCACATTTATTTTTTGTTATTTTTCTCAAAAACGGGACTTTTATGGCTGCGCCATTAATGATTACAACGTGAGGCAGAAATGAAACTTCGACACAACTTTTCGCTCATCACTTACAAGCGAATGAAGAAGAGTGAAAGAAAAAATGAATGTTGCGAGTAAGAATTCATAATTTTATCTTGTTTGATGTGAAGAAAGAGAACTTTATGGTCATTCTCGACGATCGTCGAGTGAGAGTGACCTCGAGTAACGTTTTATCATTTATTTACCATTTTTAGTGTTTCCTCCGGTCGCAGTAAGTAAAACATGGACTGTAAATGCTGTTGGATGTCGGCGCTACTACCGATTGATGTTTGACTGGCTGAAAGTTCATTTGAAATCTGACTGAATCGACGGCCATCACCGCGTTGAAGACGTTCATTGGAACCCAACATTAAAGCTGTTCCCTTACCAGCAAAGTAGCATTCGTTGAGGCTGTAAATGAAAAAGAAACTTTCATGACAATTGTGAAAATAAATATTTAAGCAAAAATCTCATCCGTTAAAACAAATTTTTCGTCATCGTCTTTACTGTTGTTGTCATCGTCGTCGTCAAGATCATGGTTATAAATAACACATTTGTTGCTTTTAATGAACGTGTCCGAAGAGAAGGAAATTTAAATTCAACACTTAACGAGTCAAATAAAGTTTAAACGAGCAGGAAAAGGCAAAAGGCAATTATATCATCATCAGTCGATGTAATTCCAATTCACTTCGTCTCATTTCTCACGCTCTCGCGACTTTAACAGTCGACCAAAAATATTCAACTAATCTCAAGTGCAATTAAAATAATCTTGACGATTTTAGGCATAGAAAATCAAAATAGAATTGAAATCGAAGTAAATTATGAGAAAAATCTGCTGTTGAATTAATCCTGAGATAAAACTAATTAGCAATTACAAACTAAGCCGCAATGTCAAATAGAGAAATTCCACACGACTTGGACCATGACACAAACCGCAACAACGGTTGACTGATTATGGAACTGAAATTACTGCGATTTTTTTTCTCTTTCTGTCGATTCGGAAGGAAAAACATAAATGAAAAAGCTGAAACTGTAAATGGGGATGTCAACGAATAAATGTCATAAAAATAGTTTTCATATTTCTCATAAAAAAAATTGAGTGTCGCGCATTAAAAATCATTGCCGAGCATTTGTAATGCACAAGAATCAAGCTTCATTAATATGATTTTAAAGGTAGGCAAGCAAATGTTGCAGAACAAGGTTAAAGAGACTTTAAGTAGCAAATCATTCTACAGTGGAAAAGCTGCATGAGATTTTTATATTTTCAAAGCAAGAGGCAAGAGGCAATAGACACAAGACAGAAACAAAATCACCTATTTTGACCTTCACATGGTTTGAAATCTTTTGTTGCTTTTGAGAACTTTGGCATTTTTATTTTATTTTTTTTTGCGCGAACGATTCTTTTGATTGTTTTCACATCATAAATCCGGGAAACTGATTATTGAACTGAGAACATGAAATTCTTTAACCATTAAAGTTTATGTAGCATCATTAATTTATTAAGATCAGATGTTAAGTTGGAAGTTTGATCAATCATATATGATTCGTTTTTATGATGTGTACAACAAAAGATTTCATCACATCTTAATCGTGATTATTATTTGTTGTTTGTTTGTTTGTTTGTGTTTAAAACGCAAAAGTAAATCGCATGTCGACAGCAGACAAAGAAGAATCTGTGAAGATTGTTTACTCGACATCAAAACGATTTACAATCGATTCATTGTCTTGAAATGCAAAAAGATGATTAATCGAGGAAACTAAATAAACTTCCTTAACAAATGTTGTTTGATGATTTAATTAGTAGAAAGCCTACTGAAACTGAGCTATCACTTGCCAAACATCCTACTGATCAAGAGCCATACCCTAGACAATTACCAAACCTCAATCAACTGCACAACATGCATGCATGCTCGAACTTATTTTTGAATTTGTAATTTTAATTGCAATTCCACTTACATGAACAGTTGAATAAAGTAACTAACTAAGTATCAACTTGTTGTAATAAAAAATCTATTGTGCAGAAAATATTCTTGCGACACATTAATGTGAAGGTAAAATAAAACTGTTAACTATTAATTTCTCGGATTGTTTTAGGCTACAAAGCTCTTGCATCAGACTATCGATTGCAAGTTGTTTTGATGAAATAAATATAAAAATAAAAGGCCACAAAGAAGAAACGTTTCATCTTCTGACTTGTCGTTGTCGCTCTTAAAGTTCAAACCCAAGATCGAAGTGTAAGTCGTAACTCTATTCAAAATCGTAAATAAATCTAATCATCTTGTCTCACATACACTTCATTCCAATTGCTCAACTTAAACGACGCTCGTTTGTCATCACACCCAATTGTTGTTAAACTGTTCTGCAATTTCATATTTCACCTGAGAAAATAAGAAAAACAACATTTTTTCGCTTCTCTTGTATCTTTAATTTCGTTGCAATTATCTCTTCTACTCGCTGTGGCATTAAGATTGCTTTTTATGTACTTTTACCCATGGTGCTTCACTGTCTGGTATTACAACAGCAACAAACAACTGTTACAAGAGCAACAAACAAATGGCTAAGCATTTGCTTTTCTTTCTTTCTTTTTTTTTAAAATTAAATCGCTCCACGAAATTCGATCGTCAGTCGGATGGTCGAGAGAAGACAGAAGAAGAAGAAAAATAATAATAAAATAAATAAAAATTTATTTATTTCAAAGCACATTATGCAACATAATTTTTATGTGTTTTTTCACTGTTCACATTGTTGCGATGTAATTTTGGCCTTTGGGAAATGCCACTGGTAAATAAAGTAAGAGTTGATGGTGAGAAAAAAGTAAAATTTAAAAGCGATAACCGCAAGATTCATGTTAATGAAATGAAATCATGTTTTGAATCAGTTTATTGGTTTATATTCAAGTCGAAACAAGGAACTAAATTCTAAACTCTTTTATAAGAGATTAGGAATGTTGTCGCTTTAAAACGATAAAACTCAACTTCCATGTCACAAAGTACTACTGCTTGATATAAAATGTTATCTAATTTATTCATGAAAGCAAACGACCATATGTTGTTTGTTGCTAACTCGCGGAAGATTGCGATACTTTCTTTCTCTTTCAATCTATAAATACTTCGCATAATCAAACGATGAATGAAAGTAAAATGATTAAAATAAAATAAATATTTAAATGCAAATTCATCTTTCACCGAAAGTCAGACGCACTTCGGTCGAACATTACTTTTCTTTTATCGTTGTTTGTTGATTAATTAAAGTGCTTGCTCATTTTTGGGTGAAGTTAATGCGACGATGACAATTGCTGTGCGAATAAAAAGAAAAACTTTTCCCACATTCAAACGGATTTCTTTTTAGAAGGCGCGCACAAGTCTCTTCTTTATTGTTTGTTGTCTTCGTTGCTTGTGAATTTGATATGCGCGACATATTAAATTATAATTTATAATTTCAAGTCATCTTTAGTTGCTTATAGAAGGAGAAAAAAAAAGAGAGAAGAAACAAAAGAGCGAAAGTTGAACGAACAGTTAGATTTGTCTAGCAACTTTTGTGTTTGTCTATTTTCATCGCCAACAAAAGCTTCGTCATTCACTTTGGGCTCGATTTATTTTCATTCGATTGTGTTATTTTGATAGCTTCGTCGATTGAATGTTTGATTAAAAGAGCTACGAAAGAAACTCTTAGAAAGACGTTGTTAACTTTTAAAGCAAACTTAAAGGAGTGTCGTGAGATTTCATATCAAATTTTTGCAAGTTTAAAACAAGTTTTAAACTTGTAATGAGATTTGAAGCGGAAATTGTATTTGTTTTTATCAAGTTTTAGAGTTGTGGCAAAATTAGATGATAATTCTTTGCTTTTTTTTAATGGCTTCTTATAAGCTTTAGATAGAATTGTTCGTGGCTTAACTAAGATAATTGACAAGAATTAAGAAATGAAACCACTCAATGTTCAATGTTCAGCTTAAAATATCACAATTACAAGCTATATTGCCTCATGACATGTCGTAAGGAATTAATGTCATGTTATTTTCATACTATTAGCGCCATTTTTATGCACGCATTTATCGTTCGCCAATTTCCAAAACAATTTCCATTTATACATAATTAAATTGAAAGGTAAACAAAAATATTCACCGTTAGGCCTTTGTCCCAGTTCCATTTTACATTAAGCGTTCTTTTTCGTTAAAAAAAAAGAAATGAAAACATTTTTTGTCGTCTGCTGTCAGTTAATTGATTTATGGCCATTATGAGCACTTTGCAGGAAATGAGAAAACGATTTGGAACATGTCGATAGTCGCAAGTGTCAAATCCGGTTTCTTTCGGCAACTCTTTTCATTTACTTCTTAAACATTTTCAATAACTTTTCATTTTTTTTTGCATTCTTTCAATCTCTATCGCGGATCGCGAGAAGCGACGACCTATATCAAAGCGAAATCAATTTTAATTGAAAATCGGCTGACTTTCTAATGCTAATTTATTGTCGATTGGAAAATATAAAAATAAAATATTTTATTGAATGGAAGGCAAACAAAGAACAGCCCACAAGTCAAAACGCAATTATTTTAATCGATTTTATGATATCCGAATGAATTGTGTTGTAATAATTGTCGATAATTACAATGGAGAAACATTCTCAAAAGATTTACATTACGCGCGTGTTTGTCACAATTACTTATGATGCAATAGGGAAATCCAATCGACAGTTCACTGAACTCATCGTCGAGAATATTCTCATTCTAAGCGTGGGTGAATTGTTTTCAACCCCATTGCGAAACAAACTTCAACGTTTTATAATTTACATGCAACGTCATGAGAAACTCAAAACATTAACGGCATGTTCCGTATCAGAACGTTTGTTTACAATTGCCATCATGGCATCAAAATTTTATTCGTTTCGAAATGTCCAACATATTGTAAAGAAAAAAAAGTGTTTAAAACAGCGAAAAATTAAATGATGAAATTACAAATATTCGCGTGTAAATTTGCGATGCAAAAAATATCAAACGCAATAATTTGTCGACCTTGAGTTATCGTCTTTGTGCTGTTCTTGACAAGTTGCACTCGACTGATAAGACCATCGACATAAACAAACCCAAGCAAGAAGAGTGGAAAGAAAAAGAAATAGAAAAAGTAGAAAGAACAGTTTTCTTATGGTCGTTGACTCAGCAAAATGCACTCAACTCGTCATTGAAACTTTCAACAACTTCACGAAAGAATGACTCCGAAAATGGGAATTGGTTGGAATGTCACGCAGTTTTAGAGCTTTATTTAATTTCCTTACCTTTTGCACACTCTCTGGTTGTCTTCGTCTCTTACACCACCGCCACCAGAATCCTATAAAAGAAGAAACAAAAAAACGTTTCGATTAGTCACAAATATTCCAAAAACATCAAAATCTCTTACAAAGAAATTCATTAAATTGCACAATTTCGTGGAAATTAAATGATTGTGTCGACAACGACTATGCGAGAGAGTAAAGTAGCGCCAATTTTTTTATAATATTATTAAAAGCGAGAAAAAGTAGTTTGATTTCGCCAAATATGGTCATGAGACATGAAGCTTACAGTAAATGGTTCCAGTCAGTCTAAGACGACCACCAAACATTACACAAAAACCCAACAATAGAGAGTAAAAGTGTTTTCGCTCATTGTTTAAAACCGCCCCGAAAACTAAAGCAAAAAAACAGAAGAAAAATGTAGCGAGATGATTTTCTAAAAATTTATTCCATAATTTATGAACACAACAAAGTATCATGAGATGAAAACGAGATGTAGAGAGGAAGCAAACGAAATAATAATAAAATGTAAAGAGTTTTATGGTTTCATGTCAGCTCAGCCGAGCCGATTAATTAATTGGACTCCATTAGTGGCTTCAGCAAGATTTCATAATTCTTTTTTCACACTTTTCTTTAATAACGAAAGTGTTGAAATGCAACCAATTAAGATATCAACTATTTTTAAGAAACGATATGAGAATTTGTGTGTCAATGTTATGAGTCAAGCAGATTCCAGTCATGTCAATCAATGCATCAACAACTTCGCCTTCGTGTTGATTAAAGCCGCAAAATTTATTTATGAGAAAAACATAAGAGCCGTCATGAAACACAGTAAGACAAGCTTTTGACCTTAATGTTTAAAAATATCCAGCGTGGACCTAATTTAGTCAATCGTATATTTCTCATTTACAACTTCGAACAATCGAGCCCTACATCGTACAAAAACGTTGGCATTTTTTTTGTACGTTCGTCTTCGACCTCTATACACGCTTCTTTTTCAACATTTCTCTGTCATTGTTTATTTGCGGCCGTGTCTTTCATTCGACTCTTTTTCTTTCTGATTCATTTAATTTTTTTATTTTTTTATTATTTATCTGGCATTCCCTTTGCTTATCAATCGAGAGAAATGATGATGGCGATTCTCTCTGGGGCCTTTTTCTTTCGCTTTTTGATTATTCCAGACAATTTCTCGGAATAATGATGATGAGTTAAGGAATCTACTTGACCTAAAACTGAAAACAACAAAAATGCTGAGTGAAAGACATGCTGGGCTTTGAATGGGAAGCGTGATTAATAATCTTCGAGAGAAACTAAATGTTTGTGCAATTGTGGGGCATGTCAAATGCGATAAGATTTTATGTTGCACGTGAAGTCGTATTAAGCTTGTTTTAATGCTTTAAGCAAGCGAGAGCTTAATATAAGTCTACTTATATGTGCATAGATACTTAGACATTAAAACAAAAAGAAGCACATAATGAAATTCAGTAGCAACCGAGTTTTTGGCCTCGAATTATTATTACCCAATGAATGTTCAATGTCTTATTATTAGCTTTTCAATTTTCATGAATAAATTTTCATAGTTGAGCGAACCATTAAAACGCTTCAACGCCACTTCGTTTCTTGTTGTTTTTGATGAAAGACGCTTTCCAGATTTGAAAATAAATTTTCAAAAAACATTTTTCCAAGAAAATATTTTCATTGAAACGAGCGATAATTTTTCTTTTTTTTCTTTTGTCGACATCGCAGTCTAAAGTATGTGCGACGAAAAAGATTCTTCTCCTCGTCCGTGAATATTCTTTTTATTTTTTGCGCAATTTTTCATCGACATGGAAAAGTTCGAGGAAGAATGAAAGAAAAAAAAACTATTTTTAAATCGCTAACATTTTAAATAAATCGTTTTTCATCGCCATGTGTGAGCCAAGTAAGTATCTAAATAGAGAAAGAAATTTCATTTCCCACAACAATATGATATTCGCTCACGATCGATGTTGTGTTGTCACATCGAATCTCTGAGAAAAGAAAACGACGAGGAATCAAGTCTTGTTTTGGGTGGAAAATCATGAAGAAAGTTTTCCTTCAACATGTCCATCGAGTCTGGTTTTCCACTTTGAGAAAGTGAAACTGATCGCTGATCAGCATTTTTTTTGAGGTCACGAGTATGATGGCTTACATGTGTCTGCTCGGATGGTGATGTTTTGCACCATGTCCGTTGTGATTTCTTCGTAGATCGACAATCGAACTTTAGCGACTTCTTTGGATTTGTTGAGTTACTTGTCGAGTCTTGACAACCTTTTCGATGGAAGTTGATGATCAAATCCCAAACTGATGGCGGCTTTGCGCTCGGTGGCGGTAAAATGTACAACATTTGTATTTACTAACTTTAATTTGCTTTAATCACTAAACATTTATGCAATGTCCTCGTCCAAGACACAACTTCTCGTGTTTATTTTGGATCTTGCAGAAAATTTATTTTTACCTTCGCCAAGTCAATTTCAATTTTAATTTTTTTTATTGTTTTGGATCTTAATTTGTATTATTTTCATGAAGTAATGCTTTGTCTTAAAACACGATTGATGTAGGATTTATTTCAAGTGTAATTTAATAGCAAATTATAAAGCTCAACAACAGCAGTTATTGGCCTATGCTTCACGTATATTGCACTGACACGGTGTAGGCTGAAGATCATTGAGACGTTATGCGCTCGACTGACCAATGTTACAGCCAAGATTATTTTTCTAACGATAACGTTGCTGCTTTGACTTGCTCAAGATCACATTATTGTTATTAGAAACTTCATGCAAAAAATTATTCCGATACGCATTTTTTGTTTTGTTTTCCATATCAATTAAATATGTTTTCTTTCACATCCGATTCTTTCAAATGATTAGTTTTTTCCTTTCTTTCTTTCCGCACACTTAACTTTCTTAATAACAACTAAATTCTAATCGCGACTTTTGCGTTTCTTTTCTACAATTTCAACTTTCATTTTTCATTTTTTTTCTTTCTCCTTCTATCAGAAAACTAGATTTTTAATTAAAGTTTTTTTTCTTCTATATTATCTGCCTTTGGCACATTCATTCACTCACTTAACTGCAATTGCAATCATTTGTCGTTAATCACAACACAGCAAAAACGAAGTGAATGAAAAATTGAGATTTTTCTTTTATCTCTTTTCGTAAGCGAGAGTTTGCTTTTGGAAAGCAAGCGTCGTGTCGATTCAAATGCTGAAACTATACTGAGAGTTGAACAGACAAACTGAGTTTCATATTTTCATTTTTTTCCTCTGTCTCTCCATCAAGTTTTTCTTGATTTTTGTTCCTTCAGCGGTTGAAGTTTTTCTTCTTTTCCATTTACAAATAATTTTTCGCTCTTTTTCACACGTTTAAACATATGGAAACGACGAAGATTCGTTTCGGAAACGTTGATCGAGAGTGGAGAGATTTTTATTCAAACTTTTCTTTCTTACTTTTTATTATTTTTTTTTTGCACAAGCGTGTGAAAAATTATTTGACGATCACTTCCTTTATGTAAATGTCCTTCCTCATCCGCCATATTTACGTTCCCTGACCTCATTTCAAGATCAAAAGCATCCCTTCAACCTTGATCCGAATTTTGTTTATTCGCGTCGATTTGTCTCGAAATTTTATTTTGCTCTCAGCATTTTTTGTTGTGATTCATTCATTTGTTAAAACATTCGATCGTCTTATCAAAAAATCAACGTAGGTATTTAGGTATTTTGTTTACATACGACTTTTTAACGTTTTATTTACTCGATTGGCTTTGGATCGAATGTGAATAAAAATATTTAATTTATTTTTCTCTTATCAAAAAAATCTCATTATGAACATAGATTTTAAATGAAGAAATATTGATAAGAAATTTGACGATTATAAGTTTGATCCGATATTTAAGACCTGCAAAAGGCAGTGAGCGATAAATAAATTGCTTTCAGTATGCAATTGAATCATTCATTATGTTGCTAGATTTAATATTATCTTCCAATTATCTCTCTCGATGTAGATACATTTTTTTTCGCAATAGTAAAGCACGAACGAATTCTTGTGTTGTTAGAGTTCACAGCTTTTCCTTTTGAAACTTTTAATAGAGATCAAATAATCATCCAATATATAATAGAATTCATGAGTAATGAACAAAGAAAATGATTTCCCAAAATTGGAATTTCCTCGGGAAAATTCGTTGTAAAAACCCATCGAACAATGAGGTTTTTTTATTCTTTGTAGATGAATTTGATTTGCGCAATTTTAATCCTCTTTATACTTACACTGGAACTAGATATTGAATTAGAATTTGATGGGCTCCTTTGTATTGTAACTAGGGCCATTGTTTACTCTAAATACTGACACTTTTCACCGATTTTACACAATATTTTCAATTTATTTTCGAGACGAATTTTTAGAATTTTTTTAGCACTAAAATATTTCTTCGTGGTATACAACTACGAGGTTACAAGGGTAAGTAAGCGTAGGGTGGAACAGGTAAGTAGTATTTTATTAAACTAATATCTCTCGACTGAAGGAATATATTTAAATTATAACAAGAATTTCATTACAATAAATAAACTGCTGAATTGTTTTACACCTAAGAAAAGATTTAAATTTATTTACTTGGTAAATAAATTGAATTTTCTCACACGTGTAAACTCTTGCTGTAGGGTGATCTACGCTCACAGTGTTTTAGCACATTTCAAAGCAAATCACTTTTTAATAAAATCTCGAAAAGTTACTTTTCTAAATAATTAAGGACAAAAAGTTCAATGGCTGCTCAAGTATCTTTCGACCAACTTGACAAAGATCAAATAAAATCGGTAAATCCTTCATTTATATAAGTGAAAAACATTAAATAAAATAATTTTCTTTTTCTTATCATTTTAGTTTCAAGATTTTCTTCTAAGTTATAACAAATTATCAGAAATTTGTTTCACCGACTGTATCTATGACTTTACATCTCGATCTATAAAAGACTCAGAAGACCGCTGTGCTCTTAATTGTATGGAGAAATTCCTTAAAATGAATCAGAGAATCAGCCAACGCTTCCAAGAATTCCAAATGATCGCCAACGAGAATCTCCTTGCAGCCAATCAAAAAGCTCAAGGAAAGTAGGTTAATTGAAGGTTTTTCGTTAGTCTTAAGAATCTGTTCAAACAATAATTGACCATTTTCGCCAGAATAAAACTTAATTTAAACAAAAAGATTTCTTTATTAGCGCTTTTTTTAATCTGTTCAAGTGATCGTGCAACAATGCAATAAATTGAAATTGCTGGATATAAGATTTGTATTAATACTAAAGGATTCATAGGAATCAGGGCTATTGGATATTTTTGGATATGTTCCTCCGTCCTGTCAATGCAATTTTGAGTTGTGGATTCTTATGGGAGTCCCAGAAATACTGCTTCGTGAGAAGATGCCAGACGTTCCCATCCCACTCATCCGCATGTGTTCATATGTCAACGGATGCTTAAGACGTTGATCCCGTCTTTTGTAGAATTCATTGAAGTCCAAACGAATCCCAAATCGTTGAAGATTTTGATCCTTCGACGATGTCAACAGTAAAAGAAAATCGTTCAAATACTTCTCATAATTATTTCCAATCCCATCCAAACTCTTCTTCATGCTTCCAATGGTTTGCTCAAAATTCTTCTGATGTTCATCACGTTCTAATCGCTTTTCAGATGTGACGCCATAAACACCTTTCTTCTCACTTTCTTTTATTGCTTTCTCAAAAGCTTCACGTTCCTCCAACTCTTGAAAGATTTCCTGATAAAAGGTTTTCTGCCAATCTTCAAGATTCATTATGGAATCATAGATAATATCCAAATGAAGATAAAGCGTATGCTTTGTTTCATTATCAAGAAAGATTCCAACTCTGACAGCACTCAGGAATTGTTGATGTGCTTCGAGGATATCATCCAAAGCTTTCGCACTTTGAACTCGTTTAATAAATGTCACCCATGAACATTCAATGACTTCAAACAGAATATAATATTGCATTTGATGAATAAAATGAATCATTTCCGAGGTGTAAGCTTGTAATCGATAAGTTACAGATGACAATTCACTGAAATTATTGCCCATTCGTTTTGAGTTTAGCATCTGATTTTTCCAGATGTTGTCAAGGACAAATTCAGTGTGTTTGGCTTTCCATAATGGCTTGAAGAGTTCTTGATACTTCCCCATGTTTAATTCAAGAATTGTAGAGAGCGGTCCATGAACCGTGTATTGAAGTGTGAAAATATCCCATCCACGATCACCATCAACAGCATGCACTAATTTAACATCGAGATGTTCAAGAATCTCCCCGTCATCAAACTGCGATGTTGCACGAACTGATGAAGCAACAATTGAGAAGAGAGCGTGTTGATAAAGTTCTTTTGCTGGTCGATCAAGTTCATCTTTGAGTTTCTCCATTAAAAGATTAATGAAGTCGCCTTGACCAAGCAGCAAATATTTTCTCATCGATTGAAGATGTTCCAAAAGACGATATTGACCGAGAGCAATGTCGAGAACTTTCTTTGATGTGTTCAAATACACTTGATCGATCATCACATGCAACTTTGAATCTTGCACTGGTGCGTAGAGATCTTCAACATTATTCTCGAAAGCAAGTTTCAGTTCTTCACGTCCTTTGATTGGCGAACGATCTTCACACACTTCACGTAGGAAATTTATACTTTTACCAGACACGAGAATCTTTCTTGCTAATGTTTTTGACACAAACAATGGCAAACGAGCATTCACGACTCGATATTTGTGATGCCAGAGACGATCTGAAGAAACTTCTTTAATCTCTTCAATGAAGAATTCATGATGTGGATCCACAATTTCACCATCAAGAAGCCAATGACTCAACATATTCTGAAGTGGACGGCATGTTGCTTTGAGAAACGACTCGGCAAGACTTTTGTGTATTGAATTACCATTGAACAAATGTTCATAGAGAGCTGACGACAATGGGCCGCCTTTGAGATTCTTACAACTTTGTAAAATTTCTCCAATGCTTCGCATGCGTTTTAATGGCTCATTTAATATTGAAAACACTTTTACGAGCGTTAATGGATCATTTTTGGTTGTTGTGTATGCGACAACTTGTTGTGAATGAAGCTGAAAATAGAATTTTTTAAAATTTTTTAAAGAAGGTAAATTAAATTAAATTTTCTTACATTATCTTGCAAATGTGCAATGAGCCCATAAAACTGTACAAGTTCAGTTTCAACTTGTGAGATCAAACCTTGGCCAAATAATCCACAAAGAAAGAATTCACTATTTGAGTCAGTGAACTTTTGAATGTCATTATGCAATCGACCAATTTCAGCAATACGAATTAAAGAAATTCCTTCCTGTGCACTCAAATTACGAGCTTTAATGTCGAGTTTGAACTCTCCTGTGACATCTTTTTTGAGAAACTTTCCAGACTTCCCTGTCATTGAGTAAATCGCTTCCTGCACCAAATCTTCATTCTTTGAGTAGTTGAAAGTTAATTCTGGATCCGGAGACTGACCATATAAAACGCTGTCAGATGAAGTTGAAGATGGAAGATTTCGTCGATAAGTGACAAGCTTTAGATTATTCTCTGAGTTGACAGTGGTGTTTGAGACATTCTGGAAGATAATTTAATGATTTAAAAATTTTAATTTCAATTGCGATTTTAATTTTTACCCTCGAATTAATGCCTTGAAAAATATGCTCCATACTGGCACTGGCTTCAACCTGTCGATTTCTAATAGGAAGTGTGAAGACAGAATCAGCAAATTCACTATTGTAGTCGTGTTTGCTTGCATTTGGCAACTTTGATTCCATGTCGGAAAGGTACAGAAGTAAAGTGAGAATTGATGTGCGAAAGTTTTTATCAGTTAGCGTTGAAAGTTGTTCATGGAGATTCAGAAACACGGAAAGATTGGCACCAGATTTAGTTGAGAGATGATTTTTTATTTTTGCAACAACAATCGCTTCATCGTATTGCTGATTAGAAATGAAGCCTTGAGATCCTTGCTGTGACTGTTTGATTGTTGACGTCACTGTTCTAAGGATCTCTTTGTGTCGATCTGGACTGAAGTTCTTACAAAGCTTATCAAGCAGCTCGTAGATGTTTCTAAAATCTTGACTTTTGCTTCTGTTTGACATTTTGCGATTATTTTTGTTGCTTTGTTTTTTACTGCTGCGTCGTATTCGATATTTTTCGGCAAGATTTAAGAATATTTTCAACAAACTAAATAAATCACTACTTATACAACGATGAAAGGTGTGATAAAACAACAATTAATTCTAATTAATGTTTAGTAACATACGAAATTATGATATAAACACAAATTTTCAATTAAATTTCCATAATCATTTTAAACTTCTAACGTCTGACAATGTTTCAACATTAGAACTTTGTTAATATGGAAAATTTTTTTGGAATGAATCAATGTTTTGCCGGTATTAGAAACAATGTTTAAAGGATTATGCAAAAATATTTATTAAATTTAGCACCATTTTTAAAGAGTCTAATGAAAAATGTATTTTCTTTGTGGATGTTAGGATATTTAAATCATATAGGATTCAAAATTTCTCATAATATTTCGCATGCAAAGTAAAATTTTATATGAAAGGTTGCACACACAAACCCATCCATGAATAATTTTTACATGCTTCACGTTTCTACATACCGTATGTTGAATGTGTGAGTTAGTTCAACCTTTTTTTATAAATTTACTTGTGAGAAATTGATAATCTTTAAAAAAATATATAAATTTTATACTTGACTCATCAATGCTGATAAATTGTACATGAAACTAAGTTGGCTGAATACTTTACACTATAGAAAACAAAAATAAACCAAAATTCATGCGATTGCTGTCGTAAAAGTGTGAAATTCTTAGACTTAAAGGTCTTTGTTTTCTTTTTATTCTTTCTTAAAAGCGCAAAACCTCAATAAACGACTCATTCACCGTCAAAGTGCTCTAAACTCGCAACTAACATGGATAATTATGGGAACCGTAACAAATATCAGAACACTAAAAACCAGTCAAAGAACTTCAGAAACGTTTCGCGATCTGTGAGATTTCATTCAATTTTCATCCATTTTATCATTGATTAATTAATAATTTCTTTTATAATATTGCAGCACGACGACGAAATGCACCAGGAAAGGGAACGCAATGACGACTACTACACAAGAAAGTCCAAAAAACCCGACCAATGCTATCAACAACAACAACAACAACAAAATCCAGGAAGTAAAAGTGAAAAGAATCGCTATGAGCGCTCTTACGACAATCGGCAATCACGACAAGGCTCAGAACCACGAAATAACAACTATCCCTCCAATCATGATTCACAGAAGAATAATTATAATAACGTTGATAGAAATCGTGATACTCGCAGCTCTGAACCCGGAGGCAACAACTTTGAGCACCGCAATAAGCCACCATCGGGTCAGGTGCGTTCCACCAACCCAACATTTTCACGTCTTCCAAATAACATTGACATTCTGCCACCGAGACTGAAACGGAAATACTTAATTGAAGCAGGATATTCTGAAGATTTACTGGACAAGCCAATGACAGATTTGACGCAACAATCATACTCAAACACTCTGCCAACGGGACGAGGTGGTCGAAATAATCGTTATGATCAGCAAAATTATCATCAACAGAATTACCAAAACTCCTATCAATCGAAATACAATAACCAGAATCGAGGATATCAACATGATCATCACGAAGTTAATAACCGTTCATTAACGCCACCCCCATCAAAAGGTGCATCACGACAACAGCAACAACAACATCATCAAAAGCCACCACCACCTCAACCTCGTTTTGAGTGGAAATCCAATGATATTCAAAGACGTGAAGACACTAGTCCAGCTAATAACAACAACACCAACATTGCAACAACGAAAGTTGATGATATAAATTTTGATTGGAGTGAAGATGTTCTAAATTCACAATCACTTCCTCACGAAGTTAATTCAAGACAAGAACATCATCGGAATAGAAACAGTCGAAGACGAAATAGAAGGTAAATTACTTTTTTTACTATTAATTAATTAATTTGGTTTGTTTCAACTTTTCTCTCTAAAAATATTTCTAAGAGCTAAGAAAGGAATTGCGTAAGCAACTAACGTGAATTGAAATGATTATCAAAACATTAAATGAATTATCTTTTCAGTTCATCAAGTAATGGAAGTGTTGAACGGTCAGGATATAATTCAAATGATAATTACGGAGGAAACTTTAAAATGCCTTTTCCGAAAAGTGGAAAGAATCATCGGCAACGTCGTAACAGTCAATCGTCTTATAACAGCCGTGAGAATAGCATGGAACGAGGCTATGGTTATGGAAGCCGAGAAAACAGTTTGGATCGACGACAGCCGAGAAGGAATCGGTATAATGGAAGACGTGGCAGTGATTATCAATCAAGTCGTGAAAATAGCACTGAACGTTATGGCAACAACAATTGGCAACGAAATGATTCGTTGGGGAATCTTCGTGAAAGTGAAAATCAATCTTGGCGTGGAAATGACGATCTGTTAAGTCATCGACTCAATATGAGCAGTAAGACTGACCAGAAAATTGCTGAACTAACAAAGGAATTTGCAAACTCTGTGGAATTAAACAAATCCAGTGAACAGCGGACACTCTTCGATCCCAAAAATCCATCGAAGCCAATTTATGTACAAAACAATCAAAATCGACCCCGTGACTTCAATGTGCCTGATGCCAATGAACATTACACTGATCACCAACAAGACCTCAGCACAACAAAGCCTACGTGGATGATAAAAACATCACTTAAATATAAGGAATTTAAAAATAAATTTCTCATTGATGAACTCAATCGACTTGACGATCAACTCATGATGGTGATTGAAGGTGGAGAATTGTTGGAACGTTGGAATGGATTTAAAGAGGTGCAAGGAAAGATTCAAACAATCTTTGAACATCTTCTTGAGAATGATATGAGATTTTGTCAACAAGAACATGTTGAACATTACTTCTGGAAGATTTTATTTTATCGTGTGATTGAATTGTTGCGTAAAGAAATTTTAGAATCTGATGAGATGATGAAAGTTAAATATAAAGAACGTGCTTTAGAAACGGTTGATTATGGAACCAAATATTTGGAATCTTTACTTAAGAAACTTGAAACTCGTTACAAGTTTCAGCTTGAAGATTACATTGGAGAAAATGCAGCTTCATTTCAAAGTGGTCTCGGCTTCGTTGGACTTGCTTTGGTCTCATCACAAAAGATTTTCCTCTTCCTTGGTGATTTAGCGCGTTATCGTGAGCAAATAAATCAAACGAACAATTTGGGACGTGCGAAGAACTTTTATATGAAGGCACAACAAGTAGTGCCAAAGAATGGGCGACCTTTCAATCAACTTGCATTGCTTGCTGTTTATTCTGTAAGATTTTATTTTCTTTCTTTTAATTAATGCAAAAAACCGTCGAAATATTTTTGTAAATTGTAAATTAAAAATGTTTTCATTTTCAGAAACGTAAAATTGATGCTGTTTACTTCTACATGAGGAGCTTGATGTCATCGAATCCTTTTCAACCTGCCAAGGAAAGTCTCGTCGCATTGTTTGATGAGATTCGTAAGAAGGTAAGAAATGTCATGTGTAAATATTTTAATTACTAACAAATCTTTCTCATTGCGCTTACAAAGTACAAGGCTTTGGTAAGTTTTGCGCTTTTCCATGTTTAGTTTTAATTTACTCAAGAATTTTACAAGAATTTATCAAAATGAAAATTGTTTACAGTACGAAGTTGGTCAACGTAAACGAGAAGAGAAAAATCGTCTCAGATTGAAGGAGAAAGAGCATCGTTTTGATGGAAATTTGAGGAAAGAAACTTGGATCCATCCTGAAGACGGTTGTAGAGTTCATCGAACTGCACCACTTGATCCTTCAATGATTGGACCAGGTGACAGTAGCGATGATGAAGAGTTGCAACAAATGGATCCATCTGAGTTAAACAAACGTTTTGTGATATCTTTTTTGCATGTTCAAGGAAAACTCATCACACGTATTGGGTAAGTTCGATGAATTTTAAGTTAAAATGAAAGAATTTCTTACTTTGTCTCTATCACAGAATGGATTCATTTCAAACTTGCGCCATTCTTATGCTTCGTGAGTTCCGTGCACTTCTTCACATTTCACCAATAACTATCAACTCTCATCGTCTTCTGCAATTGATTTCTCTCAACATGTATGCTATTTCTTGCAACGAATTAAAAGGTAAGTCACGCCATGTTTATGAATAAATCTTCTAAGTCATATTAAGTGATGTTGAAACGGTTTGAAAAATCTGACAACGCAAACAATGAATTAATTTTCGTAAATCAATCCTGAAATGGTTATTGGAATTCTGAAAATCATAAAAATTCCTATCAATACCAGCATCCATAAAGATGGTGAATCACTATGAATATTTTTCCCCGTCATGACTCAAATGGAACCTGCCGTTGTTTTCTTTTTGTGTTTGCTTACTTATTCACCTGAAATTGAATCAGAACCGGTATACATGTTATTTTTCTTGTCTTTCACACGTTATGTCGCTCCATGCCCGTCATCAGGCGAGCAAAAATAAAAAGAAAGAATTACATTTTATTATGATGTATCATGAAGGTTCTCGTGCGCCAACGAGATAAACTGTCACGGGAAAATAATCTAGATGAGAAGAACACAAATTCTAAGTTATTAAAGACCTACTTTGTGATTAATTTGACAATTAAGAACCTTTTTTTCCTATGCGAAAAAGAGAACAAATTAAATCTTCTGTCATGTATAAAATTGTGTGTGACGTTAAACTTTCTTTTAAGCAAACGCCCGCATAAAAAATCTTTTCTTAATCATAGTGATGACCCAATTGATTTACGTTGAGAAGAAATGAGTTGAAATAAAGAAGCTTGAAACACTTCTTTTTTTTATTGCCACCCAAGCCATGAAAGAATGCGAGCAATGCATCAGCTTGCTTTCAATTCTGGCGCCATAGCTTAAGCCGAAAGGTATGCCTTGTTTATTCGTCGTAAATATTTATAAAGAAATTTTTCTTCTAATCGACTCTTCTTCTGCAATAAATAATTGGCTGCTTGAAAATTAGAATTAAAAAAATTAAAGAGAAGAAGAAGAAGATAAAAAGTTCTAAATCACCACCAAGAGCGAAAAACAATTTGTTTAATGAATTATGTGGCTTCAACACTACACCCAATCGCCAGCATGTATAATTGCTTTCCATTCACTGTAGAAAAATTGATTTCATTTATAAAGCGCATCGGTTCTGTCTTATTTTCATTTTTAATTGACTTTTAATCACAAAGTACTTTAAATAAATAAAGTACAAGAAATTCTTAGTTTGATAATATCAGCAAAGCGCTTAATCATCTAATGTGATGTAAATTACACTCGTTGTTCTCTGCTAATATACTCGTATATAAATTTCAATTGAAGCATTTAAGATAAGCACAATGTGTGTGGTTTATTTAATTAGGTATACAGAACTTTAAATGATAGTTTGGAGAAAATAAAAGTAAATTATTCAGAAATATTTTAAAAGGGAAATTGAGAGAAAGATTCTTGGGAAAAACATTAACGCAACGGTTGTTTGTTGGAACATCTAATAAAGAAATGAAATTAATTAAGGTGGCTGTAATTTCTGAAAATAATAATAAAAGAAAGAAGTTATCAAAAATGCTAATTCAACAATGCGAATCACTTTGCGAATTTTATTTATCTCACTATCAACAAAGTTTTAATTAAACCTTGTGTCGAATTAAACGAAGCGTATAAGTTGCGGTGTAAAACTCGTTCCTTTCCTGTTATCGCATTGAAATCTTCTGATTTTTTAATTTATCGCAGTGAAGATGCCAGTGGAATGAACTGCGTTAAATTGATAATAAAAAAGTGAGAAGAAAGAATTGCGTGAAAAACTCATCATCATTAAGAATGAATTAAAAGATGTTAAAATGAATCATGATGGAAGCTTTTGTCTACCTGAATGTGAATTGTGATCTCAATCAAATTAAGCTCTTTCGGAAATTCTTAAAAGTTATCAATATCCAAATGGCTTCGTCCTTGACAAGGTTACTGAACATTTCAGCTGGTTTTTATTGAAGCCAGCAACAAATAATAATAAAATCACACAACAATAGGAAATCGAGAAATATCGAATAAAATAAGAAAAGATTTTTTAAAAAAATTAAATCAGAATCGCTTGCGAATGTTGAGAAAAAGAACAAAGACGATTTCTGTTCCGTGTCTAAGCTTTAAAGAAAGCAACAACATAAATTTAGCATCTTACGGATCATAAAATAACGAAATAATAAACAACAAATAATTTAATGATTTCAAGAGAATCGTTAAAGAATAAAAAAAAGAAAATCTGTCTTAGAATGTTGTTGAACTTTTCTTGTTATTTACTTCGGAATAGTTTTTTTTATTCCTTCAACCGCTGAACTGTCCCAAGGCGATATGAACAGTTGGAAGAAGTCACCTGGTGGGTCTTTCATTTAGATTAGATTCTTTGAACTCGACAAAGTCAAAGTAATCATTTTTTGGACTTCATGACTTGCGTCCTATGTCGTTCATGAAAGCGATGATTAAGAAATAAGAATTCAACAGAACAGCAAGCGGCCTATTCGGTCAAACGAAAGATTCTTTCGCCATTCGACGACCTTGCATTCCATCTCAATCGAAATTTCACACACATGCGGAAAGCGACGATTACAGTTTCTTATTTTATTCGGAAAGAATAAACAATTGATTGAATGATGATGAACGAATATTTATTTTTATTTCATCACACATGACATGACATGTGTCGTTGACCTTTTCAAATCTTTTCTTCCTAATTTTAATTGCATTGTAATTCATTTTTCGCGACGTTTCATGGTGAAAAAAAAGCACACATTGATGATGTGCTAAACAATTAAATTTAGATTCTTCAACTATCGTGAGAAAAGCTCCATTAAATTTACTTACGTCTTTGTTTGTTTTCTTCTCAACTTGCAGGCTCTTCATCAACACACGATGCATCATTGCAAGCGAGGTCTGAGGTTCAGGAATGTGCCATTGCTGTTGGACTTCTCATGTTTGGTATAATTCTTGAGCGTTTCATTGAAGTGCTGAAAGAATCTTTGAACATTATTACTCCTGTGGTGAATCTCAGCAGTGATCTTCGCAAAAGTGTGGACAAGTAAGAATTTAATTGATCACTTCCTGTTCACTTGAATCTTCAAATCTTTATTTTTTTTCTCACCTTCCAACAGCGACACAACGAAGGACAACAAAAGTAGCGAACCCAAAAAAATCTTAACACTTAATGAAGATTCTAAAGTTATGTTGCCAGCTATCAAAGTGAGTAAACATTTCGATCAATTTAATTAAAATGTTGCTTTAAAAACACGGAAATTTGAGCTTCCGGTGAAGATTTTTTAATCGCTAATTAAGTTTATAAATTAATGAATGTCAAGTTTTGACGACGAATAAAAACTTTCGTCGTTAATTGACAAAATGAAGGCGCTTAACATTTTAAACTGCTTCTCCTTTAAACATTGCAATGTCCGAAGTACAAAAGTAATCGTGACCATAATGAAATTCAATTTCGTAATTTTCAATTAACTTAAGAATGTTGAAAAGCTCCACTGACTTACATACGTTCCAATTCATTTGTTTATTACTTAATCACGATAATTTGTCATAAAAGCTGAGGGTTTTCCTTCTAGTTTCTTTTCGTCTTGGGTGATTGCTTTAAAGTTAAAACGCTGCGATCTGACGATCTCTGACAGTTCATTTGATGATGAATGGCTGACTATTAGAATGGTCCCAACACAAATCGCTACGGCTATCACGTCGATGAAACACAATAAACAGTTATTAACAACGTGGTGATCTCTCTTCATTTGAAATTGAATTAATGATGGGGCGATGCTGGGCTGATGGGCATAAAAAATCTTCTTTTTTGCTTAAAGAACAAATAAACTAAATATATGAATATGTGGCGTTGAGGTGAACGTTTTTTAATGACCCGTCTATTTGTGGATTGGAATGATAAAGGATGGAACAGAAGAAGCGAAATAAAAAAAAAAGTTTAAGAAATCACAAAGAACAGCTCAATTATTGATTACATGAAGCGCTAATAATCAAAATTTGGGTTGTTTCTTGCCTCATAAGTCATCTAGGGTTTAAAGTTTAATTATAAAACATGAACTTGATTAATTAAGATTGCAAGAATATTAGACTCCGACTTGTTACTTATTCTCGATAATCATGTAATTATCTGGATAATAAAAAATAAATAAAATTGTTGTTGTATTTACCAACCAACTATCCAGCTAACCGCTCTACCACTAAAATAATGTACAAAAGATTCCGATAGTTCGAGAAAATCATTTCAATCATGCGGTATGAATTTTTGCAGATGATTTTGATTGATTTCTTTTGTTTATTTCGGGTTTTTTTATCATCATTATTTGACTTAAACTCATGATCATTATTTTATGCTTTTGCAAGGAATCGAGAAATAAAACTTATTTTTCAATTTACTATCGAACGTCGAGTGCGTCGCCTTAGTTGGCGCCGACGATCTCGCAAACCCGCAAAATTATCATCTCAATTAGGTGAAGATTCCTGACGTGAGCTACCGTAGTTGGATGTTGAATGTCTTTAAAGAAAACATTTCCATAATTTCTAACTCTTCTCATGCGAGTAACCTTCGCAATGTTTAGACGAGTTCTTCTATTTCTCATTCTTTCTAAGTACCTTTTTTTGTTATTCTTCTGATAAAAGTGGATATATTTGTAAATAAGCCTTTTGTTGCAACATAAAAACAGCTGAAGAAGAAAATAATTTATTTATGTTAATTATCTACAGTTATCTGCTTTGTTTCTTCATCTTTTTTTCTTCATTTCGTCTCAGAGTAGCTGGTGAAGTGTTCTAAGTCTAAACATTATTACTGTATCTCCTAAGATAAATAGTTGGATGGCTAGAACAAAATATTTATTAGATATCACGAAAGAACGAACATTTTTTCTTCCATTATTTCATTCTTTCTTTTTTTCGGAAGTTTATTGAGCTGTATGAGGCTTGCCAATCTTGCCATCGGCAATGATGATGGGGATCAGTCAGTGACTGAGATTATTATTTTATTTATTGCCTCTGGTTGGTCTTTTCTATCATGACCTGAAGTTCCGCTACTCGTCGTTCTTAAAGTTCTCAAACCAACAACAAAAAAAAAGCGGTAAGGAAAATTGTGAAAAATGATGATCGGTCATTAGCCAACAATATTCTGTCGTGGAATATCTTGATTTGTTTTTGTTTTGTAATTTGTTTTCCGATGATATTGTTCTTCAACTACGAAGTGGTGGGCATTGGTGGTTGAATGTAGATAATAAGAAGAAGATTTGAAGTAACCGATCAAATCTTGAGAAGATAGAATCTTTCTATGCGAACCGTAACTGAAATTCCAATAATAATGGAAATGAAATGTAATCAATGAAAAAGAAAAGAAAATTTATCTAAACACATGAACAGTTATAAGTCGCATTTTGTATACGAAAGAAAATCATGAAAGAGACGAGAACGGTTTGAAACTAATTTCTTTTAATTGTTTTATAATGTTAATCCTTTTAAGCAACATTTTATACGATTTTAATAACCCGAAAGACTTGAAGCTCAAAAGTCGAAGAAGAAAAGAGAAGCATAAAGAGCTTAGGTCGTGTGTTGGCATTAATCTCCATATTTTTATTTGTCTTTTTATTCTCATTTCCATGCTTAAAAAATTCGACATCAAACGAACACCTTACCAGGCATGGTGCGACTGGATGATGTTTCAAGTTAAAGTTTGGAATCCGCCTCCGTTTTGCTCCGATTATAAAATTGGGTGAGTAAGAATTGAACACGACATGACAAGACAACATAAGAAACAAAATGATACGACTCAATGTGTAATAATAGGATTGAACTCAATAAAACTTACGATCTTTACAATTTTTCTTTTCAATCATCAAGTGCTATAAGCAGTCACGATCCATGGAACGGACTAGCTACTTTAATGACGCTTCTAGAGACCATTGTTGATACCAACAAAGACTATTTATCATTGCAACGTGAAAAAGGTGAGTTCTTAGTGCATTTGTTAGAGTTAAATATTTGTCTAGGATCTTGTGTCGTGAGAAAGCTCACAAATGACTTTGGCGTCATTTATATATGTTGATCTCTTGTGATAGATGGTTAAAGAAGCAATCTCCTGCTTGTTATATGTGTGCATTTCTCAAAGTTCCTTATTAGAAAGTTTTATATCAGGGGTTGAGATTAGTTTTGCTTTTAAATTAATATTTAAAGTTTGAAATGTTCTAAATAGTTGAAGGAGTGTCGCAATCCCTTACAAATTGTAGGGTTTTGTGAAATTCAAATTTCAATTTCAGTACTCAACCCTGCATCAAATTATTTTAAAATCATCTTGAGCGCCACTGACAGCACCGTTGGTATGCCTGTTCTTGATGATGGCGATTTTAAAAGTCTTAAGTACCATCGGAATTTATCTGTCACTTATGCAAATGATCTTTTTGTTGTATTCCTACTTGAATGTGCGATGCAGTTGATCGCGACAAAAAACAACAGAAAAAAGTAACAAGAAAGAATTGAGAGAAAGCTGAGATTAGAATATTTTATCATAATAGCACTTGTATCTGTACCGTTCAATTGCAATGTTCCCATGTGAATGATGACAAATACTTGCAGTTTTTCTCGATTAATGCTCATGTTGAAGTCGCGAGATAGCTTGCAAATGAAAATATATTTTGCTTGTTTAAATCTGAAAATTATTTGCTTAAAGCTTCCAGAATCTTTCAATGTTTTGTCACATAAAGGCACTTAATGTCATTACAATCTTAATTCTCAATCTTCTGTGACTTAACATTCGCTTATTCCTCCCACATTTACAATCATTTCCAACGATGTTTCTTTCATAAATAAAATAAATAAAAAAACATTTTTGCGAAAACATCTTAAAATATGTTACGAGCTTTTCGATTCTGTAAAGCGAATTGTTTAAGAACAAAAATGTAACTGTTAAAATCTTGTTTGACTGTTGTTGATGACAATCATTCTGTGCATTCTTATAATTTGTCAATAAAAATAAAGACGACTTTTCCATATCTCGTTGAGATGATGATGAAAGTTAAAAGCATGAGAGTGCGGTGTACTCATAATAAGCTTATTGTGGATCTTTATTAATGCTCTTGTGAGCCCAATTTAAATATCTTTGTTTTGTTGTCAGTGAGTTGGTGACGATTCTCAAGCTTAAATATCAATTTACCAGAAGCGACCCACAAAAACAGCCATCGAAGAAAGAAATTATGCTTTTAACGGTGGCACAATCGGTGAAAGAAAGAAAAAATTCTTCGCCCATTCACAATTAAAGACGGAAAAACAATTTTAATGGGAAAAGACAAATAAATAACTTTGTGAATTGGGAATAATCAGATAACAAAAATTTGCCTTTCTTCGTTGAACAAGTTTATGACTGACGGTCTTTAAAGAAAAAGCTTGCGAATGGCGATTGCGGCTGTAAATGAAATTCTGAAACGTGGATGTAATTAATCTGCTTATAACGATATCACTTCTCCTGATTGACCCATTCAAATAAGGCTTCTGCTTCTCCACATGATAATTAGCACACAATTTAAATTAACATATTAAATGACACGATGGCATAATTTTCGTGACTAATTCAAATGAGAGTTTTATGAACAACATTTCCTTCATGTTTTCTTCTTTATTTACTTAACGTTTCCTCATTTATGGCAGATTATAAGCTGGTGAGATTACAAGAAGATGTGACATTGGCAGGTTTTACTCCGCTTAAGAATTACACGCCTGATCCAATTTTCTGTCGTTGTGATATTGACATAGAAATAGCCGAGGTGAGATTTTAATGTTTGCACAACAGAAAGTGATAATTTAAATATGTGCTTAACTTACTTCAATTCACAGAACGCTCTACGAATGCAAAAATTGAAATACTTTGGAATGAACTTTCTCTGCGAAGATCGCCAATTGGATCAGAAAATTCTTAAAAAGATTATCACGCCAAGTGGAAGAATTGAATATGTTAGCATCGTTCAAAATCGAACTGAAAGCGCAAGCGATACAGAAATTCTAATAGAGAGTTTTAGTGACGAAGATAATGAAGACGACAGTAAGAAAGTTGAATCAAATGGCAAAAGTAGAGTCAATGAATCGTTGGATCTCAAGTCACATCACGATGCTGCTGAAATTCGAAGACTTTTACGACGAAAGGATGAACTCGAACGAAAGCAAAAAATGGAAGAGAAATACAATGAACGCTTGCAGGTGAGTGTTGTTATTGATATTAATCAAGACATATTTACAATGTGGTGCATTAAACACTTGAACAGTCGACGATAATAACTTTTAAAGATTTTATGACAAGAATATCAGTTTTACGATCATCCGGGTGGTTTCATTGAATTTTACTTTGCATTTAACTTCCTTTGACTTTATATCGATAGATTTTGCATTTATTTCTTCGACAACACAAATTGTGATGAGAAAAACTTAAAAATTCTTTTCTTCATTTGAAAATGAATTTTCCTTTTGATTTTCGATTCTTAAATTCTTCCCAGCATCTTTCACATAACTTTAAGATTATTTAATCATAAAATAGAGCAATATCACGAACATGACGGCGCTTAATAAGAAAACTTTGTGCAACCAAACAACTTAAACATTGTTGAATCGAGAATGCTTTTTTTCCTTTCAGTACTTGCGCAGAAATTTTAATTTCACTTCATTAAGATGGAAATGTAAGCAAGAAGAAGTAGTAAAGTTATGGTCTGTGGCGGTTGTAAAAATAACGCAATTGTAGAATTGTGATGATAATTTTATGCGCAAAAAAAAGAAATGTTGCAGAATGAAAAAAAATTCTTTGACTTTTATCATTTCGTTGTTGTCGCGTTCACCCGAGAATCTTTATTATTTTTCTTGCTGTTGTTGATGTTCTTTTTTCCATTCTTTAATACTTAAGAAAAGATTTACAATTTTATTCGCATTTTTATGAGACATTTTCATTTGTGCGAAATAAATAAATATATATAAGTATAAAAGCGAACTATAAGAACATTCGAATGGAAATGCTTTTCGGAAATTTTATTTGCTCTTCCCGTTTGTTTTAAGGTTCGTTAGCCTTCGTCGAGACATTAAATGAGAGAAAATATGTACTGATGATGGCAGAAGAAGAAATGATGAGAAAAACGAGTGTAAAAATTACGTAATTATGCGCGCGATAGATTCTGATTAAAGTGTATCTTCTTACAGTAGTACAACATCAATTGTTGTGATGTTCAGACTGCTGTGTGACTTCTTCGTCAGTGGTAACTTCACCCGCCTCATGAATGCTGGGAGAAAAAAAGTTTAAAAATTTTCTTTTTTCACATCTTCCGATGAGATTCTCATCTGATTTAAGAATCGGATAGAACTCACTCATGTTTATTCTTAGTGGCTTTTATTGTTAAGTATTATGATATAACAAATAAACCGTTCTGTTCTCTTCACTCGAATTTTTATTATTTTCTTTTTTTTCCATTTTAATCGCTTCTGTTGAAATGAAATTAAATTTCTCGACTGCTTCCCGGTGGTTGCATGCTATTTAATGAGCGATGAGTGATCGTAAAGCAACAGCTACGTTAAAAATATGTATTTACGATAACGAACAATCGAACGATGATGATGTCATTCAATAATTAAGGGATCGTTGAATAGATTGAATGGTTTCTTAGAAGGAGAAGCTTTAACAGCATAACAGCAAGCCGAAGTGAATTATTTTATCAACTTCTACCGTTAAGTAGATTGAAAATGTGAAAGGTTCTCATGTTTGATCTTTTGTGGTCGCCTAATGTCTCTTACACTCCACAATTGAATTTCAATTTCATGTTTCTAACTTCAGATGCAAATTACGTCAAAAATTCTTATTGATTTCCTACTTTAAAAATGAATAATGTTTAACAACTTTTTAATGGAAACTTCACGAGACGACGAGCTTTACTGTTGTTTCTTATGTTTAACAAAAGTGTGATAATAACGATGCGGTTGTTCTTCATCAGAATGCATCAATTAGAATGTTAAAAATGTTTGTTTAAACTTTAAACATCAATTCTTTTATTCGAATGATTTTCGTCAATCAAATTCCATTGAAATGGTAGAGAAACAATCACTCAAGCTCTAACAACAAGCCTAAAAGTTATGAAAGTATCAAAAGCATCAAAATCTTAATCTCATAAATCATTCTGTAAATGCATCAACACGCGCAAATCTCTTTCTTCGTTTTAAGCTTTAATCCTAAACAAGCACTTAAAGTTCAGAAACTTTTTCTATGCATTTCCATAACAGCGGTTGGTTCCTTTTTCTTCTTAAGCTGAACTAATGAGATTTAAAAGACGAAAAGCAACATGAATATTAATGTTGAGATATTTTTAGATTCAGTGCCGATCATTTAAAACAATCTCTTAAATTTAATAGCTTTCATGAATCAATTGGAATTGCGTCGTGTTCTTTAGAAATTAAAGAAAAAGATAAAAGAAAATAAATTCTTTGATTAAGTGAACAGATTGATCTTGACGCTTGTTGCGGGAATTAATGCTTGTTTAACTTTTAAACATAAACTATCAGGAATTTACATTGCAAAGATTCCCGTTGCTTTCTTTCTTTCTTTATTTTTTTGTTATGTTTTTGGTTGTGAAACAAGATCATTTAAATTGTTTATTTATTAATACGTCAAGAATTTTTCTTTTTCGCGGTAATCATGGAACCGAAACTTGTCACATTAAATTAATTTCATTTCCCGAAAATAAAACATGAAAATGTCAGAATAATTTTTGCGAAAGTTGATTTGATCAACATCGGTGAACGTATTAAAGGCATCCAATTATCTCATTCCGAAAAGTAGCATGAGAAATGATTTTTATGTCCCAATAATTGACGATGAGAATGCAAATGCGAATTGCAATTTCTGGTAAATTCATGACGAAGAAGTTCTGGGAATTTACATTTCAATATTTTATGATCTATCCCGATCACGTTCCCACCGTCGTCGTGATTACTTCCAACTTTAAAAATTAACTACATGATGAAGCTTCTTCTTTCATAAATAAATATTCCTTCGGGTTCAACTGCTAGTTTCTCATTTCATTTGTAATTAATTTGAATTGCATTCAGAATTTTATTTTGGAATCAGAACAAATTACGTCGGAATTCACTTAACGATTACATTTTTTTTACGAAGTAAAAGAGATAAAGAAGAAAACGAATCTCTTTTTCATTTTACTCATTGTTTAACTGTAAAAATTGCAGTCTTATATTTTACATCTGCCAAGTTTTATTTAACAAAGAAAATATATTATGCTTCACATCGAAGAGAGCAGAGTTGCGGCGTTTGCTTATGGCTCGTTTCTATTTTCTTGCAATAAGACAAGAAAAGAGCGAGTAAATGCAAAGTCGTCGTAACTTTCCTTGCCCTTTTATGCGCGGGTGTATGTAGTTTAGATTTGATATGAAATTATCATTCTGTTGGTGGTCATGGTACGGTTTCATTCAAGATTATAATAATTTTTATTTAGATTTATAATCTTACTTAGCAATTGCTTTGCCTTAACATTGATTGTCATTTCTAATGAATATATCGAAGCTTCGAAGGTTCAATCATGATATTTTATTAAGAACATCTATTAATTTGAATTTATGACTCTCCTAGAATTGCGTTTTGGATTGAAAACAGGAATTTTTGCATAAATGAAGCAAACTCATAAAAACAAAAAAAATCACGTGTTGGTATGAATTTGCATAAGTAAATCTTCATTAATTTTCTTTATTGAAATGCAACTGACGATTCTTGAATAATTAATTAATTAATTAATGAATTAATAAAGAAAAAGCTACCACATATGCCGATGCCGATGTGTCGATTGATGGCGCTTCATTATAATTTGTAATTTCCTGCAATGAACTTGTTAAAAATAAAAATTAACTTAATTTGCAATTCGTGACAATTTAGTTTGAGCGCTTTTAAAGATTGTTAAATATTTCAGATATTTAACTTAATTCCAATTGAATGAAGGTTTTTGAACTTGAAACATTTTCATAAAACGTGTGAATTTCACATCGATGCAATTTGAATATTTTTTCGCTGTTTTCTTTCGTTTTTTTAATGCACGTGACTTTCATCATGACAAAATCGTTCAACGAAAGCTTCTTTGCATAATCAGCGATAATTTGAGAAAGATTTTTTACCGTTTTGAGGTGAATAACGAGCTCAGCCCGGTTAAAATGAGATTTATGAACGATCATGAGCGAGTTTGTCGGATGACGACGATATTCATGAGTTTAAGTAGATGTTTTGTGATCCATTGCCATTTTCTAATCAGCCAAATTCTCTATTCAATTGAATTCAAGGTGAAAACGTTTAATGAACTGCACAATTCACAATTCCTGATTGTAATTTTCGGGTGTGGGATGAATAAAAAGAAACTTTTTAGCAGTTGAATTGATTAGACGAAGGAAGAAAAAGTGGAACATAAGTGAAGAGAAGAAAATGCTTGTACATTGATGGAATTTTAAAGAAAGAAAAAAGAGACGAAGTGTGAAGTTTGAATCGAAATCTTTTCATTTCATCATGACCGGGAGAGTGCCAAGAAGATCAAATTCTATTTTGTGTAAAAGTCGAACGGAACAATTTAATTCTAACAAGGTGTGACTGATGGGAGTATTGCAATTAGTGAAATTACTTGTTTGTGCGCTTCTACTCAATCTCCATTGACAACCAACCGACATTTACATTTCAACAAATTCCCTTCTCGGACAACAAAAAAAGTCTTCAGTGTCGGGAAATGAAACAGAAAAGCGATTGTTGAACTCATTTGGTGTGAAGAAAATCAAGCATTCGAGTGCGTCATTAAACAGTTTAATGTGATGGAATGTTGATGGATTTGATTTACTTGAATGTTGTTCTCTTCACCGATTATTTCTGTTTTGTGATCGCGAAAAAAAGGAAAAAAATTTACGCCGATTTAGTAAAGAATGGAAAAAAATGGTTAAAAAGATTAAGAAGACAACGGATGAGTTAGCGACGAGACATCGGCCTTGATCTTACGCGGTCAATCATTGATCTTTGATGTTTCTCCCTCTCAAGGCGAAGTTTTCCATTTCGCGCAAAAACCGAGCATAGAACTAAGCCTGAGAAACAGAAAAGAAAAAAAGATAGAAAAAGTTTTGTTTTCAAAGAAAAATGAAATAAAAATAAAAAGTTCTAGAAATATCAATTACAACAATTGAAGAAATTAAAGCAAAGCGCACGATTTAAGATGAACTCAAATTGTTTCGTGTCGTCTTCTTTCCTTTTGTCTCTCGATTAACAAATAATAATCGAAACTAGGCACGATTAAACGAATGTCGGGAAGAAGGATTAATGAAGACATAAATATTTGCATCTAAATATCATCAGATGATGTTCTTGTTGCTTGTTTAAATAAATAAAATAATAATTCTCGATGAAGAAGTTATTATCGTAGATATAATGCTAACCAGAATCGAATCGCCTTTTTCAAACCGCCGTTCATAATTCATGTCAAATGAAATAATCGTAAATTCGATGAGGTAGCTTGCGGGAGATGGAAAATCGTCATGCTTATTTATAATAAATTTAGTGACTGAGATGAAAATCACGAAGCATCGTAAAAGCTCTAAATGAGTAAATGAGTAAGTGTCGATAATTAATTTATAAATTAAGCGAGAAGGTAAATTAGGAGTCGACAATGAATGAAAAAGTGAAATAAATATGATGTAATCTCCCGATAGATGAACTGCTCAGTCTCGTCACATCACTTCGAACGAAAAGTTCAATGTTGTGTTATTTACGTGAATTGCATAAGCAATTTTGTAATCCTCTATGCAGATTGTTAGCTAAGCTTTTGATGACGACGACGACAACACAAAACGACGCTTGTTACAATTGTAAGACGTTTCATTATCAATTATCGCGTAAATAAAAAATTAATTAAAATAAAAAGGAGAAACACATTTCAATTCTATCTAATTGTCCTCTAGCACGTTCACACTTTAAGTGCACGTCTACTGGTGGCTAGCGAATAAATGACGATATTAAAAGTCACTCATGCAGGCATCGACATAGTACAAATGTTAATTAATTACACAGGTGGTGGTCTCACTAACTTCTGCTGCTGCTGTTACTTCTTGGTGACCACAAAATGTGTGCTCAAACACCGAGAACACCAAGACATCGCATTGGGATTTGACTTTTATAGAATCATTCGTGAGAACTTCAATTTTTCAATTCTTTCTTTCTTTCGCTTTTTTTTATCGTCTCTTACACTTAACTGTTATTCTCGACTCATTTGCGAAATCGAATTATCGCGCAGCTAGAAATTATGCTGGTCAGTCGTCTATTGGTGATGATATGGAACAGATTAAGTCTATCGATTGAATGAAATGTTTCTCATTTATTGACTTTATAAGTCGTAAGTGGTGAAATAAGAAAGGAAACTGGGTGTGTGACCATCAACGATCATTTATCAGATTTTCTTTTAACACTGAATTGAGAACAGGGATTGAGAAATCTGAATCATTTTATAATATCATGGAATCAAGGAATACATGCAAGGAAATCAAGACTTCAATTAATTAGTTAAACGATTCTTGGAAGGCACTTAATGATAATATTCCTTTTCGACTAATTTGCGTGCTTGTGTTTACATATCTTAAGACGCCGTTGAAATTTACTTCGCTGATTTCTTGTTATTATGAGATAATTTCTGTAAGACATCATCGACAATTTCCTGCTGTGATTACTTAAGTAATGATTTGCAAAAGAATCAATTTTTGCATCTTTAAGCTTTGTCTCGATGATCGATGAATCAATTAAAATCCTACCGAGAAGAATTCTTATTACTCATCGACCCTTAAAAACATTCCAAAGCGTACAGCAAAAATAAATCTTCAATTGTTTTAAAATCAACCGAAACTTAGCTTCCCTTTTGTTTCATTATTTATTGAAACATTTATTTAATTGTAGTACAAACAGTAACCAAAGACAATTCGTGCCGCTTTAAAACATGCGCCGTCAAGTAATTGTCCGTGACAAATGAAAGTTCCGGCGTATCGGCAGCAATTTTATGAATGCGAACATAAAAAAATCTCATCAACATTCAGGACATTCGTATAAAAACGTAACCGTTTCGAGTTCGAGTATTTTATTACATCAAATCTGTGTGTTCTAGTTTTACTCTTTGCTACTTTGTTTGTCTCATTTGCAAAAAAGTATTTTCACTTTAATTGAACTCTGGAAAAACGAGTTTGAAAAGTCGATTCAAGTAGCTTCAAGCGAGTGCGAAATCAGGGCGTAATCATGGACGATGTTCAGTTAATTTTAGAGTACAATGTTAAGGTTGGAGTCAAGTGTTAATGGCATAACATTGAATTTATTTCTTGTGGAATTCTATTTTATATTATTCATTAACATTCGATGAACTCGAGCGTACAAATACACACAAACCAAATCATCTATTCTCGCGAAATAAAATCTGCTGATAATGAAAAGAAATTATAACAATAAATGATAGAATTACTCAGCAGGTTCCACATATTAACGAGTTAATTTAATATTTTTTCTTTCTCTTGCTTGTTGCTCCAACAACTTCAACCACTTCCCTCAATCTTCAAACAAACAAAGTGTTTATGTAGGCCAAAAGGCGAATCAGCAAATATGGCAAAAATAAATCGCAAACAAAAAAAGAAAGAAAGAAATTTGATTTTTACGACTTTTCATCTTGATGAATGTGGATAATGTGCAACTATGTGGATTCAGTTTACTCTTTACTCGTTCGCTCATTTTTTCGTTCGTCGTTTGCGTATAGTAAAAAAAAGCTGAAGAAACGTGTAAGTGAAGTTCATTACCGAGGCGAGCGAAAAAAAACAAAGACAGTGCACAACATAATGAAGAAAATGTTGTTGTTGGTGGTTTCATACTCAACAACTCAACAGAGCGATAGAGAAGGAAGAGGGGAAGACGAAGAAAACATTCCACTCGAGTAGCATTGTCAAGGTCGCAAAGCATAATTTTTTTATTATTATTTTTCTTTTTATTCGTGCATGTGTTTGATGATTATTTGATTGTTACTTTCGAGTACAACATAAAATAAAACGACTTTAATTATTTGTGAAGAATTTGCGTGCAAATTGAGGCTAATCTAAGTAGTCTTCTTTGTTTTGTCTTAAAACATTTGCGACCTTGCCAGCTTACTAAATGGGCTAATTGCGTTTCAAGTTTTGACCGACAAAGCTTAAACGTGTCGAATTTTCTATTTCTTGGAGGTTTTTTTGATTTATTAAGTTATACTTAGCTACAGGGGTTGGTAACTTTTTAAACGGTTCCTTTACTTTGTTCAAACTTTGAAGATGTCATTGACAGAGGGGTGAAAAGCTTCATAATTTAAGCAGAAATTACGAATATTTCTCAAGAAATCTTTATTTTTAACTGCCATCATGCATATTTACTGAGAAGACGAATAAAAATCATCATACGATAACGAACGATTATGTAAATTGTGCGGTTATTTTTAAATCTCTTCCCACTTTGGAAACAAGTTTTCGACATAGATCAGAGTAAAACCAGCTTTCATTTGCCTCGATTATCATTTCTTTCACCGTACCCGATGGCACCGCATCTATTTTTAGAATGCAACTTTAGAGAAATTCCAATGCAGTCAAGCCTATTGACTGATTGAGCTGCTTTTTCATTTGCTTTGATGTGTTCACATATGAGATGAAGCATGTTTTCTTGCTTGGATTATAATTGGTGAAAGAACATCACATTCATTTCATTTGTTGATTGAAAAATGTCCAGTTATTTGCATTTTTTTCTCTCCTAATGAGCCCACAATCGTTTTACTTCACATACAAAACAAAAAGAATAAAGTAAAGCGTTAGAATCGTTATCGCATTGGAATGTTGTTTATCTTGCTGGATAGCATTTCTTTATCCCATTTCTGGTTCAATTCATTTGATACTTACGACTCATATATAATTTAAGATTTGCGAATAGAAATCTGCACCAGTCATTCAATTAAAATCTTCATCGCTCAGCTTCGGATTTATTCTCGTTAACTTAATTAAATTTTATTATTGCAATGATGAAATGAGAAAGCAAAAAAGAATAACAAAAAAAAAGTCACGTTGGTGATCGTCATAGTATGATGTGTGATTAGTAAGCGCATCGGTAATTGGTCAATTAAGATATAAAATTATTTTATCAACTAAGTGTATAAATTTTATTTAATTCATTTCTTTGTTTTATATCTTTCCAGGACATTCTAAGCCAAAGTACTGTGGCATTGCATATTGAAGTTCATCCACGCTACCTTATTCCAGACACTAACTGCTTTGTTGATGATTTGATTTCGATAAAAGCAATCGCTAGTGCACATCCATTGTACCAACTCATGATTCCAATTACAGGTGAGGCTTTAACTTTTCCTTTCAATGTTTCAACACATAAATAAATAACCGATCGTCTTCATACATTAAGAAAAGACGCTACAATGTAATAATAATAATATTTAAGAATACAGAAAAGAATGAAATCATCTCCAGCATCATGTCTCGTACGTGGCTTACTGCTTTTCGTGATTGTTTAAAGCAGACTATGGGCTCATATGTTAGCCATAGGAGCAACCGACTCTTTTAGATTATCTTTGTTTTATGGGATTTTAATGCTCCCGACTAAAAGCGCATATTTTACATAAAATAAATATATTTATCATCCACAAAAAGAACAGAGTTAAGCTCTCTTTTAATCCCACCTCAACTTTGTCCGCTTTATGATTCGACGCATTCCATTTTATCGTGCATGGTGGTGAAGCAAAAGTGCAGCCTTTTGCGTGTATAAAACTAATGCTTGTGAACATTCGTTTGCATGACTAAAGTCGTTTATGACACCGACTTCGGACTAAAAGACAATCAAGCTCAATTATTGATTATAGAAATCGAGAATATCATAATGAGACGATCATCGCGATGAAGCTTTTCGTTGAATAAAACTGAAGGTGGTAACTTGAAAGCAGTTTAATTAAAATTTATTGGTCACTCGATTTTTTTTTTCAAAGTATTTTATAGAGTTTCTGTTTCTAAGAAATTTTACGATTTTCTGCTACTGTTGATGATGAAAAAGAGAAAAGACAAAAGAATCGTAAATTATGAACTCAATGCGTTGCAATTGCTGCTAACATAAACTCGATTTCACCTCGTAAAATTATCGCTGCATGGCTCCAGGAGAAGTTTCATCAGAGAATTTTTCGCTATCATAATCATAGATTTCATGTTGAAATCGTAAATATCTGGAATTGTAGGGATGATTTGAATGTTCTGTCGAGAATTTTCTTTAAATAAAGCGAAACAAATAAAAAGGGGTTGGAAAACAGATCCGAGGGGTTAAAGATCATAAGAAACTCTTAGCGGCACAGTTGAAAAGAAAAATTATTTCGAATTTGACGTTAATTGCGCACGCTACGTAGATAGACTCACCCATTCCATCTAGCAACGTGTGGAGATAAACGCGAATGCAATTCAATAAATATTAAATTATTTAATACACTCGAGACCACGACCATTTTTTTCTCTTTCTTCCTCTTCAACTTTTCTATAACTCCTAATGATGATCTTTTTTCCTTTCTCGACACCAAAGTTAGAGTTAAAGTTCCATCATCAACATTCAATCTCGTCCATTACACTTCATTCTTTATTATCTGCAACTGCAGATTTCTGTCAGTAATTTTTTATTATGTACTTTTAAAATCGCAAGCATTAAATAATTCGAATTCTTTTGCGATATCAAATAGGGAAAAATTATTGCGAAAATCTTATTGACACTACGACTCATACGCGCGGCGTATGACAAAAACGTAAGAAAAATTCTCTTCGTGATTGTTCAAAAAGTGATCGCGGAAAAAATAGAAAAGCTAAAATTAAAGAGGCTAGTAGATTGATAGCAAAATAAAAATGAAAGAAAAGTGATGCGGAGGGAATAAGAATGAGAGATTAATTGAATGAAATTATATGCAATTAACGTTTATAGCTTTTGAATGTGATGCGGCAGCAGGAAATGCAATTGTGAAGTAAAATGTTTTCTTTTTATTATTTTTCTTTTTTACGAATCTTCGATGATCGACTGAAGTTTGCAATCGATCCTAATTGCCCTCATAATGATTCATGATTCAATGCATTTGCAAGCTTTGTGTAAAGAAATTTAATTATGATGCGTGATGATTAAGGCAATCGCTAAAAGCTTGCTCGCCACTGCGTCGGGGCGATTCTTCCTCTCACAACATTTCAAGTCTCTTACAAAGTTGTTTCTAAACCTTATTTTAATTGCAGTCATTAATGAGCTTGAGGGACTGAGTCGAGGAATTAAGCCGTTGACACCAACGGCAATCGTTGTATCTTCGCTGAGTCAACACTCAACACCAAGTGTCGCATCTTCTCGCATCGGAAATCGCAATGATCCACAGCATGCAGCGTTTGTTGCAAAAGCATCAAAAGACGCTTTAACATTTCTCAAGTCAAAAAATCCTGCTGTGAAGTAAGTTGATTAGGTATATGGAAACGTCGACATGTTTACATTTTTAATTGAATATTCATTTAGATGCGTCACTACGAAAGGTTCGATGATAAACTCAGCAATATTTACAAGTGAAGACGGTCCCAATGAGCACAAATCAAACGATGACAAAATTCTCGACACTGCGCTTAACTTATGCAAGAAGAATGTTGAAGAGAAAAAAGGTTTTTAAGACAGAAACAAAAAATAACAATCAATCATAATTTTCTTCTCATTTCTTCAAAAAATAGGCGAAGTTCGTCATCTTGTTCGGGAAGTTGTTTTGTTGACCACAGATCGCAACTTACGTGTCAAAGCATTGACAAATGACATCCCTGTTCGTGAACTTCCCGACTTCATTAAGTGGGCTGGACTTGGAACGATCGACTGATTGAACAACAAGCCATCATCAACACTAATAATTGTAGCATAAATTAATCTCCTTTGTTAAATTTCTACTGAATAATTTTCCGCGATAATTTTTTTATTTTAAAGTTCGCAAGCATGTGTTTGTTGACAGCAACATATTTTCTATTAAAAAGATTTGAACAGAAAGATTCTTTATCAGTTCCGTACATTGTGTACGATTTCAAGGTTTTTCATTCACAATCTTTTAAAAAGTGGAAGTAAATGTTTCCACAAAAAGATTTTTTTTTCGTCTATTGTAAATAACAAGCGAGATGATAGTTTAATTAACTGTTCGATTAGTGGACAATGTTTTTACCCAATGAAGGACAAAATTCATTGTCGAATGTCCTTTATACTTAATTGCCTATTTTTTAGCATAATTGAAGATGGAAACATGTTTTATATCAACTGACGATTAGGTTTAGTAAGATTTTAAAGTTTTTACCAACCAAACTACAACTTTTTTCGTTTATTAATTTTTTTACATATTTGTACTCATTTTTATAACTTTTTTTCCTAAATTTTCATTCTTTGTTCAATTCTGTTCTGTTCTTTAACCAATTAATGAAATTGTTAAAAGATGAAAGCAAAACTTTGTTCTTTGCATGAAAATTAATGAAAAAATAAATGATAAAGATATTCTATTATAAAATTTTGAATAAAGAGATGAAAAAAATAAATAAATTTAAAAGTGGCGTGAGATTTTTTAATTGGAATTTAAATTCTGAATTTTTAAATATTATGGTGATTGCTTTTTTTTTTAAGGTCTCAATTATACAGTGGAATCGTCATAGATTAATCGATAAAAGATCTTATTAAATCCACGAGTGGTTAGTTAAAAAACCTTTCACAGTACAACGATCAATAATCTCTGAAATTAGAAATGAAATGGAAAATTTACGATTTCTTCGATTTCCATTTCAAATCCCTGCATTTTAGAACTTTTTCTCTGAATCTGACAATAATTTGTTCCTTTCATCTTCTCACGCACAATGTGACGTGTCAAAGTCACCAAAGCATCGTCATGTGATAAGAATAAATGAACGGACATTCTTGTGTCAATAATTCAAGAATGAAAACGATAAGAGAAGTGACTTGATCAGTTCTTTCTGTAATTCCAATTAAAGGAATTTTCCTCGCGAGTCCATTCAACTTGCAAACGTCGAGAAAGACAGGCGAAAAATGTAGGCAGCGCATCGATGGTAGAATAAATGAAAAATAATAATAAAAAAAAACAAACTCACGAATGAAAGCGACAAGTTTGACTCTCGGTTTTATCGAAGTCGATGCTGAAAGCGACCTAAGAGTTCTTTTTTAAAAAAGAAGCACGAAGATGAACTCAATTCAACATATTTCGTTTGTGTATATATTGTTCTCTCTATTCCATCTTTCTTTTACATGCAACCAATTATTATTATGTGAAGCAGAAGATAAATAGGAGATGGAAAAAAGCAGTGCACATAAATGTTGGACTTTATGCAGGTTTAAAAATTATGTTTCAAAGATATGAATAAAACGATTCAAGGCGAATGTATTAGGAATTTCTCTGCCTTCATTTCCTTCTAACTCATGCTAGTCTCGTCTTGTCTCATCATAATGAAGCGAATATCAATTTTTTGATTACGATAATTAAATATCTGGTAAGTTCTACAGGGCAAATCAATGAATCGAAGCATTTCATCGATGATAACGAAATGGAAAATTGCTGTTTCTTTACCTTTTTTCATGCTCAAGTTGATTCGAAAATGAAATCTTTCGACATGGGGCGGATGCAAAGCGCAATGGTAAGTTCAAGGCCGGGGAAAAATGCTTTTTCTTTGTCTTCAACTTCAATATTCTTAGATACTCTCATCGTCATGTCGTAGATGTGGAACAGCAAACAACATGGGAATGGATATTAAAATAAGTAGAGAAATAATCTTTAAAGATAATATTTTCAGCGTCTTTATTTCGATATTTACGTCTATTGGTGATGTTGTGATCGTGAGTTGTGATTTTTTTTCTCTTGTAAGCTTCATGTTTTTGTCTCCTACAAATATTGTCTTCAACCATGTGAAACTTCCAATAGCCTTGTCATCATTTCTCGTAGCAAAAAACAAAATTATGAATTCCGCAATAATCTTTACGCAAACTTCCCTTTTTTGACGTTTTAACTATTTATCTAACCATTCGTCATTTTCTTGTTGTCTTATCGATATTGTTGGCCCAATTTTCATTTTTGGCTTTTCCGAATCCCATCAATCCTCGATTTGTTGTCGTGTTAACGTGCTGGAAGTTTCGTTTCTTAAAAATCACTCGATAAACATTGTAATCGTCGTGTTTTAATATTTTTTCTATGTCAAAATGTCAGTTCATTGGTTTATGATGCGATTTGAGTTCTATGAAACTTTCTTCGAGGAAAAGTGACTTTAAAGCTTATTTCGATTTTCCTTACATCACTAATTGGTGTTGGTGGCGATAAGTTTAAGTTTTTATATAAAGAGATCATTCATAAATGCTGTAAAACAATTTCTGTGAACTTCATAGATGGTTCAATGACAAGAACGATGTTCAATTGTGACATAACTTTTCCATCCCACCCACACATCCATAACAATATTGATAACTTTCATGGCCCAAATTAACAATCAATCAATGTTCAATTCACACAAAAGACAAATTTTCTTTTCATATTAAAAAGAATAAAAAGGCAATTTTCAGAACCGACGCATGTCAGTTTTATTGAAACTTTCGCAGGTGGAAGATCGGAAAAAAATTAATTAAATTTTCCTCTTGGGTGTGTGATTGATTCTTAAATTATCAGAGTTATCGTGATGGCCTTTGCTATTAAAATTGTGTTATTTGTGTTATCATTGGTGATTCTTGTAAGTCTAATGACTGATGAAATTAGAAAAGAATTTGAAATTACGTAATGAATTATTACTCTCAGCTTAATTTCGCAAATGCAAGCTTTTGGAAGCAATACATCGAACCTACGTCAGCAGTGTTATCAGTCAACACAAATTACGTTGATTCGTGTAATGTGAGACAAGCTCCAGGTGATTAAATCAATTGTCAAATGTTTCACTCAAAAATCGAATAATTATTTTCGATTAGGTTTTGTGTGCATGGATTGCAGTGTTTTGGCTCGTTGTGTATTCAGAAATAATGGTTGGGATACAATTCCATTAGAAGTATGCGATGCTGGTCAGAATCTTTTCTGTCATGCTAATGAACAAAGATGTTCACCAAATCCTGGACCATGTAATCCCGGTGGTGGACAGGGCGGTGGTAATTTCGCTTGCACTTCTTCAGGTTTGTTTCAATTAAAGTGCGAATTTAAAACTTTTTAATTAATCTTCATTTTTTAATGTATTTTCAGGTGTTTTGTAAGTGATCGAAATCAATTCTTATGCAAATTTGCCATTCACAATTTTATTTAATGATTTCCCACGTTTAATTTCCAGCCCCGATCCATTCAATTGTCAAATGTACCACATGTGCTTCCCATCTGGACCAAACTTAATTGCAGTCAACGTTCTTTGCGGTGGAAATTACGCTTTTAATCCAGTGACAAATGATTGTTCGTTAGATTTAAACAATCCAGTTTGTCGAGGCAATCAATTTACTTGCAACAATGTCGGTGACATGGGCGCATGGCCATTGAACCCAAATATTTATTACATTTGCATGGCAGCCACAAATGAAGTTCGAGTTCTCTTTCCAACACTTTTCCGTTGCCCTGTTGGTCTCATCTTCAGAGCCGGTCAATGTTCACCACCAAATGGTGTCGATGGAAATATTTTTGATTGCCAAAGAGCTGGACTCTTCCCTGATCCCTACGACTGCCGTTCTTACTTCCATTGTGATGGTCTCTTACGTTCTCAACATATAACATGTCCAACTGGCACTTACTTTAATCAAATAACTTTGGGATGTATTCGAGGCACGTGCTGATAAGAAGAATCATTAAATGAAATGTAGAAATATGTAAGTGTGTAAATAAATTTATTTGATCGAACATCCGCCCACGCATTCCCTTACATTGAATACGTAACTTGAAGCTGTCAGTATTGCTCAATTGGAATTTTGTTGGCATTGACCTGACTCTGTCAATTCATCATATTCGGTAAATTTTTGTCAGTTGATACATGGTGTGGTTACTGATAACGCGATTACATGTTACATGCCACTGAACTGATTTCTTCAGCTGTGAACTTGAGCTATTTATTAAAGTATTTTGTCACATCCTTTAAACGAATTCAATGATTATCGAATCAACATTGAAAAAAAACTTCCAATGTACTAAAAATTTACTTAACTTATCTAAATGTCATTCTCAATGTTTAATTAAATTTTTTACCTTTTTATTCTTATTTATTCATACTCGTGAACAAATGAAAATCAATTAAATTTCATTGCACAATTTCTAAGAAGCAATTTGCGGATTTTACTTAACACAATTTGAACGAACCTTAGTTACAACAACAGCAACAAAATAAAGAGAAGTTGAATGATCTTTCAAGGCCATTTGTGACCATGAAACTAACAACCGAGCAAACAAACAAATATCGAGAATAAGTACTTAGAAATAAGAGAAAAAGCTTCAAAAGGTAAATATTTCTTGTTACAAAAAGCGAAAACTAAGGAAAGCAGATCGAAATGAAAAGCGAAGTGAGATGAAGCGCGACGAGAGTGCAAGCGAAAATATGTTTTCGTTTTGCGAAACTTTATGTAGGTATTGAGAATTAAAGTTTTCGTTGAGCATCTGTGTTGTCATAAGCTATTGACTGTCCAGTGAAAGACAGCAGGGAATCATGCAACACAAGAACGACAGTGGAGAATAAATAAAGCCTTCGAGCCACCACGGTTGATGAGAGAACTTTGATCATTGTTAATTTAAATTGATGGGCTTTTGCCTCTTCATTCTCTTTACTTACATGTGTGCTGACGACTGTTGGCTGACTGTTGACTGCTGGCAAGAACCAATAACAAAAAAAAGAGTTTATTTATATCATTTGATGTTCAATTTCCATAAAATAGACGATGTGGTCGTTTAAATTCGATTTGTAGTTTGCCAGTTGGCGAAAGCGAAAGAAGAACACAATTGATCTTGTTTCATGAGACATTAAAACGAACATAACACAGCAGGCAAAAAGGAATTTCATTTTACTGATCCATAATTGATAGCAGCGTAAATGCAAGCGCATCAATTGTCAACCGTAATTAAATAAATTGTGCACACAAACTAAACGATGACTGTCGGATGTTGTTCTGCTGCTGCTGCTGCTGCTGTTTGTTTGAATAGGTAAAAGAAGACGAGAGAAAAAAAATTGAATGCATTTAAAAGGTGAAAAATGTGATAAGAATCTCTTTAGAACTGTGGCAGAAGAAAAGCAATAAGAATCCATTCGGCAAATTGATTCTGGCATGAGACACACACAAACATGAATTGGAATTATAATTCAATCTCCATCAAATCTTTAGCAAAATGATGTGAGATTTTGACGATGACATCGACAAGCAATTGCAATGATTTTTCCTTTTATTTTATCATTTATCGATCTCAATTATAATTTAATTCTTTTTATTCTAGACTTTTGCTACTGGTAAGTATTTAATTTCCTTGTGTAATTCACTCTAAGTAATTACAGTCATAGTTCTTCACAGTTTTTATTTAGCAAGTGTCTGTTATTTAATTACAAACCAGCTCAAGAATTTTTATTGATGTTTCATCTTCATAACATCTACAAAAAACAAGTTCCCTCAACTCTCGACTATTCATCTTTAAAATTAGATTCCCTTCTGTTTGATTTGTGCACATCTACAACATTAAACTCGCTAATCGGATAATAAATAAATTTTGTTTCTCTCAAATCTTTCGATTACTTTATTTTTTCATTAATTTTGTTTATTTATTTTTTATTTTTTTCCCCAGAAATTAATTCAGAATTTTTTTCTCCTTGTGTTGCTTGTTTGGGATAAAATTTTATGTGTTGCTGGTGATTATGGGAATGAAAACGTGATAGAGACAAGGAAAATTTAATAGCAGACCTCGTTAGTTTGTTACTTAATTTATTATTCTAATCCTCATAAGGTTCCAATAACTGCTTGGTAGCAACACGATATTCCCACACTCTTTGTTTCTTTTTTATACATTTTTAACATCGCTGGCCCCCAATGATGTTAAATTTTCTTCGATCTTCGCACTCTTAAGTGACCCTCATGAAGGTTGTCGCGAAACTTACTTTTCATTTCTTTGACTTTGTCTGCCTATACATGCGAGAGCGGAAATATTTAAAAATACTTTTATTTGTTAGCTAAGTCAAGTGAAGAAGTTGGCAGGTAATAGAAATGAAGACGTTTTGCCGTAGTCACCGATGTGTAACGGAGATGAATTTGCTTACTTAAATACAACAACAGTAATCGCACATTCCATACATTACTATGTACGCAATCAACATTGCATCGCAATTTAAAAATAATCCGACAGCAATGTCATCCACCGATCAACAATAATTCGTCTACTTTAAATTACAATTTTGTGCCATAATTTGTTCACACTCACACGCGTTAGAAACATGAGAAGCAAAGTGAAAAAAAAAATGTTTTAAAGAACAAAATGTTCTCACGATTTACAAAATGTTAGCGAAAAAAAGAAACAAAACATTGCGGAATTGAGTAGCCGAGAGTCGGTGAAAAAACTACTCGAACTATCTAATTTAATTTAAATGACTCGAGTGGTGGCTCGGGATGGATTCCGTTACGATTAGAAATTCAGAAATTACGCCTTGAAATGAAAGCAATTTGAACCTGTGCGAATAGATTTATGGTCAGTCGTTTGATTGAATCGTTGAACGAATTTAAAGAAACAATTTTTTTCTTTAGTTTTTGACAATGAAACAGACATGATCCGACTTGTAATTCTTTAAAGAAGAATGATAAGAAATCCTTAGTGATTAATTTCATCAATCAATGCCTTCATTATCAAAGATTAACATCATCATTAAGAATCTTCTTACTAACACGCTGGTCGATGATGATGGAGCACGACGTCATACCTAATGCTTCTTCTTGTTCTCCTACATAGTTTAAATCTAACCATCAGCATCAATTATCAGAAATATTTGATATCGTCATAGTAATGCTGGTTTCTATAAATAGAATTTTATCTCAACCGTAAAATGATGATTCTTACATTGGAATTTCTATCGCGATGAGCACGTCGAATCAATAAATCATCAAGCATCGCAAAAAATTCATTGCTTCAAAGATTTTTATATTTTTTGGCGGTCGATCTTTAACCTCGCGTTTGTTGTTACCCCGTAATGTTAAGTTCAACACTTAACGCAAGGAATTTTATAATTGAAAGATTGGCAATGTTTATTGGACACTTGTTGAGTTGCTTTTGAGCTTTTAGTGTGATTCAACTCAGGTCATCTTAGGTTTCCCCCATGTCAAGTAATTATTGAAATAATCTTAAATGACATTACTTAAAACTGCCTTTATAATAATCACGCTAATGTTTTCCTCGAATCATACAACAAATACTCTTACGAATATTCTATTTATTTAATTACGTGACATATCATCCAAAATTTCCCGACCTGTAAGTAGACGAAAATGAAACTTTAATTTGCTTACATTCCATTATTTATCTGATGTCATTAGCATCATCAGGAATTCATTCACGAAATCGACTTCTGTGGAACGAGAATTTTTAATATTTTTTTCTTTCCTTATTAACATTTTTGCTTCTCTTCAAAAAATAAAATAATTTTTCATGACGAATCGCAATTGTGAAATGATAAACTAGACGGGCATTATTTAAGCACAGCGAGATTCCCGGATGTAGAAATTATTTAAATAGTTAGAAAATGAAATCTGATTTGAGTATTAGTATATGACGGGATTTTTCAGAAGAATTTGTTTTCATTTTCGTTTAATATTTTTAGAGATATTTTAATTATGTTTCAAATTACATATTCCAAGTTAAGATCCTTAACGTTACGTCACATGTTGCTTCTACGCTACGTAAGGATATTAAGTGAACGTCAGAAATGATTTTTACGCTAAGACTTTACATTACGTCAGTTTTTCCGAGTTTCCATGTCAACATTTAATAATTGAATAATAAAATGATTTTACATGTTACCAAGCGGAGACAAAGTAAATTGATGAATTGATGCATCATGTGAATGAGAGAAGTCTTTTTATTAATAACTACACTAATCAATGAATCAGTAAAAATTCCACTTAATTGAGTTTATAATTTAAACATCATAAAAGCGATAAAATCGATGAAACTCATTTGGCTACAAATCCTACTGCATTCTTGTCATCCTCTAGCCATTGTCTATTCTCGGGAAGATGATTGACATATTTTGATATGAATGATGATTTCACAGTTTGCTTACCTGTTTGTCGTGATGTTTGTAATTGCAAAACATTCCGATTCCGTCTTTAGAGAGAAGAAGATGAAAATTCTTTTAATTCATGGAATATATTTAAGAAAATAATTCCATAAAAAATCAAATCAATGCATCAAACTGATAGATCGATTAGGAAAATTTTTCTCTGACATTGATTGTTCAGTAGTGAGTGGATTAGTCATGATAATGATCAATTGACAATAAGAAGATTCCAAAAGATAATCACGCAACAACCATAAATGTAAACGCGTTGAAAAGTCACAATGTGTCAATCTCAATCTTCTTTGATACGTGCTTTGTCATGTTTCGTTCGTCAATTGACATATTTGTTAATATCGTCAAGAGACATTTTTTCCAGCCTGTCGTTAATTTAAGGGTAGAACGATCGACCAGAAAAGGCTCGTAATTATTCTGAATATACAGCCTGCATCAATCTTACATAAAAAACCGCATCGTCATCGATCTTTCAATTCGATTAATTGCAAACGGTAGTTTGATGCCTCGAAATGATTCCCATAATCAGATAACCCTTAAATAGTGATTTCATTAGTAAGGAAGCGATTTAAACGCTATCAACATCGGAATAATTTGAATATCAAAAGGCACACGATGCATAAATTGCAAAAACCATGCAACCGATTGCAGCATGTTGAAAATATATAAAAAAACGAATCCGTGACAAAATGATAATGAATATTTTAAGCTGTCGTTCGTTGTTCGTTCACGTCAAGTAAATCAAAATTTGTTTACATTTATAAGCGATATGTAAGGTTGGAATCTTTAACAACAATGTAGATATGATTACATAGGGTGAATTTAAAATGTTAGTCACGATGTTGTTATAGAACATATCTGCGATCAAATTTATCATTTTTAATTCGCTTTATAATGATTTTATTATTCAATTCTCAGAATGCACTTCGGTCGTAAGAAAAAACAACTTGAATACCTGTAGAAAAGCTTCCTTTGTTAGTAAACATGAATGATCGTGAGAAAAACTTTACTTTGAGACTTCTATCGTTGACTATTCTATTCATAATATGCATACTTATATGAGTAAGTTGTAATTTGTCAAAACGATCTGACACCTTTGAAACAAAAGCAAAAAAAAAGAAGAAGCGTCTGAGCACTTAAAAGAAATAAAAAATCCAATCAAATCGATAAATATATCGCGCCATAAAATCCAATTATCCAACACACAATCGAATGTAATTTTCGAGAAGATTAATTATCATTAAACCACTGTCGATTGTCGGACGATTGAGTCTTTAGAATTCTATGTTTAAAGAGACGTTACATTAATTTACATTAAATTAAATTATTTATTAATCGATGCTCAGACAAAAGACGACGATAATGAAGAATGGTGTTTTGATGACCACTGCTTGATGATCGAGGAAGGAATGCGCGCTTCATTCTCACAGAAATTAATATTTTTGCTCATGATTAAAGCTCTTTTTTTCTTCTTTCAAAACAACAACTAACCATCAGATATTTTCGGTAATGACCATTATTCTATCTTCAACTTTTAATCAACAATCATTACTTCCTGAATTCACCGTCGAGTACACGACAAAAAATTACGAATCGATGAAGAGAAGAAGTTGTAAACATCATCTCTCAATTCTCGATTGTGCCTTCTAAAGCATCATCGTCCCATACGGGATGACATCATTATTTTATAATAATATCTTTTATTATGCTCCATGATGACCCGCGTTGTGTTCTGGGCTCTATTGAAATCAAGCACACATTACGCCGTACGATGGATACATCAGGAGTTTTTATTTTGTGTCTTTTCTTCTTCTATCTGTGGATATTCAAAAATTCGCGATTGTAGTTGTTGGGCAGTCAGCACGTTGAACAAAAATACGAGAAAAGAGTAGAAGGAAAGAGACACTTGGGAGATATTTTAAGTCAAATTAAAAAGAATAAAAAATAAAGAAGAATGAAGTAAAATTGATGAGTAAGATTAAAGGGAAGTTTTGATGTTCGATCACAAGCAAAAATCATTCAATGGTCAAATTCAATGGCGCCACAAAAAAGCGACGAAATCTTCAAATTGATCCTTTTTATTCCCGCCAGCCATTTGAGAAAAAAGAATCAAAAACAAATTCCTTTCAACTTAATAATTTTCACGCCAATGCTGTCTGCTAAATTGTCGACAGTCAAAAGAAAGATTTACGAGGCAGAAAGTGTAGCTGTAAGCACTTGAAAGAAATCTCCGCCGGTCCTTAAGATGAAGCGTTGAAATTTCAAATCACAACATCCAGGAACGCTAATGTATCATCTTAACAAAGAAATAAATACAAACGACCTTCACTTTTTTTTGTTACATGCTTTGCGCTATTGAACAAGAAGCATGAATAACAAGAATTCTTTTTTTTTCTTATTATTTATTCTCTGATCCACAGTGGGAAAGAACATCTTGTTGTATTTAATGTTGGTGGTGCTTTATTAGCTGAACGGATCGAGAGATTTCTAATAACAGCTAACAGGTGATGTCAAGACGTCGTGTATTCAGTTGATCGATCTTTGTTGCATGACTCAGTAAAGTGCTTTTGCAAATCTGCTTCTTTCGGGTTCAATGAAACGAGAATTAAGGTTTGTAAGTTGATGGAAGTTTTATTTTAGTCGAATCATAATTTAATCTTCATTGTTTGAATCAAACAATCTTCAAATGAATCATTTACTTGTTTGTTCCCGGTCATGTCGTCATCGTATAAGGAATAGAACAGATAAAAAAATCAAGTAAATTGTAAACATTCCTGGATTGAAACGTCACTTGATCGAGAAATTCTAAATGCACGATCAATTTTGATGATCATTATGGTCAATCATCCAAAAGATTCTTTATTTCTTCTTCTTTTTTTGCAATTTAATGTGAGATCATCAACACACTGCGTGTTAATGTTAGGATATTCGTCGTTTACCTTCTAGATGATGTAATAACGGTTCGATGGTCGTCGAGGTTAAGGGTGACGGCAAATTCTAATTTATAGCTGTTTAGCAAGCATTTTTAGTTTTAACTTTTCGACTTTATTTTTCGTTTTGTTCTTCTCCACAATTAATAAATCCCGCAAAGATGATAAGAATCTCCATTGCCACAAACGACATCGACCGAAAAAAGAATTCTTGACTTGTTCGTTTTTCCAGTTCTCCCGTTTATTTCTCAGAAAATTTTCATCGAAATAAATAAAAAAAAGTTGTTTCGTTACGAGTTTCTTCATTCGTTTGTCGACGTTGCGCAACATCTTTGCAATGGAATTTTTATTTTCCAACAATCCAATGAAGGCTTTTAAGTTTGTCGCGACATAAGAAAGGAGAAAAGATTCTTCGACTCGGCCGTCGTCGTCGTCGTCGCATGTGATAATTAAAAGAAAGATTTTCGAAACTAATTAGAAGGAGAAAAATTATTTTTAATTTTATGGAATTTTTATTGTTTCACCGGTTAAAAGCAAAGGTTTATGAGTATTTAATGAAAAGCGCTATAAAATCATCAAACGTACATGGTTGTGTCGTTTTACGGTGTAACAGAAATAATTTTAAGAATGTACTTAGACTTAATTAAATCAACAAAGTAAATAAATGCTTAGTTATGCTTCTAAGGAAGAAGAAGATGATGATGATGAGAGCAGATCATGATTATTTGACGCATTACCACCCTGAAGGCGATTCCGCATAAGATTACGATGAACATCAATTGAAATCAATCACTTTTGCGTACACTACGCGTACAACGATTAAAACAAGCAAGCAAACCGTGATTTCGACCTTCGGCTGTCACGTTAATGTTTGCAATTTGATTAAATATTTATACACACAATACTGTTATGATGCGCAACAACTTAAAAACGCAATTAATTGTTTGTTCCCGTTGATGAGTTGACACGTGAAGTGGTAGCTGAGGTCACGGTAGGATTATTTCTGAAGAGATTCGAACGAAAATCGAAAGTGATCAGATATTCAGTGAAGTTATAGTCAGAACAGCAATGGCATTCCATTGGGTCGAGAGTCATCTCCAATTCTTCTCTCTTTTTCTTCTAATATCTCACGCTTCATCGGCGTTAAACAGCAGCGACAAATGATCAGCAATTAAACTTCAAAAAAAGGAAAAAAAAGTTTTTTGCAAAAAGAACTTGAAGATCTATCGAGTACGATTACAAACACTCGTTTGAAAATATTTCGAAAAAAATCGTCTAAAGTTAGATGAAATAAGAAAAGAGCGACAACAACGGCTGCCGATGTTGATGTCTGAAGAGTCAGCAAAAGATTTCCAAGCGAAACTTTATCATTGCCAGCAGCAAAAACGAGGAAGCAAACCAAAAAAAAAATCTTTTTTTCATTGCTTCTTAACAACGTGCTCAACAGAACGCGGTTAAGCTTCAACGTTTTGTTTGCACTCGTCTTGAAATCTCGTTTAATTGCGATAACTTGAAATCAATTAATTTATTTAATGAAAACAAATTACTTGTCACTTGGCACTTCATGGAACCTTACTTTGAGTAAAAAATGTTGGATAAGTATCGATCGATGAGAGAAATGTATCCAAAAAATGAATTGCTGGTTTCATGCGAAGGTCGCATGCACAATAAATCTTCATCATGCAATTGTTTGCTTTGTTTGTCGCGTTTGCCGAAGATAGAATAAAATTGAGGAGTGACAGAATATTCTTAAATACAATAAGACGAATGGAAGCAACATTAAACAGCGACAGCTACAACAATAATGATAAATCACAATGTGATTATTGTTAATAAGCGATGCAATTCGCTAATCGCTTAATGATTTTTCACCTCATGTCAAGAGACAAAGTCAATTTTTTATTCATTCATTCACATTTTAAAGCCTAAGCACTTTATTTATTTGCAAATATTTGATTTACGATGTCGAGATTCCCCAATGAAAGTTTGTTTAGCGCGCTCAACTTGAGACACTTGATACCATTGTTATGACATCAGCTAAAAGATTCACTTTCAAGCCCAAGTTCATTAGCGAAGTTCACGAGCGATCCCGGATTTTATTTAGATATTTGCCGAAGATCTCGAAACAGATTTATTTATAATTTTTCATTATTTTTTTGTGGTCTTCGTTCGCATGTTTCCAGACTCTTCCCGAGTGCGATGACTCAACTTGATGATTGTTCTCGTTAATGTTTGGAACGTCGAACGCGCGAGAGAAATATTTGCAATTACAATGACGAGAACTCGTCAAATAGAAGAACTGTCAAGAACGTCTTTAAAAGTATTTTTAATTGTCGGTGAGACTGAAAGAGTTAGAACACTGTAAGAGTAACAGTTGAATCACGCGAGATTCGATTGTGATAAGCTTAAAAGTGATGACACGCAATCTAACTAACGGACTTGATTCTAAAAATATCCCCATCGTGTTTTATATTTTATCGTAAGCTGATAAATTGCGCAATGACGGAAAGAGTCGCCACACCACAAATAATAAGTTGCTAATTAACTAAGCACGTTCCTTAGTTCTTCTTTTTTTCTCTCCTTCTTTTCTTCATATTATTTTTATTTTTTTGGAATAAAGTGCAAATCAATTCTCAATCGTTTCAACAAATCGCTTTTCAATTAACAGCTTTTGATATCAAATCTAAGAGCAATGAATAAATTCTATTTATGAGAAATAAATGGCGTGTCGTCGTTGAACGAAGGCAAACAGTTATTCACTCAATTGAATTAACGGAGCACGTTTCGTGTCGATTGTTTTCTCGTGAGAAAAAAAGGATAAGCTTTGGTAGGATCCGCTTGAACCAGGAACATCATAACATTATACAAGTAATGAAGATCAGAGCTCGACTCCACCCAGAAATCAGCTCACAAAAGGGCGATTTTTCGACTCTGAAATCATCTCGACACGAGATTCTCAAGATGACCATTCGATGACTGATCAAACAACAAGCAAAGTTTTCAGACAATCAATTTAATTAAAAACTAAATTCGTCATCACTGCTTGCTGATTGCGCATAAAGCGCAAAATATCTTTGAGAGTTTCGTTGAAAAGAGAAAAAATGTTGATAAAACGACCCCGCAAGATGAATGGTGAAGGAATTTGAAGTTCTTAATGAGTCTTCTTCTTCTCGTCATGAAAACACTGAAAGATGTTGACAATAAATAAATTATGATGGACCTTGATGAGAGAGGAAATTATTTGATAGTTTGATTGGTGTTTAAAAATAAATTAACGTCGAATACATTTTATCCAAAGCATGTTAACATTTTCCACATTTATTTAAATTTAAACTTACAAAATTAAATTAAGTCGAGCATCTAATGAAGATCAACGAACTTTTAGAGTAACTTTACAATGTTAGCAGAATTAATTTAAGCTTTTTTTGATGGTGTAACGGAGAAGAGAATTTAATTATTTTTCTTTTAACGAGATTCAATCTCGGAAGAAGAAGTTACTTCAAAACATGCGAAAATCTTTCTTATCTTCTTGTCTATAAGGATCATTTTGAATTGCTAAATCTTTTATCAAACAATTTAATTTAATTTGTAAAATTCTTTCCATCACAACATCAATTTTTGTCTTCTTTCAAATGACGAAATGCCGAAACGAAAACGAAAGACCAGGTGTTACATTCGTGACAGTTTACAACTTCATTATGAACTCCTTTGAATGTTTCTTTTCACACAATTGCGGTGATTTTTACGACTCAAACCGTTAATTGAATGTTTATCGACAATGCAATTTGCATAAGAGGAAAGAAAAAATTAATTAATTTGTTGATTTAAAAATAAAACATGCAGAATGTGATAATAAAAGAAGTAATTAATTAAATTAAACAGAGACTCGCTAGGATGATGGCGACTTGATGAAGAAACAAGAGTTGGCAACGTGTGTTGTCTCATTGGAATCACCTAAGATGATGAATGATTAATTGTGTTAGGATAAGAGTTTGAAGTGTTTTATGGAATGTTAAGTCACGTTTAAGTTGCTTTATGTGAGATTTGTGGTGGATGTGTAGTAAGTAGCGTGACAACTAACACCTCTGGTAAGGAAGAATGATTTGTGGTTGTCTGTCGCTTATTCATGTTGAATTAGCGATAATGGTTATTAATCTATCGTGACAAAAACATCAAATCAATCCAACTTCGATAAAGAATTTCTTGTCTTACCGCAAATATCTTCAAAGTTGGCTTGAGATTCAGTGACGACCCATTCTTCATCTTCATCATTATCGTCGTCGGTTGTCAAGATATCTTGATCTTCACTTATCATCAGTTCACTCCCTTCAACGAAAGCTGAATCTCCTGATCGTCTAGGATTGTGCAATTGATCGATGATCTTCTTAATCTCAGCAATGCTTTCAATATTGTCACTTGAAAAAGTTACATCATGTTTCTTACTGACACCACCAATTTTAAACTTATCACGATCGTCCCTCACGAAACTAAACGAGGCGCCAAAGAAGAAATGGTTTCGATATCCCAACACGTTGTTATTAATTACTTTCGTGTATAGAAAACATTTTTCAAAAATGAAGACTTTGCTTGTGAATTTTCGATTAAGAAAATCTTCAATTGCTTTGAACGTTGAACATTTAATAAATTTTCCGAGACTAAAGACATTGAACTGTGAAAACATGTTTAATCAATTTTTATTGAATATTTCAATTGGATGTTTTTAACTCACCGGCACGCGAAACTGGAAGTGTGAACTATTCTTTGGAACTATCAACATTACTGGCGCCATGTCATTGCAATCAACTCCGTAATCATGGGAAATAGCTGACATTACTTTCACTTGCACAGTTGCGCTAAACTCATGTGTCTCTATGATGTCATTGATGGATAAAGCTTCGTTGAGTCGAACAAGTAAGCGTTGAACATTTTTCTCAGCGACACAGCAAATTGCTAAAATTTCTTTGTTAATTGCTGTCATTTCTTGTCTCATCAATTCTTTTATAATCTCATCGAGAAACATTTTATATCTTGGTAACTTCTGGATAGGTTGAATAACAAATGAATGAATTCCAAGAAAATCATCAGAAGTGCTTCGAAGATCTTCAAAAAAATTGTAGTGAGACGAAATCAATTGTTCAGCAGTTTTTTGATTGATAGCGTAGATAATGTAACAGTAGAAGAGATCATTTGTTATGAAACAATTTAAAGTTTCAGCTATTTGTCGAGCATTTCCATTAGCAATCAAAAGTCGAGGATAAACAGAATTTTTATGAAGTTTATAAATCTCTTCAATGTTCCCGAACAATCGAAAAGTTTGATTTTTCAGAATTTCTGGGACTCCTGGATTGCCAGCTTTGATAACACGCACATAATACTGAATCCCTCTTTCCAGTGCTTGAAGATAACTCAACTCTTTCTGAAGCAATTCGTTTATTATTCTATCGAGCTTTGAAGAAGATTTTGCAGGGGAATTTCCTAAACTTGATCTTGCTTTTGGCGATTCATAAGATGTTGGTGATGATGGCTGTGATTTACTTACGAACTTATTAGCCAGCACAGTTGCATGTGTTCTTGAATGTTCTTCAAACAACTGAGAAAGCATCTTTACACGCGATGGTTCACTTTGCAGATGACGAAATGATGGAGAATTCTTAATATAATGTTTTTGTTCAGTTTCCTTTAAAACAGTTAATCGCTTTATTTTTTGCTCTACAAGCTTTCCTTTATAAGCATGATGTGGTGTATGATGGTCGGCCATCGTGATATTGTCAGGAATAACTTTAAATTAAAACACAATTAGCTTGATTTGTTTTTTTTACCAAAGTTTTCAGACGTGAAATTGAAAAGGATTAACGAAGTACTAGAATAATGAAGAAGGATTCAAAAATGGCGGGAAAGAAATGTTGACACAAAAATTTTTTTAAAATTAAGTTTATTGATCATCTTTGAAAATTTCCATTATTCTCAAATCAATTGAAGGGTTTTACATTTTTCATTTCGTAACGCTAGCGAAAAGTCATCATCAAACATTATTAGGTCATTTTCATACCTAATTCAATCATTGGTTCCATATTCACATTTAAATAAATATAAAGGTCTGGAGGATTAATTTTAATTCGTGGCTGAGGAATATGTTTTGGAGGATTTCCAATTGGAGGCGAAGGAAGTGAATTATTCGGTATGGCTGAAATTCCTTTCTTGATAATAATTTCATTAACTGTTGACAACATTGAGAAATTCTTTCGCCGTTTCTTCATTTTCTTATAAAAGTTTGATTTTTTCGAAAGCAAACCATCAGATAAACGAGCATCTAATTGACGAAATCTAGTTTCAAGATTATCATCCAAATTATTGTTTAACTCGAGACGCAATTTCTGAACTTCAGAAATAATCTGATTTTTGCGATATTCTTTTTGCTTTCGTTTCAAGTCCCGCTGACATTTTCTCTCGACGAGTTTTACACTTTTCAATAAAGTTGCAACAAGTAATTTTGTTGTTTCATTTTCTGAAGATTGAGTAGAAGTTTCTTCAGACGGTGTTGATGAAAACTTTCCAACATTTGATGAAAAAGTTTTATCCTTGGTTTTTATTTGACGATGATCATAAACTTTTGAAGAATCAAAGGAACTCGAATTTGTGAGAGGTGAAAAATTATTTCTTGATTCAAAGTTCTCCGGACATTCATTAATTCGATTTAATTCGCCGCTTGTTTTACTACAAAAATGAAAAGTTCACTTTAAGTAAGTTTAAACGAATAATGAAAAAGTTATGAAACCTTTGAGACTCTGCTCTGATGTCGTTTGAAATGAGTTCTAAAACTTTGTTTTGGTAATCCTCCAAATCAGGAGTATGGGGACTTAAAAAATCATTTTCTTCTTTCATGTTCTCATCCTTCACAGACATTGGACGCTCTGGAGTGTAAGACTTGTCATCATAAGTTTTTTGTGTATAATGCTTATGTTCCACGTCACTGAATTCATCGTAGAACAGTTTCGATTTTTTAGATGAACGATTTGCTTGGGGAATTTGCCTTTTTTTATGTTTCGGACTTTGTCGTTCAGCAAAATAAATTTGAGGAGATGTATTGGTAAGTCTGAAATTTATTTTCTAAGGTAAATGAAAATAATAAGTGATATAAAATAAATCCTACTTGAAAACTGAGTGATTGAATGAATTATTTGTTTCTTTGTACATGGCTGAGAAGTTAATAAATGACAAGTGTCATAAGATTCTAAACTACACTTAGATAACTTGTTGTATTCAATAAAGAATATCTTATCGCAAGATTCATATTAGAAGCTTGGAAAAATCCTTGAAATGTAACTTAAAGAAAAGTTGACTAAATATTTTGCGCATTTCGTTTTTAGCAAATTTTAAACTAAGTACCCACGAGGGGTAGAAATCTTCTTCTTCTTTTATGCTAATACGTTTCAAACGTTTTGTTATCAAGCAAAAACGTCATCAAATTAATCATTTAATATTTTAAACACTTCACATTTCAGTAAAGGGTATTCATTATACAGGGTTAAATAGATATGGTCAATTCATCATATCCTAATGATACATAATAATATAGACCTCTTTAATCTAAATTAATTACACTTTATGAACATTCTTAATGAATATTTTGATACTTTTCCTAAATTTAAATATTTTAAAAGCTATTTTGTGAAATTGGAGCTTCAAGCATTTGAATAATAACTCAAGTTATCATTAACCTTGGTTTCGAGGTTCTTTGTTTTTATAAATTTGTTAAGTAAATGAAGACACGAGCAACCAGCATTTGCAAAAAAAAAATAAATTTATGAACAAAAGTTTGTAAGAAATCCCGTCATTATGACTTTGAAATTTGCAACACCAATCTATGTAATTGCAATCGCTAATATTGTACAGAAATCTTCTACTGACAGCAACTTCATATCAAAAATCAATGAAGAATGATACTTAAATAAAAAAATAATTGCAGAAGCTTTGTCTTAAGTCCTTTCTCATTTGCGTTAGCACTTAGGTAGTTTTATTAAAGGCGTAAACAGAATAGTAATAATTTGTAAACTATACAGCATGTTATTCTCAAGTAAATGAAGACTGGGAGTAATGATTTTTCAACTACAAGATGAAACAAGATTGAAGCATCACACCAATCATTGAAGCCTTCAGCATTCTTTATTTATCGGTTCGTTAAATAAAATCTGACGAATTGAAAAATCATTTGAAGAGTTTAGTCAAGTGCTGGAAGCGCACAATGTGCATCTGAAGTGATTTTAAATCGATCCATGAACATCCTTCAAACACATTTGATGAAGAGTGTACACCTATCGTCGATAATTGTTTTTCACCTACACAAAACAGATAAAATAAAAATTCAATAAGTAGATAAATAGATAGATGGAAAGATACAACAGAAAATCTGAAGGCGAAGTAAAAAAGTATTTAATTGAAAGCGATATGTTGAAGAAGCTAATCAGACACGCACAAGAATTCCTCAACTATCCAAGCTATCTGTCTATCTCCTTTTCTAGCGTTCAGTCATTCGAAGTAATAATTATAATAAAACAAGTATTTCAAAGTATTTTATTTATTAATTGCAGTTGAAGATCTTCCTCCTTGTCTTGACTATCATGGAAGTTTTTATTTTTCTTATTTTTTATTTCCCCTCAAGCAGCTTAGTCGTAGCGAACTCATTAATCTATTCGTTGTTGAGAGAAGACGTTAGCAAATCGTGCGGGAATTATGATTTGACAAACCGCCTTCATAGAGATTTATAAATTGGCGAGTACCTTTAAAACTTTGAATTATTTAATTGTGCAGCATCTCAAAGATGTAAACCTAAACTGCGAAACTTGTTTGATAGAATATCTAGAAGGAAATTACGGAAACTTCTATCTCGGTATGGTCGAGAGCGATCATTTACCTTTCAATTTCACTATTGATAGATCGTATGCACTTTAAAGCAATAAAGTTTATCTTCGATTTGCTTTTATTCCAATACGCGTAGAATTTTGAGATAATAAATTGATTTTTTTTTCTTCCCTCGTGTCTCACAAGATGACTTTAATTGGAGCATTTGTTAAAGTTTGCCATGTGAAGCTTAACAATTTCTTGTTTCTCTTTCATCATTTCTCTTTCTTCAATAATTTTAAATCGAATGGTTTTTTTTCGATAAATAATTTAGATAAATAGAAATTAAAAAAGAAAAAGAAAGTTTCTAACAAATTGGTTCTATTTAATCATTCTTGTTATCGCTAGTTAAAACAAGACAACATTATAAACGTCTTTCAATTGATCGTCCTCATATCCGGTGATGAATAAATCTATAAGTTGTTAATAACATAGCTTAGACAAGTTGCGTTTGACGTAATAATTCTATACAAGTGGCGCCAAGATGAAATAAAGCAGAAAAGTGCAGCAACGTTGCGGAAACGCTTGCAATCATCATCATAAATTTGTTGTCATAACAAACATTCTATCAACTCATTGATCTTCTTTATGCTCTTAGGTTAATAGCTCGCGGCTAATGTTTGCTTTTCTATCGATATTCACAAGATGAAAGAAAAAGAAGAGCATACGAATACGACTGCAAAAAGCGCGAATCATAACGAGTTCAGGAAGACGATGAAATAATATTAATTCGCCTCCGAATGGATGCGAAAATAAAAAATCAAATCTAATTAACATAAACCGTTTTATAAACTTCAACCGACTTGCGGTAAACTAAAGTATTTAAATTTCTTCTTTTTCTTCTTACTTTTCGATAATAAACACCAGTAGCAAGAAAAACCTTCGAGATTTGATGCTCAATTTAATTTCATTTGATGACAGTCGTTTGTTATTATCATTGCTGTAATACCTATGAATACTTTTTCGCTACTTACTTTAAAGCTACTGGTTTACATCAATTCAAGCTCATATTGAATTAAAAACAAATTCATTTGTTTCTATGCGAATTCACATTCAAATCAATTCAAACAATTCCTTAAATAAATAGAAAAATTGAAAAAACTCTCTTATGGCTCGCATAAAGAACATAAATAACAACACATTAACGTTACGAATCAGTATCTCAATACAAATCTAATGTCGTTGGTAGCTCGATAGAGAATTTCTTAAAATATAGGGCGTGCCTTTTCATCTACAACTTGCTACGTTACAAACAACCCGAATATCTTTATGATAAAATAATTTTTACGAAATCGTTGCGGAATCGAGTTTTACAAATACCTTCACACCTAAGATCACAGTATTCTAATTCTTTTTTTGTTCTTGGAATCCAAATATGGAATAGCATCAAAACAGACATAAGAATGACTAACTCTGCTGCGGAATTCAAAAAGAAGTGCTTGTCTTACTTTAACTTGCAGTGAATATAGAAGTTAATGCTCAACCTTCCCCTCTCCCATCCTTAAAACACAATGAATCATTGCTAGCCTATGTTGGCTGAAATTTATTTGGTGCTGAGATATGAAGTGATAATATTTTACTTCATTGAGATTGTATGATTTTTATCAATCATGTCATAGTTTTAATTTGTCTTGTTTCAAGAATAAAATTTCATAAGACAAGCTGTAATCATGAGAAGATTTTCTTAGGAAATCTTAAAAAGAGCATGCTCTTAAATGTTTACAAATGAAGAAATAAACAAACAAACAAACAAACAAACATTTGAAATTAGCTCAACATATTTAATACAATTTATAACCATTTCTAATCTAGACATTGAATAACAAATTCACCAAATGAAGTTGTTTCAATACTTAACAACGTAATGTCATTGGCTTGCATAAATGTCGCTGTCGCTTCACCTGTGCAACGATGAATTAAGTTCCCTCAGTATAGAAACAAGTCAAGATTAAAATCAGAGACTGCCATGCTTGGATTTGTCCACTGAGACATTAAAATTAATGGAACGTTTGCTTAATGTTGGAGAAATTCTACTCAATTATTCATCTCTCGTAAATAGCTCGCTTGTTGTGCTGTTAAAAATTGGCTATTTAAATAACGATAACCTTAGAGTTTATAAAGCATGATATTAAGTGGTAAATACGCGCTAGTAGTCTAGTAAAGTCTAGAATATCTAACGAAGCATATGAACAAATTTTTGTGGAATTTTTCCATTCGATTCTCTCGCCTTATTAACACATTTTGCTTTGACCTTTTCCGCGTTTAACTGCGCTACACATTGTGCATTATGCATTCGCTAAAAAATAAAATTAAACAAATGTGTTCTACTTTGTGAAATATTTACGAAGAAATTAGAACAAAAATCTGAAGCTAATTTAATTTATTCACCTTTAAAATACTAATGAAGTTGACATGACATGAACAACGAGAGAGTTTAAAGTACACGCCTTACTTTTAACTACATTTTGTTAACTTGGTATGTTTGGAGTTTGCATTAATTTTTGGAATTATTGTGCGTTATTTTATGTGTTTATTTGATTGACGCATGTCCGCCTCGAGACAATTTAAGTTTTATTACACTCATCTTTCATAACTTCGGCTATTTGTATGGACGTTGACTTGTCACAACTCACGCATTTTCAAATACTCTGACTTGCGACATGCATGTCTCTTTTTAGAATTAATTTCTTTTCTTAGAATATTTAATAAGATTGCAGCACATCAGTGATTCACATGGAAAAAAACTCCTCCCGGTTAATTATGTAATTTGTCATAATTTCTGACCACAAATACTTTATCATCACGAATTCGATCTGACTACGAAGAGATTCTTCGAATCATCATCTAACCTATCTGAAGACGTTCGTAACTGTAAAAATGAAATAATTGCAATTTGCTTCATTCACAACAACAACAACAGATGTAATAAATTAAATGTTATTAATTTTTCTTCAATGTTGAAAGCCTTGACTTTGAAGAAGAAATTTACACACATTGTGTGTTTACATTTATCGATTTTATTACAATTACTATATGATTGTAATTATTCATTTAAAATCATATTTCATCTGTCACATGCACAGCTTCGTTCTTTTATGAGAAGCTTTCATTGTTGCACAATGTATGTTTAATGTTTTAAATCCCTCAAAATCCTTTTTTATTTCAATAAATGAATATGAATGAAAATTTCCGTCTAATACTCGACCGTGTATGGTATCGAGATCAATCATTGTTTTATTAAAAAATCAATTCCTTCAAGGGAAAAATGTTGAAGTTATGTAACAATCAAATTTAACTCACGAGCATTGTTCGATGAGTTCTGAATAAAAAGAGAAAAATTATTCTTTTCTGACATTATTTTATTAACATGTTCCTTTCCCATTAAGCCATCAGTGTCCCTTGTCATTCGTCCAGCCAATTTCAATGACAACATCATGTTGAAAAATAGCTGACATGGGATGAGGGTTAATACATATTTTTATAAAGCAGACAAGGAGAAATGCGATGCAAAATAAAGCAAAAAAGAGAATAATCTGACGAGTAATAAATGAATTTATTGATTTACATTCACATGAGATCAAAAATTGTTACCATACTTTATGAAAATAAACTGTAATTACGTTCCACTGTCAATTTTAATTAATAATATGTGCTAATAAACATGCAAAATCATGACTTGATATTTACTGTTCCACTTTTCGTTAAAATATTTATTAATAACTTTTTGTGAATGATGTTAAGAAGTTAGCAGGTCAATCACCAATTCTTAATCTATTATCAATCGATATCATGAAATATTTGAAATTAAGGAAAGAGGTTCAAGGGTAGATATTTAGCTAATGGATCCAATGACCCTTCTATCGGCAGACAGAATCAAGTTGATGATAATGCATTGTCAGTCGGGAAGTCACCGCATTGACCAAAACACTAAATGAATCTATAGGCCATTAATTTAATGACATCACACTTTTTCAAAACGTGGTACTCGTTCAAGTTGAACGTTTCGTACATTTCCACAACAAAAATAACTAAAAGACGCATATCAACCATTAAGATGTCTTCAACTTAGGGGAAAGTAAGCTAACTGTTCTTTTATATCATATGTCATTTTAATAGAATCATTTTCACAACAAGCAAGCATAAAGAGAAGATTTTATGGATTACTGTCTGCTAATAAGCCTATAAGGACGAAACAAAATAAAAGAAAAAAAGGAAAAATGCAATTCACGGTTTATTATTTTTGATGGCGTGATGCAAAGGAAAATAAGAAAAGTTATTATTGATATTGATGAAGTCTTTACTCTCAGTTTTATTGTCATTCACACACCCCTGTTGTTTGATTTCCATCGAAGAAAGGAAAACAAATTTTCCAAAGGTTCTAAAACTTTTGTTTTTTTTGACTGTGTTCACGCTTTCGAATTTTTCCCTCATCTCAATTGTTTGTATTTCGAGTCAGAAAAAGTAGTTTTCATGTGGAAAAACAGTAAAATTTGATTTATGCCAGTTTTTTGTGTCTGAATATTTCACAACAATGCAAACAATTGTTGAAAATCATAATTTATGTAAAACTTTTATGATACCTCGTATGTATAAATTATTACAAAATGTGTTTCTGGAAAGATTTCTGACGAGCAAATGTGATGTGAGATGTGCTGCGAGTGCTTTTTGTGTTGAAGCAATTGTGCTTTGTGCTCGAATGAAGCTGTTTGTTTAATAAGTTAATTTCATTTTATTAAAGTTGCTTTAAAGTTCATTCCGTGAATGATGTATGAACTTTGTTTGACATTCTCTTTAGAAAATTATGGAAAATGACTAGAAACAGAATTCCTATTGCTAGTCAACAACAACAGAAATACATTCTTCGAACATCTAGATATTGAAATAAACAATACAGTTTCAAGGAGGGTGAAAGTTTCAATATGAAATTGAGAACAATTCTAGTTACGTGTGCTAATGATTTTATCAGTCGTTTTGTTTCTCACATTCCAAAATTTTCAATTTGCAAAACGAAACGACCGAAGATAAATTGTTTCTTGAAAATCCTACAATAATATCTATGTATAAAGTTCATTTCCCTTGGAAGGATCATAATTCTCTTCCACACTACGAGTTTAATAGATTTTGAACAGAATCAGGTGTACAATTTTCGAAAAGATGTAATGTTGTCTATGTAGCAAGTGGAATTTCAGTTTTGTAACTTTCTCTGTCTTTCGTATAAATATATCTTTTGTGATTTGTACAAGAGTCCCTAAAGCTTCAACCTGTTAAATGTTCAAGCTTTTTATCTATCTTTTTAAACATTTTTATGATGTAAGTAAACTTTTTCACTTGTAGAGATTTTCAATTTCCATGTTCACCCATTTCCACATACCTACCTAGAGTAGAGAAGAAGAAATGCTTAAGTTTATGTTACTTTTAAGTCGTGACAATTTATTGAGTTGTAAAAATGCTCGAAATATTTTCTGCATCAACATTTTCTGTCGTTTCTGCATCATGACCAGTAGCAATAACATGTAGAAACAGAAACTAAATAATTAAATTTCATTTTCGGTAGAATTTCCTAATTTTATCATTTCATTGTGCGGAAGAATCTTTTATGCATGAGTTATTTGTAGCAAGTGATATGACATGAAGGAAATTGGGACAACCATTCCATGAATTTTATTACAAGTGTCTCTTAGAATGTCATAGCATTTGCAGAGATCTTCATTTAGTCAGACTCGTTTAAATTTATCGCTTGAAATATTAAAACTTCGTCACCAAAATGCTTTCATTAGCTTGAAATGTTACCACAGACATCCTTGTTAAAATGTTGCCGGGTAAACTTTTATGTATTTATTCTCTCTTTCAACTGAAGAAAGTAAGTACTTTTCATCTCTTAAATGTGTCAAAAGCAGATCGGTTGGGTAAAATTGTTTGTTTTCGATCTTGAAATAATTTCTCGGTGCTTCAAACTTTCCTCAGACAGAACACGAAATTTCCCTGTTTTCTTAGAAAATGTGTCGGAAATATCTAATTCCTTCAACATAATGGATAAAGAAAGAAAAATGAATGAAAAACACCAGCCAGAAGAGAAAGTTTCAAGGACTTTTTCACCCTGCATTGAACAACATTCTTCATGTCAAACCAGACGCTGAACCAACCCCTAAAATAATTCTAAACGATGATTTACTTTTCTTTCAGAAAATATATCCAAATATTTACCAATTCTCAGTCGAAATTCGTCTTCTACCGACAAACAGAATTTTCTTGCTGAGATTTCTCTTCACATCTTATACTTAGTGAAATTTTTTCAAAGCGAAACGAAAATAATGTTGAGGGTTGAAGCGAAGTAAACAAGTATTTAAGACGATGGAAAAGAAAAGGGAAAAAAGAAATTATTTAAGAAGAAAATGAAACAAGGTTTCCACGAGAAAACCTAATTTTCGATTTCAAGATCAGCAATAACGAAATCTAATAATTGAAAGTAAATAAGTTCACCCACTCACACAAACAGACAACATTTCATTTTCAGACTAATGAATTTTAAATTGAATACTTTTTTTTGTATTACTTTACTTCATCAACTTATTTTAAAAGTAAACGCGTTTTATGCCAGAAAATTAGAACTCACAATTTCACCGAAACGTTCGCTTTTTTTTGCCACTTTTGCTACTGATGCTTAAACACATCAACATCATCAATTGAAAACGAGAAGAAAACGAAAAGCACTTTAAGAGTATCTTCCATGGTCATTACGACTGGATATGTACATGAATGGTTAATTTCTTTAAAGATTTCTGTCTTACTAACCTAAAAACTTCTATTCTTCTGCTATGGCTACGGCCCCGGCCCCGACCACTTCTCGTTTCCATCTTTCACACTGATGTAAAGAGAAGCGGCGACGAGTTGATTCGAGGCGATAGTCGTGTTGTTGAGAAGAGAAATAATTTTCATTTCATCGCACTGAACACGCTAATGCTTCGACATATTGTTGGCGAGATGTGTAAACGAGAAGAAGCATAAGCAGAACTAACGACGAAAGCGAACAAATGCGTTTTGAATGAAACGATAATTGTTGGACCCAATTTTTCATATGCGATTATGATTTGTTAACAATATCATTACAATTGCTTCACTGGTTTGGATGGTTTTTATTTTGTTGGAGAAAGGAAGGCAACAAACGAGGCAGTTGAATCTTCTTGGGAAATTTCCTACTTGACCATAAAAAACAGTTTTGTGGTTCTTCAAAGTAATTCGATGATGTCGACCATTCAAAGTAGATTTAATCGATATCCGGTAGAGTTTTTCAAGAAACGATAATCTCTCTCATGGGAGTCAAATACAATAGATCGGCTTGCCTCGTTTCATCGAGAATGTCAGCCACACAAAACGTTAAATTAATTACTCAGATACTTACTTATACTAGAAGAAACAAAAAAAAAGTAGAAAGAATAAATGAGATGAATTTGAATGAATGAATAAGAGATAAAGTCAAAAGTTACACGCTTACACCCGAAAGGTGCGTAAAAGATACAAACAAGGCATAAGAAAAGAATTTTTCGAATGGTGTCGGATCGCAAAAAGCATTGTCATTAGTTCTGCTTGGACTTGAGATACTTTGATCATGTAAATCTTTAATCGGCTCAATTTTTTCTCGTGTTATTCTCGTGTCCAGGTTTAAATAACGGTCAATGATGAAATTTCATTTTAATTCCTTTCGCAGTTTTTTTTTGTTGTTTTCTTTCTGTTTTTGGGTCATTTATGTCTTACCGGAAGAAGAGTTAAGAAACATTGTCACGTTATCCAATCGCGTTCATTAAATAATGGAAATTCCAAAATACTTTGTATCTAGTTAGTTATTTATTTATGTTCTACTTTGAGTTTAGAACGAGTAAGTACAAGATGCATGCATGATTAACTACTTTCATTTAATTTAATCTCATCATCAAGCATAAAGCAACCCACGAAATAGAATTAAATAAAAATCTGCAAAACAAAAGAAATTTTACAAGCAAGAATAACATAACGAGAATTATGATGATCAATGCCAAACGATAAAGCGACTTTTCTGTCCGATGAGTAATAACAATAAATAAAAATAAGCGTGAAACGACTATCAAAGTTCAAATGATCTCGTCGAGATTTTCTTTTACACTTTACAATTTTTTTCTTCTATTTTTACAAAGCTTCGATAGCTCGCGAGTAATTTTCACGACATAAGCTAACAAGAATGCCAAGCAAATCACAGCAACAATAGGATGAATCTACGCCTCATGAATGACTCGATCCAAGATGATGTTGCGACCAGGGAAGATGAAATGAGAGAGTGAAGGAGAGGCCAAGAATGATTATAATTTTGTGATTAATAGGTGTCCCACATTCTGCTGTTATTCATTTATTTTTCGAATAGCGAAACAACATAGAAAGAAGCATAAACAAGACCTACACTTAAGCTTCACACAGCAAACACAACAATTCGTCAAAAAGTGTGAAACAATCGCGCTTGCAAAAAAAAGTTCTTCAAATATTGCTGACTAGCTTTGTAAAGAGTTTTCGTTTGATGTTGTTTTGATTTTCTATCCTGACTCATCATCATAATAGATCGAGTAACGAAAAACTATTACCACAGTTTATCTATCACCCTTTCCAAGCCACATGAAGTCAATTGAGAAATGAAATTTCAAGATAGAAAAACAAAATTCATGACGCTGGAAAAAGAAAGCAAGAAAGCATTCATCCCATTAGAGTTAATTCTATTTTTCGCATAAAATGAGGCCCATCTTGTGAGAGAGAAATTGATTGCAAGCACAAACATCATGTACATGTTGATGTTCGTTTAATTTCAGTTTTACGATTTTCATTTTTCGCTTCAATGTGATTTGAGGTCAATTTTTAAACTTACTTTAATACCATCGTCGTCTCAAGCATCATTTTTGAGAAAAAAGAATAAACATCATGCCCCAAAATAATAATAATAACAATAAAAGTTTGGTCGGGAATACTTTACTGCTGTGAGAAAAGCCTTCAATGATTTCGACCGGGTATGCCTTCTTGTGCTTGTAACTGAAATTGATGGGTGTTTAAGGCGATGCAAACATCGAACACTGACAAGAGAAGAAATCGATTTAAATCTTAGGGAATTGGGGGAATCATCGTGGTGAAAGCAAACAAACAGAAAACGAATTTTGCTATTTATTTTCATTCGAAAATTCGAATGTCTCTGTCTTATTCAGATATCATAATGTCAGCCATCTGTGCTATATTCTACATGAACAGCAAACATCTGAGAACATGAAAAACAATTTTATAATGAAAAAAGAATGAAGTTTAGTGTTTTGACACGCAGCAACTTTAACATGCTTAGAAGTTCTAATAACGGATTGTTGGGATTGTATGTCACTTGTGGTGCATTACTTGAAAGGAATTTCTTTAATGCTTTAAGTAAGTATTTATTGCACTTTTCCCTTACTCATTTCCTCGATGGTCGAATTATCATGTAGACAAGTTGATGTGAAGATATCCATCAATGGTTGTCTTGTCGATGCTCTTGAGTCATTGACTGACTGCTATAACTGCTTGCTTTCCATCCAAGAGATCCATTAATATCTCATACAAAATAAGCATCATTGTTGTTTCACCGGTCGAACCCCGTCATCAACGATTATCGAACGAAACGATGCAAAAAGCATCTTTCAAGCGTCTCAACCTTCGGGGCCACATCTCTCGGACTGTCGAAGCAAGCGAGATGAAAATCGCATGAACGACACGTTTCATTTCACATTGCGCGGATAAACATAATGTGTTACAAATATTTTACTCGACAAACGATGGAATTTTGTGTCGTCGTCGAAGTCGTCGTCGTTGCTGAGCAGTGCCAGGGTTAACAGTAAAATTAGAGCAACACTCTCTAAAGATACGTGAAATGGTTACAAGCGATTCTTTTTCTGATTCTTTTTCGTTTTATTTTATTTAACTTTTTTTTTTTAAGAAAAGAAACATTTTTGCCACCTTTTTTATATATTCTTCCACATGCTTTTCAAAGCAAATTCATTCATTCATCTGAAGAGATTTTTTAGCACACATTTCTTCGATATTATGTTCTTGCTTTGTTATGCTCAAAGCTGGGAGTTTTTCAAATGCTTCAACAAATTCAATACTTCGTTCGATTAGCATTTAAAGGGAAATATTTTTTGAAAATAGCGTAAAAATCGATTGTTAACTGATTTCTTTCACATCGCATATCGAGTGATGAATGACGAGACAAGGAAGTGTACTGTTCGTTGAAACTTCCAATCACATCAAACATTGACGAAGTCAAACGTGTTCAAGAGTAAAAACACCAAATCGGTGTGGAGTCTTCGTGTAGAAACAACATGAACGCGACAGAAAATCAGCAATTTTCCTTCATTGTTTCTACTGTTTACTTCAGTTAGCTACTTGACTTGTTGACTTGTTGTTTCAATCATCAGTCTTTTCATTCTCAAAAGTAACAGTTGTCAATCCTCTTACTTTGCTTTTTGTATTGAAACGTGATAGCTTGTTATGTTGATATCAACTCAGATAAAGTCTCTTATCACGCCTTATACAATCGTGCATAAATTCACAAACGAGTTTTGTTGCTAATGTCGTTTAATCAATTCTTCAATAAATGCGCAAATCTTCTTCTCAACACAAGTCATCGCGGTAAATTGAAAACGCTGCTAATGTGAACTTGGCCTTCACAGCTTCGTTCCATCCTCATATTGCTTCTTCACAAATCTCTTGAATGATGATTGTTTAATACAATTTTTTTTTAAATTCAAATAGTTGCTTATAATAAAAATTCATAAAATAATGAACCACACAGCAGTCTAGGATTAATTTAAAAGTAAGGTTTCTAATTTAAATTCTAATTCTTTAAGAACTCTTCAGATCATTACATTACTCATAACGTTAACCAATTGCAAAGGAAAACAAATGACTAAGAATATCGTGTAATATTTCCAGTGTTTCTTATTGTGAAGATTTCGTGATTTCATAAAAAAACAGGCGAATTAAATGAAATGAAATGTTAAACTAGGTAGTCTCGAATCGAGACAATAGACACAAAAATATCGTTTTTGATGTTCAAATCTCATAAGCAGATAAAAACGTACAATTTTTCTTCCCTTTTGATTCATAGTTAGAACAAGGAATGCCTTTTAGCTTCAAAATGATCATGTCTGAGTCGTTAACAGTCACTTCTGATGTCATTAGTTGGAGATTCCTATTGAACGTGAATCGAAAGGGATTTATCTTCTATCAAGTGAAGGTAGATGAACAAGATCCTTCCATAAAAGTCATCTCTATAAAACACTCCGAAGCTAAAGTTAGTTTTCAGCTTTCACATCTTTTTTTAGAAGATATTTTATGGAATGAAAAATAATCCCATGACACTCGTAAACTGTTGTTTGCAACAGGAAGGTGAGAGAGAAAACTAAATATAAATGGAAAACTTTTCTCGGTTTTATGTTTTGCCATAAAAGAATAAAATTTGAACATTTTCAACTTAATACAGATTGAAGCTTTAAGAAAGAAAATCATGATTCGAATAATGACAATAACAATAATGAAATTTCGCGGTGAAAACTAGGAGAGCTTAAAAACCGCTGACGTTGTAAAAATTCCAGCTGGGTTCGTTCAAATGCTGTAGGCGTGAGGTTAGCTTGTGTCACACATACGAATAGGATTTTATTGTGATTTTAATTATTCAATTGAGAGGTTTTTAAGGGTAGACGTGAAAATTGTGGATCTTCCATCCTTTGGTTTAGTGTTGAATAATTTGTGGTAAAGTCATTATAACGTGTCTGTGTGAATGTTGTTAAGATGAATCAAGTAGTTGAAAGAAACTTTCAAAACAATTTCCATATAAATTTCAAATAAAACAATGTCAGAGTCTTATCAATGAAGCTTTGTAACTCGTGTCAAATTATGAATTCAAAGTTCTAAAGTTTCAGTTTATGTCTTAGAAATAATTGGAACATCGTCATGAAACCTTAGAATTTATTTGATCATTTCCTTTGATCCTATTTCAGATAATTTGACATAAACTCATTTATTGATTTTAACTTTCCAATGAATGAAAAGCTTTTCTCTCGTTTAAAATAACACAATTCTTTCGCATAATTAAACTTAATTCACGGTACCCTCGATGCTGTCATTAATAAATTATAATGAATGAAAATCGATGTTTCAAGCTTATGGTTTTGAAGCTTTTCCGAGGTTGTCGAAGCTTACAAAAGAGAAGAGAGAAAAGAATAATTCCTGCATTATTTATAACAATAACGCGTGTTTAACGTTGGTTAAAGCTTTAAAGCAGGATTTAAATCGCTTTAATATCAAAGACATAAACTTTTTATGAAATTGCATATTTCCACCCTCATTCATATATTTAGTGAAATGATATTGAACATAAAATATCTTAAAGCAAATGACAGTGCACTTTACGAGACTTTTCATTCATGTTTAAATATTTTAACTCCCTTTACAACTTCCTTCAAGCGAATCTACTTAAAATGACTGACGAAAGTTTTTATTTTCTTCGTTCGGAGAGCGACGTATCTGACCTATTTGACGAACGAATAAAAAATTATTTTTCAATTTGTTATTCAAAAGGAAATGGAAAAAGAAATCATCTTTCATCACTTTTATTGTTCAGTGAAGAAAGAATTGTGTACTTGTGAACGTTTATCGTCGATTCATCAAATTTTGCAAAAATATGAATGTCAGTAGAGATTAGGAAGGAAGAAAATCGTGTATGAACACATCACTCAAGGATGTCTGTAATGGAGCATCCTTTCCCAAGCATTATTCATTCCATTCAATGCCTCGTCTTGTTTTATTTTCATCCAACCATTCGTGAATTTTTTATTGTCTTTTGAAATTCACAAAACTTTTTTTACACTTCAAACGTTACGCACAAGGAAATTTCCTTTTTCTCTTTCGTAGCATTCATTCATTCATTCAATAATAGAAAATTCGTGAACTTTTATGTCCTCTTCGTGACGTTTTCAACGCTTTTAAGTCTTTAGAGATTGAATATAAAAGAAACAAAGTTGAAATCGTGTATAATGAAGCTTCCGTTTTGTTTTCTTTTTACATAAGCAAATCAGCATCAATTCTAACGCCCAGTCTTAGGTTTGAGGCCCAATGGTCTCGTACATAAATCGAGGGTGGATGAATATTTCGCATATTTTCATGGTATTTTCAATCCATGTTCTATTGCAAATTTCTTTAATATAAATTGAAATTCTTCTCAACAGCACGACCTTCACTAGCATATCACAATATTTTTTTCAAAGATTATTTGTTGGATGAACAAAAGACGCTTTTGTATTAAATCGAAATTTTCTACGTGCTTTCATCGAGCTATATTTAATTTTCTTACAGAAGCCTTCAATTTATTTGTTGCTTCCGATTGCTTTTGTTTCCCAAAAAAGAAAAAAGATAGAAGTGAAGGGAAAGAAGACTGATACATACTTATTATATGTTGGGAAAGGAGACACAAATGAAAGAGTTTATCTCTATCTTGTCCCTTTTCCTCTTGAGCTTCCTTTCTTGTCTTAATGTTTGGATAAGGATACATACAAATTATCGATGTATGCCAAACTGAAGATGTTTGTTTATGAAGCCCCCAAAACTTGATAGTCCTTCGGTCCTACTCGTAAAATGTTGTTCATTTTAAGCTACATAAAATCTTATAATAGCAAGAAAGAATTATTGAAATATATTGACGTAGAATTCAGAGCTTAAGCGCTTGAAGCTTTTGAAGGTGAAGTAGACACGAAGCAGACAATAAAGCATATTGCAAAGAAAAGTCCTTAAATTTTTATGTGACGTGGAAATTTATGTTGTAGGGATAAATAAAATAAAAGCTTAAGAGAAGTGTATCATTACAACCCCATTTTTATTATTTTATATCTCTCAAAAACCAAAGGATGAATGTTTTTCTTAAAGATGAACTCAAGGAAAAGGAGAAAAACGTACAGAAGGCATCGATTTTCTTCATATTTTTTCCTGTATTTTCTTCCTTAGATTTTCTTAGAGGGTCGAGTGATGAAAGTAAAAATGAAAAATTGATCCCCCGGGACTTGAAGATTTTCACCAGTGAATATCAAACATGATTCGCAAGATAAAAATCAGAATTAATGTTTTTATTAACAAGTTCATTCTGTCTCATGAAATTTTTCTATCTTGATATTTAATTCATTTTATTTTCTTTGTGTGTCGTCCAATTAAGGAGACCAAAAAACGTGCACTTGTTAGTTCATGAAATATTCCATTCAATTTACATGCTAAAGTCGTAACGCATAATTTTATGTTTCACGCCGTGAAAATTCTAAGATTTTATTGCTGGCGATTGCTTTGCTTGTTAGTTAGAGCGAAGAAAAAGAAGAAAATTTTTGAGAGGAATGGAAATTTTTTTGAGAGGAAAAAGAAAACAAGAGAAAAAAATTCCTTCGAATCGAAACATTATCCTTGAAACATTGCAACATTCATTGGAGCAAAACATTAATCCTTACAGCATCCTTGGGAAAACATGGAAAACTTTCCGTTTTCTTAATAAATTTCATTTCACCTTTTTCTTAATCCTTTTTCTCGAAAAGTGAAAGTCATAACCATTCTAAATGAATTACAAAATTCATGTTTTCTGTTTATTTTATTTATAATTGGTAATTAAAACCCTTTTTCCACTTTAATCCTTTACACAACGCGTAATGAATGACCTTTTTTAATGTAAATTTTTCATATAAAAATACATTTCATTTCAGTGAGAACTTATTTCAATGGTTATTTGACAGAATGGATGATTGGAATATTTGATCGAAACATGCAATTATACAATCAATTGTAAACACAAAGGAAGATATTCTCGCCGAAGAACATTTATTATCAATTTACACGTACACGTTGCAATGGAAAATAATCGTAAAATCAATCCACGGAATATTATTGCATTATGCAATTGAATTATAAAATCCCATGAACTCACTAAACACAGAAACGCATTTGCTTATTTCAATATAGTACGAAGGATGATAAATAAATTATTACCATTCACCTATTTAAATTGCACGAGTTGAGGTTCAAGTTAATGGAATATTTTCATCATTCGAAATTTGAACAGCTGCTTTGATTGTCTTTCTCGATCAACAAATATATTTAATCAATGGTTTTTATTTTAAAAAGACATACAAAGATGACAGATTAACCTAAGCCAGTTGCGGTTACAATTGAAGGAAAGTAATTATGACGAGTTGCTTCTCACATTCTAATTTTAACTCTAAACTCTTTACGCAACTTGAGACATTGTCTCGAAGAGTATCATAAACATAAATCGATCACAACCAAGAATCAATCAATACTTTTTCTCTTCTTTTCATCATGCACAATACCAAGTCATGTGAAATGAAAAATGAGTTTCTAACGGTCCGTCAATGCACTTAAAAGTCCAATGACGATGAACAAAACTAGGTGTTCGTTTCACAAAAGATCAATGCAATTTATAATAAATATCTGCATGTTTTGTAAGCGAGAGTGTAACAAACATAGAGCATAATAAATAAAAGTATAATCATTACAATTTTATGTTGCACATTCCATGCTTAATTAAAATCCCAAAGCTATTTGAAGTCGTCATGTTACTTGAATAGAACAAGATTATAACATGAGAAAAAACAAGAAAAAAAGTCATAAAACGTCAGCTTATAATGCAAGCATATTTGCTTATCACAATTATTAATTTGAAATTGCTAATTTGTTGTTTTTATTATTATTTCGGAATTAACAAATGTTTTGCGTGTCGATTTTTTTTATCATCTTCCACTTTTAAATAACTTGTGTGTGACTATGAAGAATAAAAAAGAATAAAAAACAGAAAGAAAAGCTCATATGCTTGAAGGCGCAATAGAGAATCACTAAAAAGTTGAAAAGAAAACAACTTGAAACTAAGAACATGAATTTGAACACATAAATAATAATGTAATATAGCAAATAAGGCGAACTCTTGAGGTTCTGTTTCATCGTCAATACACAAATGGACGGCGAGAACCAACAAGTAAGTCAGGTATTCTCAACTAGAACTTATTGGAATTCTTCCAGCTTTCATTTGAAACTTTCATTTTCAACAAAAGGTTGTCCACTCCTTACGAAAGTCATAATATGTTGTAGAGGAAACTAGCGGGGATAAGAAATGGATATACATAAAAATACCTAATAGCAAAAAAAGGGAAAACTGCAACTCAACATCTACTCGCTATGGACTATGGAATCACAGGCATGATCTCGCAAAACATACGAATTACAGCACAACACAAAAATTAACATATTTTACTTGCTTTGTATCAGGTTTGTGTGCGATTTTTTGCAACTTTTTTATATTTTTTTTTATTTTATTTTTTTACCACGCTTTGAACCATCTTCTTTGCAGAGGCTATGTTTAAATAGATTAAAAAGAGCATAGACTCAGTTTCATTCACCTTTCCTGTGCGCTCAACAACATAAGAAGTGAAAAACAAAGAGTTCTTGAAGAAGAAAATTTGCGTGCTTTGCGATAACGATGACGAGTTGAGAACAGAACGTTGAAGTGATGACGATTTGAAATGTAAACTTATGAAACAAACCTTCATATCCCTAGAAACTGGAGAGTGAAAATTTATGCAAAGCAGTTTAAAGAGAAGACGACGGTCTAATGTTAAGTTGGATATTTAAATATACGGCGGATACTGCAGGGAATGTAATTATGATTTTACCGAGAAAATCTGTGTTGACTGTCATTATGAAAATGGTTATTTTTGTAAAGCAAAACTAATGAGAAACACCATAGTAGCATATGTAAGTGAAGCGGTAGAGGAATAAAGTATCATCATCGTCGCAACAACTTTCAACAAATTGCAATTCCTTTTATGAATCAAAATCGAAGTTGTTTTCCAGTAAGTTCTCTTCTTGTCCATTCCCTTTTTATTTCTCATCTCGGTTATTCCTTCTCCATGGCACAATCTCAAAGACATTATCTATGCACAAATTGTGCAATCCAAGCTCGTTTGGCGTACATGTTCACATTATATCCACAATCAAATGCTGAAGAGTCATCAACAAAATGGAATTCAATAGTCCATGGCTCACTCGTAAGTATTCACAACTTGTGGGACATTGTCGGCCTTTGATCATTCTTTCAATTTATTGAAACTTCATCTTAAAGTTGAGAAAAAAAGCGAATGATTTCGCTCTTCTTTGGGTCCCGAGATTCCTATTTTCCAGCTATTCAACATTATTCGATTCGCAAAATGTAATTTCATTTACTTTTTTTCTTCTATTTTTCCTTTCTTCATCTCTACAGCTTCAATTCTGTTTTCTTCTTATTTTCATGTATTCTCGAGTATGATTCTTATTCAATTTATAGCATACCTTAAAACACATAAAAATTAAACATCTTAGAATAGGAGAAAGAAAGAAAACGAAACGAAGACGAGCGAAAGAAAAGAAGGAGAAACATTGGCTGGTGCATTCAATGTTGTTGAGCATTTGATATGTGAAACATTCAATGTTTCATTTCCCCTGAAAACATTCCCCCACCTCAATGTTCTCTGTTTTGTATGATGAACTTCATCATAGTTTCCATACCGGCGTTTTATTCGCGACTTTTTTGAGACGTTCTCTCTCGTTTTTTGGTGTTTTTTTTGTTCATTTAAATTTATATCTCACGATGAAACTTGTTTCTCAAATTCAAAAAAAAATAATTTTTAATAAATTATTAGAAAAATCATTTTGAATGTTAGATTGAAAAAAATATGCTAAACTGCATCATGATAGAAAATCACACAAAACACAAACATTCAATGTTTATCAGCTCGTCTCAAACGTTGAACATCAAAGAATTACATTCTACATGTACGCTCACCAAGGCGCAGCAAGTGCTCGCGACGATTGTTTCATCTTCAATTCTATTTTATCCGAAAACAACACTCGAGAAGGCTATATAAATACGGTGCAGAGATCAAAAATTTCCGAGTCTCTCGCACATTATATAGTTGTTAGGCCGATCCGAGAAGTTTTTCCTGGTCCCGCCAGTAATCGAATATTCTGTGAAAAAAGGAAGTTTTTTTCTAAAAGCAATTTTTTTATTCAATTGTGGATGACAAAAAAAATAATTTTTTTTGACAAGAAAAAAAACTTTTTTTTGGATAAATTTCGTGAATAATTTTTAAGAACATTTAAAAATTATTTTGGAGAAGTAGTGACAATTGTGGCTGATAAAGGATTAAAAGCCCTGAATTTTATTTCTTAGAAAGAAATAAAAAGTTGATAGTGCATCATTCTCAAAAGATTATTTAAACTAAAAGAAACGAAAGCAAGTGCTAACAAACTGTGCACATAAACTGTGAAGCGAAAAAGAAAGGTTTTAAAGTTCTTTGACAAGCTCTTAAGTGAAAGAGGTGAGTTAAAGTATGATTATTATTTGAAAAGTGCTTCAAAAAAATCTACATAAACATTTAATATGCTAATAGCATAAAATAGTCAGTGGATAAGTGATAAGGATAATAATCAGTAAATAGGATTATTTATTAAATAATTTTCCCATAATCTCCTCCGGAAAATAATCTTCGTGTTGTGGCAAAATTGATTTCTCATTATCTTGATAATCTCAGAAATTTATCATCGGAAATTTTATGAAATTATTTGCAAAGAAAAAAAATTGTGCACTCCTTAAAAATCTTAATTAAGTGAGTTCGGTGATAGAAATCAACCCCAAAAATTGACATTTTATTTATTTAAAGCAATTAAATTTGGGTTTTTTTTTTAAATAAATATGCTGAAAGGAAAAACTTTCAAGTGCGCTCTATGTAGGGAAATCTCATAAAATTTTCCAACCCTTCATTTAATTCACGTTCATATTTATTTTGTGTTGAATTAAAATCGGGAAACTGTTTTTCCTGCAACTCTGAGAAGATTGTCCCCATTGGTTTCAGAACCAAAAATTTCGGGTGGATTTGTAATGATTTGTGTTGAAGTCTCGAGGGCTTGTGAAAAGGATTTTAAAGACGCGAGGCGTGGAAAGATTTTTTATGGCCTAAAGGATTTTCCTCGAGACTTAAGAAGTGCTGAATAAATTTAAATAATATTGCCACTCAATCCTAAATGTTTATGGTATAAGCGTAATCAAACACTTGACATCGTTCGCATTGTACAACAACGAGAAAATAATGTTAAATATTATTGAATTCTCCCGAAAAGCCAATATTCGAGGGGTTGAAGTGAGAATCAAATTGGAAGACTAATTTTGTAGCAAAAAATCCATTTACGACAATTTGATTTCCGAGTTGAAGATTAAAGATAACGAAGTCAACAAAGAACTTTAATCCTTTTCATTGTTTTAATTAAATTTAAATCTTTTTTCTTTACCACTTCTTTCATCTCTTCTTTGGCTTGCTTTTATTTTATTTTTTACTTTGAAAAAAGAAAATTGGTTAATTCATTCTTCCATCAGCACTGAAGTTCTTCTTCTATTTTTTTTTGGTCTACAAAAAGAACTGTAAAAAAGTGTTTTTTAAAGAATGGAACTGATAGAAGAGCAAACAAATGAATAACACATAGTGACTCTCTCTTGCTTGCTATATCCAGAATTAGAGAAGAAAGATATGTAATAAGTAAGCAAACAATTGGTCAATTCTGGGCATAATGCAAGCGACTTGAGAAAACAGGAAAAATTCCATTTGAAAAAAAAATGTTGTTTCATTTGTTGTAGCTTGATTCTTACGTGATCATATTGGGTGTGGGTTCAAGACACATCTTACATCGCACTCGCCATGAAGCCGAGAAAAAAAGAAACGAATTAAGTCTTGAAGGAAAATCTTCTTTATCGTTAAAGGAGAACAAAAAAAATGTCTTAATTAAGCCAAGTTTCGTCTTTGCTTCCAGTTTTCATTTGAAAAATTGCTAAATAAAGAGAAGGTCTCGGGTATGGGTGCTGTTCGTGTTATGTCAATTTATTTAACATTAACTAGTGTTTTAAAGATGAGGGAACTTCTTCTCATTTCGATTCACTAACTATAAACATCACGTAAATTCAACTCAGCGAATGCAAACGAAAATTTTTCCTTTCGAACGGGCACATCCCAGTGATTTCCAAACTTTTTTGTTTTTGTTAATCGTCTCGTCAGTCATCCAACGGAACATTTTTTTTCGTCTTTTCCCAATGAAAATTGAGTTGCGAATTTTGTTGTTTCGTAATATTCTAAACAGAGTGACATCGAAAAAAAAAAGATTGAAACAATCACGAGTTTGATGACACCGTCACCATAATATTATCTCCTAAAATTAAATTTGAAACCCGTTTTGTGTTTTGTTTCGCAACTAAAGCGTTGAAAATAATCTTTAAGAAGTTGGAAAGAAACCAGCATTGCATTAAATTTAACATTCTTGTAAATTATAATGAGATGTTTGTTTTTTTGTTTGTGATTCGCTCCACTCTTCTTCTAATTAAATAAAGTTAAGAACTGAAAAAGAACAGAACGGAAAAAAAATCTACACAAAACGATGACATAACATTGTGTGTGATAGTCTTTGGTTGGAAGTAACAAAAACGGTTTCAGTTTCAACTAAATAATTATCAAGAATAAAAATAAATTTTTTTTGGTGAGTTGATAATTCTTTTCTGACGCCACAAAGAATTAAATTAACGAACTGGAGCCCCCATGTGAACAGTGACCACATCGAGATGTGCTAATTGAAATTTCACAATCGTCGAGTTTCGAGCCTTTACAATTGTCTTGTCTTATAAGAACAAACAAAAAAAACGTCTTCAATTTTCATCGGTTGAATTGAAACGTAAAATCCATTTTTTAACATCCGCGATTTTTCTTCAACCTCGAATCATTACCTCACCTGTGCAGTCAACAAAGCAAGCATCTGTACGATGAGCAGGGGGAGAAAAAATGTGTAATAAAAGAACCGTGGATCGTGAAGATGTTTGAACATTCAAATCACCCAATCGCACCTCATTAATTACACATTTTTAAGACAAAACTAGTGACGCAACATTTAAACATTTACCAAGCACGAGAATCTCAACGGAATCAATGATTCGTTTGATGATTATTAAAGTTTTTTTTGCACCTCGCACGACCTTGATCACTTCAACAGGGCTCTGGTCAATGTTGCGTCGCGACGAGAGTTTCCATTGAATCATTTTTTTAATGAGTCGACTGAAGTGTTCGCTGAGTTAATAAATAAAAATTGTGTAGAAAAAAATATTCATCATTGATTAGCGTAGAATTAAAAATAATCGAATTACTGTTGAGAGTTCGAGTAAGTGACGTAATGTCGAAGATTGCATCAGATTTAAATATTATTTGCATTCATCTTATTCAATTTTTCTGCGACTCTTCAATTGACTACTCCGGAAGACAATCAACGTCTCTTCTGTTCTTCTTTGTAAATATTTTCAAAGTCAAGTTCATTACGAAAGCAGCGCTGAAGATCTCCTGTCACTGATTCTGTTTTCATATAACTTCGTTTCTTTTCTCTTCCAAGCTTTCAACGGAATAAATTGAACGAAGATCTTTTTTTGCATTTCATTTAAATCTCATTAGCGTTCACGTATTAAAGATTTCTGTTGTTATCTCATACTAAATTAAATTTCACCGCTGAACCAGTTGTTTGTCGTGTTTTCTTCCTTCTTTCTTTAGCTGTTTTTTTTTTGCAATACTTAAAACCAGTATCAGAATTGGAGCAATAAATGTAAATGAAACATAAAACAAAATTCGCTGATTATTTTTGAAAATATTAATCACGCAAGTAGAGAAAGAGAGTGAGTGAGAGATATCTAATGGGAATCTGTGGGCCAATAGCACAAAGTCTTTCATGAATGGAGATTCCATTTGGGATAATAAATGCCTCGTTCGCCTATTTTAATTTCAATTTGTCATTAATGACAGACATGTAACAGCGAGAAGTCATGAGACCTCTAAAAATAAACACGAAAGAAAAGCTTGGGAGAAAGAAGGAGAAAAGATCATGGCAAATGGTTTGACGGTACAAGAACATTAATTACTCGAATAGGCTTCGCTGAAATGGGATGAAGATCGAGGAAAGAAAGCCAACATGTAACCTACATTTTAAAAGCGTTTCATTCTGTTTCTTCTTCATATTATGCGCCAAGGGGACTCGCAGTTCACCGCTTATTCGATGTTTTAGACATATGAAGTCTTTCTAGCAAGCAAGCATAGAACGAACGTAATGAAGAAGTGTGAGAATTGAAAACTGCCAGCAGAGTTTGTGCCTAATTTGACCACAATAAATGTCATGTCTTCTTACTAACTTCTTCAACTGAATTGAACATTTCAAAGAATTTATATGACGTGAAGTGAAATGCAGCAGTATGAAGAGAAAAGTTTTAACGTCAAGTTTAGCAACAGTCACTTGAACAAACAACTTCTGATTTGCTTCGATGAATAACTTCAAGTCAAATGTGTTTTTTTATGCTGCTGTTGGTCATTCTAATCTCCCACTAAATATTTCATCTTCCCACTTCTTAGCAAGTCGCACAAAATGTGTCCACAAAATGTTTTTCTTCTTTCTTCTCTTCACAGTTGTTGCTTTGAAGTGATCATAACGGTTTTCAACTGTGTGGCTTTTCATTTGACTTGATGCTTATTTTCGCTACATTATTTATCTAATTTCTCTTCTATTCTTCTTATCCATTCATGATTCTCTTCTTTTTCTTCTTCTTTATCTTCATCTTTCTTCATATCTTTTAAAAGTTATTCTCTTTCATCGACCGTAAGTTGATACATTCTCAATATAGAGGCTGGTCAATAGGTCAAGTGGCTCTTGCGTGAAATATTACTTACATAGAAGAAAGCACAGATTCACTTCCCTGCCCAACTCAATTGACACATTAAACTTGGAGCTTTTCTCTTCATTCCTTTATACTTCTAGAAGAAATTCTACCAAATGCCATTCGCTTCGCATATTTTCTTTTTTTTTACGATTTGCAGAATTTTTTCTTTCTTTTGTTCCCATCACATTCCATTCAAGTCGTCACCATTCCACTCAGCAGTACACCCATCGACGATATTGCGTTAATTAAAATTTCTCTCGCTCACTGATTTTTTATGCGAAGCAAGACTCACAATCGCATGTATTGCGTTGGCTGTTCAGCGCAATCGTTTTTTCGTCGAATGGCTCAATGTTCGAACGTAAAACTGATTAATATTCTGATTGAAGAAATTGGTCAAATGTAAATTACACTCGCAGAACATCATAAAAACATCGTTAAGAAGAAAGTTCTACGACATTGGCAATGCATGGTAACAAGAGAACATTCCAGAAACTGAAATGTATTTAATTACAGCACATCTCGTACATTGTAATTAAACTCTCACCTACTTTTCGCTTATAAAATTCCATTTATCATTTCTTTCACTTATGCTCATTTATGCTACATTGCAGCATCTTTTGTTACCGTGAAAAATGAATTGAACAATAAGCAAATTAAGATCATATTACTTCTCAATTGGAACAATTCAATGTTAAATATCGAATTTAATTATGGAAATTGATCTCTTAATGCTTCCTCTTTGAAATGAATCGGGAGTAACGATCGTGTTATTGAACAACAGTTAACTTTTCTATTGCATTAACTGACCTTGAATGTGCTGATGCGGTGGAAATAATTCCACTACGCTAACCAGAAAATGCACTCAGCCCATCATTATCAATAGAAGATGCTTCTCATTATTCTTGTTTTTCATCCATTTTATTTTTTCGCTTGCATATGCAATTTTTTTTATTATTTTTCAATCAAAAACATTTTCCTCTTTCCCACCTCTCAATCCCTTATTAACATGTTACAATGATTGATATGAAACGTGATGTTTTCCATGCTTAATAATGATGATGATTCTTAAGTTTCTTCGTGGCGAGGAAAATTGTTCTTTATCGCTAGCACTCGACGAAGCTGAAGAATGAAAGTTATGCCAGTGAACATCACGGAGAGTTTTTATTTTTGGCTAAAGCTAAAGCTATGTGCATGCGAGTATTTAATGGTTTTGCCTGCCGATGAAATTGATTCACGTTCCATGAGAATATGTTTGTGCTGCCTACTTTCCAACGTAATATAAGGCTGATGATATATGGCGGGAGCGACGTTGCTGCGGGGGGGAAGAAGCAGCACTCGTTGATTTGCGATTGCAAGTCATGTTTTGTGTGTGTGTGCTGAAATCGTTATTACAGAAAATTAAAATTTTTGGCAGAAATTTGATTATAAAATCTTTTTTTTGGCAATATTGTAGGATGTGCGTTTAATATTTTGTAAGATATGAAGCAGCGTTATTTACCTCCGTCAGACTCAAACTCAGCTTCTTCTCGCATTAATTTTTTTTATTGTATTTTCAAAAGGAAATTCGAAGAAACAGTAAAGGAGAAAAATTAATTAATATTGTTCAAAGGAAGCGAAATAATTATAATTAATTGAAAATTTCTCCTCACGTTTAAATTTCATTATCTAAATCGATTTAATGTTGGATCGGGTATCATAAATTTAAAGGATGCTGGATGAAATTACACTCGGCAATAGATTGCGACTCAAAGCGATCATGTCGAATTTCAATTCAAAACAGTTTTGCCACTTGAAAGAATAAAAAGATGAATTAAAACGAAATTGTGGAGGAAGGAAATAAATTTTACGCTCTTTCAATGCACGCGAGAAATAAACGTTAACGATTATTTAACATTGACATTGAAAATTATGCTTTTTTTGCTTCACTTCAAAGACTTTCACTGCAGATTGCTTTTTTTTTTCCCCATTCGCTTTACAACATCACCATCATCATCATCATCCCGCAACCAATATGCAGCAGAGCGAAAAATCTTTTATTAAATTCAAGTTCATTGTCTGCGATGAGGTAACCTTTCATAATATTTCTCGTTTGCTCTCCGTGTTTTGTTAAAATAAAATTTATACAACACTGACGATGGCTGAGTTATTAAAAAAGTTCATTTTAAGTAAAGAAAAGCTTCTTGATAAAATCCAATACCATTTATCTCAGTTAATGCAAAAGGAACTGACGCTTTGATATTCTTTAAGGAAGAATTATGTGACGTTGAGCTTGTCAACTGAAGGTCTTCCTTTATACTGACACATTTTTTCTTTTTTGCATAAACAGACTCTGTAATTACCAAAATTATTGCATAACTCAACGTCTGACTTTTTTATGTTCGTGACTGATCTTGAAATAGTAACGTCTGCCATAAAATGCTTCGTCAACTAAAACTCAAATCGTCGTACGAATGTAAAGCGAAATCCGACGAGGCATTAAATGATTCTTATCGCAAGCTTCATAATGACGTTAATTTAAGAGAGAATGAAAGATTCTTTTTCCTGTTTTTTGGGTACAGGAAAATAAATGTTTCAACGATAAGAGAGAAAGAATGTTTGTGTCACTTTAAATCGAAATAATAAGAGACTTTAAGTTCAACTTGACCTCGTCATTAATCTTATCGTTTAAGCTTCTTGATTCTTCCTTTTCTCAAACTGTAAAACATTATAACACATTAATTTACTTCTCTCTACGTTTTATTTGACGTTGGTGTGGGCTGTCATAAAGACAAATTTCAAAAATTTCTCACTCACTCGATTGTTGACATCGCTGTCGAAGATGGTTCTGCGGTTTGTTATTTCTTCTTTCTTTCTATCTTAAATTCATCTTAAAAATGAGCTTAAATCATGTATCTCGCACTCGCTTCACCATCTATGGATTCGAAACCGAAAAAGAATAAAGAATCGTGCATTTGGGTCAGTGGCTGATGAGTTGTCATAAAACATTCCGATGAGAAGCTGAAGAGAAAGTCTCTCTGTCAATGAATTAATGACAAAGTGCTTATGTCGTCTCTGCATTGCGATGGCTCATATTTCGAAGATCGAAGTCTGACAAGCCCAACCAGCTTTACAATCGCTTTGGAAGAATGACGTCAATTATGATGTGAAAATAAAAAGTTCTTCTCACGAAAAACAAACGACATCGTCAAGAAAAACAGTTAGGAACTTCACAAAAAAAAAACAGAATAACAACCAAACTTTTACATGCTGAAAAAATTCTCTTGACAGTTGTTTTCATTAATCGAATATCTTTTATTTGGTTGGTGAAGTTTTATGACGAGTTGGTGGATTCGAAGTCCCAAAAAGCTTTCACCTACGCTTGTAAAGATATTTTTTCGATATCGTCATAAAATTATTTCGCTATGTTGTGCTGTTTTTATTGTTAAAGCTTAAAAATATCAACACAACAACGATGAGATGGTAATAAAAGTTTGTGCTGGAACATCTAACGAAGCTGGTGCAAATTAATTGTTATGTTGAGTTTACATGTTCTTCTTCACTTCACGACTTTCATATGCATTTAATGAATCGCTCTATGATACGTCATAATCATAATCTTCAAGATGAAGCTTAAGATGAGTCGAAAGAGAAGAAGGAACAATTACATTAGCTTTTTTCCATTCAACTAATTATAATTATATTGTGCAATTGTAATGTATCTCTTCTGGGATATGTTGAGTAGATTTCTAAGATAACGAACGGCATCTTGAAGCCGGCAAAAAGCAGAATCATGGAATATTATAATCACTTTTCTACTGAACTAGAAAATAGAAAAATAAAAAAGTATAAAATGTAAGGAAAGAAAGAAAAGATGACGAATAATGAGCTCAAGAATTATTTCAAGAGTGAGAGAGAAGCAAGAAACATGTTGCTCGAATAACGATTTGCATCCACATCTCAAAGCGCTTAAATTATTCCGAAAGCATTCCATTCCGTAATAATTTTCTCGCCTTCAACTACCTTTGCGCGAAAAAATGTTTCCCTTACAAAACATAAATTTCCGTAACGAGTTTTTCGGGAAAGGAAGCGAACAAACGAATAGTTCTTTCTCTTGAGCCAACCTACCGCGTCAGCCCATTTCAAGACGCTCGACGTTACCAATATTTTCGCAATAAATTCAGTCCCTCGAAGAGTTCTCTCATTGCTTACTTGCATAAAGCAACACCACACGACGTACCAGCAATGAAACGAAAAAAGAATGAATCTTGGTTCGCTTCTAACAACAAATCATAAATTATTAAAATCACGTACGGTTACCGAACGATGAGAATGAAATATGGTAAGAGATAAGTTTTGAAACAAGTTACGAAAAAAGCGAGCCTAGAGTTTCCACAATTCGCGACGTAGCAAGTTGCGCGAATGCAATAAATTCCGAAACCCATTTCATTTTCCTGAATGACGATTTTCTTCAACATGATCTAAAGCACTTTTCTCTTGGCGCTTAGTTTTGTACGTGAAAATCTCTTCTCGATTGTTTGCAAAGGTATTTTTGTTTCTTTACCCGGCATCGTTTACTTTGGCTTCAGTTCTTATTTGAATGAACGTAATTAAATGTAGACTGTGGTGAATGACTGCCAAACTTAATTATCTAATAGAAGACTGTCAACTCTGAACTTGAGATTATTACTTATTGACATCATCATTCAAAAATGAAGGTAGCCATAAAAAATTTAAGATAAAAGTCACGCAAACTCAATTCAATGCCATCAAATAATAAATTCATGCTTTTGTCGGTTGCTAAAAGCTTTTCGCCGTTTAATTACAAGCATCTGGAAGCGCACAATGAACTCACTGTCGATTTTTCATCTTTAAATACTAAGAACACAATCAGTGGCTAATAGTTTTCTCGCGCTAATTGTGGATTTAACTTTTTCTTTTTCTTTTTCTTAAGATTTAAAGAAAGACGCTTTTTTTCTAATTGTTAATTCAACAATTCATTAGAAGAAGAACGAAGAAGCAAAAAAAAATTAAAAAGACAAGGAGAAGAATCGTAATTTGTTTTTCTTTCAGCGTAATTCAATCTTTTCGCTTTTAGAATTTTAAGAAATGTTTTCAAAAAAAAAAAAGAGAAACTAAGCTGAAGCGAAGAATATTTTAACGAAACTATTTTTATCTGAAATCTCAGTTGAAAGGAAGAAAAGCATCTTAATTAAATCTTCGGATTACATTCCACACTAACAACTGGAAAGAAATTTCAATTCGCAATAAGCAAAACATCTGTTGAAAGCTGACGAAAAAGAAGAAATTAAATAATTCAAGTCGAGTTGTTTAGCCATTTCCCTTTCGATGAATAAGCATTGGGCGACCTTAACCATAATACGTCTCGCCTCGTCTAGTCATCGTTTTGAAATAGAATTTATGAATGAAATGAACGAACCGTAACAACACCGCAAATCCACAAATGTTCTTTTAAGAAGATGATAATCATTGTGGTTATAAGATCTCATCAAGATCAGAGAAATAATCTCGGTAGCTGTCGTCTATAAAGAATATTCATGAGCTTGTTTAACGAATGTAACCGCACGTTGGAACTAGTCGTGCCTAAAAAGGCCATCTCACTTCATCTTATCCAGAATTCACGTACATGTTGTTGTATGAGAAATAGCGAATCATTTCATACTTCATTACCAATTAACACGTCGTAAAATCAAATTAAAATGTGACGAGAGAAGTCATCGCGAGGAATTTTTTGTGTTTTAATTGATTTTGGTGCTTTTTGTGCGCGTCATAAAACGATGAAAAGATGAGAAAATTTATGGAGTTTATCCAGAGTCGAAAAAAAGAATGGAAAGACAACCGTAAATTGAACAATTTGTAACGCACACGTTAATTGCAACGACTACTCGTCTTTACTTTATCTTAAAAGCTCCTTCTTCACCTTGTCATTCGTTGTTACAATGTAAGTGTGTTAAGAATATTCTATTGGCAACATTTACTTATAATTTGATTTACGATCCAATCAACACGTTAGAGTTACTGCTGATGCTGTTACTTCTATTAAAGCATGAAAAAAATAACAATTGGGGACTTAATTAGAGTTTTGGCCCAGAAATGAAACTTCACGAGTAGTGTGGAAAGAATTTCTATATTTAATTTATTTTTCTGTTTCGCAATCGAATTGAAATCGCATATCCACAGGGGACTGGTTTAACAGCAAACAGAGATATCAGATAGAGTTCAAGTTTAAATGAATTTAAACAACCGTAAAATCAGGTTGAACATCTTTTACAGTTTCTGCAATTGCCTGCACGTTCTTCTCACTGACTGTGAAGTTTTACTTTGTCACTTTTTATTAAAGGAAGTTGACAGTTTGAGTCAGTTTAATGGAAGGATCTAATGAGAGATTCCTGTTGCCTTTGGCCACTCGTTGTTCACTTAAAATGTTGCCTAGAAAACTTATCTGTTGGAAGGAGAAAGAAAAGCGATCTTTATTAATTTACATCGAACGTAAAAGGTGAACATGGAATAATCAATAAATGTTTAATGTAGAAATCCAAGGGAATATCAGGAGAAACATTTCAGAAACAATTTTTCCTAACGGGCTAGTATCGATTTCAAATATTGATTTTCATTTTTATTGCAATCTGTTTTTCTGTTCGAGAGTTCGAATTTTTTTTTATTAACATCAGCACGATGTTTGCTAAGTGCATCTATGTATAATTTCTCGTATGCCAATCCCGCTTGTGAAAGCAGTTTATTTAAGAGAAAAATGTTAAACTATTCCCTTTACTATCCCTTCAAGGCACACGACGCTGCCCGCATCGTTACAACTTCTCGTGTAAACTGGATTTTCAGAACTATTTTTAATGCAAAAAAAGCAAACTCCAAAGCAACGAAAGAACAGTTACGTATATAAAAATCTCTTGTATTTGCTTTCCACAAAAACGATCCCTTCTTTTCACAACAATCCACATGTTCATGTGAAATTCTCACCGCCACACTGCATCATAATGGCATCATAATTGTCTAAGTTTCTCTCATTCTTTTTCACATCCCCGCGTACCGACAATTATTTATCTATCCATGTAGAAATTGCTTCTCTCTGTTTAACGCCCAACAATTGTTCTGCTTTCTGAAGAAGAATTTAAGAGAATTATGTAATATAGTAGAGAATAGTATGAAGATGACATTCTTTGAAATGTCTAATTGCTGTGACACTGTTCATGGCACTTCGCTCCTGAGGCTAAGATGTAAATTATAATCATTAGATGAAATCAACTGTCGAACAGCAAGCGACTTGAACTTCGAGTCGAACATCTTGTTGTCACAGTAACTCCATTGCATAATTAACTGCAGGTGGAATTTCCGATGCCTTCCATTAACGACGAGAAACCGACACAAGCGCAGAAAAAAAAGTTTTCTGCTTGTTTATAATAAAAAATGACTTTACAGGTGTTTAGAGAGTTAACAACGGACATTTCATACAACATAAGATTATGATTATAACAGAATCTCATTATAGAACGTCAACTGTATCATAGTTCCGCTCACTTATTATCATTTCCATACAACTTTGTCAAACTATGCGCCTGTGCATGTTTCATTGAAAATAAAAATCATAAAAATTCTTCCTAGATATTAAAAGCTGATTGCAAACGACAATCATTCGCTGATTTTACAGTTATTCATGACTTCGAACTTTAAAGTTGAACTGTTAAAGAATGTTTTTATGGGATTCAATTGTGAAGTCGCCAATCTTTGAAAATCTCAAAACAAAAAAAGAGATAATTGAATATAATTGAAACTTCAATTAGAATTCTTTTTCCTAATGCGGATTTTCACTATCAAATGCTCATCGTTCTTGAACTTCCCAAATGAAGGTCTGATTGAATATTCATTCGTCGAATTCACCATTAGAATCATGACCAATATACTTAACAAATCCGATCCGTATAGCAACATTAACTTATTAATATTCAATGGCATTTCGCAATGATTATCATAGAATGATGTTTTATGAGAAGTTTTCACATTAAGCCTAGTCATTTGACTTTTTAAAAAACGACTAAAAACACTTAGAAGTACAATTCTATAAGTTATTTATTTCCAACAATGTGTGCAGCAACTACTAAGTTGAAGCTGATAGATGGCCAAGTTCAAGTGTATTCGATAAACAATCAGTTTGATATGAAACCGTCCCAACAAGACGAAACCGGTTGCAAAGTCTCATGGAGAAATGAATCATAATTACTGGAGAATGCATAAAATAAACATTACCGGGCTATCGTTGAAGAAAGCAAGTAAAGATGTGAGTTAACATTGGGACCAGTCATGATACACTCGACCTCCTTCTTAGCCTCGTGGAGAAAGAATTTTTATCGGTTCTGTGGGTTTCGATGGTACTTCAACATACTTTAAGTAGTTTAAGGGCTTTTAAGTGGTGCACAAATGCGACATAAATCCATAAAATGCGGTTCATTAGGAAGAGAATAACATCAGACAAATGAATAAAGTTGGATATGAGTCAACTCTGAGAGACTCTTAAATTATTTTGAAGACAATTTATTTCTTGAATTTCATACTCGAAGAATTATTAGTCATTTAAACTGATATTTCGCAACATCAGTGATTTAATGATTATGTAAACAGACGACTCTGCTATCGAAAATATTTCTTTGTGCTTGTCCCAACAAGCTGCAACACACACAGAACGATGATAAGTTTTGAAAGCTTGTCTCTTAGGAAATACGAGACCTTTACAAAAGGTCCCATAAACAACATCATGCACGTACATAAATAAATCATACAAAAGGAATTTTGGTTTTAAAAATAAACTTCAAGTTTTAAGCTCAGGAAATTGATAAAATTCTTGAAGAAAAATGTTTAGAAAAATGTCTTTGTAATCTCATTGCGACGACTTAACTTCCTTCTGAAGAAAAAATGAAGAAAAAAAAGTTACAACGACGTTCAGTTAGTTATCATATCGGTTTAACCGACTTAAGTTGGTAATTGAGGCCACATAAGTGACCGAAAAAACTAAAAATTATCCTCAGTTGGTCATCTATGAAAATAATTGCAATTCTTTCACTTCATCTGCATGTTGAATGTGATTGTTTTTCGTAATATTTTTGAGGTCGTAAAACTTCTTTTTGTTTTTGTCTTTCAGCAAGAGAAAAAGAATTTTAAATGATGTCTTTAAGAAAGAAATTAAAGAAATGGCAGAGAATGGAAATTTACGGTTCATTCTTTTTTGAATAAATTCCCTCGCATGTATATGCATGCAAAATGGACAAAAAAAAACTTTTCTTGAGCTTCTTATTCGACATCAATTTAATGTCGTGCGCAACAGTTTTTTTCTTTTCTTTTAACTTTTCGGCATTTCTCACTCATTGCCAGTTATGAGGCAAATTATTGTGTTGAGTGCAAAATGCTGTAATTTTTGTGTGCGCTTGTGATGTAATAATAAGTTTTGTTCTGAAATTCCTTTGCGACTTAAATTTCTACTTAGCCAAAACAAAAGAAAACACCGCGGGAAAGAGAAACAAACTTTTCGCAAGCTTCTAAAGACAAACATATTAAAAAAAAGTTAAAGAGAAACAGATCATCAGTGCCGAAGAACCGTTAATCAATCGAGAGGAGAAATTGGGATTTAACGTTTTAAAAATAGCTTCAAGTCTTGAGTTAATTAGAATTTATTTATTGCTGTCAATAGATCGGCTGGTATCGAAAGTCGTAAATTAATATTTTCTTAACTTAGTATCGCTTCATGTTGGTTTAAACTTCGAACGAATAAAAGGTTCGACATTTCTTTTCCTCTTCATTTCTTCGTTCTCTATTCTTGGAGGAAGTTGTCGATTACTGACGCGAGTGATTGTTACGGTAAAAAAATGTGTTCACAAGCTGAGAGCTGGAAATTATAAGAAATTGCGAATCATTGCGAACAAGGCTTTAGCTCGTTTTTCTTTATATCTTTGTTGGCTTCACATATGCAAATAGCTTTGGCTTCAACCTAAAACAATAATATCTTAATCATCTGTAGACTTCTTATTTTACAAGCTTTATGTCCGATTTTAATTGTCATGATAAATTTACGGTCTCAAGATGATGTTTAAAGTCGATTTAAGCACAATTAATTTCGTATTAATTTTATCGCAATCATAAAATTCCCAATTTAGATGGTTGTAAAAGAATTTTTATTTACGAGATATGATTGCTTGTTCCCTGACTCAATTTGAAGCATATTTATGAATATCTAAACTTTTAATTATTTCATTATTTTCTAACTCATTAAAAATTTCTTTTTTTCCCTCTTTCCAGATTAAGCGCAACGCCACCAGAATGACTAGAAGGGATCCTTGCCTTCTACAGCTCAAGCACGGAGCACTGTTAGTTTTAGCGTTAATTTTTGCCGTAACAGCAGGTATGTTGATGAAAATTTATGGATGATAAATATTAAACCATGAATCATGCAACAAAAATGCTTTTTTTTTGTTCGTTTTGTATCGTACGATTTCGATGAAAGGAAAGTAAAGGAATGCACGATTGCAATGCAATGATAATGAAAAAGAGACGACAAAACCACAAAGTGCAATAAATCACTGGTTTAAAAACCATCAACATGTAAAAGCTATTAATTCAATTATACTTGCTTATTACTTTTTTTATTATTCTTCTTCGTATGGTCCATGCAAGTTACGCCTAGTCAGCGTGTGCTTTCCCAAAACTCATTTCATTTCACCATCTTTTGCTGAGAGTAGGTTAGTTAGTCACACAAGTGTGATATAGAAATACCAAAGATTATGACTCAAACGTAATTAGATTAACGATGAATTCAGAAATGCCAACATAAAATCAATATTTAAAAAGAAACTCAAATTGAAGTCACATCTGCAAATGGCAAAGCACTCAATTATTTTATTAAATGTTTCCATGATTAATGGTATATGAGATCGCAATTATGCATCAATTGTGTCTCTCTTGTAGCACAAAGTTATCGAGAAAAGGAGATATTTGGGTCGACTTAAGAAGAAATTGAGTTGATTCGAGTCGAGGAAATGCCCGCCAAGATCTAACAGTTTATGCTTTGTTTAATTTCATATTTTTATCGCATCAATCAGACAAAAATTCTCAGCGCGATCTTTTACTTAACAAAAAAATTGTTTTCATTTCGGGTTAAATTTAAATCTCACTTGGTGAATGTTTCTCTTTTTTATTCCATTTAAATTGATTAGATTGGATTGGGTTTCAAGATAGACAATATTTGGAGAACAAGAAAACAATTTCATGCAAACTTGTTATTAGCATAAGACATGACAAAGAGAACTCTCTAGAGAGAACTAAGTACAGCATGAGGCTTGTTTAATATTAAACAAAAATCATCTCAACGTACGTTGTGTGTCCAACGGCTTAAATTAAATTTCATACTTAATAAACTTTGCTATTTATCACCACAATTCTGAATTCATGGCCATTTAGAATGTCGTCTACTCGTTAGTTTGAACACAATTGTTTATCGTCAAAATTTCAGACCCTACAATGAATATTATGTTTCAAGTTCAAAGTCACATCGTCGTCAGTATTTCTCGAATTTCGCAGTGAAGTGTAAACAATGTTTCACGTTCAATAAGTTTGCGGATTTTCGTCATCGTTTGAAGATCTTGCAAATCTGTGAAGATTTGTTTTCATGCTGTCAATTATTGGAACGGTAAGTTCGCGAGCATTTTAACGGAAAGAAAATAAGTTGAGAATATTTGGTGAGCAAAAATTAAAGAGAAACTCCCGAAAAGGTTCTAAATTATTAATCACAATGAAGAATCTTCAACTTGGCGTTTCGTGTGTTATTTTTTTTGTTAGTGAATCGAATAAAGAGAAAAGAAAAGTTCAATCCCCTGCTTTGTTGCGGAATATTTAAGCCATAAAGTTCATGAACCGCGAGAAAAATCCGCTAAAAGCGAAAAGGCAAAAGAAGCTTCAAATTTCTGCTTGAGAACGAAGAAAGAACAAAATACTTTTTAATTATTTTATGGCTCGAGCGAATTTGTTTATTACCCAAATCATCTCCTTTTTATCTTAGATAATCTTAAAAATTATGATCTGAAAAACAAAAAATTCGCTTGAGAATCATTTTCTTATTTTCTTCTTTCTCAACAACTTTCAAGAAAGAAAAAATATCTCAAGAAAGCTAATTTGTTAATTATTTTATTTCTTTGAAATTGAGATGTACTTAAAATGTCGATGATATCATTTTTATTCTTCGTCACAAGCTTTTTCCTGTTTCCAAATGGGTTTTTTGACATTTCCAATTTGCTGCTTTGGCAATAGAATTCTTTCAAAATTAATTACATTTTTCCCCTCTTTTACAACGGTTAAATAAAATATTTTGATTCTTTAAAATATGCTTCCATCATTAGCAAACGCAGAGACACAAAAAAGCAGTCATATTAAAAAGAAAGAATGATTAAAAAAAATGTTCTCAGACGCAACATTTGCATAAAAGATTAATACAGAATGGTGAGAACCACGGTCAACGTTCAGTTAACTTGAGAAGGAAATTACCAAATCAAACAACATGAGAAAGAATATTTATAAAATTCCATGAATCACTCAAGAACTGTCCGAAAGTCGGAACAAGGTTCGCGTGACAAAAACGTCAAAGGCATCATCTCGAATTTTGATTTATTTGTGACACGTTTTCACTTACAAGACATAGATATTTATGTATATGCAATACATGTAGATATGTGGGAGGAAGACGACGATCTAAAATAGGGAAAGAAGCTGAGAGAAAAGAGATTCACAAAGTATCACAATTCACCTTAACTGAAATGCATTCATATTCTTTAAATTGACGACATCCGTTCTGAACAGCGTTTCTATCAATCATTTTCAAGTTCAACGATAAAGAGAAACGAGAAGCAATTTGTTGCTATTTCAAAATTAAATTATTCATTTGCTATGCCAAATCTATGCGTCGTTTGCAGAGTTTAGTTTATAAGGAAGGCATTAATCTCGTGTTCATGAGCAAAATGCTGCGAAGAAGTAAAAATCCATGATGATGAGAATAAGAGATTCGCACAGAAATAAAATCGTTCATAAAAGAAAACGAAAGTTCTTGACATTGACGAGAACGTAATTTCGCAGAATAAAAAGTGCAAGTACATAATGAGTCGCAAGTTAAAAAGGTTTTGTGGCGGATGAGAAAATTCAATTTTGATTGTCAAAAAAAAAACTGACATTATGATATAGAAAAACGATTCTTTTGACTCAACAAACATCCGCTGTCATTTGATACTTGAATCAAATTCATCACTCAAGACAAACATTTTATTTAAATGCAGGTTCCTAAGTTTTAATCAAGTGTGTGTTTGTTATTCACCGCGATGTTTTAATGATGATGGCAGAATTTTTTTGTTGCGCAACAAATGAGTTTTCTTTTTTGTTGCTTTTTATTCCATTCGTTTTCATGACTGAAGCCAAATATAATTTAAATAATATTTGGATGAAAAAACCAATTCGAAGAGTGTTTATGAAGCATCACAAAATGACTCAGATTCTAAACGATTTTGACTTGTCGTTCGATACGAAAGAGTTCAACGAATTCATTTCATTTTATCGTTTGTTTACGTGGATGAACGAGAGTCAATGTCAAGGATAATAATAATTAGCGGATTTGTTGTCATTCGTAGGCAGTCAGAGGCAGAGCGTAGATTTAAAACCAGTTTTTTCAATTCAGTCAATTGACTATAATATTGCATCATTGGTAAATTTAACCCATAGATGCGCGATGTTTTTCTATCCATCGGCAACTCTATTTAAATCGAGGTTGTCTAAGGGATCGTATCGAGACAGGTTTAACGAGTGAAATCACTTCATGAAGTAAGCAGTAAAGTTGTAAAGGATGAATAAAATATTACCGTCAATTAACTTATTCCCGTAACAAGCAATTGCATAACAACAACTACTTCAGATAATTCTCCACTCAAAATAAAAATAAAACAAATTGAAATTCAAAAATTTTTCTCCTTCTTTTTGCTACTTTTGCCATCTTAAAAACAACTCACGCCGTTTTGAAGCTCAATCCGCGATAGTTCATTGACTTTGTGCCAATAGTAATAATAATCATCATCATCATCAAAAAAGGAAGAAAAAAAAGCAAAAGCATAATCGAACCATAAAAAAATTTATTCATTTTATTTCACATTCTTTCTTTAGTAATTTTCTTAGAAATCGATGTTTCTTATCCACTTTGATTTTACTTCGGCATTTCTAATAATCTTAAAAAGCAGCTCCAAACATTTTGGCATTCGAATACTGTGGGATGTTGAAGTTAATTTCATAAAAATTGCATATTTTCTTTTCCTTGGTTCGCCTGTTGATTGTCATCGTTTGATAACCGCAGATGCTTTTCGTCATGAATGCTGAATAATTTTTTTGTCTGTTCAGAGGCATTGAAATGATGATGAGTTTGAAAAGTTCACGATTAAGGTTGAGTGTTTAATAAAAACCCGTCATTATAAATGATCTTGTTCTGCTTCTGGGCGATATTACATCAGAAGGAAATTTTAAAACTTTTTTATCGCTTCGACCCAAATCGATAATTGCATGTAGCCGATGTCGACGTATTGAGTTGCTTTTTTTAGGAGAATCATCAATAACTTCTCACTGTTAAAACTGTAATTAAATTTGCGTATCGGATATTGAATATCGACATGTTCGTATGTGGATTAAATCTCATTTTGAAGTTTCTCGACCTGATTTATTTCGATTCATGGCATGATTAAAGAATGAGTGGCGGAAGTGTTTTCGAAAACCGTTTTTAAAATTCTTTTTGACATCGTCGCGTCAACAGAATATTTGATTCATTTGAAATGCTCCAGTTTAAGTCTTTCTGAAACTATCTATTTATATTATTAAACAATCAAAATCAAGAATGAGAACAAAAAGTTATTAAACAAGAAAAGTGATTTCGCAAATGAAGAATAAATAATTAAAATGCTGAAAAGAAAAAAAATGTATTAGCGAAATGGTAAAATTAAGTGGAATGCTTGGATAGAAAAATAAATAGTCAACAACATAAATTGAAACAAGATGAAACATAAATGGTCGAAACTCGAACGTATGAGACTCAAAGAGCTGTGGGTCATTAAACTTTATTTATGAGGCTCTTCGCAGCATACACGAACGAATACAAGCAAAGCATACCTGCCGTAACTATTGGAAACTTCTTCGTCGTCGATGTCATCGTCTATTCTCATGTCCCAAACATTAGAGCGAAAAAAAAATGTTATCTCTTTTGTAGTCTGAAATTAGGTGCACGACGAATAGAAGAAAATCTACTTTTGTTTCCAAGGGCACGGTTTTTAGTTCTTTGCTAAAGGTTTTTGCGAAATTCAATTAGCTTGTACTTTACTTTGCTTTTTTTCCGTTTATTATGCTCAAGTTCTCTGATATTGTGATAAAGAAATGTACAAATTTATACAGAAAAGTTTATTAAATAAAGAGAACTCTAATGACTAATGAATTTTGATGGAATACTTAATCAGAGAAAAACTTTTATTGCTTTTGTTGCTAAATGCCAATCAAATGAAAATCTTTCAGTTTGCTTAACTATCAGAAAATCTCACATATTTCCATCGAGACCACTTCACCTCATTTTATGCTCGAAATCCATTGAGATCCATTCTTAATTGAATAAAGTTACCTCATTTGAGCAATGAAAAAGCGAATCTAATTAATCCATAGCTAAGCTTCTTAAGCTGCTGATGAAACATCAAATGCACAATAAAGAGATCTTGAAAGCGCAGCAATTTAGATACCAAAGGAAAAAGAATAAAAGAATGAGAAGAGATATAAAATCAACAAACATTCATCATCAGATGCAAACAGAAAGCGAAGATCGGAAAAACTATGAAATCATCAAAATAAAAATTTCGATTAAATTCCATATGCTTGTTGTTGCCTAATTAAAGATAATTGCAATATTTTCAAAGGAATTAAATATCTAGAACATGATTTCAATTTCATCTGACGTTTTTTATAGTCTAAGCAATTCAAAAGCGAAAAAAAAATGAAGAAGAAGAATAATCATAAAAAATACCAGAGATTCTCAAACTTTTCTGTCTCTTTGATCAATTTTCAATGCACTTGATGGGAGATTTCCAATGTTATGTCAATTCTTTCAATATTATCTTCTCATTTTTTCAAATGATAAGAATCTTGGTGAAAACTACTTCTACTTGATAGACTGAATATAAATTCTTATATCTACTCAATTATCAATAAGAATGAATGAATCAACAATCTTTTATTCAGATTTATGCACATAGTTTTTCCATCTTCATCTCAAGTATAATAAATGCAAATCCCCACGTTCTCTTTCAGATCATGATTATTGCTTCTCTTTTCAAATGCTTAGTTACTTAAAAAGCGATGTAACTTCATCGAAACAAATCATAAGCGGAATGATTTTGAATTGCGCTTTTCAATAGTTGCTTGCTTGATAGCTTTTTAAATCACAACTTTTATTGCATTTTAAGAAATAATCCCAAATAATGTGTGTTTAATGTTAATTCACTTGATACATGTGCATGCATCAACTTCGAGAACCAGAGAGAGGGAAGAAAGAATCGGAAAGCACGGAATTGGCGGTGTTTTGCATGTTTGGTCCAAACCATGTATTTACATATGGAAATAAGCTGCTTCATTCTAACTTCCCTAACCACAGTAATTTGTTAAATGAATTTAACGTATAGAATGCGATTAAACTCTTCTTCCATGATTCAATGAAACCCTGAAATTGTTGAATTTTGTTCATCGTCGGCGTTCGTTTGATGAAAATCGGCTACAATGTCCCAAACATTCCCTCCAGTCGCTTCTAAAAAAAATAATAAATAGATAAAGTTCATCTTCGAAGTTCGTCTAATCCTTTTTTTCTGCACCAAATGGGCAAATGCAGATTAATTTAATTTACGAGTATTATCCATATCGCCTCAAGGCATTACACTTCGCTCCATAAATCGTAATTAATTTTTGTTGTTCCATTTCTATCTCTATCTCTCTCTCTTTTCTATAGTAAATATTTTATCCCTTGCCTAACGATGAAGTTTCTTCTTGAATTGTTGAGATTATATGTTTGAGTAAGTAAGGCAAAGTCCTCAAAATCCTTTTTGCCATTTTAATTTACTCTCCGTTCAATCGCATCATAATAAAATGAAGGAAAAACTATTGTAAGTTAAGTTTGAGTTGTCTGTAAGATAAGCAATGGAATAAAGAAGAAGGAAAGAAAGAAAAAAATGGGAAATAATTTCGTCTGATTAAAGTATTAAACTGATATGAGTAGGCGGAGGAGAATGAAGAACATTGAATGTATTCCATTGTGGACTATCATTAAGAACACATTCTCTCATTTAACTACTGCTGCTTCTTCTTTGTAAAGGAAGCTGAAGTTGTGCAGTTGGGAATTCTTTTCTCTTTCATGCCTTTCATCGATTCAACTTTTGCTGGTTGTTACGATAAGGTTCACATAATGTAGGCAAGAAACTCCAAAAAAAAAAACATAAAAAACAAGAAGCACATTGAAAGTGAAATTGCTTTTTATTATAACTTTTTCTTTGCCTTTATTTTTTACTTTTTTTCATATTTAGTGCGGCTTTGGCAACAGCAGCAAAATATTGCGTGAGAATAAAAGCAAATAATCTTTAGACTCTTCCAAGCCTTGTAACTTTATTAAAACACCATAGAACAATATCACGACTCAGAATATATTCTACAGCTTGCTAAATATTTTTTTGCTTGTGTAAATATGTTGATGAAATGTAACAGATGCGCTCAGAACGTAGAGAAAGTCCTTGCGAATTTCATATTTATGTATTTAAGATATGAATTGAGACATTTCAACAGAAGAAACAAAAAGAGAAATAAAAACTTCTCTGAAGCAATGAATAATGATGCCTTAGACTTATTGAAGTTTGCGGTCAAAGTTTAATGAAATTCATATCAGGTTTCGATGAAATTCAATTAGATTGAGATTTCGTTTCGGTCAATTTACGATAACATCGATATTCCTTATTCTTTCATGTAAATACGGAGATAGGAAACCGAGAAATCGAGAAATCGAATATCGCTTCGAGTGAATACACAACTTTTTTATGTGAAAGAATCAAACAAAAAGAGCTTTGAAGGATGAAATACTTAAGCAAATGAATTCCATTACTTATTCATTTAATTTTGAATATTTTTCTCTCTTAGCATAGCTGAGTTGACTTGTTGATTTTCATCGTTATAGAAACATTATCAAGTTTCAGAAGCTTTTAAACATTTTAGTTATTCATTCCCATTCTTAGAAAACTTGCAAGATTGTTCAAATTTTCATTACTGACTTTAGTTTCATCCACATCCAACGAATTTCAAAGAATCTTTATGCCAGCGGCGACGATTGAAATGAAATTTCCGATAACACTTTTCTTTCTTAAGCGGGTTAGGAAATAATGGAAAGAAGCTTAATTAGACCATCTTCTTCGATATTAGAGCAAATTAGCTGAGCTTGAAATTACTTTCATTATGGGATTAATAAAACCAACACGTTCTTCTGATTTACTAATTTCGATTCAATTTCTTATCATTATTTCAGTTACAAACTCTTCCACGATGAAACAAATGAAAAATCATTGAATTCACTTCGAAAATTTGTAAATTACCGTTTAATAACAAGAACAGTTTCAACGGCATTTACATCATAATTATGACATCAATAAAACCTTAATTCACTTCATAGGTAATTTTTTAAGAGCTGCTGATCGCTTTTTTCGATTGCACATTAATCCCTGCATAAAATTGTTCATCGTGAATCGTCAATAAAACTTCTCTGTTAATGATATTGAGCGCTAAGCTCATTCATTAAGAATGAAATAATTTTAAAGCTTGTTTATAGCTTGAAAGTCAACGTTGAAGAAGAAGAAGAAACGAAAACTGAAGAAACCGAAAGAGGAAGGGTAGAAAGAAACAAACTTAAATTTTTGAAGATTGATAGCAAAGAATGAATGGAATGGAATGACTTATTACTTCATTCAACCGAAAACGGAAGCATTTTTGCTTCTTCAAAAGTTATTTTGCGAAAACAAAGCGCAGGTGCTTTGTGGAAATGAAATGCGATCTATCATTAGCACGCTTTACTGTTTTCACTCTTAACGGAATGGAAAAATGTGATGTTTCAAAGCTGTTTAGAACATAACAAACTCAAGCGTGAGAGGTTAGTGACATGCGAAATTAAAATCTTGCTTAAGAGTTTAGTGTGTCGAGCGTAGAAAATATCCATAACAATCTTATGTTATATTCGCATTGTGTCTGTACAAACAGTGACAAATATTTGCAGAGTAATTATCGAGTGAATGTAATTTAAAAATTAAATGTAATGTGAAGAAAGTTCACACTATTTGCGATACTTTTTAAGAATGTTGACATACTCTTATACTTCAAAGTTTATTTTCAATATGACAAAAGTAAATTTAAAGAAGAAAGAACAGCATGAGAACTGAATCAGCTCATAAAATAATAATTACAAGGTATATTTAAACATCCATTAAATATGCGACCTGCGAAGGAAACGATGCGAGCGGGTCTAATGTATAAACAGTTAGATTTTAATCTCTCAAAGCAACACGGTGGCCAGATGAGAATGAAGTTCTTTTCACTTTACTTACTTACAATCTTAATTATTGTGCTTGATCATGAAAAGGCTGAGGGAGTCTTTTAAGATCTTAATTGAAGTTCTAAAATGATTTTTTATTTGATTATATTTTAATTACATTTCACTCCAACAGTGAATTAAAAATAGAAATTCTCGACCGAGAAATTATTCAATCGAATGAAGAATGTTCGGTTAAGTTCAAGGCCAAAACTTTTCATTATTCACTCAAAACAGTTATTTTGTAGTAATTAAATTTTAAATTAAATTCGTAATGAGTAACTTTGACTTTCATTCGAGAATTTTCTTCTTCTCTTCATCTCATGATTCAATATGAAAACCGCTAATGCTTGAATTACTTTTTTTTTGCTGAGATAAACTTTTCTCACATTGTAACTTTCGTCGAATTGGGAAATCAGTTGGCAAACTTTCCTAATATATTTTCTTATCTATTCCATTCTGATCTAATAAAAGCTTCACTTGAATATATTCTCATGCCATTAAAACTCCCAGAAATTGTTTATTTTTATTAGATTTAAGGCAATCGATCAATGTTTGCATAACGTTTGGTATTCTATGTAGGCTTTGATACTTAATAATAAATTTTTTGCAGATCCAAGCAAATTTGATTGAGCTTGAAAGCCAATTTCTAGTAAATATGCAAATAGAAAGAGTCAACAGATGCTTCAGCAAGTTAGAGAAATGGATAAAAATCTTAACTTGTTTGCATTTCCTATTAAAATAAAAAGAAACTAAAAAGGAACAGATACGGTTTACTCAACCCTTGTACAACATTTTTATTAGCAATGTACGAATCTGAATTCTGAATAATTTTCACCCACGAAATTATTCTTTGTACAACGAATATAAATGAGTTCTATTGTTTCTTCTCTTTACATCTTATCTCAGCTTTAATTGAAAAAGCAGTTTGCCTTAAGGGATGTTTCATGTACGTGTTCATCTGACGCTGCTGATAGGTGTCAAGGAAGATGAATTGAGATAAGAAAATTGTCTAGAAAGAATTTAAGTTAAATAAGTGAAAAGATTTTGTTTTGCAGATTCATGTTTTCCTCTTCTCTTACTTCTACTTTCATAACAATGAACCATAAAAATAATTTTCTTTTGTTTTATTTTTTCAGCACCCGTTTATGAAAATGAACAGACCGCAATCGAGAGTTATGATGGTGGTAAGTTAAAAATAAATTACCATTATTAGTGATTCTTTTAAATATGTTACGGTTCTTAATATCCAAGCTGGTTAAATAACTTTTTTTTATTGCTTCTTTAGTGGAAGATGGCTGTTACTACAATTATAATCACTATGGCGAAGGTGATAGAATCATTACCAATGAGCCATGTCTAAATTGTACTTGCCATAATCGCATGTTAATGTGTTATCTAAGAGTTTGTCCATTCACAAAGCCTATTGGACAAGACTGCATCGTAGAGAAACGAGAGGATCAATGCTGCCCTGTTATCACATGTCCTGAAGGTAGATTTTCTTAAAACAATCTTTCGATTTATTTAATTTTTAACATTTTGATTCATTTTAGTTCCAGTGGAACTTTTTGATAACAGCAGCACAACTGTTTCATCAACAGAATTAGCATTACCAGATAATTATGGATGTTCAATTAATGGAAAATTCTTTGCTGAAGGTGCCCAAGTACCATCGAATCCTAACAAACCTTGTGAACTTTGCTATTGCATAAGAAATATGACTGCTTGTGTGATGCAAGAGTGTACATTGCATATTGATGGCTGTCAGCCAATTTATAATAGAGGCGTGTGCTGTCCCGTACGATATTCATGCGGTAACATTCAATAATATTATAAATATTTGATGACAATATTAATTTCATTAATTTCTCTTTTAATTAGATCATGATTCAGATACGTTACCATTACTTGATGATCATTCATCGACAACAGAAAGACCTACAGAAGGATTTATTCTCACGACACCAAAGACAGAATCACAAGAGTGTTCATATAATAATAAAACATATGCTGATGGTGCTGAGATAAGAACAGAAGATTCATGCAAACATTGCTATTGTATGAAAGGAGATATGGTGTGCGCTGTACCTGAATGTGGTTCTCCACTTGAACATGAAGATAAAAATTGTGTTGCAGTTGATCCTAAAGAAGGTCAATGCTGTCCGGATACTTATATTTGTGACGGTACTGAGACAGTTACAATCCCACCTGAATCCCAAGATCAAGAATTACAACAACATATCCTTCCACAAAAAGGAATTAAGGGTGGCACAAAGACTGCTACAAAACGACCAATAGAAGAAAAACCAAAAGATACTAAGGCTGATAAATCTTCAGAAGATGATACAGATGATGATCTCTTAATGTCAACTCCACCTCTATCAATTGTGACTGAACCAGCAATTAAAGAAACAACAATGTCATTTGATGAATCAGGAGAAGATGAAACAGGAGAAACAACTTCTGCACCAAAAGAAGACGAAGAATCTGAAACAACAGTTCGTATTCCTGGTGAGACGATTGATTTGGATGTAAGAGTGTCTGATGGTGACAAACAAAAATCGACTGAGAAACCAGCAGAAGAAGATGAAACAACAGTGAAATCTGAAGATGAAGAAGTGACAGCTAAGCCAATAGATTCAGTTGTGCCTGAAGAAGGCGAAAAGGAAACCACAGAATCTTCAGAAGAAGCTCATATAGAGACTACAGCTAAATCTGTGAAAGCTGTTGATGAAGAAATTTCTGAAGAAGAAATGACAACACAAGTTCACGTTGAAGAGCCTATTACTGTGCTTCCTGGAAAAGATGATGAAGAAACTGAAGATAAGACTGAAAAGAAATCTCAAGAAGACACAACATCACAGCCTGAAGGTGTAACTGAACAACCAGAAGCTGAAACTGAGAAATCTGAAGCTGTAACTGAACAGCCAGAAGCTGAAACAGAAAAGGCTGCAGTTGTAACCGAAAAGTCAGAAGCTGAGACTGAGAAGGCAGAGATTGCTACCGAGAAACCAGAAGCTGAAACTGAGAAATCTGAAGTCGCAACAGAACAACCAGAAGCTGAAACTGAAAAGGTTGCAGTTGTGACCGAAAAATCAGAAGCTGAGACTGAGAAGGCAGAGATTGCTACCGAGAAATCAGAAGCTGAGACAGAGAAATCTGAAGTTGCAACAGAACAGCCTGAAGCTGAAACAGAGAAGGCAGAATTAGCAACTGAAAAACCAGAAGCTGAAACTGTTAAACCATCAGACATTGAAGAAACTACAACTGAGAAGAGAGAAGAATCTGAAGAGAAAATTATGGGCAAAGATGAAGGTCCTGTAGGTAGTGGAGAAAGTGATGAATCATTTGAAGATAAACTTCCTGTAACTGAAGTTCCTTCAGAAGTTGAAACTAAGAAACCATTAGATGAAGAAACACCTCCAGCGCGTGAAGAAACAACATTGAGAACACCTGAAGAAATGGAGAAAGAAGAACAGACAACTGAAGTATCATCGAAAGATGAAGAAGCCACTACACTTAAGCAATCAATTGAAGAAGCTGTTGAACCAGAATCCACTGAGTTACCTTTAGAAGAAGAAACAACTGTGAAAGATTCTTCGATTAAAGAAGATGAGATGGAAACAACAATGGCACCTGCTTTAGATAACAAAGGACTGCCTGTTGTTGTTGAAGAAGAAACAACATTATCATCAACTTCAGATGAAACTGAAGAAGCAAAGACTGATAAGCCTTCTGTTGATCAAGAAGATGAAACTACAGTCAAATCTACTGAACCTGAAGGACTCGATATGCCGACAACTAAACCAATTGACTTAGAAGAAACAACAGAATTATCTGAGAAACCTGTGGAAAAAGAAATTGATGAAACAACAGCCATTGTTCCAGAAATAAAAGAAGAAGAGAAACCAGATGAAGAAACAACTGTCATAAGTGTTCATGATGAAGAGACTACACCAAAATCAGTTAAAGCTGTTGACGTACCCGAAGAAGAAACTACTCAAGCTACAGCTGAAGTTGAAGAAAAAGAGTCAGACACAACAGCAGTTCCATTAGAAAAGGAAGCTGAAGTTGAAAAGGCAACAACAGAGAAGATTGAAGATGAAGAAGAAACGACAAAGAAACCTGAAACTGATTACGCTGAAGTTCCTCCAAAAGAAATAGCAACTGAATTGCCATCAATTCCTGAAGAACCTGAAGCAGTTACCATGCCACAGAAACCAATTGAATCCGATTCTCATGTAATGGAAGACACCACGACTGTAGAACCTGCAGTTGAAGAAGAAAAGGATGAAACTACAGTTAAATCTGTTCTTGATGAAGAATCTGATGATATGAACACAATTATTCCTGAACGCACTACTGACCAACCAGAAAAAGAACATGCAGCACCTACTACACATCAACCTGAAGTGGAAGAAGAAACAACAGGAAGACAAACGGAATCTCCATTCGATGAGATGCCTCTACTCATTCCTGGCGAAGGCGATTGTCTGTTTAATGGCATTACTTATACAAATAATTCACCAATTCCTACTGATGAAGAATGCCTTGAATCATGCGTATGCTTTAATAGCATTGTTAGGTGCAAGAGCTCATGCGATTTGGGTCAAGATACAACAGAAAAACCAGAAGAAGAAGAAGATACCACTGCAACAGTTGTTGAAGTTACAAAACCATCTGCAGAAGTACCTGCTGTAGTCAAGGAAATATATCCAACTGAACAACCATCAGAAGAAACAACAGAAGCAGCAGTTGTTGAAGAAGAGAAACTTACTGAAGCTCCAGCCACTGTAGCCCCACTCCAACCAGAAGTGGAAGATAAGACAGAATTCGCTGAAACAACTTCCGTACCAGAAGAAGATCAAACAACTGACAAGAAGGTAATAGTTGATGAAGCTGTTGTCAAAGACGAAAAGGATACAACAGCACAACCACCAGAGTTAGAAATTTCACAAGAAGACACAACAAAAGCACCAATTGAGGAAGAAGAATCTGAAACAAAGAAAGTAATTCCTGATATGGAAGAGTTTATTGTAACTTCAAAACCTTTAGAAACTGACGCTCATATGAAACCAGAAGAAGAAACAACATTGACTCCTATTATGATTGACGATAGAATAGATCTTGGTGTTACTGAAAAATCTGAAGAAACAACAGATAAACCAAAAGAAGGAGAAGAAGAAGAAGTCACTCAACGGCCAACAGAAAAATCTGCTGAGAAACCTGATGAAACAACAAAGGAATCAGAAGGAGAAGAAGACAAGGAAACAACATCAGTGCCAAAAGAAATCATAACAACATTGAAACCTATCCTTGAAGAAGAAGAAGAAGAATCAATTTCTACTTCAGTTCCAGAATTAATGGTAGACGATAAGAAAGAAGAAGTTGAAACCACCGGAAAACCACTTGAGGCTGAAGTTGAAACAACATTGAAACCAGAAGTTGAGCTTGAAAAGGAAGAAGAAACAACTCATATTCCTGACGAGAAAGAAGTGGAACCAGAAGAAAAAGAAGAGACAACTGTTAAATCTGAAGTTGAAATTGAACCAGTAACGAAGAGCGAAATTGATGAAGAACCAATCACAATCAGAACTGACCTTAAACCAGACTCAGAAGAAACGACAGTTAAAGAAGGTATTGAAGAGATCTCAACAGAATCTTTAACTTCAGCTCCTGAGGTTCTTGAAACAACAGCTAAATCGACTGAACTTCCTATAACTGATGAGGAAACAACAATCAAATCCGTCTTGTCCGAGGAAGAACTTGCCACCGGACCTCCGAAAGATATTTCCGAATCGATGGAAGTTGAAACTGAAAAGACACCTGAAGTTCCTGAGACGACAGACAAAACTGGATCTGAAATTGAAGTCCAAGATCAAGTCACAACAAAAGGTGAAACTTCTGAAGAAACAACTCATAAGATAGATGAGCACGTACCATTGTCAGAAGAAACTACTGTTTCTGCTATTGAAAAAGAAGAAGAAGTCGATGAAGGTTTAACTACAATTGCTTCAATTGTCGAAGAGAAACTTGAAGATGAAACAACAATTAAAACTCCTGATTCAATTGATACTAAATTCAGTCCTGAAGTTGAAGGAGAAACAGTCAAACCAATCGAGGAAGTTGATGAAGTTATTACAACTCTTAAACCAAGAGAAGATGATGAACAAACAGTCGCTCCAATTGGTGAAGAAGAAGAGAAAACTACAGTGAAAGCAGATCTCGAGAAGCCTGTTGATACTGAAGTAATTCCAGACAAAACCGAAGATGAAACTACAGAAAGAGTTGTGGAAATGGAAGAAATCACCACCGAAAAGATTGAAGATCTTGAAGAAGGCCAAACAACTAGTAAACCAAGCGGTGAAGAAGTTGAAACTGAAAGACCAGCAGATGAGAAAGAACTTCAAACAACTCAGAAATCTGACAAAGTTGAAGAAGATGAAACTACAAGAAAATCGATTGATATTGATGAAACAACAGGTAGAGTCATTGAAGCTGAAGAAGAAACAACAGGAAAGGTTATTGAAGTGCAGGAGCCAGAAACTACTGCTAAAGCAGCTGAAGAAGAAGAAACCACTGGTAAACCACTTGAAGAAGAGCATCCAGAAACCACTGATAAACCACTTGAAGAAGAGCATCCAGAAACAACCGGCAAAACTGTTGAGGTTGTCGAAGCTGAAACAAGCAAACCAAATGAAGTTGAAGAACCAGAAACCACTGGAAAACCAACTGAAGAAGAAGAAAAAGAAACTACAGGCAAACCACTTGAGGAAGAACAACCAGATACAACAAGTAAATCTGTTGATACTGTTGAAGCTGAAACGAGTAAACCAGCTGAAGAGGAAGAGCTTCAAACAACCAGCAAGACAGTTGAAGTTGTGGAGGAAGAGACCACAGGAAGACCAGTTGTTGAGGATGAAACGACAGTCAAATCTATTGAAACAGAAGCAGAACCACCGAAACATCCAGAAGAAGAAAAAGAAGAAACAACCAGTAAGCCAAGTGAAGCTGAGGAGCCAGAAACTACTAGTAAAGCAGGAGAAGCTGAGGAACAAGAAACCACTGGAAAACCACTTGAAGAAGAACATCCAGAAACAACCGGCAAAACTGTTGAGGTTGTTGAAGGTGAGACAAGCAAACCAATTGAAGTTGAAGAACCAGAAACCACTGGAAAACCAGCAGAAGAAGAAGAAGAAAAAGAAACTACAGGCAAACCACTTGAGGAAGAACAACCAGATACAACAAGTAAATCTGTTGATACTGAAGCTGAAACAATTAAACCAGCTGAAGAAGAAGAGCTTCACACCACCAGCAAGACAGTTGAAGTTGTGGAGGAAGAGACCACAGGAAGACCAGTTGTTGAGGATGAAACGACAGTCAAATCTATTGAAACAGAAGCAGAACCACCGAAACATCCGGAAGAAGAACATATTGACACCACAAGCCAGCCAATTGATGTTGAAGCGGCTGAAACTACTGGAAAACCACTTGAAGATAAAGAAACTCAAACAGAAAAAGTGGAGCAAATGCCATCAGCAGAAGAAACTACAAGCAAAGCAGAAATTGATGAAGCAGAAACAACAGAGAAACCAATCGAACACGATGAACCACAAACAACAGGAAAACCTTCTGAAGTTGAAGAGGCTGAAACAAAGAAACCAGAGGTTGAAGGTGAAATGGATACAACAGTTAGAACTGTTGAAGAAGAAGAAGCTGAAACCAAAAAACCTGAAGACAAAGAAGAAGTTCCTGTCATTGTCCCTGAAGGAGCAGAGACAACGCATAGACCTGCGATTGACATCGAGGACAGACTTGACGCTGAACAAACTACTGCTGGTAAAGTTGATGTCGACGTCAGCGGAGAAGAAACAACATCTAAACCTGTTGAGTCTGATGAAACTACTGAAAAACCAATCGATCATGACTTACAAGCAACTCAGCGACCAGATGATGACATTCAAAAACAAGTTGATCATGATTCTCAAGTTCCACAACATCCTGAAGAAGAGACATACACCACTGATGCATCAATTAAACAACCTCCAGGTGGCTACCCTCAACCTACATTCCCAGCATACGATGAAGATTACACAGAAGAAGATGAAGATCCAGCTCAGTTTGGTCCCGGAACTTGTCGATATGGTGGAAAACTTTATGTTTCAGCTCAACAAATTCCACGAGATGATCCTTGCGACTTTTGCTTCTGCTTCCGTAGTGACATTATTTGCTTGCAACAATCATGTCCACCACCAATTCAAGGATGTCACGAAGAACCAATCTCTGGTTTCTGTTGTCCACGTTATGAATGTCATGTGGCAATGGCTACCGTTATGAACATTACCACAAGTACAACAACTACTACAACGACACTCCCACCTCATTTCGTGAATTCCTACAAAGGTGCCGCACGAAAGAGTGGCTGCCAAATACAGGGTAAAGGTTACAGAGTAGGTGAAGAAGTGTCGCAGTCTAGTGGGCCATGTATGCGTTGCGTGTAAGTATTTCATAAAATTTCTTTATCCATCATAAATACTTATGAATTGTATTTGCATAAATTTCAGATGCGGCGGAGATGCACAAATGAAATGTGAGCCCAAAGCTTGTAGTCCAGCTCCAATGCTTCAACAAATGATTGCCACAGCATCACAACGAAGAAGAAGATAAAGTGATAGGAAATTTTAGTGGAAAGGCAATTGAGTTTAAGGTTTATCTTTTCGTATGAAAAGAAAAGTCGTGTTTTTTTGTTGTAAATTATTATGTAAACTTCAGAACCCGAATTATGAATGAATTATTATTTTAAATTTAAAAACTACATCTTGACAAACAATTGGAATCAATTTAAAAAAATTAAACGGGAAATGCAGTTTTTAAAAGAACAAAATGAATCTTAAAAATACCTTTGAAATTTTTTGAAAAAATCTATCTTGATGGTAAAGCAAACAAACAATCGCCGTTTTCCGCTAACGTACTAAACAAACTTATAGAAATTTTTTTTGAGGGTAGAAATTTGTGATGTAAGATATTGTAAAATTTTACCATCAAAATACTTATTAAATTATTGGCGGCATTCGATCTTGAATGAACTAGCTAAAGTTATTAAGAACAGCCTGTAAACTGCCAATTATTATTAACTTATTAATTTAAATTAATTTATTCAATATAATTTTCCTATTCTGTCTTCATTTTTTTATTTGAAATATAATTTTGGTATGTAAGTTGATAGCGGATGCTTTCAACAATCCTCACAAATTTTTATGTTGAAATTATTTCATCGATTTTGCATCTAGTCTCTCTTTAAATTGAAAAAAAATGTTAATATGCAAATGTAAAATTGAAAGCAGTAATAAGCCGATCTTGTCGATCCTAAATTTTTTTCTGATGTTTTTATTTTGAACAATCTTTATCTTATATCTGCTATTAATACATGTCATAAGCATTTAATTTCTTTATATTAACTACCTACTCAACATTGAATGAAAGTCTGATTGTTTGATTTACTGAAATATTTGATTCGCTTTCTTGAACATTCAGATATGTATTTCATAAACTTTAGTTATGTTTCCTTTCAATTTCCAACCTCTTACTTATGTATACCTGGAACGTTTAACGAAACTCTAATTTAATAAACAAAAAAAAATCAAAACACAATTTCTTATGCCATAATCAACGATTTTGTTTTAAAAAAGAAATAATTAAGAACAGGAGAGCGTTCAATTTAGCATATGAAAAATTTAGAATATTCATTGATATGCAAAATTAAAAGAAAAAAGCGATTGAATATGATGTCGATTGAGCCGAGAAATAAAACGCGTAATTTGATAATAAAAGTAATTGTTAAGAATTAAGTGATCATAGGTTATTTTGTAGTTATTTATCCTTAACTATCAGAAAAATGAAATTTTCAAAATTGAAATTTTATGTTTAAGTTATCAGGCATCGTTTTTGGAAAAACCTATGAAAGAAAATTTCTGCCCATTTTAGGAATAGTTCAATGTCTCATCTTGTTATGAATTATTGTGAGTCAAAAGCATCGATTTAAAGATAAACAACTTGTGCATTCGAAAAGAGAGACATTTTCCGCCTACAAATCTTTTGCTTCCTTACAATAGCTCATAACCAAAACAGAGACTGTATGTGAAATCTTTTAATTTGTACTTTAACTCTAAGAGGATATTTTTGTTTAAGTGTCCTTTTATACGAAAAAAAAAATAATAAAAAAATAATAAAACGGAAATTATCTTAGTTTGAATAAATTTTCAGGAGCTTTCAATGTTTTTGATTTCAATGCTGATGATTTATGGCATAGAAAACATTGAAATTGTAATGTTTTGTTGAATTAAAACATTGAAATTTTGAGAAACTGCTTTACCGACATTTTAACTTTTTTTTCTTCATTCATCATGCCCAAGAACGCTTGTTGACAACTAAAGTAGAGCAATTTGAAAGGCAATTAAAAATAATTTCTTTGAGATTTACACAGTAAAGAATAATTTATTTTTATTATTTATCACAGTATAAATTATACATTTTTAGGAGACTTTTTCTTATTTTTCTCTTATATAGCAAAATTAATTTGTTCTGAATTCTCCTTAATTATTCTTGTCTTTTCATTGCACATCTCAAAAAAAAGCTTTTCCACTTGATACATATTTTTAGTCGACTGATATGAAAGAAGACAAACATAAAAGCTCACAAAATACATACAATAATGGAAAAAGATTATTTGGCAAAGTTTTTTTTATGATTTGTAATCATACTTTGGTTTGTCTTATATAATGTAAGAAAGCGTTAACGGCTTCTGTTAACGGCTTTTGTAAATATGTTGGTTGGACTTTTTTCTTTTACCAAACTTCACATTTTTCCTTTGGATTCATTGGAGAGCCAAGAGGGCAATTAAATTCCTTCGAAAAATCAGGAAGATTTGATAGAGAACCAATAACTCGGAAATTAGGTGGACTATGTGGATCTTTCTCAATTTGAAGGTTTATCGTTTCATCTGTTATTGAAGAACACCAAACCTGAAAAGAAAACCGATTATAATTAATTTGATAAAAATGAATTGAGGTTGTTAAACAAACTTGTGCAAATGCAACGAAGAAAAGCTGTCGTTGTGTCATATTTAGACCAGGTAATGGAAGTGTATCAGATGGTCGCAAATTCCTTTTCGATTGCAGATAAGCATGATATGCCGATTTTAATCCACTGAAATTCGAAATGTAATGAAATTACAAACATTTCATAATTTATTAATGTTTACCCATTATCAGCAATATTTTCCCCAAGTGTTTGCTTTCCATTTAAATTCTTTCCATTGATTTTGTAATTTCCATATTGTTTCACCTTAAATCAAATCAACATTCAACTCAATTCTGATTTCTTGAACAAAGTAAATATCTACTTACAAAGCAATCAGTAAGTGATTTGAATTTGTTGATTGTTTTGTCATTCCACCATTGATGTAAATTTCCGTACTTATCATATTCTCGACCTTGATCATCAAACGCATGAGTAATCTTTAAAATGAAAGCAAAGTTATTATAGAATTACAAACTGATTAAGTGAAGTTTACCTCGTGTCCAACTACTACTCCAATTCCTCCGTAATTCAAGCTTTTCGGATTGTTGAAATCAAAGAAAGGCATTTGCAAAATGCCAGCAGGAAAGACGACTTGATTCTTAGTCGGAGTATAATAAGCATTCACTGTTGGTGGTGACATTGACCATCTCGTTTTGTTGACAGGTTGATCGAGTCTCTCCAAATTTTTCTTTAGATTGTAAGTATTTAATTTTAAATTGTTCTCAAAATACTGTTTGGCATCGATATCGAGATCTTTATATTTCTCATCTAATTGAGATGGATTAAGGATGTAATCAGGAAAGCCAATCATATCAGAAATAGCATCAGCCTTGTCTTCTGCAAGAATTCTTGTTTCCTTATCCATCCATGATAATTTTCTCAAGTTTTCCTTGAAAGCTGTTCGTATCTCGTTAATCATTTCTTCAGCCTGTGGTTTTGAATCGCCATGAAAAACTTCTCGTACAAAAATCGCGCCAATTGCAAATCCCAAAACTAGAAGAACAATTTAAATTAATTAAAGATTATTAATTTTTAAGGATTTTAATTACCATTGCTTGTGTCAGTGACACAATATCTCCAAGGTTCTTCACCTCCATCCGAACCAATCAAAGCTTTCCTCAAATTCTTGTAAGCATCACGAAATGCTTTCGATAAGCATGCAGCAAAATTGCGAACAGTTTGCCAAACCAGATAATTGTGAAGAATTCTGGAATGTGGAAAATTTTCGTATAAATCTCTGAGACATAATCAAATAAGTCAACTCACATTTTTCCATTATCCGATCTTGTGTAATTGTTGACAAGCAACGTGAGATTCTTTAAATATGTTGGCGCATACACGACGACCTTTTCCTTGTCCGATATCTTCCTGTTAACAAGTCTAAATGCATCTTCGAAATGATCTCTCCAATTAATAAAAGGCGCTAAATCTTGAAGTTCTGTAAGTGTCATTAAGTTGTAAAGAGATTCTTCGTCACGACGATCTTCATTTGGAATTGTGATTCCAGCTAAACGAGTCTCAAAGTCAATAACTTCCTTCATTTGCCTTCTTGTATCGTTTTTATTTGTTGCTCCTAAAAGAATTCCTATTTTCGTCATATATTCCAAGTAAGCAACCAAAATCTTCTCATGCTGTGCCGTTTTGTTAATATAGTTGTCACGTGTTGGCAATGTCAATCCACCTTGGTCAATTTGAATTATATGTTTGGATGAGTTTCTGTCATCTTCACCCACTGCCCATCCGAATAAGCCGCCCATGTTGTATGTGTTGTGAAGCTTCTGCAAGACCTTTTGAAGTGACCATTTAGTTATGTTAAAGTTTATATTTGTCACATTCCATCCTCCAATATCTTTCAATAATGACATCATGGGCTTTGATCCCAACTTTTCCATTATCTCATCACTATCCATACAACTTTCATAATACATTTTGGCTTTCTTTTCAGCTTCTGACTTAAATTCGGTATAATTTCTCTCCAATACATTCTTTACGACTAATTGATTCTGTTGCTCTAACTTTCCAAACGTTCCCCACATTGATTTTCCATCAGGAATCGGATTGTTTTTTATCCATTGATTACACGAGTAAGCGTAAAAGTCGTCACATCTTAAACAAATAAGATTATAGCTAAGTGGCAATTAAAATACTTTTTTCTTCATCGACTTACGGATTAACTTTATCATCAATTGACTTCAATATTTCGCTAGCAGCAAATACACAATGTTTGTCTAAGCATGGCATTTCTAAGAAGAAAAAGAAATCTTTCATTACTGATACAAATCTTACGATTCAATGATCAATTTAAACAGGAATAATTTCTCAATGATGTTTTGAATTTTGCTTGAGCAAATCTTCCATTCGCTTGTTACCTATGAAAGGATGCTGTTTGACATGTAATATTCTAGTTTCTGTCTCGAATTCTTTCAGTGATACGACAGCAAGTATGGCACATAGAATGAACAACACTAATGTGATGATTAAAAGATATTTCTCCAATTTACTACGACGATCCCATAGCGACGGAAAAATGCTCTGTAAGGAAAGTTTATCAATAAATGGAAAAATGTCGAGCATCTGTTACCACAAATTTATTTCTACTCACCCTATTTGCAAAACGTATGTGCATATTAGGACTGGTACGAACCTCGTTGAGATGAATAGAACCAATGCTGCTTGTTTCCTCGTCAGCAAAATCAGTTTGCTTATAACGAGTCATCTGTATGCGAGAGAAAAGGAGAAGAAGAAGAAAGTTTTATCCTTTCAATATTTAATGAGAGTAACAGAACATTGCAGATGATTTGAGATGAAAGCAATTTACATAATTGACCTACTCCACTGTTTCTGTTTGTACCACCAAACAATGTGCACACTGTGAGACAATGCGCTACGATGTGAATGCCGCTCATGAGATAAGCGCGGTTTATTCTTGAACAATCATTTACATGAGTAAACAACGAGATAAGAGCTTCGCGAGAATTACTTTTCATCTCAAGCAAGTGAGAGAATACACAACACAGTCACTAAATTAAATTAAAGTGAGTAATTGTGAGTAAGCAAAAAAGAAAAGCTTCAATTTCATTTCTTCCAAACTGTTTCACATCGTAAACGAAACATCTCGTTTTAATAATTTTCATGAAAATTTCTAAAATTAAAAATTTTTATCAAAAATATTTGGAATCGTAATTTGTACACGTTTAATTCACTAGGATTGTTGGTAAATATTTACATAAAGAAGTCTCAATTTCAACAACGCACAAACTCATGGCAACAAGTAATAAAAGAAATCTTAGCAAACTCTGACGTAAATCCATCTTATCTTTATCGTTAAATTAATATTTTCTTTCCTTGGAAAATTAAACCTTCGTTTTTGTATTTTGTTATTTCAAACTCTTCTAATTCAATTTTAATGACTGAATAACGTTTTTATTTTAATGCTCTAATGCGGGTCACATTGTTGATAATTTGAATTCGATGATGAACTGTCAATAACAGATTTCATGTTTAATTAATTTTTAAAGATTACAACTTTTTAACTTTGTTATTCACTGAGGAAGATCTTTTCATCGCATTAATATCCGAAAGAATAAAGAATCATTATTAATGAATGGAAAACCGAAATTTATGAATCGCTTTCCTTGACATTGCCGACGAAATGAGAATGAATAAGAAGCGATAAAAAATCGATAATTTGTCACAGAGTTTTTTCATTTCATCCATATTGCGATGTTATTCGTTATCAGTAACAAGTATCACTAACAACAACCAACAATAACTTGAATTAAACTTCTAAATTTAATTATTTTTACAACATTCACCTCAAAAGTCATGATGATTTCCAACTTTTTCCAATTCTTTGATTTACAAGTTGCTAAGTCCACCAGTAAATATTTTTTCAGCTTTCATGAATTTTTAAATATTTAATTAAATTTCAATTCATTTCCTTTTCATAATGATTGATTTGTAAAAGTTTCCATTCTAATAAATATTCATTTTTCTTAAATTTTCTATCACAAACACTTTTTTCTTCTCTATTCCGATTCTAATGTAAGAAATTTCCTTTTTTCGCCCTTTCACATCCCAATCTTTGTAACAAACTGAAAAAATTCCCCTTCGATCAAGGATTTTTTTCTTCCGCTGTGAGATGAAATTCTCTACGTTTGTTATGTTTTTATAAGAACAACAACAGTTGACAGCCGGATCGCATTACGCAAGATTCTCATTTCGCTCCTTTTGTAATGTTTCTTTCAATGGCAGGGGGTGTAAAAAATATTCAGATGATTGTAGACAAGTGAAGCAAAGGAAAATTCAAAGAATTTCCAAACCCTGTTTTGAGAGAAAATTCTTGAAATTCTCCAGGAAATATTGTAACAAAATTGAGAACGCACATTTATCTAAATGAGATTTTATTTCATTTTTCAATTCTCGAGGATTTTAGTTATCATATCTCTTGAAATTTAGATCACGTTCAACTTCCACTTCAACTTCAATAGACAAAGTGCGGCATTTCAATCAGACGATAGACGTTTTCCATATGGCACAACTTACGAATCAAAATGCAATTTTAAAACATAAAATCATAAGATTTTGTGATGAAAGAGTGAAAATGTTTTTCTACCGATTTAAATAAAGTGATGAATGATTAATGTTTTTCACAGATTATTGAAATAATAACACAAACAAAAAAAAAGTTTTAAATCTTTCTAAAATCTATTTGATTAATAGCGGCATGCTTTCATCATTAATCTGTTTAATATTATTCGTTCTTGTAAGTAATATAAAAATACATTTTCGCTAGAACAATAAAATTAATCTTCCGTCACTTTTATCTGTTGAAAAATGTTTATGCAAAAAATATGCGGAAAAGTTTACAAGCGGCTATAATTCTTTTACTCGTTTAATAATGAAAATGAAACATGTGATTGATACTTTCACTAACACTCATAAAACATAACTTTTCATTATTTATAAAGAGCGTGGAAATCGATTTTTATGAATGCACTAAATTTTCATTAACTTATAAGTCTTACTTTGAAATTGTTAGGGTTGATAGTAACTTTTTGTATGAAACTTCTTTAATCACAGACTTCGGGAAACTATAAAAATAAATTTTTTAAGACTTTTCCCAACCGCAAGGATTGAACTGCGATTGACTATTGAAGTAGAGAGAGAAAACAACTGTTATGAAAATGTGAAAATTTCTCATAAGAGAATCTTTGAATATATTTTGCTATTGCGCAATGAAAACAACATCAAAAGAAAATTTTAATGTTTTATCAAAAGAAAATTTTAATGTTTTATCAAAGTTTAAAACATCCAGCGGTGAATGGAGAAACAACAAAACATTGAAGGGAAACATTGAGAAAACATTGAATTCATACTGCTTTTCATGACGATAATTTTTATTTCATATTTGAATGATTTATCATTACAAAAAATAATTTTTGTTGGATTCTATTTTAAAAATTTTAACTTTAATTTAGTATTTCATTCTCAAACACTGGACAGATAGTTGAACATGTCCTTCTGTGTCACAATCGCAAAAGATTTTTTTCCCATCGAATTATTTTGATTCTCTTCTTCTGAGAAAAATAAAATTTTTAAATTTTTAAATTAATTAATCAATAATTTACTTACGTTCATCATTATTCTCACAGCAAGCAACAACGACGAAAGGTTCTTTTTCTAAAATTCTTGAAAGTCTTCCAACATTAGTTTCGCAATTCACTTTTACAAACTTTTTAAATAAAGCTTTTTGAATTTGATCGGTGTTGTTTAACGATGTATCCAACATTTTGTTCATTAGAAAGTTGACTGTTGCAATACCTTCAAGATCCCCTTTTTCATTAACAATTGGTATTTGTTCGACATTTTTGTTCTTCATGTTTTGTATCACTTCTTGGCATGTTGATGTTGTTGGTAAAATCAGTTGATGTTCCTTAATTTCAGCAATCATATCTGAAACTTTGCGATCCCACCATGAATGAAAATGAATGTTCAACGATTCTTTCAAGTTTCTTGCTTCCATCCATTGATCAACAACGAATTTTGTCATATAGTTACGAATGTTATCGGGACAAATAACGACGCATGTTTGATCTTCTCGTAGCTCTTGAGCGACTTTTAAAGCAACAGACATTGCGGCACCTGATGATCCACCTGCAAAACAATGAATTTGATCAATTTGAGAAAGAAAAATTATTAAAGGATTTACTAACCACATAGAAAACCTTCTTCACGAATTAACCTTCGTGATATTGGAAGTGCCATTGCATCGTTTGATTTCACCCATTGGTCAACAACAGAATGATCAAGAACTGTGGGAATGAAATCATATCCAATTCCTTCAACATCATAAACAACGACATCAGAATTGTTCAATGATTCAGGACGTGCTAAGATCGATCCTTCAGGATCAACAGCAACGATCTTGCAATCAGGACAAACTTCTTTGATTTGTCTTCCAACTCCAGTTACAGTTCCACCAGTTCCAGCACCCAACACAACCATGTCAACTTTATTGTCAAGTTGGTAAAGAATTTCAGCTCCAGTTCCATCGTAATGTGCCAATGGATTGCCAGAATTTGTATACTGATTTAAAATGACAGAGTTGGGAATTTCTTTTTGCAATCTCTGTGCAACTGCAACTAATGAATCAGGTTCATTGAACTTTGCTTCAGTTCTTGTTCTGACGATTTCAGCACCAAGTGCAGTTAAAGTGTTCACTTTCTCATCTGAATTCTTTTCGGGAAGCACAATAATGCAACGGTAGCCACGAACTGCACTTGCCATTGCTAGTCCTATTCCTGTATTGCCAGATGTTGGTTCGATAATTGTTGACACTCCTGGAGTTAATAATCCTTTATCTTCTGCATCTTGTATCATCCTGTAACCGATTCTATCTTTCACTGATCCACCAGGATTAAGAAATTCACATTTGGCGTCTAAAATTAGACAAAAGTTTTAATAAAAGTTGAAATACAATTTTATCGATGACATTTCTTACACATTTTGCATTTGATTCCAAGTGATTGCGGTACATGATTAAGCTTTACCAATGGCGTCATGCCAATCACTTCCAAAATGTTGTCAAACAATTTTGGTCTTTCTTTGCTGCTGTTATTCCATAGAAATAAAAACATTTGATAAAAAAATAAGTCTTTTCATTATGATATTATTTCTTATCAGTTAATTAAAACTGAATTAATCATTTGAGGGCAAATTTCAGTCGTAGGACTTACAAAGATCGCTTCGAATGTGGTGATGGTTGGCTATTGTTATTAGGATCCCAAGTACATTTCGATGGTAAGTCAGGATAAACAAAGTCAGGCTCCAAGACTTTTGGAATATCAGTGATGGCTTTGAACTGAGTATGATTTCGACAATTTTCAATTTTTCCGTTTGATTTTCCGTTTTCCATCTTTCACTTTAACTATTTACAAAAATAAAAAAGATTTAACCTTCTGAAATCCACAGGTAAAAAGATTTTTTAGATCTAATCACAACGAAAGGCGTTAGTTGACTGAACTCGCATTTCATTTTAAACATTTATAGAATTTATTTTTACATTCACTACTATGTTGAGAAAAAGCTTTCCTTGTAACGGCAATACGTGAATGGTGTTAACAACGCAATATTTTTATATGTTGAGTTTCTATAAATGTTCACTCATCGTCACTTACCACATGACCTAACTTACGAATAGAAAACAATAGTTGAACAACTGAAAACCGCATTACATTTAAATGCCACAGAAATAGTTCAGATTTTGGAGATGCCAACAGCTGCACAAGGCACAATACGAGAATTTTCTATTAAAGAGATTAATAAGAAAAAGAAGTTTCGCAGTGTTTACGAAACTTCTTTCGTCATCTCCTTCGGATGTTACAACATTGAAATGGAAAATATTTCAATTTGATTTTTCTTTTCGTGCCTTTATATTCTGTAGTCGTTCGATGATCACGTTATAAAACATCATACAAAACAGACTCATCTGTTCAAAAACAGATGTTTGTGTTTACTGAGACACACCTCGAGAACTCTTTTCGATATTCATGACTCACATTTGGCTCAAAAGTTTAATTTTATTTGATCTTTTATAAAAATTTCCATTAAAATATTAAGACATAAGTAAATTTTGAAAATATTATTGTTAGTTAGTAATTTACTTCAAGTATCGCAAAATCAAAGATTACTTAAATGTCTAGATATCTATCTAATTGATTGATGATTGTTTTTTAATGGAACATTCAAGCTTTAAATCATTATCGATGATTTTTTTTTTTTGATGAAAGAAAACAAAGTTTTACACTTGATCCGACTTGAGATAACGACGTTGAAGAAATGATAAGAAAATTTCAATCTGATTAATTTTCGTAAGATTTTTAAAAAATAACAATAAATTAAGCATAGAAAAATTGTTATCAATTATTCTTATCTACAAATAGGAGTTCCCTAGTTGTATTATTTAAATAATCAACAACTCAGAATTTCTGTTTCTTTTGTTGCACATCCATAACGAAGTTGATATGTAAAAAAGTATGATAAATTTACAGTTTTTTCATCTGAAAACAAATTGACGTCTTATTTAAGAATGAGTTCATGATTTCCATTCCAGTAACCTTAATCTGAGTGAAGTTTAAAAATCTGGATCATGAATTCTTTCTTTTTACGCTCGTAGTTTGATTCTGGAAATAAAATTTGAAGAGTTTTGATTTACTGAAAATTAAGAAATATCAAAAATGTCTGAAATAAAATTCTTCAACACCGTCAAAGTTTTACATGGAAGTTTTGGAACCTTTTTTTTATTTATCTTTTCTTATCAAAAGAAAAGCTTTCACCTAGAAACAAGTCAAATGTTATAATTTATCTGCCAGCATCATCAGTTTTAACGCAGTTAACTACGTTAGAGCAAATACTCAGGTGATCTTCATTAATGAGAAAAACGTGCGACCGTCCTTGAAAAGCTGTGTTTATCATGTCAATGTTGTTTTCCCTTTTTTCAGTGGAATATGATAAAATGATGTATTGATAACAGTTCTTATTTAATATTAATAATGAAAAAGTTATAAGATGTATTGAATAAAAATCGTCTTCCATTGATCCATGACTTTATTAAATTCTCTCTGTGTGTGAAGCCAACAGAAAGTTCATTAAGCTTAACTTAAAATATTTTTGTGATGATTCAATAAACAACAACAGTTCCCAATGCTATGTAAAGGAGTCTTTCTTGTTAATAATTAAGAGTCTTGTTGTTGGATTGATATGAATTATTATTAAAGTTCAGAATAATTCAACGACTTCTGCGTTACTAAGAGTTAATAATATTCCAGATCTTATTCAATTGCTATGCCAAATGTAGAGCGTAATTGCTATACAATTGCTTTTTAATTATTCTTTGTGGTGGAGGATCGACACATACATACTACACAAAGTTTTCCTTTTACCAAGTAATCAGAGAATTTGGTGAAAGCACTATTATAAATGATGAAAAATTGCAACTCAAATGTCAGTTGAACTTAAGACGTTGATAAATTAAGGAGTTCACGATGAGGGCGCTTACTTTTTTCCTTATTGCTGTGTTGGCAGTTGCTGTGCTTGCCACCAATAGTATGGAAACAGATCACTATTTTAATCTTTAAATTTGAATTAAATCTTATGTTGTCTATAGATAAATCTAAGTCAGAGAAAAGCAAGTCGGAAAAATCCAAGTCGGAATCAGAAAAAAGCAAGTCTGAGAAAAGCAAGTCTGAGAAAAGCAAGTCTGAGAAAAGCAAATCTGAAAAAAGCAAGTCTGAGAAAAGCAAATCCGAAAAGAGCAAATCTGAAAAAAGCAAATCTGAAAAAAGCAGATCTGAAAAGAGCAGATCTGAAAGGAGCAGATCTGAAAGGAGCAGATCCGAAAGAAGCAGATCAGAAAGGAGCAGATCTGAAGAAGGCAATAATAATCAAAGATGTCATCATAAAGCCTATGTCTGTTACCCAAAATGCGAAGCTAGATATCGCACCGTCTCGGGAGTCAAAAAAGTTTGCTTTGACTGTAAGTTTTTTTTCTTATTAAATTTGTTCATATTGTATAATTTTTATAATTTTATTTCAAAAACAGTTGGTAATGGCGACTGCGTCAGAAAGTGTGATGTCAAATATACTCGTGTTAAGGGAGATGATTATATTTGCTACATCAGTGAGTAGAAGAATGACGTCACGTAAAGTTTTAATTTTTATTTATTCATATGTTTCTCTACAGAACATCCTCTATGCCCAAAATGCTAACTGTTGAGCTGCTAAAAAAATGGAACTTAAAGACGAATGTTTCGTGAAAATTTTGTCTGAAAACATTGATTGAAAAATAAAGATTCAACCATATTTATATTTAACATTATTGCAAGCAATTTCTGGTCTTATTAATACGTTGTTGAATTACATTTTCAAGAGAATTTTCAGAGTTCTTGGATGTCTAGTTTTTTGCATTTTATAATTTCAGCTCAAACTATTTTTTTTAAAACAAATTTCGATGTTCCTTATTTTTATTAATAAAATCTTCTGGAGAATTCATTTACTTATTGTGATCTTCTATTCATATCTTGAACATTTTTAAGACACTTCCAGAACGTAGGCAGACAATTGTTTTTCAAAATACAAAAATGTGTTACTTCTGAAAAATATTTCTTTTTGTATTTATAATTTATTATTAAGTGTTGATCATACTTAAATTGAACATGAGATGAGTTTCCATAAATTTCCGAAAGCCTTTATTTAAATCTACGAAAAAGTTTTGAATAACTCTGACATTACTAAATAGATGGAGTGATAACAAGGAGATTGATGTCAACATCGAGTTACTAAGAGCTAAGATATTCTGGATAACATTGAATTGCTATTGCCAACTGTAGCACAATTTATTTAATCTACGTATCGACATACGACGTATGTGTCGGAAAATATTCAATAACAGAGATCATGGAATAATTTCGTATCAAATAATTATAAATTCTAAGATACTACAATTTAATTTTCAGTTGAACTTAAAACGTTGATAGCTCAAGAGGTTCACGATGAGGGCGCTTACTATTTTCCTTATTGCTGTGTTGGCAGTTACTGTGCTTGCCCACAAAGGTATGGAATCCGATTACAATTTTCATCTTAACATTTAAATTAAATCTTCTATTAACAGGTAAATCTAAATCAGAGAAAAACAAGTCGGAATCCGAAAAGAGCAAGTCGGAGTCGGAGAAAACCAAGTCGGAAAAATCCAAGTCTGAGTCAGAAAAAAGCAAGTCTGAAAAGGATTGTGATAAGAAGACTAAATCGGAAAAGAGCAAGTCGGAATCGGAGAAAACCAAGTCGGAGAAAAGCCAAGTCTGAATCAGAAAAAAGCAAGTCTGAAAAGGATTGTGATAAGAAGACTAAATCAGAAAAGAGTAAGTCTGAATCGGAGAAAACCAAGTCGGAGAAAAGCAAGTCTGAGAAAAGCAAGTCTGAGAAAAGCAAGTCCGAAAAAAGCAGATCTGAAAAGAGCAGATCTGAAAAAAGCAAGTCTGAGAAAAGCAAGTCCGAAAAAAGCAGATCCGAAAAGAGCAGATCTGAAAAAAGCAGATCTGAAGAAGGCAATAATAATCAAAGATGTCATCATAAAGCCTATGTCTGTTACCCAAAATGCGAAGCTAGATATCGCACCGTCTCGGGAGTCAAAAAAGTTTGCTTTGACTGTAAGTTTTTTTTCTTACTAAAATTTTCCATATTGTACAATTTTTATAATTTTATTCGTAAAACAGTTGGAAATGGCGACTGCGTCAGAAAGTGTGATGTCAAATATACTCGTGTTAAGGGAGATGATTATATTTGCTACATCAGTGAGTAGAAGAATGACGTTATTTAAAGTTTTAAGTTTTATTTATTCATATGTTTCTCTACAGAACATCCTCTATGCCCAAAATGCTAACTGTTGAGCTAACTGCTAACTGCCATCAATCTTTGGATCTATTAATAGTAGATTTTTGATTCAGGAAAAATAATAAACTTGATTGAAAGTGGAAATCATAATTGAACCACTTGTTTTTATTTTCTTAAAAAATAAAATTAAAAATAAAGATGCAAATATAAATTTTATTTGTTTACTTTTGAGATATTTCAGTTTATTAAAATTTAACGTTTCTCTATAATCATTGAACATTTTAATTGGTTATCAATTGGAAGCGAAACTAATCACAGGCGATAAAACATTTACGAAAAGTCGTCTTATCCAATGGTGTTTGTAGTGTTATCATTTTCACAACAGTCACATGATAGACTGTTGTCGATGAAAGAAGTTTAAGTTAATTAAATTATTTTCTGAGATTGCCGATAATAAAGTGAAAAAACTAATTGAAGATGCGCTACACATTAGGATATACTTTCACGGGAACACTCGTGACGTTAGCCTCATTGTGGATTCTATGGCATGTGTTGACGGGTCAGGGTGAACGAGTCTCTGTTGGATGGTTCCTTGAAACCACCAGCCCTTACATGTGGGGAACTCTTGGAATTGGTCTCGCAGTTTCTTTGTCAGTTGTAGGTGCAGCAAGTGGAATTTTTGCAACTGGTACCTCTATCGTCGGCGGGGGTGTTAAAGCTCCAAGAATCAAAACAAAGAACTTGATATCGATTATTTTCTGTGAAGCTGTTGCAATCTATGGACTCATCACTGCGATTGTCTTAGCAGGTGTTCTTGACACATACTCTTCAGAGAAATTCATGGAAAATGAAAGAGTTCGAAGTGACAATTACCTTGCTGGTCATCTCATGTTTGGAGCTGGAATTGCAGTTGGATTGGTCAATTTATTCTGTGGTCTTGCTGTTGGTGAAGTTGGATCAGGTGCAGCTCTAGCTGATGCAGCAAATGCAGCACTTTTCGTGAAAATTTTGATCGTTGAGATCTTTGGATCGGCTATCGGTTTATTTGGACTCATTGTCGGTATTTACATGCTAAGCAAAGCTTCAATGGGTGACACCAATTAAAAGTGAACCAACTTTTGATATTTTTATTGATTTTTAATCAGATTGATTGCATAGAAAACATCATAAGAGATGAAGAAATTTTGTTTAAAATTGAATAATCAAAAGTGTAAATAAAAGGAGAAGTTACAATTCATATCAGCTGACTACTTATCTTACCAAATTTTAAATGACAGCTTGTCACCAACAACTAAAATTGGTTTTGGTTATTTCAGATTGATAATGTTGTGAACACATGATGAGAGACATTTAAAGTAGATATGAGTCATATTAAAAACGATTCAAAATTTTATTAAAACTTTTATTTTACAAAAACAATTTAATAATCCTTTAGAATGATGTAAAAAAAAGTTAATTAAATGCTTTTTTCTGACACTTCACAATGTTGAATAATTGTAATCTTTTTTAAGATTCTCCATCAGTTAACGTTCCATAGGATTCAGACTTCATGATGTAGTTTAAAAGGTCACGTTGTGTGACTATCCCAATGATAATTTCACGAGTGACAGTTTCGCCGTTTGCATCTGAAAATATTTTAATTAAATTAAAGTTTAAGAGTAATTCTCAACTTACATTCTTTCTGCGATTGTGTCACTAACACATAAGGATCCTTCTCTAAAATTCGTGACAAACGACCAATTGACGTATTTAAATTAACTTTTGTGAATTTTTTAAAGACAGCTTTATCGATCGTGTCAGTTGCCTTCAGATTAGCATTCAACATTTTGTTGACAAGGAAATTTATTGTTGCCATTCCTTTAGCACTTCCATTACGATCAATCACTGGGATTTGATCAATGTCTTCATTATGCATGATGTCAATGACCTCCTGACAAGTGACATTCTCAGTTACAGTTAATGGCGGTCTCAAATGTAAATTGGAAACTTTAATGTTCCACCATGAATGACTTTCAGTGTTAACAGATTCTTTAAAGTCTCGCGCTTCCATCCAATTGTCGACAACAAATTTCGTCATATAATTGCGAATGTTATCGGGAAGAATGACGACACAATTCTGATCTTCACGAAGTTCTTTAGCAGCCTCAATTGCAGCAGCCATTGCAGTTCCACTGGATCCACCTAGAATTTTTTTTTTAATTACATAAATGTGATTTATGCCTTCAACACAAAACAAATTTCTTACCACATAAGAAGCCTTCTTCTTTGATAAGTCGACGGGCCATGGGTAGAGCTGTTTGATCATTCGATTTCACCCACTTGTCAACAATGCAATGATCCAAGACAGTTGGAATGAAGTCATATCCGATCCCTTCAACTTCATACATTGCTACTGATGATTCATTCAATTCCACTGGACGAGCGAGAATGGAACCTTCAGGATCAACACCCACAATGGTACACTCAGGACATTCTTCTTTGATCTTCCTACCAATACCAGCAACTGTTCCACCAGTTCCCGATCCCAAGACAATCATGTCGACTTTATTGTCGAGTTGGTAAAGAATTTCCGCTGCAGTTCCATCGTAATGTGCCAATGGATTGCCACAATTCCGGTATTGATCAGGAATCCACGAGTCAGGAATTTCCTTTTGCAATCTCTGCGCAACAGCAATCAGTGAATCAGGTTGATCAAAAGCTGCTTCTGTTGGTGTTCGAATGATTTCTGCTCCAAGTGCTTTCAATGTGTTGACTTTCTCGTCTGACATTTTTTCTGGCATGATAATGATGCAACGATAGCCTCGAACTGCACTTGCCATTGCCAGTCCAACGCCAGTGTTCCCTGAAGTCGGTTCAATGATTGTTGATATTCCCGGCTTCAAAATTCCTTTTTCTTCTGCATCTAACACCATTCGATATCCAATTCTATCTTTCACCGACCCTCCTGGATTTAAAAACTCGCATTTTGCATCTAGAATTGTTACAATAGTTTTGATTACATTTGCTAGCCAACCTGTCAACTTGTTGACTTACACATTTGACATTTAATGCCCATTGATTGTGGAATATGATTAAGTTTCACAAGTGGAGTCATCCCAATAGCTTCAAGTATGCTTTTGCAAACCTTTGGACGTTCTTGACTGTGAAAACAAAACGAAGATTAAGTTTAATGAACGTCACAAACATTATAATTATCTGTTATCAAAATCATAAAATTTATGTTCCATCTGCTTATTCAAATTCATAATGACGAGCGATTTCTATTTCGAACATTATTAAACGAGTTGGTATTTGATTAGGCATTATGACTCTGTTATCAATGAAGTATGTCTAAGTATATCAAATAATGTTATCAAAAGACTTCTACATTCATTTTCAAGGTCGGGATAATTTTAATACTTACAATGGTCGTTTTGTGTGTGGAGAGACTGACTGTTCGCCTTTGACTTTACTCCATATGCATTTTGAAGGGAGATCTGGTCGAACGAAGTCAGCCGGTAGAACGTTTGGAAGATTTTTAAGGATTTTCGACGGACATAATGGAAGATTTCCATTAGAAAGCGGCTCGTTAGACATTTTGTGGTATCTAAAAAAATGATGAAGAAATTTAATAAGACTACAATAAAAATAAGAGGCCCGTTGAAATGTTTTCAATTCAATTTTCACATCAATGTGTTAGTTTTGTAATGTTTCTCATCTTATGCTAAAACATGCTTCATAGATTTTCATTCAATTACTTCTTGAATTAAATTTACTTCCAAGAAATCTTCTAAATGAAAATTTCTAAAATATTGACAAGCACTTACTTCAGTTAAAAGAATTAAACAAAATTCAACTGAATTCTTAAACAAGTTCTGAATAACTAAACTCGTGTGTCAAAAATAATAACTTTTTTTTGCTCCACGCAGTAAAACCAAAAGTAAAACTCAAGGGGCAGATCATCGGAAAAAATTGGAGGGCAAAAGCACTATTGCTGCATTGAAGCACTAGACAAATTCCAAGAAAAAGTAAACAAATTCTTGGAAAAAGGCCATTTTTCTTGAAAAGCACTAGTGATTTTCGAAGCATCACTTGGAGGCAGCGGGCAGAAGCACTACCATGATCTGCCCCTTGGTAAAACTGTGGAAAAGAGAAGAGAAGATGATGATGATGACTGAAGAACCTGTTTGATTGTGTGCATTGCAATCATTGAAGAGCTTAGAGAGATTATTGAGAGGAACAATTGAAATCAGGGGGTCATTCATGACACTGTTCATTCGACACATAAAATTAATGTAAAATAACTAAGTACAAACATGAGATGAGATTGAAGTCATTACTTATGAATTCCCCCTTGATTTAAGTGCGATTGAGAGATACTCTCACGTTCATATTGCCGACCCTCCAATTCCTACGAGAACTAAGCAAGTGCCACTTTTAATTTATTTAAAAAACAACAATAAATGAAAGGAAATAGATCGATATGCATCAAAACGCATGTGATAATTGACAAAAATATCCAAAAGCTTAGAAGGAAGCATTTAAAGAGACAATAACTTCAACAAGTGTATTCGTGACCGAATGAAAACACGAAATGGAAACAAGAACAAAACAAAAGTCGAAGAAAATGAAATTTTCATCAAAACCAGTTATTCAATTGTCTTTCTTTTGAGTATATCTGCTCTGTTCTCGAAGGAAAGCAACAACATTAATTTTTATTTCTTAAGATCTGCTGTTTACATTGACTTTGAATAGAAAGCATGCCTTGATGTTCTCTAAGATTTGATTATCTACAATCTTTTGTAGTCTTAAAGAATGTTTTGGATTGTTAACTTTTATTATTGTTGATCACTGTAATAGTTTGAGAAAGTTGCAAGAAATAATAATAACAATAAACTTTGTTTATGTTTTATACAAAACATTTTATTCACAACATGATTTGTGATAGAAATTAAGATCACTTTTATGATTTCATACTTAACACTGTGTAACTTGATTAAATTAAGAAGATATTTTAATCCCCAGTAAAAGAAAATTATGTGTGTTAATGTTACTTTATAAAAAAATTCATAATTTTAATGCTGGTTGCGATTCGATTACTGTAACAGAAGCCCTGATTTCTTCGACGATATTTGGATTTCTTTAACATAAAAAAATGCCATTGTGGATCATGGAAAGTTTCCTATTCAACTTCATCTAAGAAGAAAAGTGTGAAAGCTTCTCATCTTAATTATTTACGCATTCTTTGAAGATGCTTAGATTTTAAAAAAGTAAACAACCACTGATAGACACATATAAAGATTGATAATGTAACTAATGTAATGAAGAATCGCTCGGGTTGGTTGGCGAACGGGATAAACTGCGTAAAATATTGAATGGAGAATTCTTGTGACTCCAATAATTCTCACCAACCATGAAGCGACAGTCTTATGTGGTTCAGTAAATATGAAGAACAATCCAATTATGAGAAATGGAATGACATTCTCCAAGTCATTTAAATGCGCCCTCCGACATCTTTCCACATCTTCATGTGTTTTCACTTCAAAATTTTTACTAAGCGCGCAATCTTCAGGGTTAGCCACCGCCTGAAAAGCAACAACAAACATGATGTTATTTAATCAATTAATTAGTAAAGTATCTAATTTCAATACTCACTTTATTTTTACGACGATTATAAACGGTCAACGCAGCCATTAAAAGTGTTTTAATTATTAAAATGCCACACCATGTAACATACACGCGAAACAAGTCATTATTGAAATTCAACACTTCAAACACGGTCATCGTGAATGAATTTAAATGGTAATTTCCGGATTCTTAAAGAAACTTTCCTTTTGTACTGTAAGAACTCTCAAAATGTGTTAACGTTACACCACGAAATCAACCGCACTGTATGAAGCAACAAGTGGTTATGCCGCGGGATGGAAAAATGCTGTTATGAGCTAGTAAAAGAAACCGTCAGTCAAGTTTTATTTTTGATTCTTTTTTCTTCTTTTATTCAATTTTTAATGTTATTGTTGGTTGTGAAGAAGAAAAAATACTACGAAAGAATGGAAAAGCAATTTATGTAAATAGAAACGAGTTCTTCGAGTTCGACGAAACTAGTAAAAATTAACTTAAAATTTTGACTATTTGTTCTGAAATTTTGTGTGAAGAAGTCTTCTAATACTAATTAACAGAAATGTTGAAAAAAAAAAAAAATGAGTGTTGAAACACTCAACAAATGAAGATCTTAATGGGCTCAAAACTTGTTTTGTCAAAAGTTTTGAATTTAAATGCGAACGAGTTTTGAAACTGAGGAATGTTTAACGTTCTTTGACTTGCTTTTGGGAGAATCTTTGAGACGATAAAAATCAATAATTATGACATTCATTAGTTTGCATGATGGTTAGTTAGAAAGAGAATTGAATGATTTTATTAACAGCCAGCGTTAGCATCAATTGCTTTGTCTATTACTGAAACTGTTAAGAAAATTATTGAAACTCTAGACAATAATCTATTGAAGCATAGAAAATATTAATGTGATGACCTCAAAATAAATACTTAAACTCATTTAGAAATAAGTTGAGGCTAGACGAGTCGAGGGATTTCACTTAAATTGCTGTTCATCAATCTCCATTATTCTGAAATTAATTAATTGAAGATAGATTTCTAATCCATGAAAATAAAAGAAATAATTTAGTTTTGTGGTTGAAATGAATCTCACTCGAGTATTTTATTTCATGATAAATTGAGGATGAGTAAAATAAAATTAATTAAAAAATTACATGAAAAGAAATTTATTTGCTTAATAAATACTCTGAGTGCGTCATAATTTCTATACGACGAAAGCTTTATAACGGACAATTATGAATTATGATTATTATAAATGAAACTCAAGTTTGTTACAAATAAAATTAAATTTTGAAGAATGCGACGATTGATGCAATTATCATGAATAATGTAATCAAATAGCATACGATGAAGCAAATTCCTCTAGCTGGTTGACGAACAGGGTAAATAGCATAAACCTGCAAATTGTAAATATTCTTTGACATGTTCTGGATGAATCAATTTTGAATGAATTAAAACTTACAATTGTGTGGACGATACGAACAAGAACAGCGATGCGGAAAAGCCACAAAGCTAAATCTACGTTTGGTTCTGAACATACGAAGAACAATCCAGCAATCAAAAACGCGGGAATATTCTCCAAATCATTTAAATGAGCTCGTCTAACTCTTTCAACATCTTCATCTTGCTTCACTTCTGAATTTGGACGCACACCAATATCTTCGGGGTTCGCATAAGCCTAAGAAATTGAATTAATTGAATAAATCTTTTTAATTTAAATATTCTCGTCACATACGCCTTTTCTGAAACGTTGAACACCCGTCAATAAACTCATCAAAAGCATTTTAATCAACAGTAATCCACCCCAAGTAATGAAGCCACGAAACACTTCATTGTTGAAATCCAAAGCGTTCATTACAGACATTTTTCTTCCAAAAGAAAATAAAATAATTTATTTAAAAAATGCACAAATTTCTACTACTTCCGATAGATTCAAAAGTTCTTTTACAACTGAACTGTAAAGCAACATAACAAGTGATGTTGAATGAGAATAAACGAAAGCAAGAAGCATAAAAATCGTGTAACAATGTTCGTTATATCCACGCTTGTTTGACGATCAACGGAATGTTGAGTAAAAATAGATTTCAATGATGATAATGATGGTGAGTGTGATGACGATGACGATTCTCAAGTGTTTTTTAATGATTCTTTCATTTTCTAACTTTCGTCACAAACACAAACTTAAAAACATTTCAACGCACACGATAAAAATATTTCAATTACTGATAAGTTGTTGATTGTCACATGGAATGAGTCAAAATTCAAAGTTCTTTGTGAAAAATTAATTAAGATGTCAATTTTAGATGTTTTGAATGCTGACAATGCTTCATTTCGTGTATTTGTAACATGGGGAGGCTTTTTGTTGATTAAAATGTTGTTCATGTCAATCTTAACAGGCATTCAGAGAGGACGAAAAGGTGTACGTAGAAATCAATTAAAATAATTAATGAAATAATCAGATATACATAAATTTTAGGCTGTTGAAAATCCTGAAGACCTTGGTCGTCAGGGTGTTTCAATTAGACAAGATGAAGACGTTGAAAGAGTCAGACGAGCTCATTTAAACGACCTCGAAAACATTCCGGCATTCCTTGCTGCTTCATTTATTTATATCATGACAGAACCTAATTTTCTGGTGGCATCTTGGTTGATTCGTGTGGGTGTAATCGCTAGAATCGGTCACACAATTGTAAAACATTCGATGACATGATTAATGTCAATTTAATTAACAAACTTCTATTTTATTAATTGAAGGTCTACGCAGTTTATCCAATCAGGCAACCAGCGAGAGGTATTTGCTTTATGGTGACAGCTTTAATAACAATTTTTATGATCGTATGGTCAATGGTTTACTTCTTCCACTTCTAAAATCATCATCAAAAGTACGCAATAAAAATTAATTAAATTATTCTTAAAATTTATCAATGAATTTCTATTTCAAAACTATCCACATGCAACATTGAGTTTATCGACTTGTTTTCTATAATTATTGTCGTCACGCTCCAAAATGTTGGTGTGATCTTGACTGGCTGATTAAAAAATCATTTGAGTAATAGTTGAGTAGTCTCAACAGGGGTTGCTTATAAATTTTGTCATTCTTATTTTAATTTCTCAATTCATTCGATTGAATTGTAATAAAATTCAGTAAATTTTACTAATTCTACATAAATTTTATCCACCCCCACATTATATTAAAATATTCAAGAACACCCCTGGACATTTCCATAGAAACTTACAATGTCCTTGTCCATGTCGTTGCTTTATTGTTATTTCAGTCTTGGTAACAAAATAGCTTACAATTATTAACATAGTTTTCCGTTTCAACCAAATTTTATTTTTATTTTCTTTCCCACGAGAAAGCAGAAATTACTTCGTAGTAAGTGAAGAAAGTTGAAACGGTGGAAAAACTTCCTTTCGACCATTCCATTCTGAAGTTTATTTTTCAGTTTCATTTGGACTTGGAAGGATTGCAGATTAGAAATTAAACTGTTGTGGAGTTATTGAAATTCATTCATTGATCATGACGGTTTTTGATGCTTTGAATTACAATAATCAAGTTTTTTGTGGATACATCACATGGGGTGGAATACTTTTGATTAAAATGCTTCTTATGGCATTTCTTACTGGCGTTCAAAGGACAAGGAAAAGTGTAAGTTAGACTTCCCAATTCTTTATAAAATAATCTTAAAATTGTTCTTTAGGCCTTTGAAAACCCTGAAGATCTCGGTTCACGTGGAGAAACTGCAATTAAGAAGGATCCCGATGTAGAAAGAGTTCGACGAGCTCATTTGAATGACCTTGAAAACATTCCAGCGTTTCTATTTGCTGCTTTGTTCTTTGTATGTTCGGAACCTCATCCTGGCGTTGCCTTATGGTTGATAAGAATTGCAGTAATCGCAAGAATTTTGCATACAATTGTGAGTTTGAAGATGAGAATATTTTAATTAAGACTTTTATAATTAAATTTCTTAAACAGGTGTACGCAATTTACCCGATTCGACAACCAGCAAGAGGAATTTGCTTTTTGACATGCTTGTTCATAACAGTTTTCATGATTGTTTGGTCAATGGTTCATTTCTTTCATATTTAAATGAAAATTTCATATTTTGTTGATTTTCATTTTTCAATTAACGACATCTAAATGTTCTTACGAATGTTTATTCTTAATTGTGTAACAAATACAATGCAATCATAATCATTAACATCAATAGAACAACCAATAAAAGCAACGTAAATATTCGTTTTTCCTTCCTCAGAAATGAATATTCTATTAATTGTATCGATTACTATCTACATATTGTCATTTTAAATTCATGACCATTAGGATATTGAGGACTAAGTTTTATTGTATCTTGTATTAGAATTTTCCATCTAACCCCATCCCTCAACAAATAAACCGTAATTGGACATTAAAATTGAAAAAAGAACAATCAATCCATGACTTCGTTTTATTGTGAGAACAAATTGACTTCTTTGTAGATGGTAAACAGGTGCGTTTGTAATTGCTTTAAAGTTTCCTTGTTTTGAAATATTTATTAAATTTTGTGATTAATTATAATCTCAGATTTTCTTTTTCTGTGAGAAAAATCAAAAAATTGTTTTGGAAGTCTTGAAAATTTTAATGATTTTGTCTTCAAACATTTTCTAAACAAAGTTTTCAACACGCATTTTAAGCTTAAAAACGTTAATTAAGAAGATATCAACTTAAGTGAAAAAAAGTTAAACCAACACTCAGAAGCTTATGAAACTTAAACTCTTCACACCCACACACATTCAACAAGTTCTGATCGTGTTTACATCAGTTTTGTTTACGTTACTGATTCTTTCATCTCAACAAAATTCCACATTCTCAACTGCTGTAAAACATCTAATACGTAATAGTCAGTAATTGCGTTGACCGTACTGTTGTCCACTCGCGTTTAGTATTCTTGAAACTTTTGTAGCGTTGAAACTTAATTTTCACATCAAATTTTTATTATTGAAAGTCAAGTTGAAAGTTATTGAAAAAAACAAAGGATGACAGTGTCGGATGCATTGAGCTACAATAACGAATTGTTTCGTATTTATATAACATGGGGTGGACTATTGATGATAAAATTACTATTAATGGCACCATTCACAGCCTTCCATCGACTCCGAAGTGGAGTAAATCTTCATCATTTCGTGGTTGTTAACAAATTTAATTAGAATCTATTCTCAGGCTATTGAAAATCCTGAAGACGTTATTCGCTCAAATAATGAAATTAAAAAAGATGAGTCGGTTGAAAGAGTAAGACGAGCTCATTTGAATGACCTTGAAAACATTCCAGCGTTTCTTATTGCTGCGTTAATGTATGTGATGTCAGAACCAGACCCTGACGTCGCCAGTTGGTTGATCCGAATTGCTGTTATCGCAAGAATATGTCACACTCTTGTGAGCTACTAATTACTTCATGGAATTAATAATTTATTAATTTAACATAAATTATATTTCAGGTTTATGCAGTCTATCCAATCCGACAACCAGCAAGATTTATTTGCTTCATAGTGACGGTACTCATCACTGCTTTTATGATTCTTTGGTCGATGGTTCATTTCTTTAAGATTTAAAAATATTTTCTTGTAATTTTTGTTCAGTTTTCCTACATTTTAAACCTCAGATATTTATTTTCTATTTACTTTATGTTTTGTTTATGGAATCAATTTTTGAATAAAACATGACTTTACAATATTAATATAAAGAAACAATTTTAATATTTCTTTAATTAAAATTCGTTTTTCGAGTCAAGCACTTCACTAAAACATTTATTAAAGAATATCTAAAGTGTATGCATGTAAATATTTAAATTTATCACATTTACATCTGATCTTACTTCACAATCCATAATTCAATCTAAAATTTATGTTTAGATGAAAGAACAATCTTTTGATTAAGCACGAAAAGATTAAAAAATAATTTCCTTTAGCAAGAAATAACATTGAAAAAGATGAAAGCAAAATAGCTTTTGATGATGGAACAAAGAGGCGAAGTTTTCACTTTTATTTACTTCATGCATACTTAATGACACAATGAAGAACTCAAAATTCCTTATTTTCTAATAAAAGTTTTCCTTTTTCCATTTTTGCAATTTATCATCAAAGACGAATAAAGTTCGTAAAATCTGGGAAAATAATTTCTACCTTTAAAGTTCTTCTCTTGTCTTCAGGATGAATTTATTTTATGTAGGTATTAAGTGAAGAATGATTAGAGTGTGGGAGGTAAGATCATAAATTTGAATATCATGAGTTGATAATGAAATTAAAATCTCGATGAATTTGAAAATTTTGTTAAAAACTTTTCCATAAATTCTCCGAAGGCACGCCACGCTGTCAAACTTTCTACTCACGCCGAATTGAAAATCGGTAAATTATTCAAATTCATTAATTTTCATTAGGAAAACTTTTTCTTTCACTTTCTGATGATGAGCTGATAAGATTTTAATTTTTGTTTTCTTTCGTAAAGTTTTCACGTTCTGGCTTTCTACATTGAAAAGATAAGGAAATTGCTTCTATTAAGATTTTAAAACGCATTTTATTATTAGTTTTAATTAGATATTTAGTGATTATTTATCGGCACGTTGAATTCTTTGGAAACAATCTACTGGAACATTTAAATGTAAAAAATTCTTTAATTTAATTACAATTTTGGTTGGCTCAATAAATATTTTTCGAAAGGGATGACAAACCGCATGCAGAAAATTCAGTTTGTGAAGCTTGATATGAGATTGAACCCTCGTTCATGTTATTGCTGCTGTTGTTGTTATCTCATCAAAGCATATTTGATTGACTAGAGGGAAAAATTACAGGAAATTGTTCTAAGGGAGCGAAGGAGAAAAAGGTTTAATTAGCAAAGAAAATATTCTCCTTCCATATGCTTTTAGCTTGATTTCTTTCCGACTGGATCATTTCTACTTCTCGTTAATTTTGTCAGTTAATGAAGCGTTCTAAATGTTCTTAACTAAAGAATTCGTCAGTAATTTCTTACACTTCAGTTGAAATTCTATGCTGAAAATTATTTAATTATAAATTGCAATATTTCTTTTGTAAAATTGTTTCTATTCAAACTAATGTGACTTGATTAAGAAACAAATTGTTTCATGGTGAAATTATTTATTCAAATTTATTAATAATTCTGGTTACAATAATTTACATTTTGCATAATATCCATGTAATGTGTATGAAATATAAAAGCAAAACTTCATCAATGATGTCATTAATAATAAGAAAGACGAAGTTGATGAGATTAAAGCCTCATGAAAGAAATGTCAATAATCTTTTGTTTGTAAAATAAATCAGTATCCAAATCCTCCACCTCCATTGCTTATCATTCAAATTTCAAAAAACTCCTCTCCACCTTAATTCTTATTCAAATTCCTTATTAATTATTCATGGATAAATTTTTTTTCTCTTCACAATAAATTCCCTCCGATGATTAAAAAACTTTCAACAACTTTTTATCTGTACATGAAATTATCTTCCACTTCAAGGAAGTTTTTCTGTGCCCTGGGGAAATTTTCGTTTTTCATTTTTTTTAATTTTTCAAACAGAAATTTGATGATGAGAGTAGAGAAGAAAGTCAGTCCATTGGTGTGCACACTTTCATCTCTCATAATTTTAATTAATTATTCCTTATGGCAATAGGAATGAATGTTTCCAAGTAATCTTATCATAGGCGATAATTAAGTTAACAAATTATAATTTTCCTTTGACATTCTTTCTTTTCAATCATCTGAGGCAGGTGACAACTTGAATTAGGTTTTAGGACCTTTCCATATGTATTTGGCAGTGGGTTTCCAACCTTTTCTAATCTTGCAACATTTTAATGAAATAAAAATTTTTATTTAATATTTTCAAAACAATTCCAAGTCGAAAAGATTGAAAATCACTGATTTAGATGTAGAGAAAAAAAAAGTTACGTAATCTTCTTAAAATGTTTCGTATTCGATTTTTTAATCTTCTTTCCTATCTACATGAATACATGAAATTAGTTTCGTATGCTTTAACATTTACATTAATAAAAAGTATTTTCATTATAAAAGATGTCGTCACATGATGTTCTTCATTTAATTGCCTTTTTTATTGAAATTTCATTTGACAGTTGGAAAATTTTGTTGCTGCTGTTGAGATGTTGATTGAGCCTGAACCCAATTTGCGAAGACGTCTTTACAATGTGTCGTGACACATTCATTACTGCAATATTCATCTTCCCAATCAATAGAAACGATGGCAGGATTCTTACAGCCGCTTCGAATGCAATTCTGTGTCGGAGTTAAAACTGTTGGTGTGACTGTCACTGGTGGCATTTGATTATTATTATTGTTATTGTTTATTTGTTGTGATGAGACATTTGAATGCTGTTGTCCAGTTGATGGTTGCTGACTTATTTGATGTATCTAAAATGAGAAATTTATCAATTAAGGAATTCTTGACAAACTCGCAATTTTACTTGTTGATTCATGAATTGATTTTGAGATCCAGTCTGCTGTTGTTGTGGCATGTTCATCATCGTATTTTGCGTCATCGTGTTTTGATTAATTAAAGTCTAAAAGTACGATTTTATAATGTTTATCAACAAAGATTTAGATTAATAAACTCACTTGATTCACAAAGCTTTGTTGATAAGTTTGTGTCATTGTTGGGAAGTTTTGCATTTGTTGAGGACTTGATATTGATGGTGCCTGTGTTAAAAGCGGTGCTGGACTTGATGTCAGCTGAATATTGTTTTGCGTTGGACTCAACGCTGCTTGCTGATTTGATGCTGATAATTCTTCGCTTCCCTAAAAATATGCAATGACATTTTGTTCAACTAAAGTGACATTAAACTTAAGTAAATATTGGATCTGGTTGTGTATAATTTTTCTGATGGAAATGCTTTCATTCGGTAAAAATCAGAGGAAGAAAAAAAAAATGAAAAAAAGAAAATTAAAAACAAACAAAAACGCGCGGAAGGAAAACATGATTAAATTCAAGAAAAATATAAGAATCTTTCATATGAGGATGGAGGACACGATAGAAACTTACGCTTGAAGAAACTTTCAGCGAATTTATAAATCGATTTGTTACATAAATCTTTGAGAAATGCTTTAAAATTACTTTTGTTTACGTTTTGCTGTTTCAGCGCATTCTCAGTAACGAATGGTTTGAAAGTGTTAGTGTTCAGCACATGTGACGTTGCTTGAGCATAAGTCAAGGGGCAGATCATGGTAGTGCTTCTGCCCCCTGACCTAAATGGTGCTTCAAAAAGCACTAGTGCTTCGTGCTTCTCGTTTCCTTCAAAACTGATTTTTTCCACATTTTTCGACTAAGGTAGTACCCAAGAGAAATTCTTTTCATAGTTTTAGAAGTTATAAGAGGTTCATAACTTTATTATCTGTTCAAAGTTTTTGAACTTGCTTCGAATTTAAAATGTAACAATTTTCTTGTGCAGTTATTTTTACGGGATACGGAATAAATTCATCATAAATCATAAATATATGAACATTTCATGAATAAAAAGATATCTAGATAAACAAAAATTATTTCATGTCTCGTTTATATTAGAATCGATTGAAGTTATTAGAAGAACATTGATGATAGTTTGTAGTAGGTATTTAATTTCCTGGAAATTTCTTGTAAAATATAAAATGTAAAATCAAATTTATTATTTTAATTGTCGCATTTATAATTAAGTTTAAAATTCTCATTTTTGTGAGATAAATTGACGAGTCTTTATTTAGTTTCGTTAAATTCAATTACGCCAATTAAGTTGGTTATGAAAAGTTTAAATGAAGATTATTTTGTTGAAGAATTCCCTAAAAGATGTCAGTAATTGCATCTTTTTAATCAAATGAAATCATGCAGATAATTTTTATTTCATCTTTCAGTAGCTTTCAATTTATAAGTCATTAAACGTCAAATAAAACACTCGCTCATCTGATATTTTATTTTGCCTTTATTATTGAGATAAGTGGTAGGTACTTGATCTTTCTTCTACTTCAATCACTAATTACTTGGCGCCACTATTATAAATCAGTTTTGAATGTAAAATAAAGAAACCTGTTGGAGAAACCTGTTAGTGCTCCATAGTGATTCATGATGCTTTTAGTGCTTTATAGTGCTTCATAGTGCTTCATAGTGCTTCATAGTGCTTCGTAGTGCTTCTAGTGCTTCCCGTTAAAATAGTGCTTTTGCCCCCCAATTTTTTCCGATGATCTGCCCCTTGGCATAAGTGATGTAGATGAGAGAGAATTGAGAGGAAAAGCAAAATTCTCTTCCTAGAAAATGTCTGCTACATTATTTATGAATGATTCCTGCGCTGAATAATAATTTTAAAAGAATGAATTTCTCCCTTCACGTGGATATAAAAAATCGTTAAATTTTTTATTAAAGTTACTTTCATATCCCGTCGTAGAGAAACGTTTAGAAATTGTAACAAAATCTTTGGAATGAGTAAATAAGAATCTTGTCGATCAGATCTCTCATTAATATTCATAGTCTTAAAATTAAAGAATAAAATCATGATGGTGGAGTGCAAACAAAGGATGGAAGAAAAAAAAATTGTGTTTTCCTTTTTCCTTCCTGTTTTCCTTCTCTAATTTTCTGATAAAATTGCAATAAAGAAGAAAAACAAATATTTTATCAAATCTGATAAGGAAAATTATTTCCCTCCACAAGAGTTTTAGATGAATTTTAAAGACAAGGAAAAAAGTTTGCATTTTGCAGATGATGGGGCACATTTGTAATTAAATCACACAATAAATCTTTCTAAATCGAATTTTCTTCTCCAACTACATCATCTACCCTTATATATTCTATATTGCTGCATGATGCATGAACGGACATGAAATAACAGAACATAAATTATAAATCAATTATTTCTCCAAGCTGCTTCTGCTGTTGATGATGCTCCCTGCTGGTACTTCCGACATATTAATGTATTTTTTATCTGTTTACTTAAACTCAGTCTTTTTTGTCATCTCTCCTTGTCTCGTTCCCTTTTATGTCTGGCTGGAGCACACACACCTTCGCCATTTAAGTCCATCCATGTCCATGAATTTCAATTAAATGTCCATTCTTTTCTCGGTAAAGTGATCAAGTTTTATGTAACTTTTTTTTTCTACATTTCCACCGTATTGGCATTGAATGCAATTATTCTCAATCTACCGATTTAACCCACGCATTCATTCACGAAGCGCTATCAATCGTTTCCCTTCCATTTCACAAAACCATAATTTCTGTTTAAATAATTAAAAATCAATTAAGAGAGTTCCCCCCATTCACCAAAATTGTATTCTTTGCTTTAAAAGTGTCACGTTCACTTAGAGTGTGAGAGGCATCAGATTCACTATGATACATTTGATGGTGGAAAAAAGCAGCAAGTGCGAAAGAGGTAGAAAAAAACAACACAAAGTGGATTTACGTTACGACAACAATTCGATGTGATGACATTCAAAGTGGGTAGAAAATGAAATAAAAAATCTTTTCGACAGACAAATTGAATTTTCTTTCTTTTTTTTCTTCGTGCGTGAAAGACGACATCGCTGTAATAAAATAAATGTCAAACGAGCCTCGTGAAAGGCGATACTTGGGCTGCAGTTTATTGGAGAAGAATATATTTTTCCAGATGAAAAAATTACAAAATAAAAATTCCAGATTTATGTTATTGCGGGCAGAAAATTGCGGAACGATTTTTAAAATTTTAACCGTTAAAAATTAAAAGCGTGACAAAATCTTTTGTAAATT